TGCAGTATTTTTACTTTTAATTTGCTAGCTATTTAAAATAGTTTAATGCTTTAAGGATATATATTAATCCCTTTAAGGTATTTACTCCTTAAATATAAATGCTTTTAACTTAAAGAGTTTTCTTAATAATATATAGTAAATCTTTATTAATTTATATAAATATTAACTTAATTTAGCTATAAAAATCCTTAATAAACGCTTTATATATTTTATTATTTAATATATATATTATAGCTTAAATTCAGCCTTAAATATAAGTATTTAAGTATTATTTATTATTAAGAAATTTTAAGGAATTTATTTATATTAAAAAATTAAATATCTTAATAATGTTTTTAAATATAAAAATATAATTCATTATAATTAATATTAATAAATTATTTTAATTAGCAATATTGCTTATTATATTTATTATATTATTATTATTTCTTATTATTTTAATAAAGTAATAATAAGGGTGTATTTAATTTAGAAAAGGGAGTAATAAAAAGGGGAAATAAATGGTATTAAGGGAAAAATAAAGAAGTTAAGGGTTACTTTTATAACTTAGCTATTAAAAGGTAAATTAATTCCTTTCTTTATATTTATTTATATAATAAAATATAAATAAATATATTATTAATAAAAATAAATATTAATTTAATTCTTTTCATTATAGCTATTAAATTTAAAAGTTATTATTAAGATTGTTTAAGACGTAATAAATGCATATATATTAAGGGTAAGAAAGTTCGCTATAGTTTCTTATTATAATAATTACTTCTTTATATATTAAGTATTATTATTATTATAAATTACGCTATATAGATTTACAATATTAATAATGTTAATTAGCATAATTAAAAGGTTATTTATTTAAGCCTTGCTAATTTATAGTTGCCCTTATAATTATTAATTAATATTAGCTGGGTTATATATTGCAATATAACGTTTAATTAATATAATAATTAATTATTATTAACTATGGAAGAGAAGAAGGTAAAAGGCTTAATTATGCTAGCTATTTTATATGCAGCGCTAAGGCTTCTGCCTGCTAGGTATCTTAACGGGCCAAAGCTGCCTAGTCTTAAACAGTCCTCCATATAAACAACATCCATTATTCCCATAAAAGGGGTAATTTCTTATAAATAATTCCGTATCTTTAAAACATTATAATAATTATTTTATTTATATATTTACCTTTATTATTTAAATTAAATGTTTTAACTTTTACGCTAAATTAAGTTTTAATTATATTTAAAAAATCTCTTAATAACGTTTAAAATATTGTTTTTTTAAGTAATAAAGTAAATTTAATAAAATTAAACATAATTATTAATAAATAAAATAAAGTATTAAGAACTTTTTAATAATGTTATTAAGAATTTACTTAATAAATTAAATTAAATATACTTAAATGGCTATATAAATTATTATTTTAGCAATAAATATAAGCGTTTTTTAATAAACTTTATAAATTAATATAGTTTATAATAAAAATCCATTAATTTATTTAACATAACGTTTTTATCTTTATATAAGCATTAAGCAGTTAATTTTAATAAATTGCTATAAGTAAAAGCTTTATAAAATTCGCTATATATTATAAACATTACAAAGTTATTTTTTATTATTTAAATTTTAAAATTTCTATATTGAAATTTTACTTATAATATGTTATAAGATTTATTATATTTTAATAATAAGAAGATATTATTTCCTTATGCGTTTAATTAAAACCTCTTTTAAATTATAATTTAATTAAATAAATAAGTATTTCTTAATACATAACTATATAAAACGTTAATAAAGATACTTTTAGTAATTAATTTATTTAGCAATTATAGGAAGATTTCCATAAAATTAATGCCTTTTATAGCAAGTTAATTACTACCTATAATAATAATTATACTTAAACGTAATTATAAAGAGCTAAAGTCTTTTATGCATTTTATTATATGCTTTAAAGCATTAAAATTAAAAATCCATAATATTAAAATACTTATAATTATTAGCAGCTTTACTATATATATTAAAATATTAGCATATAATGCCATTATATTTTCCTTATTATTATTAAAAATTTTAATAATTTTCTTATTTATAGCTTAATTTATAATAGCTTATTTTTTACCTTTTTTTTATTTTTAATTAGCTTTATATTTAATAAGCTTTATATAATTAATATATAAATAGTTAATAAATATAAAGTTTTATATATAGCATTAAGTATATTTTTTATTACTTAATATAAAATTAATACTTATTAATATAAACTTTGCAGCTTTTTTTATACTCTTTAATATTAACTTTTTTTAAATAAAGATAAAGTAAGTTTTAAATTATTTAACTTTTATATAGGAAATAATATCCATTATTTTAAATTTAATTTTAAAAAATGTTATAAGGTTTTAATTATTTAAGTTATTAATAATATTATTTATAATATTTAATAGCATTATAAGCTAGGTTATAAAGTTAAGTTTTTTAAATAATTAAGTTATTAAACTTACTTTAAATAAATAAATAAATAATAAGATTAATTTAAAATGAATTTAGTATTTTAATAAGTATATTAAGCAGTAAATAAAGGGTATATATTAAATATTAATATTAAATAATTATAAGAGCTATATATTAGCTAAGTTTAATTAATATTATAAGAATAATAATATTATTTTTATTAATATATTATTATATTCTTTTTATTTACTTTAATTATTAAATATTGCATTATACTTGCCTTTAAAGCATATATATAATAATTAAATTAATTTCTTTATTTAAGCATTTATTAACTATATTATTAAGTTTAAGTTCTTTTTTATATTTATAATAGCTTATAATAAGATTTTTAAGAAGGATAATATTAAGGCAATATTTAAAGAAGTTAAAATTTCACCTTAAGATTTAAATTTTATTATTTTTAAGCTTAATATATGCTTATAAATTCTTAGGCAAACCCTTTCTATTTCTCTTTAATATTAAAAGTTTTAAATATTATTTAATACTTAGCAAATTATTAAGTAATTAAGCTTTATTAAAGGCAGGATTTTTACTTATTAAAAAAGCTTCCTTATATTAATTATAAAGATTGTTAATTAAATAGCAAAAAGTATATAAATAATAATATATAAACTTATTATTTTAAAGGATTAAGTTTATACTCTTAAGGATGCTAATATAATATTTATTAAATATTAAAGGGCTAAAAAAACTTAAATATAACTTAAAGAAATATTTATTATTAAGGAATCTTAAGTTTTTATTTAAGAAAAATAAAAGGGAAAGCAATTAGCTAATAAAATAAATAATAATATTAAGGAAGTAATTTATAATAAATTAATTAAATAATAATATAATAATTATAATAAAACTAAGCATAATATAAAAACTTATAAGAAAGATAAAGAAAAGTTAAGTTAATTAAATTTTAATTATATTATAATAAATCCAGCTTAATTAACATTAAATAATGCAAATATATTTATTTTAATAATTTATAGTAAATTATATTTTTAATAATATAATTAATATTATTTAATATAAAATGTAGATTTCTTATTAAAAGTTGCTTATTTTAAACTTACATTATACTTATATTAATTATTTTAAATTAATTAAATTAATTAAAAATAAGGAATTAACAGTAATTAATATTAATATTAGCTAAAGTTAAGTAAAGTTGCGAAAATCCGTTACTTATTAATATTTGCTACTTATTAATAAATTACGTTAAGTATATTTAATATTTTTTAAATAATATTTATATATCTTTAAGTATATTTTAAATAATATTAATTTATTTATTTATTTATAATAATTAACATTAATTAATATAAATAAATAAATAAAAAGAAGCAAGCAATTAAAATATTAAATAAAGTAAATATATTAAATTATTATAAGTTATTATTAATTATAATAGTTATTATAAGGTATAATAATAATATATAAGTAAAGGCTAATGATATTAAAATCTTAATAATTTAAGTATAAAAATAATTATAAAAATAAAGGTATTAATATTTCTTAATATTTTAAGATATTTTAAGCAATGCTAAGCTTATAACCTAATAAAGCAATTAAGCAAATAATAATTGATTGTTATGTGTTAAGGAGAGAAATCTCCCGCTATTAAACGCTTAGAAGGAGCCTATTTATAGGCTAGCGCTAGCGTATGGGCATACGATCCTCGCACCTTCCAACAGATATAAGTATGCGACCAAACAATTCCAGGATTATATGTTTTTCCCCCAGCAATACTTATCCAGGAACTCAGTGACCCAAAGCCCTTCCAGCCTGCTGATAAGAAGGCATTCGGAGGCGAGACATATGACCAGTACTGCAAGAGGCACACGTGGTCAATTGATGAAAGCAAAATCCATCACGGTTGGATTTAAATCTTTTGGAATGATCACCTCTCCATCCCATACTTTCACTTTGCCCTTGAAGCCCAAGGACGCTGGCCACCACCTCGTCATTCTTTCTGCGGTTGATTTTCGTTGCCGAGAACGCCAGTGATGTCAAGAAGAGGGAGAATTGAATCCATGATGTGGACTTGACATTTTCGTCGTATTATGTTAGTCTCAAAGATTCGACTCCACTTGCTCAAGGCTTCCTCAATACCATGTAGAGATGGCTAGGATTCTCCAACACCGTGATGCTCATAAATCTCGACCATTTTGATTCCCCGTACACGTGTTGCTTCGTCTTTCTTACTGTTTATTAGGAGCACAATCTGGCTCCAGAAGGTTTTGCCGGGCCCAAATCGGAGCACGGGCCTTGGGATGCGGGGGCCGGCGCCGAGTGGGGCCGGCTGTCAATGCGACGTCCGTTCTGGCCCCGGCGGCCGTTTCGGGGCCACCATTGAAACAGCTTGGCGCTTGGCGGGTCCTCGCTTTCGTTGCAGGCAAGCGAATTCCACCAGAATCAAGCATCTTGATCAATCCACCGACAAGACAATCCGACCTGCCTTCCATGAGATGCAGTAGAGCGAACGACTGCGTTACACTGTCGCAATGGAGTCGGCGCAATACTCACGCCTCCCAACGCTGCCGCACCCGGACTCATTCGAGCTGGAGCCCGACTACCTCGAACTCGAGAAGCTCGTCCTGCACCCGCCCACCCGAGCTGCGCGATTGAGGAAGTGGGCGCATCGCAATGCTCTGTTCGTGGGCCTTGTCGCCCTCTTCCTCACCGTCGCCACGCTCTACATCGCGACGACACTCGCAGCCAGGCCGGGGCTGGGGCTTATGGGCCGACCCTCAGGAGCATCTCTGAAGCAGGCGATAGAAGAACAACCGGCCGAGAGGCCCAAGATCGCGGAAACAGACAAAGGCATCGTGCTAGAAGAAGGCCCCGACCAAACCGACATCGAAGGCGACCAAGGCCTGCTGGCAGACGACGGCGACGCGGTGGAAGTACAAGGGGCCGGCAATAACGGCAACGTGACCCTCGATGTGCCGGGAGCAGACGTCGTGGCTGAAGATGGGAAGGGCCAAGCATCACTGCAGGGCCCACCAGCTTCGCAGGAAGACCCGCCGGAGCCCCCCATGCCGATCAAGGCGGTCTTCTACAGCGGCTCCGAGGGCCCCAAGACATGCCGCGGGCACGTGCTCGCCGTGATCAACCTCCCCAAGCCGGCTGGGCTGGGCGTGACGGGCGAGGCGCAGTGCTACAACTTCCCGGGCGAGCAGTACTCCGGGTGTGCCAACTTCATGGCCAACAAGGTGGACGGGTGCGCGGCCAAGGTGTTTGGGGACACGAACTGCCGGACCTACCTCAACACGGCCGCGTTCATGGCCGAGGACAGGGCGGTCGGGGGCCACTGGCGCAGCGTAGAAGTGCAGTGTGGCATCCCGGAGCCTGATCCTGCGACGCTGGGGAAGCCTCCCATGATGGACAAGATCTCGTCCATGGTGGATAACGACAAGGCAAAGGGCGGGAAACGGCAGGCAAGCAGTGGCGCGCAACCATGAGATCTGGTCAGGACCGGCGGCCAGAGTCACCTTTAGACGGCCACACGTTCAGATGGATACTCGAGAGAAGCGGCATGGACCAACTGACTGGGATTCTGCGGTATCGGAAGAGCTATACACTTGTGTGTCTAGACGTGGGGCCACTCAGTCGACCTGGATCTCGATGCTGTCCGACGCATATGTACCAGCGACAGCACCGCCACCGTAGGCCCCCTTCTCGATCGCCTCGCTGGTCAGCTCATCCCTTGACTTTGGCCAAACTCCCATCCACCGGCCCTTCACCTCGACCTTCGACTTCTTGCCCTTGAGCTTCTCGGCCGGCACCAGCAGCTCCTTGAGCACCACCTGGTTCTCCCGGCTCTCCCCGGGGGCCAGGCTAATGAGGGAGTTGTCGCTGGGAGGCATCTTGCGCGAGACCATGATGCGGGCTATTTCCAGCGGCTCGGACGCACCAGAGGGCGTGATGCTCAGCAGGCCGAGCGACAGGGCCAGCTCGTCCAGGGGCGACTCCCACGAGAGGATGGTGACGGACGAGGGGGAGTTGTTGGTCACCTTGATGGAAATCGCCGGCGGGGACTTTGACGCCTGGCTGAGCGAGACGTGCAGCTGGGAGAGGAGTTTGTCGTCTTGGCTGGCCATCCTGGTCGAGGTTGGGACTTGGTCGAGGTTGTGGTAGATGAAAGTCAGGACAGCGAAGATGAAGAGGCCGGTGAAGACGGTGGGGAGGCCAAATTGTGTTCGCGCAGGCATTGGTGGTGATATTGCTGAGAGGAGTGACGTCACGGCGTGAGTCCAGGATGGCAGTCGTCAATCAGGCATGCAGCATGAACCGATCTAATGACCTTAATGATGTGTGTTGTGAGCAAGCAATATACGGTGTAGAATATACGGGGACTTGGTACAGAGTAATCCGCTCAGAAATGAGTACGGTCTGCGCGTCAGAGTCGATTGTGTTGCGGTTATGAGAGTTCAGACGTGAAGACGTGAACATGGCAGGCGTGGTGTAATCCCTTGGGTAAGAATGCCTCATCTGAAGCATCCCATCATCAAACCATCTTCCTGTGGAAAGCTGCGAAGGGGGCAAGGCAATGCGTCGACCATTCGAGAACGTTTTACCTCGGGACAGACGCGCCATGGGCCATGGCACCCCCGCTCCCTGGGCCGGTCTTGGCTCAACATGCGTGGTCGGTCTCGCCTGTCAGGATCTGGCCGCCAAAGTTTGGAGGCTTGATACGGCAGACGGTCTTGGTGTACTTTAGTGGCTGCTGCACAAAGCACTGAGGCTCCATAGAAGTACCTTGGTATTCGTGAGAGACCGTGTGTGCACAGTACCTGACCTCTAATAAGCCTGTCAACTGGTCTGGCTCAACGATCTCCCACGGGACACTCAGGTGATGTCCTACCGCAGTCACAGCATCCATAGCAATCACGAGGTCCAGTCTGGTCAGCTAAATACTGTGACCTTCCAAAAGTGCTTTGGCGTGTACAATTTGTCTGGAGTGAGAGGGTCCGTCGATCGTGCCCCAATCCCAATGTCTAATGGCATCCACGCTGAGTGGTTGTGGAGCGAGTGCCATCTGATGTCCCCGCCAGTTTATTTGAACGTCAGCCATGTGTAGACACCATAGTGTTCGTCCCATGCAATATCCTGACCCCGCATCTGGCGCAACTGTGCCCGTTTCCGAGTCTGCATAAACTCCGGAGTCTGTTGCGGACATGTAGGCGTGTTGCCTTCAGTGGGGAGACGAGACGGAGTGCCGGTGGTGAGATGGTAATTGGCCACTCGACACTATGCTTGAGGCAGGCTCATGTGAGGATAAGGCTTAAGTGGCACCGCCAAGAGACACCAGAACTCAGGAGAGCGTCCTATGGTAGGTCCCAGCGTTTCTCCCCTAGGCCCGATGCTACGCGCCCAGGCCAATGTAGGAAGGCGGCTCCTAGTCGCTGCTTGGCGCCGAGAGCTTGGGACATTATGCAGTGCCGTGGCCGAGATTGGTAGGCAGACAGGGGACAACAACAAAAACATCGACGTGCAGAATGCACACAGTCTGGACAGCGCGTGCGCGTGGGCGGACAATGACAGCAGCAATTAAGGTGGGCTTCTAGCTCCGGGCCTGAGAACCTTCCTCATCTGGACCCAGTCTGCTAGCGGTCCCGCACAATTGGGCGTACAATTAAGCTTATACCCGAACTGGTTGCGGCTCTACAGTCCCGCGTACAGTACGGCCATTACGGCCTACACAGCATCTGGTCGACGGCGTTGTCACGACAGCATCAACCCGGCCATCCGATAACTCTGCGAGATTAACACACGGTTCGTCCCAGACAGATCATTGCAACTTTTGGAAGGTGTCAACCGAACCTTAGCGAGGTCTGGGGGAATGATCCAGCCCGGGCCTTGTCAAGCTTCGCGGAAGCGAGAGCCACATGTCCTAAGCCCCTCGCGCGTCTTGGACGGCAGACGTTGTCCGACTGTGCTCGACGGCAGTGCAGGTAGACAACGGGAATGCAGGTCACGTCTCGGTCGCCGACTCGGAAGAACCAGGTCGGGAAGAACATCACCGGGACCATTGCCCACGGCTGCTAAATCCATGAACCACAGCAATAGGCCCCCGCCCCTGAGGTGGCTGCTTGCCATATCCTCCACTCCATGGCACTCTATTTCAGACACTTCATCGTCATCGCGGCCCAGAGGCTTCACCAACCAAGACAACACAAGGCAAAGACCACCAACTTCTGCGCCCCTGGGTAACCAAGGCCAGCGTTTGCCCTTGAAGCCTTCTACATTCGGAAAGCAATTCGGCCAGGATCACACTAGAGGGAAATTCCAGAAGAGGCTATTGGTGAAACATCCTGCAAGTGTTATGTTTTTTCTCCCCAATCACCAGCGAGCATTGCCCCTCTCGCGGCCGTCCGCAGGAAATGTTTCCAGCCTTTCAACGGCCAGAGCAAGAATACATGTCCTCGTCGGTCTGTCGTGTGCAGATAGGGATCTCACCGACGTCCCAGACGCAAGAGTCAACACGTACCGGCAGCGCTTGAGCAGTGTAAGTCGTTCTGATTCCAGCTGCAGCGGCCTTATCTCGTCATCGCCAACTGCCATTCTCGCCCAGCCAGCTGCAATGCCAGGCGACTACTCATGCACATGCACGCCAATCCGGCACTGGGGACTGGCTACTACTCTCCAAGAAAGCTTCACCCCTTCCAAGGCGTCAAAGAGATCGCGAGGTCTTGGCCCCCTTCCACCTGGTCTACCTTGTCCACCTTCCGAACATGGTCGCTTACCAGGGCCACCCCTGAACCCATCACAGGCGGGGCCCATGTTGCTCCTATCAAGTCGCATCCTCTATAGTTCCCAAGAACCAGACAACATAGTCACGCCTCCGCAATAATATCACTGATACCTTCACATCCGTACCGCCTTCCCCGAGCTCCTCTGCCACCAACAGTCCTCCTTCGCATCGCATCGCCCGGGGCTGGCCACCATCATCTCCGGCACTCGTAGTCGCCGTTTGGCCCTGCGCAATGGCCCCAGCTTCCGGATTCGTGACCATCAGCCGGCTTGGGGCGTATTCCTTGCCGTGTTCTGGGCAATGCTTCTATTTCATATTCCCTTTGTGGTCTAGGTACCTTCTGCCGGAGGGTTTCCCACTCGGAGAGAGTATACATGCCTCACGACTGCCCTGGCGACGATTGATATAAAGAAAGGATTCCTCCTCTTGCCTCCACACGCTTCCATTTCCCATCTCCATCCTTCACCTCACCTCACATTCTTTCACCGGCACTATCACTCAAGGCATACGGCCCAGTCTTCTCAGTATCTGCTCAGCTTCGTTCTCGCCCGTAGCAATCAGTCATCATGAAGTTCTTGACCGGCCTCTCTCTCGTTGCCTCCGCCCTTGCGGTCAGGATGGACGTCACGAAGCGTGACAGCCCCCTCAAGGTCGAGATCCAAAGTGTTGGCAACTCTGCCGTCAAGGCGGTTGTCACCAACACCGGCTCTGAGCCCATCAAGCTGATGAAGACTGGTTCCATTCTGGACCAGACTGCCATTGAGAAGGCCGAGATTTTCTCTGGCGGTACGTACACACTGTTTCTTTTTCACAAGATCATGGTTCGACCCTTGTCATCTTATGCATGGAGTCTTGACTCCTGCGGGGCCGTGGTCTATGATTCTGCCCAGCATAATACTCCGGCAGTTCACAGCAGACTGCCGCCCATTGCGGGACTGACCGTGGCGAATGCAACGGCTTCTGATTCTGTTATACCACAATCTTTTGTCGTATGGACACCAAGCTAATTTACGACTTACAGCCGACCAGGTTGCCTTTGATGGTGTCCGTCTCCAGGTCCAGACCAGCGACCTTGCCGAGGATGCTTTCCAGACCCTCGCCGCCGGTGAGAGCGTTGAGGCCGAGTTCGACCCGGCCGAGGTGCACGATCTCAGCACCGGTGGTGACTTCGACTTCCTCGTCCGAGGAACGTTCCTGACCGCGTCTGCGGACAGCACCAGCATCGACGGCTCCGTGCCCTTCGACAGCAACGTGCTCAAGTCCCACGTCAATGGTGTTGCCGCCGCCAAGGTCCGCCGTGACTTCCACGACAACATCCAGAAGCGCACCCAGGTCCAGTCCGACTGCACTGGCACCCGCGGCACCGCGCAGCGCACCGCCCTGGCCAACTGCGCCTCCCTGGCCCGCAAGGCCGCCACTGCAGCCACCAGCGGCGACGCGGCCAAGCTCACCGAGTACTTCAAGTCGTCCACCTCGGCGACCCGCAGCACTGTCGCCGGCGTCTTCAACAAGGTCGCGACCGAGTGTGGCAGCACCACCTCGGGCGTGAGCACCCAGTACTGCACCGACAGTCTCGGCTACTGCTCCAGCAACGTCCTCGCATACACCATCCCCACCCAGAGCCTCATGGTCTCGTGCCCTCTGTACTTCAGCGCCCTGACCGGCCTCAGCACCCAGTGCCACGCCCAGGACCAGGCCACCACCACCCTCCACGAGACAACCCACCTGTCGCAGATCAAGGGCACCCAAGACAACGGCTACGGCTACGCCGCCATCCAGGGCCTGAGCTCTTCTCAGAGCCTCAACAACGCTGACAGCTACGCGCTCTTTGCAAATGGTATGTTTCCCCGTCTTTCCCAGGTCCTATGTAAGCAGACGCTAACGTCTTCTACAGCTATCCAGGTTGGATGCTAGAGGCGGCAACTGCCTGCACGAGGAGTGTGCCAAGGGCCGTCGATCAAATCAGGCTGTCGGAGGAGCTTTCTCATTATGTCACCAACACCACCGAGCGGGGCTGAGACAGGAGTTGTACATCAATGTGGAAAGATTATTATTACTTGTTTCCACTGTACATATTCTGAACTGTCAATCACACATCGAACATGTCCCCGAGCATTGCGTAGTGTTGTTGTAGTCATGCTAACTATGAGAACTTCTGTTGGTCTGAAGTAGCCACAATTTCCTCGTCTGGACACGATAGGACTAGGTGTAGAAAGATGCCTTAAGGATACGAGATGTGCTAATAGATTGCTGGTCTTCATTTAGGTGGGGAGAGAGCTTCTAAACAGCCGCAAATTCTGCGAACAGTGAATCAGCGTGGAGTTCTGCCGAATGAGTGCTGCTGTTCCCCTGTGGATGTGCATTCTTCGATGTGACTAATTTTTAAAGACAAGGAAGAAAATCGATCCTGTATGCGGTCTTGACCCACGCTCTGCCCCATACTTGTTATTTCCGTGGAAGGTTTGTAGTCAAGGGCACAGGATGAGTAAGCTACTCTCATATGCAATCAAAAGTATCAAGAAAAGTGGGTCCGTTCAGTTCACATCCCCTTATTTTTCATACAAGTTGATTTTTAAGTTTTTTAAACTCACTTAAATCTAATTAAACTTTATTTCATATAATAGCGCTTTCTTTTCTTATTATAAAACTACTCTTATTTTGGTTTTTAGATATATATTAGGTGTGTAAATGTTAAAAGTAATTTAAAAAAGAGGAAATTGAGGAAAAAGGGGGGGGGGGAGTGCGCAACTTTAGCGTCTTTTTGATACTTTTGATTGCATATGAGAGTACACTGCGACAAATGCGAGGTCGGAGAACTTGATCCGCTCGACCCCAACATCTCGAATTTCAGACTCGGCTGCATGAACTGAACTATCGGATGAACAACCGAGCGCCCACACATAAGATTTCACTCGGTGCAGACATGTCGTCTACATCTGGCCAAACAGTGCACCCCGTCGCCATCATTGGCGGGGGCCCAGTCGGTCTCAGCGCGAGCATTCTACTCTCGCTCCGCAAGATCCCGCACATCCTGCTCGAGCGACACACAGGGACGTCCATTCATCCCAAGGCTTGCGGCATCAACCAACGAACCACCGAAATCTTTCGCGTCATGGGAATATATGACGAAATACGAGCGGCTGCGTGTCCTGACGATGTAAAGACTCGCACGGCTTGGTATACAAGCCTGGGAGGCAGAGACGCCAACTCGGTGGACGGTCGCGAAATCTGGAGCCGGAATGCTTGGGGCGGTGGGCCTGATGCCGAGGAGTATGAGAGGCACAGTCCTGCAAGGTACGAAGTACTGCCACAAATACGACTGGAGCCGCTGCTCGTCAAGAGGGCTAAGGAGCTCAGTCCCGAGAGCCTGGAATTCGGTTCCGAGGTTACAGACCTGGAAGAGCGGGGTAGCTGTGTGGTGTTGAAGGTCCTGAACAGGGAGACAGGTGTCACGAGGGAGGTGTTTGCGTGCCTTGTGATTGCGGCCGATGGAGGGCGTGGCATCACAGACAAGTTGGGGATTAAGTGGACAGGAGAACGCGATATCCTCGAGATGGCATCGGTGCACTTCCGCGCTCGAATCCGTGAGCGGCATCCGGACCCGAGGAACTTCATCACCTGGTTCTCGCACCCTGATGCTGGAGGCAGCATTCGTACTGGGTATTTGTACCAGATTGGCCCGTGGCCGTTTGATAGCCCGGAAGCGAAAGCGAGCGAGGAATGGGTCTTCGCTTGTGCTCGGACCGCCAATGACCCCGTGAGCTTCAAGCGTGACGACATGCTCAAGCGCCTAGAGGATACCTTGAAGCTCGGCGAGCTTCCCATGGAGATCATAAGCCTCAGTCATTGGAATGTCCAGGCAGTGTCGGCAGAAAAGTACAGGCAGGGGCGGGTCTTCCTGGCTGGTGACGCCGCACACAGAATCCCCCCCTGGGGTGCGCTGGGTATGAACACCGGCATCCAAGATGTGCAAAACCTTGTCTGGAAGCTCAGCATGGCGTTGAACGATGAGGATAAATATGACCACCTACTCGCAACCTACGATACCGAGAGACGACCGCTGGGACAAAGGGTGGGACAGTCCAGCTTGCACAACCTACGAAGCCATGCCCTGGTCATGGATGCAGCCCTTGGTATGAGGCCGGAACAGTCCTCGGTCGAGAACCGCGCGGCCATAATGGCATACTTTGACCAGTCACATCCAGAACATGCGGCCAGGCGATTGGCAGTCGAGCAGGCGTCCAAAGTGCTTGATCTTGAATTCAAGGCTCCTGGGCTGGAGCTTGGCTGGTTTTACCCAGGATTAGGTGGCGCAACCGAAGCAGACCACGCACCACATTTGCTGGAAGACGGCAGCCTTCTGTCCGAAGTTGTATTGCCGTCTACGGTGCCTGGACATAATGTTCCCCACGTCTGGGTTCATAAACATGGCCAGAAACTACCCATCCGAGATCTCATTCCGCTGGACAAATTGTTGTTACTGGCTGATGATCAGCCTGGCTGGCGTCTGCTCGAGACCGAATTGGTGGATATCCAACAACTTACAATGTCTGATGCCGGAAATACCTGGTCAGAGCCTACACGTGAATGGGAGAGATTATTGGACGGCAACGATGCGGTTCTCTTGAGACCAGACGGCATCATCGCCTGGCGTGGATCATGGCATGACTCTTTGCCCAAGCAATGGCCCGGGATTCTAGACCAAGCTTTATGCATCAGCAGCTAAAGCCTAGTGTCGAGTGTAAATCAACTTTTGGGAACATCGAGCCCTGAGATAACCTCACTCCAACGACCCCCTCCGGTACACTGTTCTGTTGGTGTAATTTGGAAATTAAAAGGCAATTAAAATTGATGCCTAGACTACTCCTGTAGTGATTTGGGATTAAGTAGTATTTCCATCAACCTCCACTGAGAGTTGTTGAACTTCAACCGAAGACGTGAAGACAATCGAATAGAACTCATTTGCTCCGACTCACATGCTCATTATATCATCCATAACAGACCCATCTTTCCTTTCGAGACATAACGTACAGAACCTATCCGTACCCTAAACGTCCAAAAATGCGCGATCATTCTGATCCACATCATGGATACGACGACCCTCGGAGATATTGTACTCTCTGGTGACCATGATTCCGCCAGAACTGGTATAGTCGATGGGCGTGGGCCGCCTAGCATCGGATGGGCCGGGACCAGAGCAGACGGTCACCCTTGCGGGCTCGAAAACTCCAGCAACATGGAAGGGGTCGTGAGGTAGATCATCGACGGCGGCACCACCAACGCTGGGAGCTGCATCACGACTCTCGCCATCCAGTGAAACGATACGTTCGTTCGACCCATACCTCGTTTCCTCGGGCACGGGATTCGGGTCCTTGTTCCTCGTCTTCTTGTGCTGGTTGGGGTAACTCCCCAGCCTGTATGCTTGACCACTGCTTGTGGCTCGGCCGCTTCCGCCATTATTGTTGGTGAGCGCCAGTGTTGTGCCGATTTTCGCGAGGAAGCTCTTGAGGAGAGGATATAACATAGGCATGTTGGTCAAGACAAACGAGACAAAGGACTCGCGTACAGACCAGTAACCTGATTGTGAGGGGTCACTATCGCCAGCCTGAAGCAGATAGAAATCAGTTCTGATTGTACGTAAAAGCTGGAGAAGCTTAGGGTAGAACAGACGGTCAAAATCGAAATACATCGCAGAATGCCGAATGCCATTTCGAGTAGACCACCGCTGAACATGATGACGAGGGTGATCTTCTTTGCCCTCGGAAGACGCGATTTCCACACCATTGGTATTGGTATCGCCATCAAGTAGAAGTCGGTCAAAGTATTCATGACCATCACGAAGACGGTCTGAACATATGATATTGCTGGCATGCAGTGGTCTGGAGAAGGTAAGCCAATGATTGATTCACAGCGTACATGTGTGATGGCACTTACTGCCAGGGGATGGATGAATTTGCCATTGGTGGTCGAAGGGGATACATTTGAGGAAGGCAACCAGCAGACATGACACAAAGGTCAAGGGCATAAGAAACATTGCCCACTTGGTCAGGAATCTCTGGCTAGGCAAGCCGTCACTGTACCTGTCAGCTGGGGTGTTGAGTTTATTTGTTGTGAAAAAGTTCACCATACGTCAAACGCAAATAATAGACAACCCAACAGCCTTTCAGGAGCCATAACAGGGTAGTATAGAGCAGCAAGCCAACCACATGGGTCTTGGACCCGTTGACACGAAGTTGCCACTCTTCAGAACTTGGGTCAAGCTCGAGTCGCTCCTGGTCAGACATTCCATTGTTGGCAAAGCCGTTCCAGTACGCGACGACGTAGTAGGCCGCCGCTGACTCTGCCGTGTACACCAGCTGGATGTGGAGGGTTGTCAGCGAAACGTATCCACGGTATACCCATCTCATCATCCTTTTCAAGGCACAACATACCGTCGCCAAAGCTATCAAGAAATCGTCCAGCGCGAGCTTGCCCCATCCGAGCGTCACAATCCGGGAGTAGTAGCGAAGCAATAGGACCAGGTAGGCAACACTTTGGAGACCCCACACCTCATCAATGAATTTCTGTGCCTCTTCAGAAGACATTCTGTGTGAAAGTATTAGAGATAAGTGACATGGAGATGCGTCTACAACTAACTCGGATGGCTCTTCATGATGTGGATTGCCCGCTCTTTTAAGGCTGTCAGTGTCTTCAACCACACACGCCGAATACAGGGGGCTACGCATGATCTTGTGGCGACGAGAACGAGTTGGCGGGAAATACGGAACACAGCGCGTGTTGGCGGGACAGCATCCCTTCAATACGACTTTCTCACCGGGTCTGTCAAGAATCGTGCGACTACTTGCGTCGACGCACTCACTTGCATCAGATCCAATTGAATGCCAACTGGACCAGGATTGGAAAACTCGACCAGAAGTTCCATTGTCTTCCTGGACTGATGTCTTGAGGCCCCTCCGCTGCGGGAGGCCGGTGCTCAGACTGCAACGGCCAGCGGATTCATACTTATCCCTGAACATGGGCTGGGCTCCGGTGTTCTTCTATACTAACTGCCGCCCGTGTCTCAGCATCTTTCACCTTATAATTGACAAGTCAACAGCGACTTCTGATTACGGGCAAGGCGTTTGAGACTCCCCCTATTTCAGTCTGCCATTGGAAAAAATGACCATGTCATGGGAGAGCTTGTCACAGCACATATGCAACTTCAACTTGACGGACTGTGATCACTGGCCATCTTGATTCATACCCGAAAGGCCTACTTAGTTGCCTAAAATGGCACATCAACTTTGCACGACCAATAGCAAATTCAACATCTGACTTTATATCCTGGCAACATCAGGACCTCTTTGTTGAGGCCTGACGGTCTGAACATGTACAGGGGGGCCTTTTGTGAGATATCGACTGCAATATTGAGCCCGAATATTTATGGGGTGCCCCGAGCGCGGCTTTTATTTATGCTGGTTATTTAGTCTCGAGAGATCGAAACGACATCCAGATTCGCTGAGCGGCAAGACCCATCGTTGCGACTAGCTGTGCGGCTGCCAAATCCTGGACCGGCCGGGCGCAAGTTCGGATGGAGTTATGAGGTATTCCAGAGTCCTGTACAGTTCAAATTGCACCGAGGAAAAACTTTAGGGTACAAAGAAAGCGCAATCCAATGAGCGAATATAACAGGCAGCAGCAACAAACCTCGAATTCAGGGGACTCAAGCCAAGCCTCTCACCTTGCGACGCTCCTCTCTGCCCTTCGACAGATTTCCGGTCGACATGCTCCCGAGGCCCTCGTAGTTGGTGGCTTAAGTGCGATCAGTCGGAGAGACGGGGCCAGCGCAACTAACGCCGACGTGACAGACAGCGATAAGCGAGCACCAGATACCCTGGAACTCGGTGTGATCCTTGATTCTGACAAGGAGGTGTGCAACATGGGGACAATCATCCATTCCAGATGTTTGCCGTCGCCAGGCGCGTGGTTGAGCCCCCAACGAGGTCCGGAAAGCTGCATGAACCAGCAGACGAAGAGAAACGGCCGGCTGCAGGTCGACGGCGCTGTCAAACTCACAGCACTTTGATGTGACATCGTCCGGGTCCACACCCAATGACACCCAAGCGTTGGACACCACCACTATGGTTCGGGTCAGGGATGGAGAGGCAACCTCGCACCTGTTGCGGATCCCGGTGAGCTGGCTAGCTGATGACACGAAAGGATTCGCATGTGAGTCGGATGTGACCCTTGTCAGACTGCCCCCAGTACCCGAAAACCATATAAATGTTGCAATGGTTGGGGATTCCAACGGGATGGTCTGCTTCAGTCCAGGCGTCATATTGTGTCTGACCCTCCCTTACCTACTGCAGACACACAACTTTGCCGATCCATCTGCCCATAAATCTGAAATTCCACCGAGGAGACTCAGTTTGTCTTCTCCCGACCATCTTGCCAGTGACAGCACCATTCGGCTGGAACCAAGCCGCGACATCGACATGCATCGTCTGTTGAGATTTTCCCCCTTCAAGAAAGCTCGAGAGCCGGGAAATCACGCCGCCAAAGACTCTCCTACCGATTCTGGCTCTGGTGAGACCAACAGGGCCATGACTAATGGCACAGACTCACACGGCCCCGCTCACAGCCGGACGAACGGTGTCACCCCAATGTCAAATATCGATGTGTCAGTTCCGATCAAGCCCCTGCCACTGACATCGATAATTCAATGACTGACTTGGCGGTAGGCTCATTATTGGAGCAGGGCCAGCAGGGTAAGCTGACACATATGCGGACAGACCAACGTGCTCGCTGACATCGGCAATTGCCAAAGTCTAATGGCTGCTGCTTGGATGGCCCACTGCGGTATCAAGACACGCATTGTTGACAAGAGGAACGCGAAGATCTTCTCGGGGCAGGCAGACGGGCTCCAGTGCCGCAGTCTGGAGATCTTTGACAGCCTTGGCTTCGGCGACCGGGCATGGAAAGAAGCCAACCATATGATTGAGGTACGACACCGAACCGCCCCGTGTGTGGCGTGTGTTCTTTACTGATTTCGGAACAGATCTGCATGTGGGTAAGTGTCGATGAGCGGGCCGGTATCCTTTTGCCGAGATGAACACCCGGGGCAGTGTTGATAGTGTTCGGACTACAGAATCCTGGGCAAGATGGGGTTATCCGACGCTCCGATCGGATTCCACACTATTGTGGGGCTGTCTCGGTTCCAGCAGATTGTGCTACACCAAGGCCGCATTGAACGCTTCTTCCTCGACAACATCAAGAAGTACTCGAACGACAGTACCAAGGTTGAGCGCGGTGTTCTGCCTGCATCCCTGAGTATAGACGAGTCAGTTGTCGACCCGGGAGGATGCCTACCCCGTGACAGTAGAGCTTCAGCACCTCTCCGAAGAGGAGTCTACGCCAAAGCAGCAGATCAGCGGGAGCAAGGTCGCAGACGGGCTGTTTCGCAGCAGCCTCAACCATGAAGATGACGAAGAAGATCTTATCTCCCATGGTTCTCGGGCCGGGGAAAGAGAAATTGTGCAGGCTAAGTACGTGATTGGGTGTGACGGGGCCCGGAGCTGGACTCGAAGACAACTTGGGTTTGAGCTCCAGGGCGAGGCGACGGACTTCATCTGGGGGGTCATGGACATTATCCCCATAACTGACTTTCGTGGGTAACCAAAAGCTCCCTCATCTGTGTCCGGGTCACTGACGGCCATACAGCTGATATTCGCATGCGATGTGCAATCCACTCTGCTGAAAATGGCAGCCTGATGGTGATCCCGAGAGAGAACAGGCTGGTGCGACTCTACATCCAGCTGAAGGAGGTCGCACCAGATGCCTCGGGGCGGGCGGACCGCTCGAAAATCACCCCGGAGCTGATTTTCGACGCCGCGAAAAAGATCCTCCAGCCGTACAAGCTTGACTACGAGTACTGTGACTGGTGGACCGCATACCAGATCGGCCAGCGCGTGGGAACCGACTTCTCATCGCAGAACCGCATCTTCCTGGCTGGAGATGCGGTCCATACGCACTCTCCCAAGGCCGGCCAAGGAATGAATGTGTCCATGCAAGACACGTTCAACCTCGGCTGGAAGATCGCCCTTGTTCTGAAGGGCGTCGCCGACCCGAAGATCCTCTCCACCTACGCGGACGAGCGGCGACAGGTGGCTCAAGACTTGATTGATTTCGACCACCGCTTCAGCCGTCTCTTCTCGGGAAGGCCTGCAAAGGACGTGATGGACGCCGAAGGAGTGTCCATGGAGGAATTCAAGGACGCCTTCCTCAAGGGGAACATGTTTGCCAGTGGCTTGTCCGTGAAGTACGGCGCCAGCGATCTCGTAGCCAGCAATGCATCGAACCAATCCCTAGCGACCGGTCTCCCAGTTGGAATGCGTTTCAACAGTTTCAAGGTTTTGAACCAGGCTGACGCTCGACCTTGGCACTTCCAGGAGCGGCTCAAGGCGGATGGTCGCTTTCGGGTTGTCCTGTTTGCCGGCGATATTCTCGAACCTGGGCAAAGGTTGCGCGTCGACAATTTCTGTGCGCGACTGGACTCTGAGGAGAGCTTCATCCGACGGGGGAAATCGCCTGACGCGGAAGTCGACGGCGTTGTCGAGGTGCTCACGATACACTCGTCGAAGCGCACCGACACGGAACTACTGAGAGACTTTCCTGAAATACTCCACCCTTTCAACAAGTCCACGGGCTGGAACTATGACAAGGTCTTTGTTGATGATGAGAGTTACCATGAAGGATTTGGTGATGCGTACAAGAATTATGGCGTCGACAAGGAGCGCGGCTGTGTTGTCGTTGTGCGGCCTGACCAATATGTCGCTTGGGTAGGTGATGTGGATGACTTCGATGGCCTACAGCAATACTTTCAAGGCTGCCTTCGACTCAACATTAGCGAGACGTCGAAGGTCGAGCGGGACTGAACATTTAGACACTAGTCCATTCGAGGAGAGTGTAGTCGATGCGATCTTCCTGGTTATCTAGGTATATACGTGAAATGAATTGTAGCCTCAAAGATGAAAATTACTCGGATAATCGAAAACCAGTAGCTAGCTGCATGACACAATTCTACTCTATTCTCTACTCAGCCATTGCTTTCCACGACATGGCCTTGCGCTACCTCCAAAGAGTCAAGCAACAGATCAGAAACAAGGGCTTGTATTTCCAGCTACTTAGCCCCAGCCCTCACCAAGTCGCCGAACCTGGACTCCGTCTCTCCAGCCAGTTCCATGGGATTGCCAACCTCCACGACCTCCCCAGTATCCATGACAACAACCCTATCGAAATCCATAATCATATCTAGTCTATGGCTGACTGCGATAATCGTGTAATCCTTGAACTCCTTCTTGATGATGTCCTGCATGAGACGTTCAGTCTCATGGTCCACGCTGGAGCTGACCTCATCCAGCAGTAATAGACCACCCTCGGAGCCACCGCCGCCCATGCCCAGGTTCCTCGCTCTTGTTCGACGTCTTAGTAGTGCACGTCCTAGCGACATCAGCTGTCGCTGCCCGGCGCTGAGAGTGCTCGCGCTCATGCCTGTGTCTAGTCCGCCCCGGCCCTGGACAAACTCCCACAGGTCCACCGCTGCGAGCACGACCTGGCATTCCTCGGCCGAGGAAATTTCAGACGGATCCAGGTTGGCCCGAAAGGTCGAGCCATCGGGAAGGAACACAGCTTCCTGGGGAACTGCGATTATGCGTTGGCGTAACGCGGACCGATTCACGCATCGAAGCGGCGTGCCGTCGATCACCAAGGCCGCATCTGTTTCTGGGGTTGGATCGAGGAGCTTGAGCAGCAATGCGATCAGGCTGGACTTGCCGCTGCCTGTACGACCACATATGGCCACCTTTTCGCTCGAGCTGATTTTCAGGTGAACATCGCGGAGGGCTAAGTTGGGTTTCCCATCGGCCTGGTCTTCCACACTATCCGCACAGTCAGCACATGATCACCGTGTATATCAAGAATCCAGAGAAGCCAATAATTCCTTACTCATAGGCGGCAGACACCCCCCTCAGCTCCACCTCACCCGTCAGAGGCCACTGCTCAGGAGGGATGATGTCCTCTTCCCCTCTGTCCTCGGGCTTAACATCGTCGCTGAATGTCTTGAGTCTGGCAATGGCTCCAATAGACGTCTCTAGTTGAGTATAAAATATGACGATGCCAGAGAGATTCTCACCAAAACTCATGAGGGAGACCAGGGAAGCACCGGCGAACCCAGAGTTTGAGTGAAGCCGAACAGCGAGGGTCGTCAGAACCGCTGCCATCACCATAACCACGAGGTCAAGAACAAGGTTCAGCCAAGATTGAATCATAAGGAGGAGATATGCCGGCCGTTGACTTGTATTGATCAAGTGAACATTTTTCTGCATGTCGTCTTGAATAAAACCTGCATTTATCTCGTCAGCAGATCTGTGTTTATCAGTGGTGTGACAGAGCATTATAGCCTGTCATATCTGACATGCTGTTCGACAGCCAGCAATTCAGCCCTCACTTACCAAAGGCTCGTAACGTGGTAATGCCTTTGAGTGTGTCGAGAAAATGCGTACTGTACGGATAGGGATTAGTATACAATACAAGGGTACACTTGTCGCCGAAATTCTGACGGCAACATGTATGGTCGACTTACTATAGGGGACTCTTTGCCTCAAGATCTAGTAATCTCATCTGTCTAGAGGTTCTCAAATAGAATCTTTGCACAACATATAGCAAGACAGCGAGGAATGGGTAGCTTATTGCAAAGAACCCAGAAGAGGTAAGCATGACTGCTGCCTGTCCGATTGCTTGGAAGACCTGGAAGAAATCGGTTAGGGTAATTCAAGATGATATTCCGATATACATTCTGGTCCTTCTCTACTTGAGCTGACCCGCGGGAAGACGTCTCTGGCGAAAAAGGTCGCTGCAGGCTTCTCATGGATGTGTAAACATGGTCGACTTACACAAAACAGCGTGTTCAGCAGCGCGTTGGGCAACTCTGTATCTACAAGATTCAAGTCTTGTGAAAAGAGGTTTGTGACTATTCCGGTGTCCGTTTTCGTGAAAAAGCCTAACGGTGCTTGGATGAGCGTCCGCAAAGCAGTCTGGTGGAGATTGGCACCTGCTCTCTTCACGGAAACAATGTCGAGCGCGATGCCAAGCAGAAGCAGCGATATCATGGCGCAGACTTGGAGTAGACCGTATATCCCAGCATAGTAGGCGTAAGAGTGGGCTGGGTGATCCGAGTAGACATCATCAGACCAGTACTTGAGCCCTGCACCATCAACGTTAGCTGAAGATACTGGAAAAGGCCGAACTGATGAACGACGTTGATCAGTTGGTTGCATGTCACTTTGACTCACAGATGGTCGGGAAGTTCGTGAAGAAGCCCCACAAAGCAGCGAAAAACAGGCTGAAAGCTGCCAGAAAGATGCCCATGCTCTTGAAATAATGCTTGTACACCGTCTTGTCGCCCGCTCGTCGCGATTCATCCGTATCCCGCTCCCCTATGGATGTCTTGGTCACCGACATCTGAAGTAGTGGTGACTCTGACTCGCCAAGGGATGCCTTCGAGTCCGGCTCCTGAGACGAAGCATCGCTGTCCGAGGCGCTCTTTAGCCCCAGACGCTGGACGTACCCTTGACCGCGCATCAGATCCTCGAAGCTACCTTGTTCGACGATGGTGCCGTTTCCGAGTGCTATGATATGGTCCGACGCGGCTAGGTGCCTGATACTGTGGGTGCATAACACGACAGTAGATTTGCGTCTGCTGAGCAGCCCGTCTGCCCCAAAGGTTTGACGGAATACTCGCTCTTCGGTGTCGGCATCCAGGCCGCTGAAGACATCATCTAAGACCAACAGGTCCGACTGCAAGTAGAGAGCCCGTGCCAGAGACACGCGTTGTTTCTGCCCACCGGACAGGGTAATTCCATCAGACCCGACGTTTGTCCTGTCACCCTGAGGGAGTGTGGCAAGGTCAAAGGCCAATGCTGTGGCCTCGATGACTTCGGCGTATCTGTCGTTGTCAAATGGAGAGAACCCGATGATATTGTCTCTGATCGATGCATTCGATAAGAATGCTGTTTGATCGCAGAACCCGACGTGTGGAAACCTGGTGCTCAAGGTCACGCTTCCTTGGCTGAAAGGGATCTCACCAAGGAGCGCCTTGCAAAGTGTGGATTTTCCTGACCCAACCGGGCCGATGACAATCGTGAGTGAGGATTTCGGTACCTCGGTGTTGATGCGCCGCAAGGTGAACTTGTCAGCCTCCCAGCCAAAGCTGCCGTTGTTGATGACGATTGGGTGCGCCGAGTCGGAGTCTGAGCCAGAAGCAGCTGCGGAGTCCGCTGCAGACTTCTCGGAGTTCAGTCTCATATCGGCAAGAGCTTGGCGAAAGTCATGGCGATCGTCGCACTCCAGGAAGGCCTGGATGCGGCCCAAACAAGCCAGCCCAGCGAGCAGCTGGGGCACAGATTGGAAGACCTGAGACAGCGGGTTGGTCAAGAGCAAGAGGTAAGAGAGACTTGTAAACATCGTCGATGCGTCCAGGGTTTTTTGAGCAAAAGCAAAGGTCAACGGCGGGCTGATCAACAGCGGTGTAAAACCAAACAGGGCCGCAATGATGGCAATCTTGAGAAATCGTGCTCCTGCTGCCAGCTCCTCCACGCGCAGCTTCTGTACGAAGTCCCTGACGGCATCTGAGAGACCCGAGATCTTGACGTTCTTCATGCTCGCGATCACGGTGGCGGTCAAGCCCACACGCTTCTGCACGCTTGCCATCCAGGCCTTTTGCGAGTCGCCAGTGAAGTTCACAAGGACTGCCAGGCCGCCAAAGCAGACCACAACGACCCCCATTGGCACAACGAAGACAACACCGAGCCGGATGTACAGCATCCATGCGGCAAGACCGGCTTGGATGATGCTGGCCCAAATGTCGTGCAGAGACCTGAATCCCATCTTGATTCGCTCCATGTCCGTACTCATCAGCGTGAGTGCAGCGCTGTCGTCTGCAGTCCCAATTCGAGCTTGTGTGGCCTTGATGAAGATCTCGGTGACTAGTATCGATCTCGCCATAGTACGCATACGGTGGTGAAAGTACCTGTGATTATTTGTTAGTGGTTGACGTGCTCCACAGTTGCCTGATGGGTGGTACTATACGAGTACAGAGCCATAGAGATGGCGATTCCGGAGTAAATCAGTATGCTGGCGCCTATGAAACCGTAGCCAACGTTCGCCTCGACACGCGGCTGAGAAAGGTGATCAAGAAGCTTCTCAATGAAAAAGGGCTGGCAGAAGGTGAAGCCAAGCAGGGCCAGGCGAGGAGGTACTGGAAGCAGCAGAGGGACTTTCAGCGTGCGCACCAGCACCTTCGCCAGGCCAAACTTGTCACCCTTTAGCTTAGAGTAATCTATATTCTTGGAGAACTCATCGTGCAGAGTCTTGCCGTTCAAGGTGCTGTCAAGGGGGTAAAGGTCCTTGATGGTCAGAATCTTTCTGTAGCCCTCGAGGAACAGTTTGTTGAGCCATGAGAAAATTCCAAGAGAGAATATGCCGCTCGTCTCCTCCGGGCTGTGTTCCTTCCCATCCCACCTCACCCACCGAGACTTTCGCTGGGCCTCCAGCAGCAAAATCCCTGCCTTGAGAGCCATTGCAGCGCAAAAGATGCTGCTGTAGGTCACCTCTGGCTTCTGGTCTGATGACAGGAAGAGAGTCCTTGCCTGGGCAGCGTCGAGGAGGAGTGTCAGGAACAAGTAGCTGCCCAACAGCACGGACGGTCTTGGGCTTTTGCTGTGGTCAACAACGCTGAGAGTTATCATGAACAAGGCGGAGACAAGCTTGAGGACTGATGAGGCTATGAAAATGCTTGTGACATGGAAGGACTCGACCGCAACCAAGATGAGGAGGGAAAGTTCGAGGCCGACGTAAGTTGTAATCGTGCACTGTGGCATTTGTATCAGCACATGCGATGCACTAAATTGCATCTCATGAGGAGGAAGGTACCAATTTGACCAGCTGGAAGACTGGGGCGTCCACGACGGTGGGCTTCCGTGCCTGGGAGACCGTCCGCCACAGTGAGGTGGCGATGAACAACACAGACGGAATGATTGAAAAAAACAGTTGCTCGAACTGGACATTGAAGTCGAAGCTCTCCTGGTTGAGCTGGAACAACCCTCCATCCCCAGTAGAGAAAGGCATTCTGAGCGCCCACAGGAGGTGATGGCTCCCAGTCTTCACTCGCTAGCTTGCTGAAAAGTGCCACTGGGGTGCTTGGCCAGGCCGTCTGAGACCAAGTCTACACGGTCAGATACTCCACTCAAGGGGACCACGGCCAGAGCTTGTCAAGTCATTGGGTATCGTATCTATAAGAGAACCTGATCCGTGAAGTTGAGCGTCTGTTGCAGAGGATTCAAGTTGTCCTCCAGGCGGCTACGATCTAATGAGTGGCTAGGATCATTGCGTGCTGCTGACGCGGCTAGACCGAACTCCGAACTCCATACATACCAGGGAGCGGCTTATCAAGCCGGTGTGTTAGACCATTTACAGCCAACCTCCTTGATGCCATTCGCCGCCCATCCAGGGAAGTCCCCACTTTAGTCGGGTAAGCTCTGCATGATACGGAATCGCGCTAGCACTGATACAGTATCACACCAGATCGCTGTGCCGCGAACGCGCTTGGTGAGCTAAACATTATCGAAGGTGAGTGGGACCGCTCTGCTCTCGTGTAAATCCTACGGCCCAGACCAAGCGGTGAAAACCTCCCCGCCCGGCTGCAGTAATTTTGCAGGCTCGGGTCAGCTACTCATTTGCGACCAACGTCATATTACGCCTATCAACAAACCCAAAAGAGGTTGGACCATATTCATCACAACGACTCCAGCTTCCCGTGGCCTGCGGGTGATCTGGCACTCAATGAGAAGCAGCAGGGTGTCTATGCTAGACTACTAGATTGGACGGTCACAAACCCTCTCATGAGTGACCATTGGTGGAATCATTTCACCAGCGACGATGCTGCAGCTCTTTCGCGAGACTGAAGCAACGCTGGGGAGAGGGTCACAACTCAAACATTCCTGACCTAACTCATGAGTTATGGACCTCAAGACCCGTGGGTATCACTCTGGATGCACTGCATTGCGCCCACCAACACATTGTCTCAACAACGAATGCCAGGATCGTATTCTATTCTACTAGGCGCATCTATTATTATGCCTTTAGGGTTAGTTGACATTAGAGCACACTGGGCTCGTGTCTCAAGGTGTGCCAATTTAGGAGAGTGTGTGATGCGAAGCAAGTCCACTTATTCCTTTTTTTTTTCTGAACTGGGACGCAGCTTGGTGAACACACATTCTAGCTTCCCGGGCTTGACGATGAGTTGATTCTTGCACCCACTCAAAAAGGAGGATCCATCCTCTCCGGGCGGGAATCCGAAGTCGTAGAGCGATATCGTATATGAGAGCACAAGCTTCGCCACCATCAGTGCCAAGCTCTTGCCAACACAGCTAAATGGACCTGGAGTATCACCGATCAGCAATGTAGTCGTGACCAATGTTCATGGGATGCACCGATTCGGAAGGGCTGTCCAAGTGTGTACCGCTTACCTTTAAGGAATGGGTGGTATGCCCGCTTGTCCAAAATCAGGTCCGGTTGAGTTGTCCATCGCTCCGGTTTCCATTCATCAGGATACACAAAGTACTTCGGGCCTAAGATGAATGGTGAGCACGACAGCCTCCAACCATCCGAGCAATGCTACTCACTTCTTTGGATGCTGTGGATGCCGACATAGACCACAACATCCTTCGGGAGGATCCAACCATCGATAGGAGTATCCTCCGTCGTCATCCGTGGCCCGTTGTTACACGCTGGGCTGTGCATTCTCAACGTCTCAGAAATCACCGAGTCTAAGCAGGGCAAAGAGCTTAGGTCCTTGTAAGCAAACTCTTCAGGGCCGGACTTCCCGAGAACGGGTGCCAGCTCCTCTCTAAGCTGATTCCGCATGGCTTGGCTTTTGGCTAGGTAATAGAAGCAATGGGTCAAAAGCGCAGACAGGGTACCAGTGCCGCCAACCATGACAGCCTGGGCATCGGCATAGACGGTGTGGCGGTCGTGAAATGCTTTGGGTTCATCAGATCGAAAATCATCGAGGAAGTACTTCATGATATCCTTGAGGTCGTTGGAGTTGTTCTGGATTCGTCAGTTGTCTGCAGATCCACAAGCGCAGCTTGTCTGAGAAGCATACTTCTCTTGTAAGGCACATCTCGTACGTAACCGAATTGAATTGGCCCTCTTCTTTCAGTAGTCTTAGTTTCCTCATGAGCGACCATGGCCAGGCGCTGTGCGCTGACGCCGCCATCCTGGCGAAGGGGACCTCTATCAGATGGATCAAGCGGTTCTTAGTCCCCAGCTCGACAGCCCCAGAATCCACAGAGAATCCGGTTCTAGTCATATTGTCGAAAGGTAAAAGGCTCATGTACAGAGACAAATCTACTGGATCCTGTCTGACAGCTGCAGCTGACACTTTGTCCAGCCAGCCTTGTGTTGATTTCCGGGCGTTCAGCTCGTAGAGGTCCATATTTCTGTTGCTCAGGGCAAGGTTCCATACTTTTCTTCGGGCGCGATGCTCTCTTCTGTCATGCATAGAATCAAGGTCATGTACACCATGGAATTGCATGTAATCGTAAAATGTGTACTGTTTCGTCGTCGTTGAGCGAGGCCCGTGAATTATATCAATGGCGCTCACTGAGGTGATAAGAACCTCATTCGGGGCTTCCAATTCTCAGCAGCTGGACGACATGGAATAGCAATGGCACTGAAGTGATCTGTCGTACTGACCGATTCGCAACATTGGTCCGTATTTCCTCGCCCATTCTGTTTGTAGCTCGTGAAGCTTCCCTCGACGTGCGATGACCATGGTTGGAATCTTCGTAATCCTCGCCCAGAAAGGGCCCGGTATCCGACGGAGGGGATGGAATATAACACGATAGAGGACCATGCTCATGACCAAACCCAGATGAAACGATACCCAGATTCGAAACGAATCCGTAAGAGAAAGGATGGTCAGACCATGGGTCACTGTGACGGCGATCAAGATTGCTGGAAAGAGCAGTAGGTGTGCAGTAACGATTTCCACGCTCTTGGGCTCATGGTGCCCCTTTATGTAGTACAACAGGTGCAAAGAGACACCAAAAAGTGCAGCGAAGAGCGATTCTCGCCAATGGGGTAATGGCGGCGACCCGAAAGAGTTCGGTAGAGTGAGCATGGTGGATGCGGGCTGGGCTTACCGGCGTAGGACGAGAGTTATGTAGAAAAGAAAATTGGGGGGCTTCGTTACACGTAGATAGTTCCTCAAGGTAGCAAGAGAGTGGATCATGTCGGATGGCTTGGAATGGAGGTCTTGAGGCGATTCTGAGGTGGTAGAGGCGTTTTGCTTGAGGTATGCCAGCTTAGTCCAATTGCTGACTGTTTCGTTGGGAGTCGCGACCAGTTGACATGCTTGGGGTGCGCATTGAGCAAGAGACTCAGGTATTTGCGATGGGAACCAGTGGGAACATGGTCCTCCAGGATCCAGCAGCAATTTCCTCGCATGCCAACGCTCCTTCCCATGATCCCAACATGACAATGTTGTTGCAGGCCCCCACCGACGATTTACATGGGTAAGGAGCAACGATACTGGCAATGATTATCGTTTCACCCTTCCCGTTCAGTCGGATGATCAGAAAACAGAAAGAACGTATCCATTTACAGTTTGCTGGTCGCATAAGTGGGTTTCCCCATCATGCACGCCTACACACTCGGTGGATGGGGGAGATATTGGATGCATGGCTATCAAGGTACTTAGATCTATTCCTTGAAAAGTTTACAAGCCTCGCAAGCACCTTTCCTACACCCCCACTGGAAAGTGCCCGAGTCGTGGCAACTCTCATGCATCGCAACACATCACTGTGACACAAATTGCGAGCTGCCATGCAATTCAGAAGTCGGCAGCTCACACAGGACAGATACGGCATACCTCAGACGAGCCAACCGTCATTAACCCCTGTGGCTTGAGGCACCCGTGTACGCCGCCTCGACCTCTTCGGCGTCGGTCTTGAAGACACAGTCAACGGGGCGGATTCCGGAGCTTCGCTCCGCGTCTGTCAAAACGACAACTTTGTCACCGAAAGCTGCCGCGATCTCTTCCAGGGTCTTTCGTCTTGTCTCGCTGTAAAAGTTTCTGGTTTAGTTTCGACTTCATTCTGTACTCTTTCGAAATATACGTCAGGGGTTGCTTACGGGAAGTAGAGATAAGCGACGATGAGGAAGAAAAGGCTGCAGCCGACAAAAACGTAGTAATAGTTCTCCTTGATATTGGCAAAGGCGCTGGGTCCTGCCTCGGTGACTGCAAAGTGTTGATGCATTGATTAGTGGCCTGTATAGCTCAGCCCATCATGATCAATCGTGCAGTGTTGCAACTTACTCCCCACATTCACGACAAAGTGAGACGCTGCAGCAAGTCCCATGACCTTGCTTCGCAACGCAATAGGCAGGATCTCGGCTCCATATAGCCATGTAGTGCTGTTCAGCATGCCGTCTGAATAACATGTCAGCCTGTCGTACGGCGATGGAAGCGTTGGGTCCCGCAAGTCATCGTGCTTCAACAAGGGTAACCCACAGTAGACAACAACAAACAGGTAGATGCCAAGGACGGCAAAGCCTTTGCCAACTCTGTTGTCCGTGTTCTGGAACTCTCTTTGCATCACGGCCGCATATATCTCAACAATTATAATACCGCTCAAGCCGGCCAGTATCATTCTACCAATGGTCAGTTCACCAGAATTCTCCGGGACCAAGGCGTATAAACACACTTTCTTCGACCCCACTGGTCCGTCAGGAACAGGGTCGTAAGGAGGTTGGACGTAAAGGCAATGGTTCCGTAAACACCTGCCAAGGCAAGAATGGAAGTTGACCCGATCCCTAAGGATTTATAAAGAATCGCTAAGACACCAGTCAGCGCATTTGCTCCGGAGCCAATATCCATGCATGCATACTCTGATAATACTGGAACCAGGACACAAGGTCAGCTTCTTCTTTTTACAAAAGTAAGCAAATAAAACATGGAGACCCTAACCTGAATAACATTAACCCCAGTTAGACTTGTCATTGTCTGAACGGCAATGGATCTTGATCGTGGTCAGTGTTAGATCGGACCACCACAGGACTTGGCAGAACTTACGCCAAGGCACGATGCCTAAAGAGCCTGAATATCTCCTTGTATGACTTGATCTCCCTCTCCATTTCGAATTCAATCTGAGAGCGCATGAGCAAAAACTCGTCCTGGACCTCGTGAGGGTGAAGGTCACGCCGGATCTTGACGAATTCCTGCCGTGCTTCGTCGACCTTTCCATTCCGGATCAGTTGGCGTGGTGAATTCGGCATGAAGGTTGCCAGGCCAATGAAGAGAATCACTCCCCATGGTATCTGAATACCAAGCGGAAGACGCCATTGTACGGGCCCGTAAGGGGCGTAGCCACAGGCCATACCGACCCAGTTCGACATCATGGTACCGAAGCTGATCCCACAACCTGATATACCTCCGATCAGGCCGCGTTTCGTAGGTGGCGAAATCTCGCTAAGATAAATGGGGACCGTCCCCACGAGGCCTCTAAGGCTTGTGTCAGCATCATCACAGACCGCATACCCAGGGTTATCCAAAGAGTTTCAAGGAGGGCAACTTACCCGACGGCGAATCCTGCAATGGCTCGGCCGGCCAAGAACATGCCGATATTCACAGAGGCAGTCTGGATGACAGTCCCTATAGTCACGACGACGCACATGAGCTCCATGAAACGGACGCGACCAAGTTTGTCAGCTATGGCTGTCTGTGTGAGAGCACCGACAGCTTCTCCAGCGATGTAGACAGCAACCACCTGCGATATGTCGTCAGTTCGGATTCAACAGACCGGAGACTCCTTGGGAGAGGGGCTAGCAATACCGCGCCGGTCAAGGCATTGGATGGATGGTGCATGTATTCTATCCAACTCTGATGGGCGATAGCTGCAAGATGAGTCAATTCGAGGGATCAACCAATCGATACTTTTGTCCTTACTCGTCGTTGCTATGCCGGTATCAAAGCCCTTGGAATGTGAGATTTCATCCTTCAGGTGACATATTATAGGGGTGACGAACAAACAGAAATGTGCCAATGGCGGCGAAGATGGCGATGCCCAAGGTGTAAAGGTTCGCCATGATATCTTCTTAATAAGTATACCTACCTAGGGAGGACAAGAAGACATGAGTGTGATTTGCAGGCGTTGACAATGGATGAGAACTCCCCTCGGGCATTCTTTGCGGGGAGCCGCTCGGTGGCATGTATCGTCCGATTTCGCTGCAGTCCATACGCTCGGTATTACGACCACGGGCACAGCAACGCTCTAGTCCCGTTGGGGATTGATCGACGCGTTGGCGGGTTTCCCATGTTTGGGGAACAACATCCCCAAGAGCTGCTTGTGACACGGCTGGCCGACGACCCCCACTTCACTACCAACACCGCATGTGGTTCCTCCCGTGAGCGGGGGCCGGGGAATCAACTCGCGAAAGGAGGCAGGGAGAGGTGCAGGCTACCAGCATAAAAATGGGGACCGGAGGTAGGCCGTGGTATTTCGCTCACTGAATAACACTCGAGCGGGTGTGTTTTGGACGTGGCCGTGGACGAGGCTCTGTGAGTTGCATGTGTAATTATACCGAGCTCCCAGCTCGTATCTCCTTCATGTTGTTGTTGCAATACTACGTGCATAAGCGAAGTGCAGGTGCTCGTTATTTCGCCCATTACTTTGGTTCAGCTGGTATTGATACCCTCGTGCCTGGTGGACAGTCTCATCTGCTCTCTATTTCCGACCAAGTCGGCAGGGGGAACGGCTGATGGACCTGGTCTGCCCAACTGAGCAAGCCACAGAACTTGTCTCGAGGATGGAAACTGCCCGCCGCTGAACACTACCCTGCAAGTCCCAAGGCAGATGTACAACCCCCCGGTAGGGCATTACACACTCCCAACAATGCCCAGTGGAGGCTTGGTCTCCAACATCTCGAGCCGGGTTAGTAAACGTCGGCGGAATGGACATAGTCGACGAGTTTCCTAATATCGCTGTGGCTGGCCTTGCAGCATCCTCCCACCAGGATGGTCCGCCACTTCTGGCGCTTAGCCGTGTCGAGCACAGTCTCTCCCAAGTGCTGCTCCCACGGTATCTGTGCCATGTCAGAAACAGAAGCTCCAGGTCGAGACAGCACAGAGAGGGTCTGCTAGGTTGGTCTTTACCTTTTGTTCCACCTGGCCGGCGGGAGCCTCCCATTTCTGCGTTGTGGTATTGTACACCTCTCCATTGGTCCCGTCGGGACAGCACCAGCGCCGGCCACGCGACGAGCCGTCCTTGCTGGATCATCTTTGAGACCGCATCCTCATATTTACCAATCAGGCCCGCAAGCTTGTGCATCTTTGTGCAGTTGATGCCTATGCCCCAGGGCTGAGCTTTGGCGTTGTCGTGAGAAAGCATGGCATCCACGACCTGCTCGACGCTGCTGCCGTCGGGGAACCCGTCGCCCTCGCCGGGGAAGACGCATGCTATCCAGAGTGGCTTCGAAGCAAAGCCAGCAACTGCTTTCCTGACGGCGGCGATCTCGTCGAGCCTTGGGATAGTCTCACACGCAATGTATGCAATCTTATCCAGGAGCTGGTCGTCGCCAAAAAGAGACAGTCGCTGGGCCCACCATCCGAGCAGCCGTGCCTCGTCGTCATGTTGGTCGTCGTACGCCCCACTGTATTCCTGTCCAGGAACCATGGTGGAACCGTAGGGCCCGAGACTCAGGGCCAGCTTTGCATCCGGCTTCCCCCTGGCCTGGTCGGCGATCTCTACTGCGTGCTTGAGGAAGCCGGGGATGCTGGCCTCGTCGATGCCCTTCGGCCATTTCTCCGTCGTGGTGGCTGCAAAGCCAGCGATGGAGACTTGGTAGGTGGCTGTCTCGATCACATCCACTGGCACCTGGCCGAAATCCCTCTGGCAGGCGAGCAGCGTCTGCGGGTCGCTCACGATAGGATGCGAAGACCACAGTGGCGTGGTTTTGCTGGAGAATTTTACGCCATATTTATCCTCGAGGGACGTCCCGAGACCTCCGTCCAGGAAGAGAACGGGAGTGCTCGGTGGCATTTTTGCGGGCGATGACTTGATTGCAGTGCGTCTCGCGTGCCAAGTCAGAAGTCCGAGGCAGGAATTTTCAAGCCCGCCCGGTGGATCCGCCGCCCCGCGCCCCGATCGGATTGGGGCCTCGGTTCCGGCGCCGGATCACAGTGCGCGCTGGGCGGGCGACCTCCGACGATTAGACTACCAGATGGAACTCATTGAGGTATTCTAATGATCTTTCTGGCACGAGGCATCCATGGCCTGGCCAGGCTGGCACCATTGTTCCCATAGCTGCCAGTGAGGATGCCTGGATGTTCGATGCCTAGCGGTCTGCAGTCCTACGGCCCAGATCGGCGACATCCCAGACGCCTCAGCCCCGACTGAGCTTGCTTGGGCCCGCTGAAAGAGGATGGCACAACGTGGCTCAGGCTCTATGTTTGGGGGTTACGATCCGGGGTCCGGATCCTGTGAGAGCAGCTCTGGCTGTCGTCAATGGTCGCCAGTGGCTGACACTCGCCAACATGACGACACGTCAATCCTTCTGGTAGCTTGGCTTGCTGTCACACACCGACACGTGGTGCTCCACCTGAGACTGATATCGGGCCCACGACCTCCAGGCAGTGGGCTGAGGTCTTCACAAAAGGTCGAACAGCTATCTAACAACCACCTCCGATGTCCTGTGGTACAACAAAATCTTGACTCTCTTGTGCGAGCCTGTCAACATTTGAACTACGTCTTCTTGCGTGCATAAGTACCACTCTGGCCGTGGTAACCGTCAAAAAGTCGTCAAGGACCCCCCCCCCCAAGCCATCATTAAGATGCAGCTCATAGCGACCACGTGTTTAAGCCGTCATCCGGTGGCAGTCTTCGTCCTCTGCCTCCTCCAGGCAGCGACCGGACTGACATTGCCAACATCCACGCCGAATTCAACCACAACATCACCAGAATGGTCCCATCTACTTGAGGTGGCGCGGTTGGTCGTGTCGCGATGGCTGAATGAGACTACAGCCATAATTGCCATCGGGGCGATCGTGGGACTAGCCGCCGCCTCTTTTGCTGTTTTCGGGCTCGACTGGAAGGACTACAATCACGGTCCCCCAGACCGACTCGTAATCGACGAAAGAGAGCTCGGATGCCAGGAATCGATGAAGCATACCGGCGTATGACGGCCTTTGACTTGAAACACAGTTCAAGCTCGCTGCTTCGAAGGCTACTTACAAAACCACTCACTCGCGAGGCCCGCCCTGAGTCGCGTCTCGGCCATTGCGTTCCACCGCATCTGAGTGGTGGATTGGGATCGAGGATGATGTTCCCAGCTCAACACAAGATAATCATTTGTCCGAGCCCTTGTCTCTTTGGGGCCCGTATATCGATGCACCCAGTACCAATCATAGATGAATATGGAGGTCAGCTTCAACCAGACACTGGAGAAGTGGAATGAGAGCAGCGAGCTACCCATTCATCTGTTCACAAAATAAACCGCTGTGCCAAACATGACCCTGAGTGGGCCAGGGCAAAAGATAAGGGGGAATTAGCGCTCGACAGGAGCTACCCCAGAAGATGGCGAAGCCCTATCAGGAGCCAGACTGTCAGGTACAGTGGGTGGACAAAAGTTCCGCCACACTCACCAGAACCCAGAGTTGTGACAGTATCTGTGTATTTTGTATCTAAAAATACAAAATACATAAATACATGTATCTGTATCTGTATTTAAATACTGTATCTATATTTGTATTTGTATTTATATAGGCCTTGTATTTTGTATCTGTATCCAGAGTTGTGACAGTATCTGTGTATTTTGTATCTAAAAATACAAAATACATAAATACATGTATCTGTATCTGTATTTAAATATTGTATCTATATTTGTATTTGTATTTATATAGGCCTTGTATTTTGTATTTGTATTTGTATTTGTATTTGTATTTTTAAAATTTTAAATCTATATTTTGTATTTAAAATACAAAATATAAATATAAATACAAGTTATATAATATTTAATTTAAATTTTATTATTTTAAAAAAGAAAGAAATTTTAATTAAATTCTATTTAATTTAAGCATTTTAAATATATTTTTATTTTATTTATATTTAAATTTATTAAAAAGCTATAAATACTTTATATTTAAAGGGAAAAAAACTTAAATAAAATAAGACTTAAATAAGAAGATAAGCTTTTTTTTTAAAAAAAGTACTTTTATATTATATATAATAGCTTTTTAAAAAAAAAGATATAAAATTAAAAAAAATATATTTAAATAGCTAATTTTAAGCTTATTTTAAAAGAATTTATACTAGATTTAATTAATTAATATTTATATATAATGTATTTTGTATTTATATTTTGTATTTATGTATTTAAATATATGTATTTGTATTTATATTTGTATTTTTGTATTTGTATCTGTATTTTGTATTTTTAAAATTTTATATATTTGTATTTATATCTATATTTTTAAAATTTTATGTATCTGTATCTGTATCTGTATTTTGTATTTTGTATTTTTTGTATTTTCACAACTCTACCAGAACCCCACACAAAATATCAGTTTTTAAACTATTATAACTCTACTAACGCTTACTAAATTAATTTTATCTCAAGATTTATATTTAATATATATAAAAGTTAATATATATTATTATAAATTTATTATAAATTTTACTTAATAAAACTTTTTAAGGGGTGTTTTTTAATATAAGTAAAGATAAGCATTATAATTATAATGATAATTAATTAATATCTTAATTTTTAACGCTTATTTATAATAAGCGTTAATGCATAGCCCTTATAAAAAATAAAATATTATAAACTTTATTAAGTTTATTTTAATATTTTTATTTTAATAAATTAATAAATTTTATATAGTTTTAATATAATATTTATAAATAAATAATACATATAACGCTTTTTTTTATAAATATTAAACTTCTATAGAATTAAATATAGCTAGTTAAAAGTAAGGTAAGTTAGTGGATTTTGCGTGCTTAACAGAAGGTGTGGCGGAACTTTTGTCCACCGACTGTATGCCTCATGCTGGGCAAGGCACGGGGCCAGGGGACGAGCCGTGACAGAAGGCGGGGACAAGTGATCCGCGACACCCTCCCAGCAGTCTCGTGCCAGGAAGCCAGCGTCGCCACGGTCAATCTCGGACCTAGCTGAATACGGGGTGTCTCGTGCAATATTGGGACGATGTGGATCATATCGTCTTGATCCAACCTTCGATGTTTGCACGTGTGAAGACACTTTACTGGGCAATGTGAGGCGGCTTGTCTTCTTCCGTTTCCTGGTTCGTCAAATGGATTTGGAGAAGGTCGGCATGCGAAAACCATCATGTTTCTTTTCATGCGTGGCGCGACTCTGCAAGTTGGAGGCGAGATGTTCTGGTCGGCAGGGTTGTAAAAAAGTTTCTTAGTTTTAATTAATTTAGTTAGTTTTTTTAGTTAGTTAATTTAGTCTTAGTTAATAATATTAACTAAAAACTAAAATTAGTTTTAGTTTTTAAAATTAACTAAAACTAAATTAACTAAAAAAAAAATAAAAAAAATAAAAAAAACTTTATTTATTATAATTAATATTAAGGCGTAGAGTTAAGAATTTAGTTAATTAATATTAATAAATAATAAATAAATAAATAAATAAATAAGTAAGTAAGTAAGTAAATAAGTAAATAAGTAAATAAGTAAATAAGTAAATAAGTAAATAAGTAAATAAGTAAATAAGTAAATAAGTAAATAAGTAAATAAGTAAATAAGTAAATAAATAAATAAATAAATAAATAAATGTTAAAAAATAAAATAAAAGGTTGCAAGGCGCCTAAGACTATATAATACTACTAGGAATTAAACTTAAAACCTTAGCATTTAATATTATTTTAATTTATATAAATATTAATTATATAAGTAAAATATATATATTTATTTTATATAAGCTTATTAAGTAAGATCTTAGCTTTATAATAATATATATATCTTTAGTATATATAATTCTTTTAAAAAGATATAATTATTAATAAACTTTAATATAATTAAATTAGCTAAAGAAATAAATAAATAAGTTTTTTAATATATTATTTTAAATTATATATCGACCTAAACCTCCACTATGGCCTAATGGTTAATAACGTTAAATTATTTCTTAAAAATAAGTTGAAATATATTAAAATAAAATATTATCAAGGGGTATAATACTTTATAACTTACTTATTTTAACTTATATAATAAGGGAATAATTCTTCTTTTTTAATACTTAATATAAAAAATATATTTTATATTTAAATAAATATATAAAGAGTATTTAAATAAATATTTCTTTAATAAACTTTTATTAATTTATAAAAAGTATATTATTATAAAGCCCTTTTTTGCTTTATTTAATATTATATAAGTTATAAAAGAATAATAACTTAATAATTAAGTAATATAAGTTTAAAATCTTAATATTTTAAAATTAAAGTTAAAAGTTTATATAACTTATTTATGTACTAAGTTATATAGTAATAAATAAAGTAAAAAGGGGCTTTATAATAATATACTTTTTAACTTTTTATTTAAATATTATTAAATAGAAATTAATTTTTAAATAATATTTAAATAAGAATATTAATTATATTAATATAATAATTGCCTATTTAGGATAAAACTAGCAAAGTTAGCTAATTAAAAGACATAGGGCTCTAATGATATATTACGTAATGTTAACAAACGAAATTCTAACACCCCCCCTTACCCCCCCTACTCTTAGCATTACCACCTATATAGATTAATTAGTTTCTTAATGGGTTTTAACGCTAGCCATATAAAAAATATATTAATTAATTACCCTTTTCCTTTATTTTATATATTTAATATTTATAAAATAGCTTATTTCTTTAGAAAAATAAATATTTTAATATAAGTTAAATTTACTTTAAATGATAAATATAAACTTATTAAAAAAGTAGTTTTAAAATAATAGTAGATTTTTTATATATAAGATATTAATATTTATATTAAGAAATAAAATTATTATTAAATTCTTTTTAATAGTTTTATATAATTTTTTATACTTTTTAAAATATAAATTATTATGCTTATTTTAATTATTATAAGCCTTAACGTAGTTTACCAGGAAGTGGCGGATATTAGGAAGTAGCGGATTTTTGCAACTTTAGCCAACTTTAGCCAGCTATAACACCCACCTAATACAAACAATTTAATTAAATTTAGCATTAATTAATGCCAATTATTTTAATAACCTTATTTTTAATTAATTTAATTAATTTAAAGGGATTAATATAATTACATTTAAGTTTAAAATAATTAACTTTTAATAAAAAGAACCTATTTTAATATAAATTGCGTCCTAGTTTTTTGCATTAATCTTGCTTTAATCCACCTAATTAAATATTTAATATATTAAAAATTAATAATTATTAATATATCCTTTATTTAAAAAAGATAAAATCCTTTTAGCTATATAAGTAATTAAAAACTTAAAGAAAAATAATGCAAAACCTATGCTTATAACTTAAGCTGCTAGTATCTTTAACGTTCTTAAAATCACACTATATTGTAAAATAAACTAATAATGCTTATATAAAGAATTACGCATTAATAAATATAAACTTAATTAAATTAAAAAGTAAATGCTTATTTAATATATTATTAATTAAAATATTTAAGGATTTCCCTTATAACTTTTTAATATAAAGGATATGGCTAATCTTTTATTAACATTATGAAATGCTAAACTTATTAATAAGCACTAAGCTTAACGCTTTATAGATTAATAACTTAGCCTTAAGATTAAGTTTAATTATCTTTATAATTATTAAAAGGCTCTTTATAAAGATTTAAAAATTATTAAGAATTAATTTAAATTACTTTACAATATAATAGCTAAGTATTAAATTATTAACAATAATCTTTATAACTTTAATAAGATTAGCTTTATAATAAGCATAATTATTATATTAATAATTATTATATATATTAATAAATATAAAAAGGCTAAATTAATTTAGCTTAGTAATTAAGAATAAGTAATTATTATTAAATGCATTAATATAAGTAAGTTATAAATCCCATTATTTATAATTATTTAAGGCGCTTATTACTTTGCTAGCTAGGCAATAAAGTTAGGTTTTTTAAATAATTAGGTTATTAAGCCTATTCTTAATAAATAAATAGATAATAAAATTAATTTAAAATAAATCTAGCACTTTAATAAGCATATTAAATTAAAGAAAAATATTAATTATTAAATATTAATTATAAATAATTATAAAAGCTATATATTAGCTAAGTTTAATTAATATTATAAAAATAATAAGATTATTATTATTAGCATACCGCTATATTTATTTTACTTACTTTAATTATTAAATATTGCGTTATATTTGCCTTTAAAGTATATATATAGCAATTAAATTAACCTTTTTATTTAAGCCTTTATTAACTATATTACTAAGTTTAAATTCTTTTTTGCATTTAAGGTAGCTTATAATAAGACTTTTATAATAAAAAACATTAAGTTTATATTTAAAGAAGTTAAAATTTCCCCTTAGGACCTTAATTTTATAATTTTTAAGCTTAATGTTTGCTTATAAATTCCTATATAATCCCTCCTTATTTCCCCCTAAAAATGAAAGTTTTAAATACCATTAAATGCTTAATAAACTATTTAATAATTAAATTTTATTAAGGGTAGGATCTTTGCTTATTAAAAAAGCTCCCCTATATTAATTATAAACGCTATTAATTAATTAACGAAAAATATATAAATAATAGCGTACTTATTTACTATAATAAGTAAGCAAATCTATATACTTTAAAAGGCCAACATAGCGCTTATAAAACGCTAAAGGGCTAAAAGAACTTAAGTGCAGCTTAAAGGAGTACTTATTATTAAGGAATCCTATGCTTTTATTTAAGAAAAATAAAAGGGAAAGCAATTAATTAATGAAATTAATGGTAATGCTGAGGAGTTAATTTGCAGTAAATTAATTAAAAAACGATATGGCAATTGCGGTAAAACTAAGTATAATGTAAGAACTTATAAAAAAAATAAAAAAGGGTTTATTTAATTAAATTCTAACTATATTATAATAAATCTAGCTTAGTTAATATTAATTAATGCAAATATATAAGTATTAATAATTCGCAGCAAACCAACTTTTTAAGAGTATAATTAGCATTAAATAATGCTAAATGCATATTTCCCACCAAAGGTTAACCAGTTTAAACTAACATTGCAATTACATTAATGCCTTTAAATTAATAAAATTAATTAGAAATAAGGGTTTAATTGCAATTAACACTAATTAATACTAAATCTCATAAATCTTTTTGCACTAAGTAGGTACTACGGCTAGCTAAAGTTAGCTAAAGTTGCAAAAATCCGCTACTTCCTAATATCCGCCACTTCCTAATAAACCACGTTATAAGAATAGTTATTATTTAAGGATTATAAGGCATTTTTAACCCCTATAAGCCCTATAAAAATAGTAGTTATTTAATGTATTTATTTTAATGCTTATTAGCTTTATAAAAATAAGAATTTTATAAGATTTATAAAGCATTTTAAGCTTTATAAGCTTATAAAAATATTTATTATTTAATATATTTATTTTAATACTTATAAGCATTATAATAATAATAATAAAATAAAGGAAATAAAAGTAAAAAAATAAAAAGAATTTAAAATAATTTTATTATATTTAATAATAACATTATATATATAATAAATATATAGTTTTAAAGATAAAATTTCATAATATTTAATAATAATAAGTATAATATAATATATATATAAGCTTGAACTTATACTCTTAAAAAGAGTGGGGTTGCTTAATAAGCTTATATAACTTATATATTAATAATAATAATAAAACTTTATAACCTTATATTCTTTTATATAATAATATTTAATAAGTATTTAAAGTTTTATTAAATATAATAAAATTTAAAGATTATTAATATATAAAATACTTTTAATAAATAAATTTTTCTTTAATAATATTAAATATATATTTTTCTTTTTTAAATATTAAATATAATTTATAAGCTTTTTTTTTTTTTATAGGTAGTTATTATAATTTAGCGGTAAAGCGTATAACTATAATAATTACCTAAGTTACCGTTAAAAAAAGATTAGTTTGTTTTCTTTAGAAAGCTATAACTAACACTATATTAATTTATAGTTATTAAGGGCCTTAAGGGATATTTTAAAACTTAATAATTTGGGTTTTATTATATTATTTAAACTTTAAAAAGCAGGGTTATCTATTAATTTATTAGTATAATGCTTTAATTATAAGCTATTTTAAGAGTAAATTATATATTTTACTATATATTTATTTTATTTATTCTTTTAATAACTATATAGTTTTAAAGTAGTTATTGGTACTTATGTATTTTTATTTTATTTTTAAAATATATTTCTTATTATTTATTATTATAAAGTAAATTATAAATAAAGAATAAATTAAATTATAATTTAAAATTATAAAATAAATTATACTTTACTTATAAAATAAATTATAAAAACTATTCTTTTATTATTTCCTTTAAATTTAATAATTCTTTCTTTAGCTTTTAAATATTATTAAATCTCCAATTCTTTAATAATATTATTTTCATTACTATATTTAAATCTAAATTAACCCTTTTTAAAGTTAAAGTATTTACAGGGGCAAATAGGCTTAAATAAGCCTTATAACTACTTTTAAAATTAAAGTATTTATAAAAATATATAAATTTTAATATATATAATAAAAAAGTGTTTTTAGTATTTTTAAATAATTATATATAAATATAAAAATAATATTATTATAACTAGAAAAAATTCTAGGATTTTTATGTAATTTTATAAATATATATTTAATATCTTTATATAAGGTAAATCTTATTTATTGTTATGGGCTCGGCCCCAGAGGGGCTTCAGGCTGGCTAGCGCCTTCTCCCATAAGCTGCAAAGCAGCAACCATTTGCGCCATTAAGCCAAAAGGTACGTAATAATCCAAGCTCCCTTGGATTACCTAGCCAGCCACTATAAGGCTTGGGCTTCCAGCCCAAGCCCATTACATTTATATTAGAATATTTGTTTTTCTAGAGAAATAAGCTATTTTGTAAATATTATATATATAATATAAAAGAAAAGAGCAATTTAACTATATATTTTTTATATAGCTAGCCTAAAAACTTATTAAGAAATTAATTGCTTTATATAGGTGGTTACGCTAAGGGTAGGGGGGAAGAAGGGGGGCGTAGATATATTATATGCCATATACTATACATTACACGCACTTATAAGGAAGCCAAATTACATATATTTTATAATTTCATAATGTATATAGTATAGTAGTATATAGCGTTAATAAAATTTATAATAATTGCCCGTGATAATCATAATAATGCCTATTAATTTCATAGTATATAAATGCAACGTAAATCCCTTGCTTGTAATTATATGCCATATAACATGCTAGTAGCTAGGGGTTTGAATCACCTTAGAAACAACTTTTTTTAAGTTTTTTATTTATTTATTTAATTCTTTTAATTCTTTTAATATTCTTTTAATATTTTTTAATATTTTTTAATATTTTTTAATATTTTTTAATATTTTCTTAATATTTTTCTTAGTATTTAATAAGCTTATAATTATTTAAATATTTTTAAAACTTTAATTAATATTAGCCCCGCTTTTTTTCTTAGTTTTTTAGTTAATTTAGTTAGTTTAGTTAGTTTTTTAGTTAGTTAATTTAATTTTAGTTAATAAGATTAACTAAAATAAATTAGTTAGTTTTTAAAATTAATTAAACTAATTTAGTTAGTTTTTAAAATTAACTAAACTAATTTAACTAATATCAACCCTGCTGGTCGGGTGAGAGTGAACGTTTTCATCCTTGGAGCACCGGACAAATGGTGACTTCACATCTATTTACAGCTCGATAGCCATCATCTATATAGAACGATCCTTCTTAAACATGCACAGCGCCCCATTGCCAGCTGAACAAGAGCATGCGGCGCCTTGTACGATAACACTACAAATACGTTGCACATATGATTTCCTACCTGCCTCTCGGCTTGGGAGAAATTTCATTTCGATATGCCTCGGGACAAGAGTTAGCTCGCAGCAAAGGCAAGGAGACAGTCCTCCGAAATGCCAGGCCATAGAGTCGTTAGATGTGTAGCACACGGTGTACAATTGTCGATGATGTCAGTCCCAGCCATCACAACCTCCACGAAGACCTTCTCATGATATGCTACGGAGGTTTCTGCAGATATCTGGCGCCTAACTGGGCCGGAGACCGAATAAGGCCGTAAAGCCGCTCCTGCTCGCCGACCCTTGCCAAGCCGGTTTGACTCGACCTTGTGCTGCTTTAGCTCAACACGAGCTGATCACCATCAGGTCGGGTACCCACGTCGTAGCCTTTACTCGCCTTGCTGGCAGGGTGGATGGTTTCAAAACATGTTCGCAAGCCTCTTCATCATTGACATCCACGGTTAGTAATCACCAACCGCTTTCAAGCGCAGCCCATCCTTGGAACGCCAATCTTGCACCAGCACTTGTGCCCGAAGCTAAGCAGGCATTTGGGCCAAGCTTGGAAGGCGTTGTTACCTTGTTACGCAGAATCATGCCATTTGTTCTTTGCGGGATCTGCATCTCCGCGCGATGAAGTCAAGTTAATTAGATGTACACATTTCCACTGCGAGCTTACAGTACAGTGAAGTCGATGCATACAACCCTGAGATGCATGCAGCTCGGCGGCTGTTACAGGACCACATGCTAATCGCGTATCGAAATGCGGTTGCAAAAGCAATGAAATTTGATATCCCTCCCCCCCCCCCAGGCCAGAAGGGCGTACAGCGCACTCTGAGCCATCCGAGAACCCGGTGGAGATTCAGTGCCCGAACAATTGTTGCAAAGGAGCAATGGGTGTGAAGGGAGTGATAATGGCCGCCGGCCTGGATTAAGGCCAGCACGTGGCAGGCCCAACAGAATTTCTGGAAGCTTGACGTTTATTAACAAGCGAAGATATAACTAATGACACCAGTTTCATATTCCTACGCCATTGACCCTTGCAACCGGGTAGCTGCTTCCAACGTCGCAAGTAAACACAGATATGCTGGGCACCACCAGCAAATACAATGACGCGTACGTATGTACATGCGATTGGGGGAGGCACCCTTTCGATGTGCTTGTACATGGATGGACGGTCCAACCGGGCTCAACTTGTCCTGCACAGGATATTGTGCACTGAGGATTAGACTTCGTCTGAACCATGCCGTCATGACTCGAGCACGTGTTTCCGGGGTTGATTCCAGACCAGAGCATATGTTTCCGCGTACATCCACGGGTCACCCACCATCGGGGTGTTGTCTTTGGGACGACCGAAGGAAGGCAGCAGAATGCGAGTATGTGATAGAGGTGTTGGATCAAAAGAAGGGGGGAAAGAGACATCTAGCGAAGGGGCTACTGATGTGCCATGCCGGCCACGGATATTCTACGTGTGCTGCATTTTCAAGCGAGACCAAAAGAACCTGTCCGGAGGAGTCGGGTATATCTTGGTACAATATACGAGGCATGGCAGTGGCCGGCGGCGTAACGGCCATCTCATCACGGGCTCTATTGTTGACCGAATCACACCGACATCTATGACACATGTGTCAGAGTTTCAACCTTCAGTATCACTATCAGATCCGCACCTGGGCCTACGGCTGCAGATGCCCCCCGTGCGCAGGGCGTCGCAAGAAGCAGCAGCGGCAGCAGCAGCACCAGCATCACCAATGGGACAGAGGCGTCGGGTAGTGTTAGTGTCGATCTACACTACGACACTAAAAGAGTACCCTGAAGCGTACTAAAGAGCCGTCACATCTACGAGTCAGTATCGTGCATGCACAGAATGCAGCTCACGCTGCTTCTAGAACACGGGAATCTCGATGAAAGCAGCTCTGCTCCGCATCCTGGTGCCGACTATCGCGAATTATCAGAATTATCAGCCTTCCAGACTGAGACTCTCTTTGGTGGTTGGCCTGCCTCATTGGGAGATATGGTACGAATTTTGGCCCAGGCCGGCCTATCGCACGATGCCCGAACGTTGGGAGCAAACCTTGTTTTTTGCCCTCGCCCTGGCACCCAAGTCCTGGTCCCCCTTCCCCCCTTGGCCTTGGGCTAGGAGACTGTGCGTGGTGTCGCCTGCCCACCGCCCACGGCCCCTCCCACGCTCCTCCGCCAACAAGCAGATCCTGGCAACCTGTCAGAGAAACACGCTGCGCGTACCGAGAAACTCTAAAGTCTGACATGCCACTCTGCCCATTCTGCCGAGCATCCGCAGATTGCCCTGGCCCCCCGCCCCTGGTTCCGGCTAGCTAGTCTCCACAATTTCGTCCCGCCCACTCTCTGGCGACTATGCATCCGCCCGCGCGAGAAGGTCGTCGCCGCAGTCTGTTTCCCCTGATTCGACTCTCGTCGGGCCAGCAACACAAGCTGACACAAGGCCAATCTTTGGTGTACCCAGTACAGTACCGTCCGGCTCATGGCCAAGAGATCCTGGCAGGAAGTAACCGACTCCCTGTCGCAGGACATGGCTAGCCCTCCTCTTACGGTAAGCCCTCCCCCCTCCCTCCTCCCCCTTGGGCACCCCCCATTCCTATTTCAGATATTGGGCCCTCCTTGCCCGTCCCTATGCGGCAACACCACCTCGCAAGCCATGTCCCGCTTCTGGTCGCTGGCAGGTGACGCTGACCCAGAGGCTACAAACGAATCTAGAGCAGGCGCCGCGGCTATGATCTGCCACCAGGTTCGGGTTCCTCGGCTGGCCTGACCCAGGCCCAGCAGACCGGGGACACTCCCGCTAGGCGCACCAGCCACCCGTCCCCCTTCCAGCCCGTTTCCACACCACGTGGCGACGTGCCTCCCTTCCAGCAGCAGCCTCAGCTGAACCCTTCCCTGGCCTCTGTGGAGATATCGCGGAAGGTGAAGGCCTGTGCAGCATGTCGTAAGCAGAAGGTAGGGGGCCCGCCCTTCTTCATGTCACTTTTATAGTCTCTTGTTGGGAACTCCGCCGTTGCCGAAACCTTTTGCGAGACTCAACAGCGTGCCTGACCTCGCCATGTAGATCAGGTGTCACATGGAGGATGGAAAGCCTCCGTGTGTGAGGTGCAAACAACGAAACCTCTCGTGTGTGCTCAACAAGAGTTTACAGATGCTCATGGATGAGAGGTCTCAGTAAGCCTGTCCTCTTCCATTATCAACATCAATATCTGTGTTGGCCTCCTCCCATAGTCCTCCCAAAGGCGGACGTGGTCTCCAGCCTCACTGGCAGTCACCAAGGTGTCTGACGATCGTGGTAGGTGGCACCAGGACATTGTCGGCGACCTCGAATTGATATACTCCGGTGTTCAAGAGCTGCGAGAACGGTCTGCTCTTCTACCACTTGCCGGGCTTCGAAGCTCCTCTGACCGGGCTGGCCCAGACACGATGGATCCAGGAGGGCAGGAGCAGCATGAAGACAGCGGCGGCGTGTCTCCTGGAGATAACAACTCGCCCACGATGGTGAACATATTGGACGAAGGCATGACCGACGCCACAACGCATCATGCGGGTTTCTTCCCACCCTCCATCTCGCCACTCAACCCACAAGCCAGCCGTCCGCCCCTCCACTCTCATGACTCGGGCGAGGACGCCCAGAGTCCCCACTCCGGGGGCGGGCCCGTACGGGACTTCATCGCCGTGGGGCACATCTCCCTGGCGGACGCACAGCGGCTCTTTGACCTCTACATCGAGCAGCTGGACTACTTTGTCTACAAGATCGGTGGCCGCCGGCGGACACTCGACGCGCTGAGGGCGCGGAGCGCCATCCTGACGGCGAGCATCCTGACCGTCGCCGCATTGCACGATTCCGCATCAAATCACATCTACCCGGTCTGTAACAGAGAGTTACGGCGGTTGATATCGGCAAGTGTATTCGACAGGAGGGTTAACCGGGACCACCTAAGAGCCCTCTGCGTGGCCTCGTACTGGCTGAGTGATATCAGCTGGACCCTGTCCGGCATGGCGATCCGTCGGGCGACCGAGATCAACCTGAGCGGTAATTATCAGAGAGTACTGGTGGAGGGCGGCGAGGACGCGGCTGACTGCCTGCGCCTGTGGTATAATCTTTTCATCTGCGACAGGAACCTCTCCACCCTCTACAGCAGGCAGACTCTGGTGTGCGAGGACGCCAGTATCCAGGGCTGGGAGCAGTTTCTCAAGACGCCGGAAGCCACGGACCATGACAAGAGGCTGATGAGCCAGGTCTCGTTGCACTTAATTCTAACAAGCATCCACGAGCTGTTTGGTCCCGACAATGGGATTATGATCCCGCCGGCCTTTTCGCTGCAGATTGCGCACTACAGCCGCCAGCTCGACCACTGGGTGGGCGTGTGGTCGACGACACTAAGGAGTTAGTATTCGTCCCGGGATAGAGGTCACATCGAAGAGCGGCGGGCCTCCCCCTTTTTCGATCACGCGAACCAATCAATCAATCAATCAATCAATCTAACTGCTGTTTTGCTCACAGGTTGCTCCTCCACGATTGGCGAGTTTCCAGTCAAAAATGCCCTCATTTACTACCACTACTCGAAGCTCTACCTCTTCAGCCACGTCTTCCGCGGGCTCGCAAACAAGGACGCCATCCCCGCCCCGCTGCGGGAAGCTGCCTCGGGTGCCATCGCGGCCGCGACAAACATCATCGAGCTTGTCCTCCAGGACCCAGACATAGCCGCCAGCCTGCGAGGCATGCCCACCTATGTCCACGCGATGGTGTGTTTTGCCTGCGTGTTCCTCCTGAAGCTGGCTGCCAAGCGGCAGGACGGTCTGGTCGAGGCTGGCCTCGTCGGCGACCTGGCAAACAGGCTGGTCGCACAGTTCAGATCAATCCAGGCGGGCAAATGGCACCTCGCTCACCTGATGGTGGACGGGCTGGAGAAGTCCGCTGCTTCACTGCTCGGCGACAACGCTTCGAGCGTCGCAGAGGGCCTCGAAAGCGGCACAGGGAGCGGCCTGGGCAAGGGAGGTCCTGGCAGCATGATGGGCGACTCGGGCCCGGAAGACACACCGGGCATGACCTTTGGGCTGTATGCTGACCCAGGCGCCTCCTCGTCCTTCCGGGGTTCTATGGCCTCGGGCCTCGGTGGCGTGGGAGGGTCTGTCGGCGGGATGCAATCGATGCAGAACGCGATCCAAAGCCCAGACTTGGCCCTTGAGCCCCAGAGCTTCTTTGAGTTCGGTGCGGCTCCGCCCGGGCCAGAGAATGACCCCTTCGGATTCCCGTGAGCAGCGGTACGCAACTCACGGGGGCGGGCACCCCATCCATCCCCCGGAGCTTTTGGAAATTCCGATGCAGAGCGATGTGGCCTTCAAAAGTGACTTTGACTTGAAGCCCTTGATTTGGGTTGGGAGAACTGGCAGTTTCTGAACAGGGCGCTATACTGCACCCAGCCTTCATGCGGGTACCAGTGCGGTGTTGAGGAGCAAATACTGATTGATCTTTTGTCGTTCGGCTTGTGGTGGTGAGAAGGCCAGAGGCTTGTTCCAGACACGATGGAAGGCAACTGGGCTGTCAGTCTCTCAGCCACCCATCGCATGTGCCAAACAGCCCCCCACTCTCTACCAACCCAAACCATCATTTTGTTAACTCCTGAAGTCTCTCGCCGGCGACATCATAACATGCAGAGCGTTTGAGCTGCTTTTGTAAGTATGGGCACTGTTTCATGGAGACAATCCATCAGAATGTTTTTGTGATGTACTTCCGAGGAATTCTTCGTCCTTCTGACTGTGACTTTGAGCGTCCACTTGGCCCAGGATGTGGCCTTCGCCTAGAACAAATCGCCGGAAGAGCTTGTGCGCAGGTTCTAAGGGTTTCAATCCGCGGCGTGGTTCCGCCTCTTGCTCATGGCCGCTTCGCCTGTTTTGCAGCCCGTTCGGCATGCGTGGACGCGCCGAACGCGATGCTGATAGTCGATCCCTGAAAGTCGACCTGGGAGACGTCGACCTTTTGACCGGCAGATGGCGCACTAGAAAGCAGCTGAGCGAGATCGCCAAACGGTCGCCGAGCCTGTGATTTCTGTGCAAAGTCGGCGATGGGTCTCGCGGAAGCGCCAAGGAGTAAATTATGGTCGTCCATGTCGGGCTCGTTCCCTTCCCAGTCGTCTTGAAACATGAAGGAACCGTTGTCTGATGAATTGTCGTCGTCCTCATTATTCCTCATATCGTAGCCCTCCTCGTCTTCGTCTATCTCCATATCCTGGTCTGCATCTTCGCCCAAGTCCGGATCCTCGTTGGTGCCATCATCATACTCGCTATACGTCCTTGGCCTGGGTTCAGTCCAGGGAGTGTGTAAAAGGGTATGCACCCTGACTAGGCTTTTTGCAAAGGGTGACTTGGGCATCAACTGCTCCACGGTCTGATCCAGTGCGACGGTAGCCTCGGATCCGCGGCCAGCAGCGATCCTGGCCCTCTTCTTCGCGATGCCCTTGTTCCGCTTTCGTATGAAGCGAGAGTGGGCCGCATCCAGTGATTCCATAAGCTCCTTGGCTATGACAACTTGCATGTCGCTGGGCAGGCTGGAAGCCTTGATGATCTGCTCCCAGCAGCGCACCCGCAGCGGTGGGTTGGAACTGTCATGGCATGGAGGCTGTGGATCAGGGGGCGTGCCGCGCTCAAGCTGCAGTTCCGGGACTGGGAGGCGGAAGTGTCGCTCTACCTGGTCAAGGAAGTCCATGAGCACGGGCGTTATGTCGCGGGCGTTTGGGCCGTCTTTCTGCAAGGCTTGACACAGCGCTTGCGCCTTGTCGGCTGACGAGACCCATGTTGGGTAGCTGGTGCGCACAAGGCCGGCGCGGGGAATCAGGACATCGAGACGCTCCAGAGGATCGACGGGCAGGTTTCGCAGGCCCTTCAGGGTCTGGCTGATGCGTTTCTGATACGCTGCCCTGGCGTTCCCGGTTTTGCGTCGAGCACGAACCGAGAGGCCTACGGTGATTGTGTCTGGGGGTGTCTTGCCGGGTTTTACGCGACCCATGGTGGCTGTTTGGTGATGCACCAGCTCGCCAACAGGCTAGTGGTGGTGTTGAGGACGTTGGCGGACTTAGATAGCGCATATACGTACATGTACGCGTGAGTGTTGTTGGGGGTGGATACTTGGCAACGGGGCGATTCTGAAGTCAACAACAAGGTGCGAGGGTGCATGAAGCTGACCCCGCCAAGAATGCCACCCCCAGTCAAGCGGCAGCATCACGCCCACCAATGAATACCCAAAGCCGAGGGCTCCAGCGGATCCACATTACTTTGCAAAAGAGACGGTGAATAAAAGCAGGTGGAAGCCCCTCCCGGGGCCCTGGTAGCTATTCGTCTGGATAAGCAGTGCATACTATATAGGAAATAAAAGGAGGGGCCTATTTGCTTCGCAGGCCCCCCCCCTTGCGCTTTACGCTCACCCCCTTCCCGGCGGGGGGCTTTACGCCCTTATTTCTTATTGATATTTAAATTAATTAATTATTAAGATTTAAGTTTAATTTTATATTTTTTTTTAATTTAGCTAATTAGCTTTTAAGTTTTAAATTTAATTTAATAATTATATTATTTAATAATATTACCTTACTTAGCTAATTAGCAGTTAAGCTTTAAGTTTTATCTAGCAGTATTAGCATATCATTTTTTCTATTTATAAATTTTTTTTAAATGAATAGCACATGCGCATGCATGCCAGGCATTGCTTTTATTCCGAATTGGCAGACATGGCGGAACAAGAGACTGTCCCAGGTGAGACACTTGCTTGAGCAATCCAGAACCATGGGCCAGGACCTGCATTTCCGAGCCTTCGCGATTCATGTATGCGGTACCCATCAAAGGTGCTGTGCATGGAGATAATACCAACAACTAGGCAACAGATCGCTGCCTACTCCACGAACCTGGCTGTTGAATTAAGCGTCCTTGACGGTCCTGACCATGTTGAATGCATACCCCAGGGCAGTCAGTAAATAATTACAATGCACATCGCTCTCAGTCAACCCTTCCGTCTCTAGCCTACTGTCAACTGGTAGCTTTATGACCGCAGGTACTCATTGACCTTCTTTCCCAGACGGAGCGCGCCCTTGTATTGCCACATCCCAGGCGCATTCCCTTTGCCCAGACCGTCGATAGCATCCGCAAGCTGCGGCCCAAGTCCCTCGGACTTGATCTCCTCGAGGGTGTACAGGTGTGTCTTGAAGGAAAACAAAAGAGCCCTGGTCTTTGGGAGACGGCTCAATGTCTGCAACTCACACCGTATCCGTGCCTGCACACATCCAATCAGCTGTTGAGGTTCTGTCCTAGGAGCGGGGGGGAAAAGCCTACCTTGCTTATGTCGATGTCTTCGTCCCGAGTTACGTGGTCCAGGTCTTCTTCGTTCACGTGGTTGCCTTTGCAATTGAAGAGGATGGGAGAATCTACGACGGACCACTGTCATCGAGAGGAAGTCAGCACGCAGATGCACTACTCCGGATGCTTCATGTCCAGAAATAGAGCACATGAACTTACATTCACACGCTTCACATTCTTGCCAACTTCTAGTTTCTTGAAATACCTGTCCATGCTCGGGCCGATCTTGTTGTAGCTGGGCACAGGTTTGTGGATTTCAGGGAGCAGCTTGTCCAACTTTTGTGACGGGTCGAACCCAGAACAATAGCAGCAGACGTATGCGACGCTGCGGTGGCCCTGTTCGGTTTCGTGCAGCAGGAACATGTCGTCCTCAATAATCTCTCCGAGTCTTCTGAGTGCCTGAACTGAGTCATCTGGTGGCAGAGTAGGAAACGAAGCACCGGTGATCCCGTTTCGAAAGATCTTGCCGTCATCGGAGAGGGAGAACATGGTTGGGAACCTCTGGGGCAGGTATTGCGACAGCAGGAACGAATAAAGCTCCTCAACAGATGCCTTTCCCCGCGGAATAGCCCCTAGGACGATATTCGGGTTCCGGGCCATGAGCTGTCGTCTCTCCAAGACCCGATCCTCGTAGTTGTGGTCCATAACAATCAAATCTGCGGGCGCAGAGTTCTGCACCGCCATGGTGATATGATAAACTGGCTTGAAAGGGCGAAAGGCCAGGGGTTTCTTTGCAGTCCAATCGAAGGACGTAAGAGGTTCAACGCCGCTCATAGGACATGCCGCTAGCATGTCTTTTTCATCCAAGTCCGCAGGGGCTCGGCGCTGGAATTGTGTGAGCGGTAACACAGAAACAAGGTGGATGGGGCGATTCTCCAGCACTCACGTATTTGCCATGGATTCCTTTGCGATATGCTAACATGGCAACGCCGCAACAGCCAGGGCCACAATGCCCCAGGCCGCTATGTCAAACGGCATGTCGCGCGAGTGACAAGTCTTGAAGGGAAAAGTAAGAACAGCTCAGTGGGCTGTGCGGGAGCAGTTGCTAGCTGTTTAACAAACTCTAGTCTTAGAGTCAAATCAGCTGTCAGAATACCATTGTTGAGGGAGTGAGCAGGCACTGTCGGAGAAAGATCGCTTTTGAAGGTGCCAGACGGGCCCGTTGCCGGAGATATGCAATTAGGACCAAACTAATGATGCAGCCGGGCCGGCTCTATCGTCGTCGTCTCAACATGTGGGGAAGAGGAGGGATAACCCGAATTTAGGTCGACTGAGCCGGTCCCATCCCGAGATCCGCAGCGTTTCTCCACATAGCTTAATTCGACGACGCTTGTCCCACACAGCAGCCTCGAGACCTGCGATGCGTTGTCACAGGACCAGTGTTGCGTTCCCCTGATTCAGACGCTATTCTGTGTGTTGTCGCCCTGGAACTGAAAGCTTGGGGTTGTGGCAGACAAGTCGCTTGCCCAGGGACTCTGATTAACACATGCCAAGATCTGGGCATCTTCTTGCTCCTCACCCACTTGTAGGTCATGCCCCCAAGGCTGCTCCATACCGAGGCAGATGCTAGCTGGGTCGTCACCAGCTGGACAGCTTCCTGATTGATTACACGTCACTGTGACCAATCAGTACGTATTACCAAATGTGAAGCTGCTATTTGTTCAATGGGTACAAAGTCGACCTGTAATTACAGTTACTTGGTGAATTCGTGTGGGGGGACAGATGACGCAGTGTTCAGCTCCCTGGAACAGGCTGGTAGAAGCAGGTCGGCTGGATACTTCCACGTTGTAATTATGGTGGTAAACAATCACTGCGGCCTCTGAGGATCCTTCCGTAAGCGTGATTAGTGTTTGGAAGCGCAGGATTCCTAAAATTTACACCTGCCAAATGACGGGACGAGGCAGTCAAACCAACATATTACACAAATATTAGACCATTTGGATAATCCACTATTCTGTGACTTCGAGTGGCCTGTCATTTGGCCACACATCGCTCCGGAATAACTTATCGGACGAAGCCGACTTTTGGGAACTCGTCGATTTAAGCTTTTCGGGATGATACGCTACTCGCGGCGAGGTCGGGCAATTAAATCAGAGTTTTAACAAGACTTCGGATGCAAAGCACCATCGTGTATATTTATTTAGGTAGGTTGCTACTAGCGAGCTGTTACAACTTAATACAGGAGCCTAGCCGCGGTTAGGTTGTCTGCCATCATGATCTGTTCAACATGTATATGAACTGCCAGTGTCAGCTGGCGTGGCCTGGTGGTCGTGATTCGAGTGGCTCGATATGAAAGTACCAGCGTCCCAGCCGGACGAGAAACTCAACCCGAGACCAACCTCTTCGCGAGCCGGTTGGTCCAGCAGGTTCGAATCTAGAGAACTGAGCGGAGAGGGAGCAGCCAATACATCCGTTGAGGGTGCGGGGGTAGATGAAATTCGGTCCCTACCCCTGAACTTGTTACAAGATGCCACATCCTCCCTAACTATTTACATATACTTGTTGAAGGTGATCTCCTCTCTGACGCCGTTTGACCTTAGGGAGAGGAAATTTAAGGCCCACCATGTTACTGTTTGCCACCGAGGCACGCGGCTTCAGAGGTTCTTGGAGAACGTGTTCAGTATATGTAACCTGCGTGTGTGTCATGGCCTGGACTAAAAAGAATTCCTTGATATTCCAATTAGATCAGATAAAGAAGCTACCGCGGACACCCTTGATGTACAAGAACTGAAGCCTTGGCATATTGACGGGAGTTATTTACGCCGACCATGCGCCATGACAGTGAAGGCAAACAGCGCCGGGTCACTTGGTCGGCCCCCCAGCCGAGTCCTGCAGATAAGAAAAAGAAACGAGGGAGAAAGTAAGAGGGGAAATAAAAGAGGAAAACCAAACAGTAGAAGGGCAAAAAAGGAAAGGAAAGAAGAGAAGAAGAAGAAAACAAAAACAGAGCTCGTGCGAGAAGGGAAGACCTAGGCACTTTCTCACGCCCACCTGGTCAGAAAGGACCACCAAGGGTGCTACAGTTGGCGCCGTGTGACCTTGTTTGAATTGCAACAGGCTATATACTGAGGAGTGTGGCAGTTATAGTTTCACGGACATGTTGAGGTGTCGAATACTTAAGGAAATTGAGTGGTGAAAGTGAGGTCCTGGCAACTGGTGATACCCAGCAAGGATGTCCGTCCGTGACATCGAGACTGAAAAATACGGATTGCAGGGAGGACCGTTGTGAAGTGGCTGCCGGTCTTCTGTGAGTCATCATCGTACACGCTTGGATCGCTGCTACGTCGGCAGGTCAAGTATGAGAGTAAGCAGCTAGGGGTCGCCAAGGCGTGGAATGCGAGGGTGCGCAATAGCAGAGCAGAGCAAGGCAGAGGGTGCGCAACGCCTGTCGGCCTGGACGGTAATCGGAGAGTCCTAATGACCGGACCATGCTACATAGGGGGGTCATTGGGCCGCACATTGCTGCCAATAGACGCTCCGAATCCTGGCAGCTCCGGCGAGGGATCGCGTTCTTAGTCAGGCACATTCCGTGTGGTGGTATGAAAGAAAAGAAAGCCCCCGGGCTTATTCATATAGAATCAGGGGATACCGGACAGTCGTCATGCTGATGGCTGCAGGGCAAATTGTGAAATCTGACCGGATGACACACCGTTGCTTACATACTGGAGGGACTCTGAAAGTCTCAACCCCGTCTTAGCCTACTCCCACGCCGGGCTCCAATCTGTCCGAGCCCGATTCCCGCACACGCACAGCGGAGAAATCTTGCCGAGCCCCTGCCGCGCCAGGCCCGTTACGGCATCGCCAACTTCGCACGGCTGATGGGAGCCACACGAGACCGGCCTGTCTCATTTTGCAGCAGGTCTGGTACCTACCGTATCCAGCCCCAGCATCAGAAGGGCCAAAAGCGGATGGTTACACGCCCAAATGCCGTGTCGCCAACTCCGAGCGCCCTGCAGCCGGCGACATTTCGCAGCCGCAGTGATGACTCCAGGGCTCGGTGCGACGATAGAAATAGAAATTTGGATATATTATATCAGAGTGGCCTTCTCTGGTCGGAAAGGGCGTGTGAAAATGCATCATCATCTTTGTGTTCACAATCTGCAAGCGACGGCATCTTCCTGACAACAAGCCATTGACTGTCTCAGACACATTCCACCAAAAAGCAGAAGAGGACAAATCTTTGTTGGCACCATTTCCCAGACCCAAAGCATCTAACATGGCCCCTGAGGTTCAACCACCGTCCTCTTTGGGCGTCACACCTCGCAAATCCACCTCGTCCAGCATGGCCACCACCGACATGGAGAAGGAGCAGGCACAGACCCCGCAGACGAATTCACGTTCGGATACATACCACCATGTCGACATCAACGTCAAAGAGAAAGCGGGTGCCCCAGAGCCACCAGCCGCACCCGCCCCTGATCTGGTCCACACCCTGTCCAGAGTGGCCACGGCCGCGTCCGAGTTGCGGCGGACAGAAACCCGCCAGGACGGGACCGAGTACCCGGGCGGCGTCAAGCTGGTCCTGATCACCATCGCCCTGTGCCTGGCCGTCTTCCTGATGGCCCTGGACAACTCCATCATCGCCACGGCGATCCCAAAGATAACAGACCAGTTCCACAGCCTGGACGCCGTCGGCTGGTACGGCTCGGCCTACCTCCTGACCACCGCCGCCCTCCAGCTCCTGTTCGGGAAGTTCTACTCGTACCTTAATATCAAATGGGTCTTCCTGAGCGCCATCGGCCTCTTTGAGCTGGGCTCTCTGATCTGCGGCGTCGCGCCCAACAGTACGGCTCTGATCATCGGCCGGGCCATCGCCGGAGCAGGCTCGGCAGGGATTCTGTCCGGGGCCTTGATTATATTGGCCTTCACCGTGCCTCTGCGGAGTCGTCCAGCCTACTCTGGAGGCATCACCTCCATGTACGGCATCGCCTCGGTCGCTGGCCCACTCTTGGGAGGTGTATTTACGGACAAGGCTACCTGGCGATGGTGCTTTTACATCAATCGTAAGATGGAGACGATAACCCCTCTCCAAACCTAGATGCAGTGAATTCGGCTTACGCGACTTTCACAGTGCCCATTGGCGCCATCACCGTCCTCGTCGTACTGTTCTTCTTCCAGCCTCCAAAGGGTGCCTTGTCAGCCGCAGCCACATCGACAAACAAGACCTGGCGAGAGATCCTGAACGAGTTCGACCCCCTTGGCACCGCCGTGTTCATGCCCGCGATCGTGTGTCTGCTCCTCGCTTTGCAGTGGGGTGGCACCACTTACGCCTGGGATTCCGGGCGCGTCATCGCCCTTTTCGTCGTCTTCGGCGTTCTTATTTGCGCCTTCCTTTTTATCCAGTGGAGACAGCAAGACAACGCCACCGTTCCGCCCCGGGTGATAAAGATGCGAACAGTTTGGTCTGGTGCTGCATTCGCCGCTGCCACCGGCGCCGCGTTCTTCTCGGGCATCTACTTCCTGCCCCTCTGGTTCCAGGCGGTTAAGGGGTCAAGCGCCGTCAGCAGTGGCATCATGAACCTGCCCATGTTGATCTCGGTTGTCTTGTTCAGTCTCGTGGCCGGTGTTATCGTATCGTTGGTAGGGTATTACACCCCGTTCATGCTCGTTAGCACCGTGCTTATGAGTATCGGGTATGGACTCATCTCGACCTTCCAGCCTGACACCGGCTCGGGTGTCTGGATCGGCTACCAAATCCTCGCTGGAGCTGGCGTAGGATTTGGCATGCAGCAACCCCTGATAGCTGTCCAGGCTGTCCTGAGCGACAAGGATCTCCCTACCGGCACCGCCGTCGTGGTGTTCACACAGACCCTTGGAGGGAGTCTATTCGTCTCCGTGTCACAAAACGTCTTTAGCAACAAGCTTGTCGAGTACGTGGGCGACTACGCGCCTGGCCTGGACCCTTCCACGGTTCTTTCTGCTGGCGCGACGAGTATCCAGAAAATCATACCGGCCGAGTTCCTGGACGGCGTTACGCTCGCTTATAACGACGCGCTGATGCAGACATTCCTGGTCAGTGCTGCGCTGGCGGCGACGACGATTGTGGGAAGTGGGTTCATGGAATGGAGGAGCGTGAAGGGGAAAAAGGTCGACATGGCCATGGCCTGATCGCGGAGCAACAAAGATTTCTGCTGCTGAATACCTTGGGGCGTTGAATCCGGGTTATCAAATACTTATAACACACAACTCAGCATATGCATGCCTAGACAGACTACCTAATGAATTAATGATCGCGGTTAGAGCACAAAAGATACAGTATCTGAAGGTTTATATGTGTGTCATGGTCTTCATTGTCCACTGCCCAAGGCTTGAACGACCCTATTATCAACGCGTTCCCTACCTCGCGCTCGTACAAGGTGTCTATCACTATGAGCATTGTTCAAGGTTTATTACAAGGCCCAGTTTGTGTCATGCGTACCTGGGCAGTGGGTGGTGCAGCATGCATAAGATTAACTATGAATGTGTGTATGGGCCAGGAGCCCGAAGACTACGGTCCAAATAAAACAACAGGCTCATATTCACGCGCATTCCAATTCCGTCAATCCTCCAAAATAACAATTTTGAAAACTGGTTAAGAGCGTATCGCAGAGACCACACAACCCCGCGCACAACGAGTCCGCTGACAGTAGGACATTCAATGCCTAGGTCTGTTTTAATCTGCACTGGAGCAGGGTGATGGATATTCACAATGGCGGTGCAATCACATCTCGGCCTCATGGTCTTCTGCATTCGATGGGAAAATACTCGCCATCCGCAACCGGGGACTGGCTCGACGAGGCTCATCCTCTTCGTCTATGGCCTTGGTGCTAGCCGGGGTGAAGTTGCGGCTACGCTTGGTACCTTTGTCGCTGCCACTGCCGGGGCCGGTACCCAACGCGGCGACCCCGGCGTAAGTCTGGTTGGGTGACTCTGTATTTGTGATGTCTCTACCAAACTCGGGACCAGAGCCACGGCGGCTGAATGTGGGACCAGACCCGGAGGCAGAGGATCCTGCACGGTCATTGCCAATGACACCGAAGGCAGTGTTCGTGGTGGAGAATTTGCGGATCTGTGCCTCGACTGAAGGGGAAGGGTTTGTGGAAGAAGAACCAACTGAGCCGGCATGGTTGAGATGGCGATTCTCTTTCCGAGATTTAACCTCGCTCGCTGGCAGTGGAATCTGATGTGGTTGGACGGACTGCGGTATCGCGGGAAGGGGATGTGGTTGATTCAGAAGTGAGTGAGTAAGCGAATGCGCGAAGTCGCTAGAAATAGATGAGTTTGGGATGTTACAGGTGAATTGACCTGGCGATATCGTCAGATAACTCGAAGCTACAGCAGATAAGACGGCCATGTGTCAACGGACCTGAACCTGCATGATCTGCACCCAAGAAGGCAGTCGGCGTGTTGGTCGGTACCTTGAGGACCTCCATCTGAGTATCCTCGTCTAGGCTGGGACCAGACAGGTTCATTGGATCCGTTGTGAGAACGTCACGCAAGGTGGAGGACGGGTAGGCCGGCATGCTCCACATGCTGGGATCGGTGCCAGACTTGTTACTGCTTCGGGCGATGGAACTGGGCCAGAGCGTGTTCGTATCCATGTGAGGCTGTTGTTGGCCGAGGCCCAACGAGTTGATCCATTCCTGGTAGGCAGCCTCGTTGAACGGGTCCAGAAAGCTCGAAGCGGAGGATATAGATGCCTTCTGCAACTTCGAGGGACCTGGGTGGACAGAATCGAAGGTGGAAGTTGCGACAGAAGGGGCAGTCAAAGCTGTGGATATGGTCGGCATGTCCTGGCCAGCAAGAGGTCTGCGACGTGGCGAGTGCAAGTGAGAGTCTGCGCCGTCATCGGGATAGAATGTTGGCACCGGAAGGGCCGGGTTGTTCTGAGGCCGGCGCCACATCTGCGGATTCGGCCAAGCGATGCCGTTGTTCTCGAGAATTTCTAGACGAAATTGTCAGCGAAGCCAGGATGTTTAGAGCCAGCAGGAGGACTGACCCAGAGGTGCATGCTGAAAGGCAAATGCGACGACGTTTTTGACCCGCTCGATTGGGTTCGAGGGTGAATCCCTGGGGAAACCCTCGCTGATGAGAACTTTGATGCGTCCTAGGTCGTCACTGGGACTCCAGTGGTTCTGGAAGAGCAACTCGCGACGGAACGACGGAAATTTCAACTGCTCAAGCTCACCCTGCTTCGTCATCTCTGGTGGCACGGAGGAGTCAGCTCATGCCAGGTCACCTGATCGTGGAAAAGAGGAGGGATGTTGGGACTCACGACAAGTGCTGGCTATTAGGTGCGGCCAGGCACCGAACGGCTGAAGCAATGTGGACCTGTGAGGAACCAGTTCAGCACGCAGCCTGGAGGGCAGAGGGCAGGCCGGACAGGGCTCACGCAACCATGCGGCCATCAATGAAGATGCGGGCCTCGAAAGTAGCCAGCTCGGGGTGCTTGCTGTAGTTCTGTGTGTACTGGCTGGGCTTGGGTCTGCCCCAGCAGTGGATCGAGATGTGGAAAGGGGCGCCGGGTTGGAGTCCCGGGACAAAGCAAGTCATGACAGGCACACCAAAGGTGGCACGGCCGTGGGAGAAGTCGGCGTCAGGGACAACATGGCAGTTGACCTTGAACTCCTTCAGGGGCACTCGATCATCTCGGCCAGAGGGGAAGAGCAGCACGTCCCAGTCGTCGTATCGCATCCTGAGGTGGAGTCGTGGGTTGAGTTGAAGCTGGAAAGAGGGAGCAAGACGTCCAAAGGGGAAGAAGATGCGTAGTGTTGCCACATGGAGAGAACGGAAGACGCAGCGAGGGAGGGGCCTGGAGAAACAGAGACGAAAAAAGGAGAAGGATGAGGCCGGGGACGGGGATGGTGGCGAGGGTATGGATGACCAGCACGCGACAGAGTTTGAGGAGGTGATAGACGGAGCCGGCGACCAGATACAATCAAATGCCATGGAGAATGCAGCTCGAAGGAGAAGCAGGAATTGGGGAAGTGTTGGCCGACTCGAGGACGGTAAATAGGTCGAGGCTTCCCGAATTGTCAGAAGGACATCATGTAGACATCTGCCGTTTCAACCTCCAGCTTCCAAGCTCGCCGTTGGCGCCTTCCTCGGGTGGACGTACCATTTCCTCCCTCAACTGTCCATCCGACCGAGAGATGATTGCCAAGACCACTTCAAGGAAGGAATGGCTGGAATTAATTGAGGTGTGATCTCCGCCATGTCTATCGCATGAGAAAATTTCGGGCCATCTCGAGGACAGACAGGGGCCGAGGACAGCAGGTGCAGGGCCAGACAGCCCGATTGTCGAGGCAAGAGCGGAGGTCGTACTGTGTGCATGTCTTGCAGAAGAAGCTGCCGTCGTGCGTGCTTGCTCTCATCTTGAGGTGGTTTGCTCGATCTTGGCAGCAGCCGAACACATAGGTGCAGTACAACCCGGAAAGCAGAGATCACAGCCATGATTTGTGAATCTAGTCCAGTCCAATTTGTTGGTCGATATCTACAAGTACAAGCCTAGTCTAGCTCCTCCGCCTGGAATGGCTCCGGATCCTCTGGTGATCTCGCCTGTGGCCCCAGATGTTAGCATAGAGCTGTGACGGGCCCCTACGGGATCGATCCGCTGTCTGCTGGTGAACTTACCCTCGTTACGCCCGCGCCCCCGAGCTCTCGCTGCAGCCCGTCTTCAAACTCGCGCGGGAACGATGGCCGGTCCGGGTATGTCGCCTTGGCCACGTAGCAGACGCTCAGGAAGGTGGCGATGAAGGCTGCGATCTGGACGAGGCCCCTGCGTGGGCTGACCCAGGTGTACTCGTGCGGCGTGAAGATGCCCAGCTGGTCGTAGTCCTCGTGGCAGGGTTCGCCGTAGTTCCTCCGCTCCTGCTTGTCCCACCAGTCGCCGTGGGGGTCGCGGAACTGTCGCTTGACTGGGGCGGGCTGCACGTAGCCTCCGTTCTGTGAGAGAGGGCGTACCCATCGTTAGCACCTCTGACCGGCTCTGATGTGCTCCTCCCGAATCTGCCGCGCGCGCGTTCCCCTCTTCTTTCCATCCCGTCCTCTTCCCATGGGCCAGCTATGGGTCCCCCCGTCGTCCGGCCTTTCTGTCTGTCTGCATTTCCGTCCTTGGCCTCAACTTACCATGTTTGGATCCTCGACATCGGTCAGGTTGGGGTAGGCAGGATATCTCTCGTCGACGTTCTGGTTGTACGGAGGTAGGAAGGTCCGTTGCTGGACAATTGGGAGCCGGCGCGCCGCGACAGTAGCCGTTGTCGACCGCAGCGGGGACGCCTTGGCTGCGATTCGGCGGGACAGCATCTGGAGGGAGGTCGGTTAGTTGGTCGGTCGCTCAATTGTCCATGGAATTGTCGATCAAGCTGTTGGGGGGGAGAAAGAGAGACCTGCCTTGGCTATCGCTGGGGCCTGATTGCTGTAAAAAGAGAAGGGTAACCGGTGGACTCAGTTTGGTGAGTCCACTGCCACTGTGGTTCGTATTGCCGCAGTGTGTGACGTGGGCAAGGCGCGGTAAGTCAATGTGGGCCGTGATGCTGCCGCGAACTGCTTGGAGGAGGTGATGCTTCAATTCGATGCTGCGGGTGGCAGCTGTTTGTGCCTGAGGCATATATGGCCCGTGCGTCTCTACGCAAGGCAGAGACCTAAGCCAAGGTATCCGGGTACCTATTTCCTAGGGAGCTGCCAAGAGCTACAAGCTGGCCTGCCTAGATAGCACTAACAGACTGCCTAGGTACCTTACCTACCAACTAGGTGTCCCTTCTATATCTGACAGGCCGGTCATAATGAAATCTGCCCGTCAGTCAAGGCCTTAGCGCAGGCGACAGGACTAACGCATCTCACGCATCTCAAGGTTTTCCAGCCTTTTGCCTGACAACGAGACAAACCCGCCCTTTTCGCGCCCTCCAGCACCGCACGAGGCTCCAAACATGTCCAGACTCGACATGCGAATAGTTTGAACCCCTGCAAACGTCCAGACCTATTTTTTGGCCTGTCAAATGCCCGCTCTGCCGGAATCCCGACCCCGTTCCCCTTCCGTCCCGCCCTCTCCCCGCGTCGCTCGCTATGACGGAGCCCAGCGCGTCGACTTCTGCTGCTGCTGCTGCCTCTGCCTCGCCGTCGCCGTCCGAGACTCATCGCCCTCATCCTCAACCTCTCCCCGTACCTGCATCCGGTGACATTGATGCCGACGTCGACGCCCATAGACCATCGAATGGTGACCCGTCTTCGTCGAATTCACCCCTCCGACCTTCCCCGATCATCACCGACACCCTCCAGACGCCAGACGCCACCGCCCAACATGACGCCGTGCTGTCATCGCCAGACTCTCCCTTGTCCGCACTTTCGACGCCGCCCGAGTCGCCGACCGACGACCTGTTTTTCTCCTCGACGATCGCGCCCAACACCAATGGCCACACCAACGGCCATCTCGGGAACGGGCTGACCAACGGACACGCTCGCGCGGCAGAGACGCCCGAGGACGACAGGCCGGCGAAACGTCGCAGGGTCCGCGACTCTACGCCTCCCCCGCCCGGATCAAAGACGCGCAAGATCGTCGAGTCGCCGCCATGGAAGAAGTTCGAGGCCGAGGGCCCCACCACCATCATCGAGGGTGGCAAGCGGAAATCAGGTCGCCTTAACACGGTCCCTTTGGAGCAGATGAGCAGTGACAAGAGGATAACTAGGAAGTCATACTCGCAGAACAGCCCCCCGTCCAAGCTTAGGCAGGGTCTTTCCAACAACCAGGTTGCGTCCAACCAGGCAGCGAGGCACCGCGCAGCCTCGGCCAGCAAGTCTTTGGCATCCAGGTCCAGCGCGGCCTCGAAGCCTGCGGCGCGAAAGTCACTAGGCCATGAGTCCAGGTCCACCCCCAGGACTCGCAGGCCCTCGCCGCCGCCTGCGCAGCCAAGCCGGTCATCAACTAGGACGCGACGGCCATCGAGAAACGGCCGGGACAGCCTAGATAACGACTTTTCCGCCGCCCAAGCCACGAGAACGACGCCGCGAATCAAGCTACGCGTCAACCGCCTCCCGCTCACCGAATTGCCCCTTGTACATCCTGGCCGTGTCAAGAAGAAGAGAGTGGCCCCGAATCTTGACGAATACTTCCGCGCTGCTGACAACATGCCTGTGACGGATGGCGGACAGCTGATACCTGAAGATGAGCCGATCTTCACAGACGACATGGCTCTGGCCGAGGCCAAGACAATTATACGCATCGAGGACGAAGCCCGACCTGACGGTCTGCTCGGGAAGACCTGTGCAATATTCGAGCCCGAGCCCGCCGAAGAGCCGCCGCGACAGTATGCGCACATGGACCACCTCGTCAAAGCTGCCCAGACCTCCGTAAGTGGATGGTCCGGGAGCAGAGGGAGCACCGAGATAAGGCCAAAAAGCTTGCCGAGGCATGCCAGGCCGTATGGAGGTCGCGACAGCCAAAGTCCCACGAGGAGATTGAGAGGGAAGCACGAGACATGTGGATCGGGCGGTACCGGACTGTCATGAGAGCTATGTTTGGAACGTGGGAGAACGTGAGGGCAGAAGTGAACCGGCGGCGCCTGGAAGAATGGGAGGCGGAGGAGCAAAGACGTGTCAAGGCGGCACTGCAGGAAGCCGTCTCTCGCTCAGAGCAACAGCTTCTCGCCAGGCAGGCACAGTTTGACTCGGACGCAAGCGATGATGAGCTCCTGGACGAGGACGGCGAACCCATGGATTCCGGTTCAGACGACAGCCAGATCTCCGAGGATGATGAGGCGTCTGTGGACGGGCTAAGTGACGAGGACAACATGTCTTCTTCAGAAGAGGATGATGACCGTAAGTCGGCCGCATCGGACGAGGGCTTGACACAAGAGCAACTCAGAGAAAAGTATGCAAACTTGCCGGACATTGAAAACAGAGACGACACAAATGGCGGCGGAGACACATCGATGGCAGAGGCCCTCGATGATGACACCAGTGACGAGTCCGTCGACATGGACGACGACATGGGGTCTTCAGACGATGATGACGGCAACGAGAGCGGTTCGGATGACGACGGAGATGACAGCGCAGAGGATGAGGGTCGGCCTTCCGGGCTACTGGGTCTGTTCTTTGGCGAGAAGGAACTCAAGAAACTCGAGGAAGACACAGCCGAGAACCCAGACAGCGCCGCTGACCCTAGCGATGCTCAGATGACCGACGCTGATGCCGCTGGGCCCTCCACCGAGGAACAACCGGCGAAGGTGGTTACTGCAGACCATCCGCAAATGCCCAAGCTGAACGGTACTTTGGACACAGCCGGCACTTGCGACACTGATCAGAAGATTACCGGGGCCTCTACGGGACAAGCGTCTCCGTCTTCTGCGGAAAACCCTCAACCAGCAGCGCCGGAACCGACGAATGCAGCACCTCCTTCGGAGGCCGTGCAGACGACTCCGGAGGTTGATGCCACAACCAACCCTGCCAGTCCCGATCGCAGTCAGTCGCCTCGCACGACGGATACAAAACCCTCCGACATCGACACCGCAACGTCTTTTGAGCGTATGAGCGCCCCACTGGAAGCGAGCAGAAGCAGATCTGGCTCCCCTCAACCCACGGCGCCACGGACAGAGGTGCCGTTCCTCCTGCGCGGCACGCTTCGTGAGTATCAACACTACGGGCTAGACTGGCTTTCCGGACTCTATGCGAACAACACCAACGGCATCCTCGCTGATGAAATGGGGTTGGGAAAGACCATCCAGACAATTGCGCTGTTGGCCCACCTGGCGTGCACCCACGAGGTATGGGGGCCGCACCTTGTGATTGTCCCAACAAGTGTGATGCTCAACTGGGAAATGGAGTTCAAGAAGTGGTGTCCCGGCTTCAAGATCCTGACATATTATGGGACCCAGGAAGAGCGGAAGAGGAAGCGCCAAGGATGGACCAACGACGACGTCTGGAATGTGTGCATCACATCGTACCAGATTGTTCTACAGGACAACCAGGTATTCAGACGGCGCAGGTGGCACTACATGATTTTAGATGAGGCGCATAACATCAAGAACTTCAGGTCACAGAGGTGGCAGACGCTGCTTGGCTTCAACACCCACTCGCGTCTCCTGCTGACGGGCACGCCACTGCAGAACAACCTGACCGAGCTCTGGTCGCTCCTGTTCTTCTTGATGCCGTCCGAGAACGGCGTCGGCGGCTTTGCGGACCTCAAGGAATTCCATGACTGGTTCGCCAGGCCGGAGTCACAGATCCTCGAGCACGGCCGTGAGCAGATGGACGAGGAGGCTCGTGCCATCATCTCGAAGCTCCACAAAGTCCTCAGACCATACCTGCTGCGGCGGTTGAAGGCCGACGTGGAGAAACAGATGCCTGCCAAGATTGAGCATGTCGAGTTCTGCCGCCTGTCCAAACGCCAAAGGGAATTGTACGATGGCTTCCTCGCCCGCTCTGAGACCCGGGACACGCTGTCATCCGGCAATTACCTCTCGATCATCAACTGTTTGATGCAGCTGCGAAAGGTCTGCAACCATCCTGACCTTTTTGTTGACCGCCCCATCATGACGTCCTTCCGCATGGAGAAGTCAATTGCATCGGACTACGAGGTCACCGAGCACTTGGTGCGCAACAAATTGCTAGCGGCGAAGCCAATGAGTACTGTCAGCCTTGGCTTCTTGAATCTCGTGCCGACGCAACACGAAGAACTGTCCAACACGGTGGCAGAACGCGTGAGTCAACTAAGCTCCCACAGAGCTCTCATGGACCTGCGCGAAACCCAGCGGATCAGGTCTCAGGCATCACACCACACCCTCGACCCTTCCAGTGTCAAGTCAACGATTGGGTTCTTGGACAGCGCCGCCCGATGGGGCCGCTTCGAAGAACTGCAGCACTGCGTCTACCTCAACGCACTGCGACGGCAGCAACGGCCCATATACGGGAAGCGTCTGCGTGAGTTCCTCACAATTGGCGCGGACAAGCGACCTTACAAACCTCGGCCCAGAGTGCCAAAGTTGGTCATGAGCTGGTTTGAAGAGGACTCCTTCATCCTGCGTACCATGATACCCACCTTGGACCAGCGCGCTGCGTCCATGGAACGGACGATATCAAAATTTGCCTGCGTCACCCCTGCCGTCGTCACGAGAGACATGGAGCCATTCCTGCTCGGTTGGAAGGGCGTCCAGGCGTTCGGAGAGGCCGACATGCGGCTGTCAGCACCCGTCAGGCGCCTTCCCTTCATACCCCCTGAGCCGCCCGTTGACCCCTGGCATGAGTCCCGCATGCGTCTCTCTATTCAGTTCCCGGACAAGCGTCTCCTGCAATACGACTGCGGCAAGCTGCAAGCCCTCGATAAGCTCTTGCGCAAGCTCCAGGCCGGTGGCCATCGCGCGTTGATCTTCACCCAGATGACCAAGGTCCTCGATATCCTGGAGCAGTTCCTCAACATCCATGGCCACAAGTACCTCCGCCTGGATGGGTCCACCAAAGTCGAGCAACGCCAGATTCTGTGCGACCGTTTCAACGTTGACAACCGCATCCTCTGCTTCATCTTATCGACGCGATCAGGCGGTCTTGGCCTCAACCTCACTGGTGCCGACACTGTCATTTTCTATGACCAGGATTGGAACCCCGCCATGGACAAGCAGTGCCAAGACAGATGCCACCGCATCGGGCAAACTCGCGATGTGCACATCTATCGCCTTGTTAGCGAGCACACCATTGAGGCCAACATTTTGCGGAAGGCAAGCCAGAAGCAGATGCTGGACGACGTCGTGATTCAGGAGGGTGCATTCACGACGGACTACTTCAACAACCGCCGGGGCGAGTTGTCAGTGCAGGAGGTCGCAGGTGGCTTGATGGGCGAGCACGATGCTGCCGCTAATGCCGCGATGGACCTCGTCCTAGGCGGCGTCGACAAGAGCGACACTCGTACCGCCACGAAAGCACTCGAACAAGCAGAGGATACCGAGGATGTGGTTGCAGCGAGGGCCGCCGAGAAGGAAATCCTGCAGGACGATGCGGACTTTTCCGAGGCGAAGCCTGGCTCTGGGGCTGTCAGCACGCAGCAGGGCACACCACGGGAAGGATCAGTTGCGCCTGGGCGGTCAGGTCTGGGACTGCTTGTCGAATCTGCCGACACGCCCGCCCCAGAGGAGGTTGAGCCTGAGTACAACGCCTTCGGCGAGAAGATCCACAATATCGACCAGTACATGGTGGCGACGATGGCGAAGCAGCTCGAGGGGACCCAGCTGGAGTTGCCCAAGGACAAGAAAAAAGGGAAAAAGAAAGGCCGGGACACAAGAAGGCGCTAAACAGGCGCATTGGGGACATCATTCGGAGATTCAGCATACAAAGGGTCTGGGTGGTTTATTGCAGCACGAGTTTCAAGTAATGGGGTTGCAGAGGGTTTCAGTCATATGCCGGTCCTGATGCTTGATTGGCGGTCGGTGTTTGGGGTTTGATTCACGGGTTTGGGAGTCTGGGATGGGCATGGCCTTGTTTGCATTGCGGTCATTCGAATGTACTGTACGATGAAAATGTGACGATAAAAGCCAGTCAAAAAGAGGCATTCCGGGCTTTCCCTACTCGATCAACCTTTCAGCGGGAACGACAAAAGAAAACGGGAAGAGCCCGGCATTCTGATGTGGCTCGGTTAAGCAGGAGGGCTTGCGCACTGGCCAGCATAGACTGATGCAGTACATACGTACAAGAACAGAACCCAACTGACAAGTGATTAGCTTCTCCTTGCTTTGAGATTGATTCTGTAGAATGTGTTTGTTTTGCGTATACATTGCCACAAAATAAGAATCCATCGACATAGGCCAGGCTGTGCTTGACCTTTGGGATTAGATATAAAAGACAGAAGGGGGAAAAGGCCTTCGTGCATGCGTGCCAGGGAAGAGATATGAACCTAGTACCAGGATTTGTATCTGTTCCTTGCTAGAGGTATGTGTCGAACCACCTGACAGACTGCAAGAAAGCCGACTCCTTTGCAAACACCTCCTCAGGATTGAAAGAATTGTCCGCCTGCAGATTTAGAGTCTCACCACGGAGTCCAAAACCATGGTTCCTGTTCCCATACACCACCGACTGGTAAGGAGCAGCCGTGGCTCGACTATTATTGAGCGTGTCCACAATGTCATTTACCAAATCTCTAGGCATCCTGTTGTCGATCTCTGGTTTTCCAAATGTCAGCCTTGCCATCGTACAGCAGTCCTAGTTATCGAGTCGGGAAGAGCATATAAACATACCTGCGAAAGCATAGGTGATGGGCCCGGATACCATGCCGATCTCAGCCAGAGTGTCGTCGACCCCGGACGCCGCCTGGCTGGGAGTGACAGCAAAGGTGGCATCCGAGCGGACGGTACGATTCTCCGCGAGGAAGCGGGCCGAGTAGTAACCGCTGTAGCAATACCCGAGGATGCCGACCCGAGGGAAGCCGAGTGAGTTGCGGGCGTATTCGATGGCCGTCTCGACGATGGGGTCGGTCACTGGGAAGGTGGCCCTGCCACCACACTCCGACATCAAAGTCAGGATCTGACGTTAACGGGTACGGTGCCGGGCCCCCTTCGAAGGTGTCCACGGCCACGGTGAAGAACCCTGCGCGGGCGTAGCTATCTGCCATTCTGCACGCATCACCTCCTTGTTAGTATATAGCCCAGACAAGAGGATGCTTCAAGCGACGTTTGCTGCTGTGCCACTGTCATTTACTTACCGCAGCGCATGGGGGATTGCCAGCCCGTAGATATCCGGGAGAACCAAGACTGCCTTGTCAACGCAAGCTGAGCTGTTGTCGGCTGGTCTTGCAAAGTAAATGGAAACTAGAACGAGCAAGATCAGCTGTGTCCACATCCTGCTGAAACTTCCTCTTGTTGAATCCGACTGACCTCCACTGACATTCCGGCAGGCTACCCTGTGGCTCTCCGTCGTTGAGAAGCCAGGCAGTGTTCAGCAACTCTGCAGCAACGAGAGAGCAGGAGCCTGCAAGGCATACTTTGAGCAGCGTGGACGCCAACACGATTCGTGATGGAATAACAGTGCAGTCACCCGTTTCCGCTATCTGTGTGAAAAGACGACAAATCTCAGATATGGACTCGCCGGAGGATCACATTTGTAGGGCATTTATATTCAAGCTCTTCTCGAAGAATGCCGTCCATCTCCTCAGGCGCTGCGCGTACGATGACGAGGAAACGTCTCATTCAGCACATTCTCTGTTGCATTCTCATTTCATGTTCAGAGCTAAAGGCGTGGCTATCTGGGGTCAAAAATTGAAAATGGGGTCCATGGCGAATTTATGTCAATCAGATTACGGGGCATGCTTTTGCATGCTTTTAAGGTTTGTGCTGTCCCTGCGTGAAGTTGCAATGAAGACCAAAGATACTTTCCGTGCACCCGAAGCACTTTCAGTGTTGAATGCATACCTAATTCATGGCTTGAACCACTAAGTCAATATCTGACTATGCCATGTAGGTACATCACACCTGAACGTGTGGAATATATTAAAGCTGAACACTTGAACAGGCTCAAGTAATTGTTACCCAAACACCACCGTATTGTGTCTTGCCAATGGTACTCAACAAAGAAGATTCAATATCGCAGTTCTTGCATTACTTCCTGCTAATTATGAAGAGGCTTGACAAGCGGGAAACTAAAGATGTGTACTTCGCGTAAATACCGCCGCTCCTTTCTCCTTTACAATTCATTTTGTCCCGTGGAAGCACCAGCCAATGAGACTGGAGGTAGATATTATTACTCAGCTACTCGGTCATATTGGGTCCTCACGTCTCACCTAGGAGAGTCGCTCGACAGTCTCTTAAACTAGGTATAATATACAAATACTGTTAACTAGAATTGAGTCCGAGTTACGTAGTCTCAGGGTGGGTGTTGTCAACCCAGAGACGTGACCGGCCATTTGTTGACGTTTGACACACTCTGTGTTGATTCACTAGCCTCCAAGTAAGAGTATCTTAAACAAAAGGAGAAACACCAAGATGATTTCCTGAAGAGGAAATCCCAAGACAACTGCAATGTATCTATCAGTGAAAAGCCAAGGGGGCGCATTCTCAGATATCCAGCCAACATGACCGCTCAAGTCAGGTACCGTACGCAGGATTCGTATGGGATGAGGGATTCGGAAAGGGTTTCACAAGTACAAGAGCAGGAGACAGAGATGGGATAAAATTGGGAATCTGTTGGCGGATTCGAGCCCAGAGGCGGTGCGGTGTGTGTGGTTCAGCACGGCTGCCATGCGTCCGCCAATGCTGCAGCCAAGATCTTACGCCCCAAGGGCCGTAGTTGAGCTCCCAGTGCTCGGAACGTGCTAAGCGGTATAGCCCGGGGGCAGCCAAGGCGTTAAGATTAGAACTGGCCCTACCCGCCCGCACAGCTCAGTCCCTTGGCGTCACCAAGGTGAGATGTTCGAGCTTGGCGATGACGGATAGTTCCTTAGCAACGGAACCCCTAGCTGCAAGCTGAAGAGAAAAGTGTCGGTCGAGCCCTGAGGCCGTTCATCTATAAGGATGGACTGTCCCTGCCTCGTCGCAGCCAGGTGGATCGCCCTGATCAGCCCGCCAACCCTTTCTCCAAGACTTCAACCGCAAGCCAACAGCACTCGATCGACATCTCCATGGCTGAGGGCGACATCCGACCGCTCACCGAACCGGAGATCAACAGCTTCCTCGACGACCTGGACCACAACAAGGATGGCTTCATCGACTACACCGAAGTAGAGCAGAAGCTCGACGCCGTGTACGACGAGCTCGTCCAGGGGAAACCGCAGGCCCACCACCGCCTGCACCGGCACCATGAGCACAACACAAAGCAGGACCAGGACCGCCATGCCTTCCTCCGCAGCATCATCGGCTCCGACGTGCAGAAGATCCCGCGCTCCGACTTTGCCGCCCGGGTGCGCGAGTGGGGCGTCCCCTCGATGGAGCAGGACAGCGAGGCCGACGCGTGCCAGAAGGCGTACATGCGATCTCTGGGGGTATGGCGGCGGCTGAGATCGTACTGGGCCGTCCACGGGCCCGAGATCGCTTTCCTGTGCCTTGTCGTCTCTCTCCAGACCGCCTTTGGCGTGTGGCAGTGTGTCAAGTACGCAACGACTCCACAGTATCAAGCCGCGTTCGGGTGGGGGGTTGTCCTCGCGAAGACGTGCGCCGGGGCACTGTACCCGACCTTCTTCTTTGTGATCCTGAGCATGTCGCGGTACTTCTCGACCTTTATGCGCAAGTGGTACCACGTCAGCCGGTTCATCAACTGGGACCTGGGCCAGAGCTTCCATGTCAAGATGTCCTGCGTCGCGCTGGCGCTGGCCACGCTGCATGCGATTGGCCATCTGACCGGAAGTTTCAACTGGGGCAGCAGGCAGAGTAACGAGGACGAGGTCGCGGCTCTGCTCGGCCCGGATGCAGTCCCCAGGCCGTACGTGAGATATGTGAGGTCCCTGCCCGGTTGGACAGGCATCGTGGCTCTCGGCTTGTTCTATCTCCTTGCGCTGCTGAGCATGCCCGTGGTCCGTAAGTGGAACTACGAGGTTTTCCAGCTGGGACATCTGCTCATGTTCCCCATCATCGGGTTGATGATGGCGCATGGGACTGCCGCACTCCTGCAGTGGCCAATGTTCGGCTACTGGCTCGCGTTTCCGACCCTGCTGGTCCTCGTTGAGCGGGTCACCCGGATAGCTGTTGGATTCCACCGCATCCCGGCCACTTTGACTGTGCTGGACAGCGAGACCGTCGAGGTGAAGGCCACCATCCCGAGTGAGCGGCTCTGGAAGTACCAGGCTGGACAGTATGTCTTCCTGCAGGTGCCTGAGCTTGGGAACTTTCAATGGCATCCCTTCACGGTGTCCATTTGCGTGGGGAAGGAGATGCGGCTACACATCAAGACAGACGGTAACTGGACTGGAAGGCTTCGAAAACTGGCTACTAGTAGTGAGAGCGGCAAAGCCGAGATTGAAATCGGGATCAATGGTCCGTTTGGTGCACCAGCTCAGCGCTTCTATGATTTCAGCCACACCATCGTCGTTGGGGCGGGTATTGGTGTTACGCCCTTTTCTGGAATCCTTGCCGACCTCCAGGCCAGAGATGATGCCGCTCACGGACATCCCGGACACGCGGATGCCCACAAGAACGAAAAGGAGGCCTTGAGCAACGCTGCCCAAGCAGACGCCAAGCCGGTCGCCCCTCCGCCTCCCCATCACCAGGCAGATTCCAGCCAGACCACGCTGGCGGCTGAGAAACCCAAGTTCGCAGATGACTACCGACGGGTCGACTTCCACTGGATGGTCCGCGACCGAAACCATCTCCTGTGGCTTTCAGACCTGTTGAACGAGGTCAGCCGCAGCCAGAAATGGCACGCACGACAGCGCCCACCATCTTGACGTTAGGATCTCCACGCACGTCACGCAGAAGCGCAAGAACATCTCCACCCACGTCTACCGATGGCTCCTCGAGATGCACCGCACGCCCGAACCACCCAGAGAGCCCGCTCACGGGGCTGATCAACCCGTCGCTGTTCGGCCGCCCAGACTTCACCAGCATCCTCGACTCGCACTACGAAGAGATGCTGAAGTACAAGGCGGTCCTGAACGAGAGGGACCCCCGGCGCTGGAGCGACGAGGAATTCAAGGTCGGTGTCTTCTTCTGCGGCACGCCTGTCGTGGGGGAAATGCTGGCGGACCGCTGTCGGCTCTTGAGCGCGAGGGGGCGCAACGACTCCAGCAAGATTGAATACCACTTCATGATGGAGGTATTCGGATGAGTTGTAGAACATAAGATTTCATTTGTTTTCGGATGTGGTGGCAGCCTGCTACGGTTGATCGAACGGACTCAGAACAGCCTAGGGATAATTCCTGTGACACCAGATGAGGTTATCCTCAGGGAGAGGGAAAATTATCCTGGACGAAATACAGCATTATCCTAAGGGAGTATATTCCGTTGGATGGTGTCCCAAAGGATGTCATGCTGGTCTTTTGTGTAACATTAAAACACTCCGATGATCCGGTATTAATGATTCACGAATAACATTTGCAACTTCATGTTGTAGAATGGACCCTGTACGAGTCTCGGTCTTCAAAAGGACTTTCAAGTTGTGGCAAACTACAATAGACCATTTTTTGAGGATAAAGTACCGTGTTGCCCAACGTCCATTAATGAGCGCTCACGTTTCTGGTTACGAGCCATGCCAAGGATGACGATGACCCCTGAACAGTCTCGTGGTGTTTAGAAGGCTCCACACCTCGTTGCGCAACCACAAAGCGTTACTCATTAACCGGGTCCGAAATAAGGGGCAGTGGACCCGCCTGACAGACGCAGTCAAACCACCGTTGACCGCGGTTTGCTGGCAGCAGTCGGAAAGCCGGATTCCACTGCCACTCACCTCAACCTGTTACTTGCTGCATCCCCTTGCACAGCACGCTGTCACAAGCCCATGTTGTGGTCGCCTTCAACCTGTCGCTTCACAAGACGCCGGAGATAAAGCCAGCGCGCCGCTGCATATAGATCACCACACGTTGCTGGCAACATGGTCGGGGTTCGCTTTGCAGACTCGGTCGAAATGGAGGAGAGGGAAGGGAACGGCTTTGACAAAAGAGAGACCGACGCCTTCATCCAGGATGCCAGATCATCATCCTTCGACATGGACCGGGATCCAGCTGCGCGACCCAGGAACGCGCAAGCCAAGCGCCGGCTGATCCAAAGCTCAATGATCCCGTGGATCCTGACCTGCTTGTTTGCATTGACGTCTTTTCTCCTGCTCCTTGAGCGCTACGGGATACGTAAATTCGGCACATATGAAGACAGGTTGTCTACGGATCTGTGTATGTTTGTACCTTGTATGGTTTATGGGTCGAGCGCCCTTCTGACAGGATACTCACATCAGGGAGCCTGAGACGAGTCCCTCTCGAGGTGAAACGCTTCGTCGGCAGCCCGAAGTTTGATGAGAACGGTACTATGTGGATGGATGCGACTGATCCCGAGGCGAGGTGGCCGGACAACCTGAGGTTCACAGGTGACCTGTCAGACGAGATCGACGATAACTGGAACGAGATCGTGGAGGACCGGTACTTCTCTGTTTCTGAAGCTGAAGCTATCGAAGCGTGGGGCGACAGAAGGCATGAGTATGTTGATGAGGAATACGGCGGATATACCGCTGGACTAGATGTGTTTCACACGCTCCATTGCTTGGTATGTCGACTAGATCCATATCAGGTGGAACATGACAGTTGACTCGAGATCAGAACAAAGTTCGGAAAGCGATATACCCGGAATATTACGGCAATGAGACATCTGTCAGGACGCAAAAAGCCCATCTCGACCACTGCATCGACTCGATCCGCCAGCACATCATGTGCTACGGGAGCACGACACCGATCCCCACCAAATGGAGGGAGGGCGCACAGCGACAACACTTTGACTCGAACCAGGATCACGTGTGCCGGAACTTTTCGCACCTGCACAGGTACATGACGCGGCGGAGCAAAGGTGGTGATCTATACGCCCCGCGCGACAAGTCACTGATGGGAATGGCAAAGGCATGGGAGCACGAGTGGGAGGAGAACGACCTTCCTCACTGAACGCCTTCATGACCGTTCGATGAGCGAGACTCGACGGTCCACGTCACACGAACGCGTGACAGACACGCTTGCGGCGTCCCGGGTTTTCGGGCACGCTCAGAGCCCCGGAAGGATTCTTTTCGGCGGAGGCTGGTTCGAGACAAAACTGCCTAGGCGTGGTCGTTCCCAATTCAAGGGCCAGGGTTGCTGTTGAGAGGAGAGATGGCGGATGAGATGAACAAAGTGTTCACTCAACTGCTAAGCATTATAGATCGTGGGAGGTAGCGTCCGTCCTGGCAATGCCCAGCCTAAGGATCTCACATCGCTGCTTATCGCCGCTAGCAGGGGTTCCCCCCAGGCGGCGGTTTAGTCAGAGGACAAAGATAATCATGAGCGGAGCAAGACGCGTTAATGTGGACAATCAACACTATCCGGACTGCCGGACCGTCCTGTATTTGTTCACCAATCGATCCCGGCTATTGATAACAAAGCCTGAAAAGCGGAATGGCAGAATCTGGGGAATGGGGCCACGGGATCCTCCCTGAGTCGGATCAGAAGCCTCAGATTGTCAACGCCCGCACGGCCCTGTCTCGACTGCTAGTTAAATCTCATCTAGCTCGAGTGCTCACTTCAAGCTGAGAGGCTGAGACCTCATCCGCTGTCAACGTTGGACAGAAGGGAAAGCTTGTGATGAACCAGTACGCAGTATCACACAGGGCCCACCACATCGGCTCCCAAATTACTATTTTTGCTGCTAATATGGACTTTGGAAGTCTAACCTATCAAACACGTCGACTACCTCTAGTATGCATCTGACTGCGGGGATTTTCTTTATCTAGATAATCAGACTAGTGCAATGAGCTGATTTTATGGCTGCTCTGGTAATTAAAGATCGCGACTAAGAAGACGCTCATAACAAAAGACGTGCTTCCTCATTCTCCCGCTATCGTCCTGTCCTTGGCCTTAGGCATTGGCTACAACCAGTTTGCCCTTTCGGAAAGTCCACGCGGCCGGTCTTATCAGTTTATCCTACGCCCTCGCCGGAGCTGCGTCTCTGGGCTTGTTTCTGGCAACCAAAAAGCATCGGAGATCTTTCTTTGATGAGAGATTGATCAGCACTGTCGCACATCGACTATTTTTCTTTCCTCCGATGGCGTCTCTGGCCCGATATTCTCCGCCTAACGTACTAGTATCGTAAGTGGCATCTCCGTGATTACATTGTCAGACAGTATAGAACAGGCAAGCTATCGCCCTGTACATACCAAACCCCTCCCCAACCTCCCCACTTTGCTCATCCATCGTAATCATTCTCATTGCCGCCCTTCCCCCAGCCACGCTGTTGTGCTTCGGAATAGAGAATTACGAGCTGGAACCGCCCCGCATGTATATGACTATCCAGATGTATGTAAGCCGCGACGTGAGACATTGTGTAACCAGGCAGCCAATTGCCTACTGCATGAGGTTGTACCGTAGGGCAACCGCCGAGCCGGTCCTTCGGCCCCTCGTCTCACACGCAATTGGATGGCGTTGTGCACACAAGTCCTAGTCATCAAGCTAATGCAAAAAGACCCCCCTGCACCGATTGTGCCGGTCAACCTGCCGTGGGACATCACCTCCGAGTCCAGCCTTCGGGGTCATTCTTGATAAGATATGGACAACAGATATACGCTCGAGGACGATGACCGGGATAGGATAGCTTATCCATTGCTACGAGATACAATAACGTTAATTTCATGGGCAGATCTTTGATTGGGCCGCTTTCCCATGAGAACTAATGTCTCTCGCAGGGCTCTGGCGATGTCTCTTGAATATATAGAGTCGGGAAATGTTGATCCAGATCCCCCGAACCCCTCCCACTGCTGACATCTTGTTCTAGCCATACACTTGGCAAACCTCATTGATGTACTGATTATAGTTGAGAGGAACCCCTCAATTCATGATGAGGCTGTCCAAAAGTACTTCCGCCACTGGCGCTCTGAGCGCGACTTTGATCACGCTCGCGTCTATAACTGAGCATGTCCTTGCTCTACCATCACCTGAGCCCAAAGCATCCTGGGTCCGAAAGGGCCAAGGTCGCAAGGCAATATCAGATGTGCTCAGGGGAAAGAGAGACCACCTACGTCGGTCCGTTCCATCGCCTGCCAACGAGACCGAATCTTGTGTCGGGACACTGGCGGCCCAGCTTTCTGCGCCCAAGGTGAACATGTGGGCTGAGATTGAGGAGGCCGACGCGGCCGCCGTTGTCGCATGGCTCTTCAGCCAGCCCGAGTTCAATTTGACCACCACTGAGAACGCGACGGAGTGGGACAACACGGTGTAAGTAGCCAGCCGACCCACCCCCTTTTCAACCAGGGACCCCTTCTGATTCATCTAACCAGGTTGCTCGTTGAATCGATCCAGCCGAATAAATCTGACGTATTGCCGTATATCGATGGCGCCGCGTCACAACCACCGAAATGGGCGAAAGCAATTCTGGACATGCGGGCGTTTAAGGAGCCGTACTACCAGGAAATCATGGTCGGCCCTCTGCCGATAGATAACTCGACAACCACCTGGACCCCTCATTCCTATCCATTAACTAAGAACAGTGGTGGGAAAGTGCGAAATCTGGAAGCTGACTCCGAAAAGCTGTTCAGCGAGTGGATTCACCCAATCACTGCCTCTGTTGCAGACATTACCCTGGATCTCTGGAACGGCACAGCCATGGGATTGGACAATGATACCCTCGACGTCTTTGGAATCGATCCCTATTGGCAGGACGACGGAAGAGTCATCCGGTGGGACACATTCTGGAACATACCTCAGGACGATTTCGACGCCGAGACGCTTCTGCCTCTAGGGTTATTCTTCAAGTCTGATATAACCGGGCGGGATCCTAGCCAGTGGAGCCTCGAGGGGTGGCTTTATAACGGCGTCTTCTACGAGACCACCGAAGACTTCCGTACCGCTTATTGGAGTGAAGGGTTTGAGAAGCTTGGTGCTAACGTCGAGGGCCGTTGGGCCGGGACGGACCAGCAGGGACCAGTCATGCCAATGGATACCCTCTTCCCGCCAACGATGGTCTCACCAGCAGGCTCCCGGTTTGGTGTCGACCGCGAGCAAAAATACGTCGAGTGGATGGATTTCAGCTTCTATATCGGATTCTCTCGCGACACTGGGATCTCACTGCACGATATTCGGTACAAGGGAGAGCGGCTCATTTACGAGCTGGCTCTGCAAGAGGCACTTGCCCACTACGCCGGGAATGATCCAGTGCAGTCTGGAACTTCATATCTCGACACGTACTACGGCTTTGGACCTTATGCTTTTGAGCTCGTGCCGGGGTACGACTGTCCCACATACGCAACATACCTCAACACGTCCTTCTATGTTTCTGAAACCACACACACCCACATTAACAGCATCTGCCTGTTCGAATACGATGCCGACTTTCCCATCCAGCGCCACAGCACAAATAAATATGTGTCTGTGACGAAGAACACTTACTTCGCCGTCCGTTCTGTGTCCACAGTGGGTAACTACGATTACATGTTTACCTATACGTTTTTCATGGACGGCTCGATCGCAGTCGAGGTTCGCGCCTCCGGCTATATTCAGTCTGCATACTTTGCGCAGAATCAAGACTACGGATTCCAGATACACGACCATCTGAGCGGATCCATGCACGACCACGTGCTCAATTGGAAAGTCGATTTTGTGAGTGATTCCCGGCCTTTTCTCTATTAAGGCATGAGCCAGCGCCTACCATTCAACAGTTTCCAGATTGCTGACGTGAGGTCTTTACAGGACATCCTTGGAACAGAGAATAGTGTCCAGTTGATGAGCCAAAGGCCCGTCACTACCACCTATCCCTGGTCGGGCAACAAAACCCGGAACACCATGAGACTTGAGCGGTCTTTCATAGAGACTGAAGATGATGGACGATTCAACTGGGATTTCAACGGACAGACTCAGGTGATTGTCGTGAATCAGGAAGAGAAAAACCAGTATGGCGAATACCGCGGGTACAGAAGTAGGTCCAGGCTCCACCCCCAGACGTCCGAACGACATCGCATGGTCAGCCGCCGTTGGTCAAGGAGCATCACAGGTTCAGACTTTTTGAACAAGTGTCCTTCATTTATATACGAGACTACAGAGGAGACACGCTGACACATTCGTACCTAGTTCTGCCGTATACGGGCTTGGCACACTTGACTGTGCAGAATAGCAGTAATCTGGTCAACGCTGCCCATTGGGCCGAACACGACCTTCAGGTCACAAAGCGCAAGGATACCGAGCCCAAAAGCGCTCACAGGTTCAACAGCCAGGATGTATACGACCCTCCTGTTAACTTTGACGATTTCTTTGACGGGGAGAGTCTGGAGCAAGAGGACTTGGTCGTCTGGTTCAACCTAGGAATGCATCATGGTGGGTACCAGTCTTATTCGTGCTATTTCGATTTATTCTAAGGTCATCTTACAGTTCCGCACACGGGTGACTTGCCGAATACCGTTTTCACCACGGCTCACTCGGGCATGCAATTTATGCCGAGCAATTACTTTACTGGTGACCAGAGCCGCAATACCGTCAACATGGTCAGGATCAACTACAAAGATGGCAATACTTCCGCGGTGGAGCTTTTCGGTCAGAAGAGCGAGGCTGGAACGTGTGAAATCAACTATGCCCCAGGCGAGGCTGATCTGTGGGGATATACTGGCGACGTGGTCGTCAGGAAGTTTCCTTATGATCCCAACAATCCTTACTTTGAGACGGACTCGATCGTGTAGACAGAGCAGGCTTTAGAGCAGATTATTTAGTTAAATAGTTGCGTATATAATGTTGTTTCGTCTAGTCCTTCGTTGCGTATTGTCCCGGCAATGCATGGCTCTCTGATTCTCACGGTCACGAAATGATGGCACTCTAACACAACTTACACTGACCCGCAGACAGGATTCCACGTCACAATCATTTGTGTGAATGTAAGTCGTCTTTTTGACGTGAGCAAGTTTTCGAGAACCTGGACATTCGAATCACTCGCTTGCCACCACGCATACCGATAACTGGCGATTTCATATACTTTTACTCGTTTTCCATGTTTTTGGCTCCTCTGGTACCTTGCCCGACAGGCAGAGCTGACCCCATGCGGCGGATGCTCATACCCGCATTCTTCGTTCGCCAAGGCAACAACAGCGTCGAGTAGTGGCACATCGCCCGCTTTAGCCTTGGTCGCGCATGCAAAGAACACTGGCAGTACAAAGCTGCATACACGCAGCTGATGGGCCTCGGTTAGGAGGTCAAAATCATCTTTTGGCCCCCGGGTCATTCTTTCCATGGCCACAGAAAGGGTGTCCTTGATAATGGAACCACGTTGACTTAGCCCAACGAGGCCATAGAGCCCGATCCGGACTCGAGAAGGGAATTTGGGGTGGGGAAGGGCGCGGGGGTGGAGTCCTTGAAATCCCACAAGGGGGGTATCCCACAGGAGGTTATTCCACAGGAGGCTATCCTATGGAAGGTTGTCCTAGAGGAGGTGATCCTACGGTAGGTCATCCTAGGGGTGGCTATCCTATTGCAAATTATCTTATTGTAAGCTATCCTATCGCAGGTAATCCAAAAGGAGGGCAGGTTGACACATATAAAATAGCTAAATGCAATCGGTTTCTCAGTTCTGTGAATGCTTCCTGGCTCCGTTTGCCGTTAAGAGCGCCTCCAAGACTGAAAACGTGAATACACAAAATATGCCTTGGTGAGTGGAGCTCCTTGTTTTCTGGACTGGGAAAACCAAAGCTTGCAAAACTTTCAATCATCGTCGGTCTCCGTTTGCACTTCGTGCAGTTTCTCTTCTGTGCCCAACAAGTGGCAGTCGGTTTTCCTTTGCTGACTATTGGAAAACCTTTTGAGTCATCATATTTTGGTTCGTCTGTGGCAGGCGACCATTTCGATTCTTCCTTTTCGAGGTCAAACGCCCATCGCGAGGAGCCGAACGAGACCGCGATTTGAATAGGCCAGCCGGAACACAGCTGTGCGGTGGCAATCATCGCCAGGTGCAACACGTCGACCTATCCAGAGCTGCAATGCAATTATTGCAAGCCTCTGCGAGATGACTGTTTGGAACGTCAGGATCAGACCAGGAGGTGCCTACCCGAAATGTCTCGTTGTGCCTTCGAGTGGACACGGGCATTCGATGCAGAACAATTGAACCTTTAATGAGCAGTGGCAGCACGAGAAGGAGTGCCCATGTCCACCGCACTTCTGGGCTTGAGCTGGTAGGCCATCGGGGAAGATAATGAGGGTCAGGGTCGAATAGAAGCCAGTGAGCAGCTACTGAAGCATGCCTTCATCCGAGCCAGAAGAAATATCATACTCTGCCATCCTATCAATCTCCTCTTCTGTCTGTGACCATAACAACTCGTTAGGCAGTGTTGGTCTTCTGGAAAGACGCATCAGCAACCAGTGGATGAGACGGACTGCGTTGGGCGTCTACGCCGACAGCAGTGATGACTGCGTCTCGATACAAGATTCCCGGATCGTCACAATGCCAAGCCAGCTTGGCTGGATGAGAAAATGATTCACACGGCGTAGGGTGAGTCGCAACCGAGTTATGACCTATTTGTCAGCTCGAGTGTCCGCTCCGCCCTTTATTCCTACCCTGCGGCGCTAATGTTCTTGGGCAGATTATTCAGTGAGGCTGCCGTTGCCCAACTCGATTGGGTTTATTTGTTTTAATAGTGTTTTGGAGTACCGCATCTTACTAATAGTCTACCTACTGCTCTGCAGCCAAAGAGCTAAAGGGATCGACATGGTAGCACCGACGACAATATTGGAGAGCTCATTGGAGATCGTGACTCCCGCATACACCTGGCACAGCATTGAATCTGCTCCCAACTCTCTCGATGACAGGCTGTTCTTTGTCCGTATGACTACACACACTGCGTCGAGGTCGGGGGACAGCGGGCCGAAAAGGAGGGAAAAGGAGCTCATACGCCGTCCGACGTTGACAAAGCCCTGCCGATGTTTAGCCGACTCAAGCCGGCGACTCGCCTCGAACAGTGGCCTGGCCTTCCGAGTGTTAGTCGACTGCTGTCCGCTGCGGCGGGTTTCCCGTGCAGGGTTTCTCCACAGAGATCGCCTGGGCCAGAATCTTACTGGGCCGCCTCTTGGCAGGCGAGCTCGAGCGCTGCCCCAAAGGAGTTACAGTATCAGCGAGAATTCCTGCTCCACAATGATGCTGGCGTCACTGTGTAACTCGCCTCCACGACACCGCCAGAACGTCACGAGTCGACCTGCCCGGGCCGGTGAAGCTGTGTGCATATAAGTATAAAGACTACGTGCGTATGCTTTCACTCGGGTATTTATATACCCAGGGAAACACAACAAAACGTCTTGCGGGTATATATATATCCAAGGAAAACACGACAAGACTTCCTGTAAACGCCAGCCTGACATTGATACAGCCTGCCTACGGAGTTCCCTTGTCCATACCAGGCACGCTCTGCTGTGTTGCGTACAGCGCATCGGATCCCAGGCCATCTCGCCCCATATTTTCAAGAACTTAGAGGTGCCTAAAGGCGCTGCTGGACGACGTCATGTCGGGCGGATCCTCAACCGCGACGGTAGAGCTCCAGGAAGCCCCCGTCCACAAGCTCAGCGGGCCACCACCGCTGGCAGAGCAGCAGAGCTTCGACAACGGAACAGGCCCTGCTCGTCCAGGCAGAACGCTTGGGAAGGACGGCAGCCCCCGGGTGAGCAACGACGGGCCTCCCAGCAACCACGACAGCGTCTCCTCGCTCCCGGCCCCGACGACGGTGTCGCACACCGTCGAGAGATGGAACCAGTCGCGGTCGCACGTGCTCCGGGTCCTCGCCGCGTTCTGGTCCATGCTCGTCATGGGCATGAACGACGCCGCCTACGGCGCCCTCATCCCGTACCTGGGCACGTACTACCGCCTCGAGTACACGCTCGTGTCTCTCATCTTTCTCTCCCCGTTCGTCGGCTACACCCTGTCTGCCCTCCTCAACAACCAGATCCACCAGAAGCACGGCCAGCGAGGCGTCGCGATCCTTACCTCTGGGTGCCACATCGTCGCCTACGCCATTGCCTGCGTGCACCCGCCGTACCCCGTTCTCGTGGTCGTGTACATGCTGGCTGGCTTTGGTAACGGGCTGGGCGATGCCGCTTGGAACGCCTGGATTGGCAACATGGCCAACGCGAACGAGGTCTTGGGTGTGATGCATGCCTTTTATGGCGCCGGTGGTGTCTTCGCCCCTCTGATCGCGACCTCCATGATCACCAAGGCGGACCTCCAGTGGTACCACTTCTACTACATCATGATCGGCGCCGCCGCCATCGAGCTGGCCGCCACGGTGCCGGCCTTCTGGAAGGCCACGGGCAAGGTGTTCCTCGACTCCCACCCCAAGACCACAGACAACGCCGGGAGCTCGAGCCTGAAAGAGGCCCTCCTGAAGATGCCCGCTGCCCGCGTGACGTGGCTCTGCGCGGCCTTCTTGCTGTGCTATGTCGGGGTGGAAGTGGCGCTCGGCGGCTGGATCGTCAAGTTCATGATTGAAGTGCGCAACGGGGAGCCATTCGCATCAGGAATGACAGCCACAGGGTTCTGGTTAGGCATCACTGTAGGGCGAGTCGTCCTCGGCTTCATCACACCGATGCTCGGAGAGAGACTGGCCGTCATGGTATGTAATATTGTGGTCCCCCCTTGCCCGTCCACTTACTCCTGCACCCCGTCGCTTACACATCGCTAAAATCCCACCAGATATATCTGCCCGCAGCCATGGGCCTCGAACTCCTCTTCTGGCTCGTCCCGCGGTTTATCGTCTCGGCCGTCGCGGTGTCGCTGCAGGGCTTCTTCCTCGGCCCCCTGTTCCCCGCCGTCGTCGTCGCCGCCACCAAGTCGCTGCCGAAGCACCTGCACGTCAGCGCCGTCGGCTTCGCTGCTGCCTTTGGTGGCGGGGGCGCGGCCATCCTGCCGTTCGCGGTTGGCGCCATCGCCCAGTCCAAGGGCGTCGGCGTGCTCCAGCCCATCATCTTGGCGCTGCTGGGAGTCTTATTGCTACTGTGGATAGGCTTGCCCAATTTTAGCAAGAAGAAGGACTAGACAAGGCAAGAATTGAGCATGAGTATTTATGTGTATATACCCACATACATTGGTCTGTCGATGGAGGGCACAACCTGGAACCCACAAGCGTCCACGAGACTCCACGCCAGCTTTCCATGGAACTCTTAATGAAGTGTACATAAGACACGTGCCAACCCGGGTTTCTGTCCTAATTCTACCCGCAATGACAAAGATTACCCGGGACTTGCGCTTCGCATGATCTTTGGTGTTGAATTCTGGAGACAGCCCCAGAGAATCACGTCCGAGCCGAAAGGAGATGGATGGTTCTCACACTGCCTATGCAGAGGCACTCTGACATGGAAACATTGTGGTCTTATTTACCATAATCTACAGATGGCCGGGCCATTTTCAAGGGCCAACGTGACCCGCAAATGCAGTCTAAATCGAAGTACACAAGGCCAACGTATGGTCGTCCAGCCAGTAAAGCTCTATGCCGCGTAAAATCAATGTACGTCCAACACTGGCGTTGGACACGAAACAACCGAAAAGTCTATACCAGTCATGAACAACGTCCCAAACTGCTCTCCGTAATGACTCTTTACCCATCATGTGCTCCCATTGAATCATTGCCCTCTCTCCTATTTGATCGTCCCCAGAGTGAGCCCAGCCTCAATCAAAACGCCGACCCGAGAAGCGACCCCAGACGACAGTATTTTGTATGTGCCTGTTTAAGCCGCAGGTGGTGTCGTGACGGTCGCGGGCATGTGCAGGCTCGGCCAGAAAACGTAAGCGCCGAGGAGGATGGCTCCAAATACCATGAAGCCCACAGCACCCTTGGCACGAGCGGGGTGGTTCTGTCGCATGGTCGCCAGAGAGAGGCGCGCATCGACGAAGGTGGACTGGATCTTCTCGGCACCGAGCTTGTAGTAGCAGAGACCAGCGAGGGCGATCGAGTAGCCGAAGTACTGCTGGAGGGTGACAGGGTCCATGAAGATGACCAGGGAGGCGATGACGAGAAGAATGTCCTTGAGAATACCGGACATGGTAAGGACAACGGCAGAGGTCTTGCCAATCTACAGGGTCACACGGGTCAGTATTGCCAGGTGGGTCGTTTGGGGGGTTGACGCAGTAGCCGGGGTTCCACATACCAGGAAGACGACCGAGACGTTGAGCAGGAAAGCGACAAAGGCGTTCGCAAGGAGGGTGAAGATGCCGACGCTGTAGATGTCGGCCATGCCCATGCGAGGAACCTCAACGAAAAGGGTGACCACGCCGTTGATGACAGCACAAGCCGGGGCGTAGTAGTAGAGGGAAACGAGGGGGTCCATCTTGAACTCGGCGGAGCTCAGCATGCGCTGGATCATGACGAGACGCAGAGCCTCGAAGACGATACCACTGCACTGGTCTACAACACACAAACACGCACAAGTCAGCGGGAGGCCCACGGCGACAGAAGCCAGCCCAGCCAGCGGGAGACCACAATCACGTACAAATGAAGCCGATCAGGTCGAACTTGATCTCGCCAAAGGAAGCGATAACGACGCCAAGGACGATGATACCGACGTTTCCAAGCACCTTCATGTTTGGAGGGGCAATGCCGAAAGCCCAGGTGGCAAACAGGGTGACGACAGCGTTGGTGGCCTTCAGCATCTGGATGAAAGAGACCGAGAGATACAGGTAGGCGACGTTTCCGCAAATCAAAGACAAGCTGAACATGATACCGATGGGGACAATGGCACGCCTGGGAGGTGGCCAGCATTAGCATCGAATCCGTGGACGGTTGTTTCGCGCCCGCTGCCTTCGACAGTGCCAACGGCGCGGGCCTGGACACAACTCACATGTAGGTCTGGGTGGTCATGGGGACCTTGTGCCGAGAGTCGAGCGTCGAGGTGCACTTAGCCATGATCTGGGTCATGGTGGTAGCGAAGACCATGTGCCATGTCGTCAGGAAGAGTGCTGTCACACAGTCATGTCAATTGAGTGTCTTTTGGTCTCGGAGGCGAGCTGCTGGTCTCGTGGACCCGGGGGATCGAGGTCTTACGGAAGTCTGTACGATGAGGATGTCTTGTTAGCGGGTGCAATTTGTAGGAGGCAAAGGATATGAGACAGGTTGTCTCGTAAAGCAGGACTGAACGTTGCGGTGGAGGACTCACTGAATTTTGCGGTTGCCAGAACCCATTTGTTAAAGATAATAACACCGGAGCTGCAGGCAATCCAGACACTGCAGCGGCATCAAGCAGTCAGTATCATAGTCCACAGTATGCAGCGCATCATCGCCAACTCCGGCGCCGCCACCGACAGCACCACATGCAGGGAGCGGGGCTCTGTCGGTTGAAGTGCATGCTGGACTCTCGGAGGGGCACACGTACGCGATGTAGACGGCCGGGTGAAGGCCGCTGGCCTTGGGCGCAGGAGGAGCAGGGTCCTGTCGGAGGACACCGCCCTCGAGCTTCCTGTCCTCCTCGCCCGAGTCCCGCTGGTTTTCCTTTGTTGCAGACATGGTGCAAGCAACTTGGGGGGGTTTTCGGTCGAGACGAGACGAGACTAGATCGATCCGAGTCGTTGTATGGGAGGGAATAGGTTTCGTCAGTGGTACGAAACCAAACACCAGGTGAACGAAGGACAGGGTCGAGCAGTGGTGCCGCTGGCTCGTGGGTGATGAGCTGGAGGGGGGAAGGGGGTGTGTGGAGGAGAGGCGAGAGGATTAAAGGGAGAGAGAGGTAAAGTAGGGACACAAAGAATAAAGAAAAAAAAAACTTGAACGCCTATGGAGACGAGCAAATTGATGACGATATTGGAGGAGGGCGTTGGTGGTGGACGAGTCGAGGCTGAGGTGTCGAGGTCGAGGTCGAGGGGTCCAGAAGATGGGCCCAAAAAGGAGATTGGGATCTGTCGTCTGTCTCCTTCAGGAGAAAATTGGATAGAGCCGACAGGTTTTGGAGCCGGGGTCTGGTTGGCCCTGGGTTGGCCTGGTCAAAGGAAAAGGACAGGGCCGGCACTCACTGGCTGACTGGGAAGGCGCGGGAACTGTTGCACCGCACGCACTTGCTTGACTGGCTTGAGATTGACCCAACTGCAGCACGGCGCACTGCACGTACGCCGAGAAAGAAATTTAGCCGAGACGGCACGTCATCAAGGCGGTTTCGCAGTGGTGCCAAAATTAACGGAGCAATCAAATGAGGACAGGGGACGGACGGGGGAGGAGACGGGGGAGGGGAGGAGACAGGGCAGGGCCATGGAGGGCCATGGACCAAGCCTGCAGGCCGGCAGGGCCAAGTGGCAGGGGCAGCTGCCGCGGCAGGTGAAGATCGGCCGTGGAAGCTGGGAAGGTGCTGACGGGGGACTGGAACCTGGCTGGGCCTGACTGGATCTGAAAGCGTTGCTGGCTGTTGGTTGACCGCACGTGGGGGTCGATGCTTGGTGTCCGCCTCCCACCGCCTGCCGTTTCCGTCGGTCAATTAGGGCAGTATGTAGCGGTGTGCATGGTTCGCGTGGCTCGGCAGGTGGCAGAGAACAGAGAAAAGGAAACACGCAGCCGCAGAGGCTCTAACATGACCCCACCTAACCTTGCAGAGATGACGATAGTGTGGACTCTCAGCCTGGGCCCTGCCTGACCTGGAGGTTTATTTGTCAACTCCTGCTCGCTCCATTGCGCCTAGATATTATGCCCCTTTTCGCACACGTCACTTTCATCTCACGCATCTACAGTGAACTCCATCGCTCCATCCAGTCTGGGGCATTGGAACCGCACTAGTCCCCCGTATCTACCTCGTGGTCGTCTGGCGTACAGTAGCGCGTCATGAACGTGCTGGACACTACTTTCGTTATATATAGTAGCCCAGTAGTACATGGCAAATGCGGTGGAGAGGGCCTGAGACCCTGAAATTTGCCCTGGGCGGCAGCAGCCGCGAATCCTCATTTCATCTCGTCTCGATTTTTTTACTTTGTACTTTATCACTTTCCTTCTCCGAACCCTGCCACATGTCAATTGCTGCTGCGCCTAGCAAGACCAGCGGGTCGAGCGTCGCCGTGACTGCAACGCATACAGTCATTACCGAGCATTGCTTCGGATCGTGACAGCCTGTCCAGCCAACCAGTCAATCTCCTCGGTAAGTCAGTGATTCTGGCTGGCTGGCTGGCTAGACAGGCCGTGGCATGGGACCCGTCCAGCTGTCTCGGCCTCAGCTTGAAGTAAACAACCCCACGCCCGCTTTCACTTCCACTTCCGCTCCCACACCCGCAAGATCCACCTGAGCAGGGCACTTCGTGGTAGTCTGAGTCCTGTGTAGTGTAGGTATCTATGTGTGCCTGTGCAATCAGCCCTGTGCAACCCTTCCCGGCAGCCGGGTCGCACCCTGGCTACATCTCCATCTGTCGTTGGCTCAGACAGCTCGATACAATAAGCTTTGTGGAGGCCACCAGGCGCCAGATCTGGCCCGAGAGGCTTGTCCTGATGTAGCTCGCCCTCCTGGAGCTAATCACGGCTCTCCTATTGCATGCCTGCATGCACGCAACCTTGACCTCGGAGCCATGGACTTTCTGCATAGCCCAGACATCTGTCACTCATTCATCTGGTCACAAATAAAGTGTCTGGTCAGATACTTGCTACGACTCCTCCCCTCGTTCATCTCTGCTGATCAGCGCTCGCGGCGTGTTCGCTCAACTCCAATGACGAGCAGGGGTGATCCGGGACAGAGTAATGGGACCGTTCCACATACTACCTTGGGTAGCCTACAGGCCAAAGGGCGAGCTCGGTGTCCACCCCTCATGGCGGGAGGTCATCCAAGTGTAGCAGTCTGCGGCTTGGGATGGGCTTTTGCACGGTCCCAGGTTGGCTGGGCTGATCTGTCGGTGCTCGGCCGAGTTCGAGATGACATGCCGGGCGTAGTCCTGCTGCTGGTCAGGGCGCCCATCCGTGGGACCCTTGGCAGGGCTGCTGTAATCAAACAATCCACCCCAGATTCCTTGGGAAGTCCAGTGTCTGGGTATATTTTGATATTGCTCGCATGTCTCGGACGGTTGCTTTTCTTCCCCGCCTCGATGCCACTATTCACCTAGCACTGGCATCTCCATACATACATACATGCAATCAAGTATTCGTTGCGAAGGTCAGACGGGCAAGTCCCCGGTTCCCGAGGCACCCTCAGACAATCCCGAAGTCTCATGTCATCAACCATCTCATGTCCTTGGACGAATAGTCGTCATCAAATACATAGTCCCCCCTCAGCCACTTTCCCAATCCTCCAGCCACCACCTCTCCTTCACACACACCATCCTGACGTTCCCGCCCAGCATCCGGCCGAGCTCCTCGGCCCAATGAGCCGGGATGTCACCGTGGATCCTGAGACTTTCCAGATGCGTCGCCCCCGCCACAGCCTTGAACAGCCTCTTTTCCATCCTATCTTCATGCTGGGCCATGAAACCAACCCGCGTTGCCGACGGCGACCTCCTTGGCTCCCAGTCAATCACCAGCTCTTTGAGCCCTTCCGCGGACTCCAACACATGGCCAAAGAACTTGACCCAGGTATTCCAGTTGGCGTGTTCCATTGCAACGTGAAAGACAAGCCTCCTTAACCTCGGGATCCTCAGCGTCCCGTGCACAGCGAGCCCGATCCTTCTCCCGTGCTCGAACATGCACGCCCGCAGGACGGCTTCTTCCTGGACCCTGGCCCGCAGCTCGGCATATGCTCGCTTGCATATCAGCATCAGGGCCGGCAGCGGTCTGGAGAAGGCGGGCTCCCCGCCGAAATTGTAGAAGGGTCTGCTGCTGAACTCGAAGTCGCTGTAGCGGAAGCTCAGGGTGAATGCGTAGACGATCTCGCGGACTTCGCCGGGGAGGTTGAAGAGTGGCGAGCCGGCCTGGTTGTCAAAGCACATCGCGGTGAGTAGGTGGCGAATTTTCGCGCATGTGCCAGTGGGTATGGACAATCTGAATTTGGAAAGCCCGGTAGAAAATGCAGATACGCAGGGCCTTTAATTGTACCAGTCCTTCATGGTGACTTTTTCAGATATGTGCACCGTCTGTCTTCAAATACCCTGTGGATAAATGGGCAATCAGGTACCCAGGTACCTCGGAAAAACAGCTGCCTGGATAGTCAGCAACTCGCCTTGCCCACGACGGTGCCGAACTAGCCTAATTTGCTACTAGAATAAACTTCTGCCTGACGCTTGCATAAGGCAGAAGTTATTCTGTGCCCTTTTCATTGAGGTATTATCAAGCTTTAGCAAAAGAATTTTGCTTGTAGTTGATCCGGTCTGGAAAAGTTGACAACACTGTCTTCTGGGCCAGGCTGCATCACCCTGGTCCTTTGCAGATGCGCTCCGGGATTGGCTGTTTGTATTGATTGACTGGAGAGACTTTACTACCATACTCGGAGTATCAAAATAATCTGTCTTCGAAGCAGGTCGGCGAAGGAAGCTCATAGAATCCTAGACATGATGGATATGTTGATTAATAATAACAATGCTCGTGATGTAGCCGCCAGTGTCATTGACGAGCTGGGCCGCTCAGAACACAAGAAACGTTTTTCCTCGTTCCGGGATCTTCCTCCTCATGTCAATGCAACTGGCAACATTTCCCTGTCTGAAATTCGTCGAATACATGAGAAGCGACGTGTCAGAAGCTCCCGTGGTATCTTGTGTTTGCCACTAGAGCCTTGGTCCCTTGCGGTCACACGTATGACCGGCCACTCTCGGGTGTCCTCTCAATTCCCAGTTGATGCACTGATCCGCACTTCGTTGAGCTTACTGCCCTGTATCATTGTCTGATCCTGTGGCAAGTCTTAGTGGACTTCATCTAATGTTTAACGGCAGTCTGGACTTACCATGGCAGTTTCCCAGCCAAAGAGACTATAAATCCAGGTCATCAGGCTCATCCCGCCGATCCATATGACCGGCTCATAGCGATCGCTCAGAAGCTTGTCCGCAAGTGTCCGAGAATACTCGCTTATTGAGCTCTGTCTTGATAAACTGAACTCAAGGAAGGCGCGGCTTTCAATCCACTGCCTAAGACTAGAGTATAGACTTCCCGATGGGAGCGGTACCCGGGGAGAATTCTCGAAAAGCCGTGTTCCTACGCTGCCAGACTTGATATTCACGACTCGCACCCCAAACGGCGCAAGCTCACGCCTGATGGTCCGATTGATACACTCGGCAGCGGCTTTGGAGGAACTATATGCAGAGAAGTAGGGCGGGCAAGCAACAGGGTCGATGCTGCCCAGGTCGGCAACTAAACCACGCGAGGCCACGAGCAGAGGCAGGAATGTCTGGGTGACCGCCCATATCCCGAAGACGTTGACATCGTACAGCTTTTTGACCGCCTCGACGGGTTCGTCCGCGAACGGCATGACGCTGATTACCCCCGCGTTGTTGATGAGCATGTCCAGTCTGCAGCCGGTTGTCGCCGACACAAGCTGGAAGGCAGCGTCGATGGACACCTGGGAGGTCACGTCGAGCTCCAGCGTATGTATTGTTCCTGGGACCTGATCATCTTTTCTGGCTTCCAGGATTTCGGGATCGATCTCATTGAAGGAGCGGCCGGATGCAAAGACTGTCTGGCCGCGGTGAGAGAATTCAACGGCCAGCGCCGCGCCGATACTGCCCTGGCCACAGCCAGTGATTAAAATTGATTTCATGCTTTGTGTGAGATTCTGCCCGCTGAAGAAAGGTGTGGTGGTAGCGTTATTATTGTACAAGTTTCAACAGCGGATGTAAACAATGTGGAAAGGGGGTCAAATGACTCGGTTAGAAACATACGGTGGGTGAGTGGAATCCTTGTAGTCATATTCCTGGTCAGTTTAAACTTTCCGGCCGACCAAGATTGGGTTTCTCAAAGATGAACCTAATTTCCGTCCACTTCATGGCTTTTGCCGTCCCATCCTCTACTGCGCTAAACATTTTTCCAAGTTCAGATACACGGCCTCAACGGAACCATCATCAGCCATGGCCATTTTTGAATCTATGTGAGTTTGACCAAGATATCTGGCCGGAGATAGATCGCGAAGAGCCTCAAACTACTCTCCCACTCTATAGTCTGTGTTGACTCTAGGTTAAATTTCCAAAGAAATTTGGCAAGAATAATCCGCATTTGCATATACGCCACAGCTTGGCCAGGGCAGCCACGAGGACCTGTCAAGACTTGTTCTTAGTATAGCTCTGAATATGGCGGGGGCAACGGTCATAAATATGTCCCTGAACAATCGTTTGTGGTGGGCAAAGAAAAGTGACCATCAATAACGCAGTGTGTCTTACCTGATGAGAATGGTAAAAAGGCATCTTTGCAGTCTGTGCGAAACCTTTGATCGTAAAGCGGATGCGACGGTGGCAGAAAGCGCTCTGGGTGGAATTCCCGCGCGAGGTGAAAGAACCGCTCGTCGTGCGTCGTGGAGAAGTGAGATGTCTGGACGACGCACTGTTGCCTTCTTGTCAGCTTGCCCAACTGGTCATCACTTATGCCAATGAAACGACTAGGTAGGTAATTACTTACTCCTTTCGGCACATAGTGCCCGTCTACCGTGGCCCCTGGGCTCACACGCGGCAACCCAAAGGCAGCGTTGGTGTGGATCCTCATGCACTCATCGATGACGGCCGTCAGATATTTGCAATTCTGGAGCCCATCTGCAGTGATATTCTCGTACTTTTCAAATGATTCCCTGATTTCGGTGACTGTCCTGGCCATCTTCTCTGGATTCATTCCCAGATAAAAGACGCTTGCCGTGAGGACATTTGTGAGCGGATCGAAACTTGCGGCCATCATCTGATCGGCCTGTGCGAAGATCCAATCGTCTGTAGGAAGATCTCCATCTTGCACGGGTATCAGACTCTGCATATAGTCCGGATGATCGAGTGCATGCCGTCGATTGATGCGCGCCTTGACTTCTTGATGGTTGAGCCGTAGCAGGGTCGGCATGGTCAAGACGATACTTGGAGGAATCATGACCCACATCAAAGGCCGCAGAAGAGGGAATTTCCGAGTGATTTGGTTCACGGTCCCCCAGGGCCCAACTTTCAGGAAGGTTGAAAGGAAGATAGATGCTTCACCTGAATAATGGTCGCAGGTCAGTCCCCTTTGTAAACGGAATCCTTGTTCTGCGCGGTGCCCTACCTTTTTGGACATGGCCAAAATCTCGTCCATATGTCAAATCGCCGGCTAGGTCCCAAGCCAAGTAGTCAAACCACTTGCTGGCATTGAGTACTTCGCCACCGTTGCGGTAATGTTCCAGTTTGCGAATGAAACAGTCCACATGATCGTGTATCACAGGCTCGTAGCTCCGAGCCGCCCTGGAGCTGAAAGACGTGACCAACTTGCGTGCACCCTCGCGGTGGATGTCTGGGTCTCTCTCAGCCGAAATACCGGGCTCTGGAGACACTCCCATATCTTGAAAGTTTGTCTTGGTAAAGGTCTCGCGGTTGTTCACCGCGCTTCCGTGGATGTCTAAAAGCATACGAGAACAGGAGGTCAAATTATGGCTGTGAGAGGCTAGGTGACTGCGGAGGCTCACTTACCTTGGAATGCTTGAGGACGGCAAAACACTAGCTCATTCGGCGCGATTCTCACAACATCACCTGTCTAGAAGTTAACCATTCACTCATTTGAGTGAGTGCGATGGCGGAGTGCAGTTAGATGTTCTTACCATATCTCTTGAAGAGATCCTCAACCTTCCAAGGATATCGACCGGAGTACCTGCGAATGAATTACAGCGTCAGAGGACCCTGGTGTCCCTACCTAAGTATTATACCAACGTGCTGGTGCAAGAACTTACCATAGCGCGGCATAGTAGATGTTCGAGACTGCAGCTAGCCTTGGCCCAGGAAACTTGGCGAGCGGATGGAAGAATAGGAGGTAAATGCAACGGAGTAATGCGTACACAAACAACAGAAGCACAAGCCATCCTAAAAAAGAACGTAGCTCCCAATCACCATTGCAAAAAGAGACTGGGCTGATCTCCCGCAAGAAAATACTTCCCTTGAAGCTTTCGAGTGTCGCGGCCATTCTTTCGGTGACAATGGATTTGAAATCTGATGCAGCACTTGACATACCCCCTGGCTAGGCTGTTTGTCCTCCACGCAGTGGATGCGTTGAGGGGATGAGATCAATACATACCCTTACAGTCCGGACGATCGATGTCCTGGGTTTGCTGAAACCAGGCGTAATCTCGGACTGTTCAAATTGCCTAATTGTAACTACGCGATTCAGACACCGTACGACGGACGTGCTTGGCCTAACAGCGTGCGCATTCGCAGTGACTCGGAACACATCAAGAGGTCTGTAGATCCCGACAAGGTTTATAAAGGAGTCCATCCCTTGATTTGGAAACAGAAGGTATATGCGTCGCAGAGGTAAACGACGAGGAGTTCGCGTGCATGCAGTAGCCAGCCCCAGGAGAAATGTCTGATCAAGGTGCACCCAAGGGCTTTCGCTTCTGGGCGGTTATTGCAGCGCTCTCCATGACGTCGCTGCTATCTGCGCTGGAAAACACAGTGGTATCGACACCTTTACCTACGATAGCAGCTCTGTTGGATATTGGACGAGACTATTCCTGGGTCACCAACGCTTTCTTCCTCACCAGGTATGTTCTGTAATCCCCCCCCCCGCCACATTTCGAGTACTATCTAACACACAATCAGTGCCGCATTCCAACCATTCTTTGGACAGGTGGCAAATATCGTTGGCCGGCGGTTTCTATCTCTTAGTGTCGTGGTGATTTTCATCGCAGGGAGCGCGATATGCGGCGCTTCCACCAGCGGCCCTATGTTAATCACCGGCCGCGCCATCCAAGGCATCGGCAGCGGCGGAATTAACATGCTTGTAGAGCTGATTGTCTCAGATCTTGTGCCTTTGAGAGATCGCGGAAACTACATGGCCATCATCCTGATCATCTATCTGGCCGGAACCGCCCTAGGGCCTTTCCTGGGCGGTAATATCGTAAAGAGTTCCAGCTGGCGATGGGTATTCTGGATGACCGTCCCGATCGGTGTCGCTGCCATGGCCTTACTTTTTCTTGTTCCTGCATGTCAAAGTCCCCAAGAAGGAGACAACCAGACTCAGGTTGCAAAGAATCGATTATGCCGGAAACCTCGTCATCATTGGTGCAACCGTCGCGATTCTCTACGCCCTGACCTACGCCGGTACTCTGATGGCATGGTCCGACGCTCGTGTTATCACGCCTCTCGTTGTGGGTGTGATTGGATTGGCATTGTTGATCCCGATTGAAGTTTGGGTGGAAAGACACTCTCCCGCGGACCCTGTTGTCCCTGCGCGCCTTTTCTCGAGCCGGACAGGAATTGTCGTGGGAGTCAACACTTTTATCAACTCCATGCTCCTCTACTGGGCAATGTTCTTCCTGCCGCTGTACTTCCAGTCCGTGAAGCAGTTTACTCCAGCTGAAGCCGGGGTTCAGATGCTGCCGGTGCTGTTGGTCTCCGTGCCTAGTGCCATCGCCGCCGCTCTTGTCCTCTCGAAGTATGGAAAGTTCAAGCTTCTCCACGTCGTTGGCTTTGCGTTGATGGCCGTTGGTCTAGGGCTTTTGAGTATAATGGGCGCGGAATCCGCCAAGGCGCTATGGGTCACCTTCCAAATCATCGCTGCTATAGGCTCAGGCATGGTATTGAACACACAGCTGCCTGCTTTTCAAGCTAGAGTTCCAGAGGCCGACCAGGCCAGTGCGACCGCAACATGGGCATATATCCGATCATTTGGCAATATATGGGGGGTTTCCATCCCCGCAGCAGCCTTCAATGGTCGGTTCGAGGCATTGGCAGCCGGTATAGCTGATGATGCTGTGAGAACGGATTTGGCCCAAGGCAAGGCTTTTCAACACGCCACAAAGACTTTCGTCAGTGGTTTGCAGCAGCCAACACTAAGACAGGCTGTGCATGTTTTCAGCGAGTCGCTTCGGCTAGTCTGGTGGCTCGCCGCTGCATTCGCTGCCCTCGCGACGCTGTTAGCTCTTGTGGAGCGGGAGATACCCTTGCGCACTGAACTCGAGACCGAGTTCGGGCTCACAAGTACCGAACACATAGTAGTCGAAGACCCAGATGAATCAGGTGTGAAACACGCAAAGAGCAAGGACACCGGGGGCTCGACGTTTGCTGAGGACGGGCCAGGAATTCATGAGAGTGGCTTGGTATCCGAGTCTCATTGGTAGCGGGAAAATAAATAGTCATTTAAGTTGTCCATCGACTTAGAACCCCATATCCTTCATGCCCTATTGTAGACTCAACTTTGATCTCGTGTGTCTTGTGCTCCTAGCCCTCTTGAGCTGGAGGTTTCGAGGCCAATAGGTATGACCAATTTCACGGCAGGCAGATTCCCTTTCCTCATCTCATCCAGGCCCGATATCACAGATTCCAAACCATTTTGCAGAACCTTGATTGGATGATGTCGCAGACATCCGTCCCTGAGAAAACCCTCCATGCACTCATACCATCTGCAAGCAAACTCCCGCCTGTCTGGCCTAATCTCCAGCTCATAGCTTTCAGACAGTCTGATTGGCTCGCCAAATGCTTGATACTGCATAAGGAATTCTGTCTTGACGGCCTTCCTCTTGTCCGCGATTGCCCGACCCTCGTCATCCAAATGCTCCAGATGGACACAGCGCCCACCCGCACGCCCCAGTGCTGCAAAAGAAACCTCGGTCGACAGGTGGTCAGTGATACAGTCAAGCACTAACCACAGCTCATTACTGGTGTAGCCTCTGATATCCTGGCCGCACGTCTTCGACTTGTAGTCGAATGTTGCAACTGCTCCGAATGAATGAGCAAGAGGGAAATTATGAGGTGAGCAGATTGCGATAGGGAGATAGCCAGAACTGATCAATAGTTGGGTTAGCAAAGAGATGCATTTTCCAACACTTGTGTATTGCGAAACGTACAGCCTGAGAATCTGTATTGCCATCGTCCCGGTGGCAGTGCTACCTCCGTAGACTAGTGCGTGACGGTCTGCATCGTCACCGACGTAGGGCCTCTGCGGCGTTCCGTTGAGAGCAATGCATGATGTCCACAATGCCAAAGCAACAGTACTGTGTCCCACACCGCCAACTGCGGCCGCTTCCTCCCACGTCATCTCATCCGGAATACGAGCGACCAAATCGACGTGGGCGCTGACGTACTCCGCGAAACCACCCGTCGCATGATCTGCTGGGTTCGAGCCAAATACGTTGCCACAGACCCGATCTGTGATTTTGATCCTTGATTTGGCTGGATCGATGCCTGGCCCGAGAGCAACGACTGTTCCGCTGAAGTCGGTGCCGGCGGTGGCGCCCGGACTGGGGAAATTTAATGGCAGTTTGTAGTCGGTTGGATTCAGAGCCACTGCCCTCACCCTGACGAGTATACGGCCATTGGCGAGTTCCGGAACAGCAGCGTCCTTTGTTACTTGCAGACGGCCTCCTTCTCCCTGCTTGACAGCCACTTGGGTTTTTGGGATCGAGTAAGGAGTTTCCATTGCCACGGACTTTGATTCCGTCAGTAATGCTTGGTGTTACAGTGTCGAACGTCTCCTGGAAGTATCAAGTGAAGAATGTGACTATCAATTTGCCAAGTCGATACAGAACCGACACGTCGCGTCTACGCATTCCTGAGATCGACAATTCCTCCTATTACCCTGGTTGTCCAAGACAAGGGATAAAACCATCAGCCCCTGAATGCCGCCCGAGCAGCCCGAAAGGTTTCCAGGGCCAAGAGCCAAGCGTTGTTAGGACGATTGTGAGTCAGGCACACGTCCCAAGGGTTCGGAGAAGCCATCATCACTCTACCAAGTTGCGTACAGTACTATAAGAATACGGGACACGCTAAAAGGAACACGTTCAGGATGTTGATTCAACCTTGTCGATGTCACGACTCCCGTGACTCAAGCAATCTGTTCGACTCAGTTATGATACGTGATCTCCACAGCAGCGATTTACAACCATGGCGCATCATTGTGCTGCCCGGGTATTATAATATCCACTATGTTCGTCGGTCCACTTAATATAGTTACATTGCTATGTCTGACTCCAGCCCTGGATTGTGGGGACATCTGCACGTCTGTGAATATGGGATCACCTCTGAATGGGCGGTTCGCGTACCGGACGGTTCCGCTGTCGACGTTGCTGCGCCTTTGGTCTTTCTGTATCCATCCCATGGCATGGGATCACTTGTAACTATCACTAATTAGCAGCTAATTCTGTCGTCTTTTTGAACGACTCACATTATCAAGACCATTTACAGGCAGGAATAGAACGGCCTGAAGCATCAGAACTGAACAAGCTAACCAAATATTCCGCAATGAGTTCGGAACAGGATCACTCATCATCGACGCCAGGGCCAGAGCGGATTGCAATCATTGGCACTGCATGCCGACTCCCTGGGTCATGCAACTCGCCAGAAAGGCTATGGCAACTCTTGCAAAAACCGCGAGACCTTCTTAAGGAAATACCCGAGGACAGATTCAGCGTCGAAGGCTTCTATAACCCAAACAGTGATTACCATGGGAACAGCAACACAAAATGGTCTTATTTCTTGGACGAAAATATCCGTCGATTTGACGCCCAATTCTTTCGCATCAAATCCGCAAGTCTCTCAGTGTTCGGAAAATGTAACACTACTGACTTCTAGAAACAGGCCGAAGCTGCAGCAATGGATCCTCAACAGCGCCTGTTACTCGAGACTGTGTACGAAGCCCTGGAAGCCGGGGGACAAAGGATGGAAGACCTTCAGGGATCTAATACCGCCGCGTTTGTTGGATGCTCACTCGCAGATGTAAGTCACCAGCGATATTCCTAGCCGTGTGATATTAAACATGCAAAGATCGTCGATTATATCTGGCACGAGAAAACTGATTGCGGCGACAGTATGACTACATGCTGTTGCGAGACACAGATTCAATTCCCACTTACCATGCCACCGGGATACATCGAAGCATAGTTGCGAATCGTATATCCTACTTGTTCGATTGGAGTGGGCCTTCGATGACGATTGACACCGCCTGTAGCTCCAGTCTTGTGGCTTTGCACCAGGCGGTTCAGGCGCTCCGCTCAGGTCAGTGATCATCCCGACACTCTGATAGTGGCGTATTTCCGGCCACGGTTGCTGATTCCGCACAGGGTCAACAAATCTGGCTATAGCCGCCGGCACCAACCTGATTCTGGGGCCAGAGAACTATATCGCGGAGAGCAAACTTAGGATGCTGTCCCCCACAGGCCGCTCACGGATGTTTGACGCCTCGGCCGACGGCTATGCTCGTGGGGAGGGAGTTGTCACAGTCGTATTGAAGCGACTCAGCGATGCGATCCGGGACGGCGACGCGATTGAATGTGTCGTCCGCGAGGCGGGTATCAACCAGGACGGCAAAACCAACGGCATCACAATGCCAAGCTCAGAAGCGCAGGCGCGATTGATTCGGCAGGTCTATAGCAGTGCCGGTCTTGACTCACGGAAACCATTTGATCGATGTCAGTACTTTGAGTGTCACGGGACGGGAACACCAGCTGGAGACCCGCTCGAAGCGCAAGCAATCAGGAATGCATTTTTTGGTGACGGGGATGCACCTCGGGAGGAGGAGGACCTCCTCTACGTGGGGTCTATCAAAACCGTGCTTGGACACACGGAAGCCACTGCAGGCCTCGCCGGTCTGCTGAAAGCCAGCTTGGCCCTGCGCCAGGGGGTGGTTCCGCCGAACATGCTGTTTGAGAGGATAAATCCCGAGGTCCAGCCGTTTTATTCTGGATATTTACAAGTTCCCACGAAACCTGAGCCATGGCCAGACCAACTCGTAGCGGATGGCAGCCCGAGGAGGGCGAGCGTCAACAGCTTCGGGTTCGGTGGTGCCAACGCACATGTGATATTAGAGAGCTGGGACGACGACAGAGAACGCCCAAATGGGGAAGGTAGGCCTTGTCTTGCACCATTCGTGTTTGCGGCACATTCGGTCAGTTCGATCAAGGAGCTTCAGTTGAGATACTCGGCCTTCTTACGAGAGCGCAGAGACGAAGTCGATCTGGCGGACCTTGCATGGACACAATATGCCCGCCGCACGCAGAAATTACCAGTACGAAGTTACATTGCCGCCACAACCATATCCGGCCTCATTGAACAGCTTGAGGCTGCAGGATCAGAGCAGGATGGCCCATCAAAGCAAGCGCGGCCAGTGGTGTCTCAACCCAAGTCGCAAACGCCCAAGTTTATAGGAATATTTACAGGTCAAGGCGCACAATGGGCCGGAATGGGACGAGAGTTGCTCCAGCACTCTGAATACGCCCAAAGAAGAATTGGCCAGCTGGATTCCCACCTACAGCAGCTCCCTCCGACCGACCGGCCCTCCTGGTTGATTTCGGAGACTCTGTTGGACCAGAGCGATATAGGTGCAGCATCGCTGTCCCAGCCAGTATGCTGCGCAGTACAGATCCTGCTGGTTGATCTTATCACCGCGGCAGGAATCAGCTTTCACAGCGTTGTCGGGCACTCCTCGGGCGAGATCGCAGCGGCCTATGCAGCAGGCTACCTTTCCGACGTGGACGCCATGACAGTTGCCTATTACCGAGGTATACATTCGGCGCCGAAACAGGGTACTGGATCTCTCGCTGGTTCGGATGGACCCGGGAAGATGATGGCTGTCGCCACGTCGCGAGAGGATGCGCTGCATCTATGTTCATTGAGGAGATTCAGAGGTCGAATCTGCGTGGCAGCCCACAACGGGCCAAACAGCGTCACACTGTCCGGCGACGAGGATGCTATCCTCGAAGCCAAGGTCGTGTTCGAGGACGAGGAGAAGGGCGCCAAGGTCCTATTCGTCGATCAGGCATACCATTCACACCACATGTTGCACTGCGCCGAGGCTTACGGGGAATGCCTGTCTACGCAAGCGGCGACATTCAATGGGAGCCGGCCGAAGTCGCAATGGTTCTCGAGTGTATATGTTGAAGAAGCCACAAGGCTTGTCGAAGACGGCAGGCTGAACCAGGGGTACTGGAATGCAAACATGATTGGCGAGGTGAAGTTTGCCGATGCCCTCCGGAAAGCCGTGAGCGAGGCTGGGCCTTTCGACGCGGCGATTGAAGTCGGTCCTCATGCGGCTCTTAGAGCCCCTTCACTTGCAACATTGTCCGACTATAACCTAGACCTTAAAGATTTACCCTACACTGGGCTCTTGAAAAGGGGACAGAACTCTACAGAGTCAGTAGCTGCTGCACTGGGTTACCTCTGGGCGCATCTCGGGGGCAAAGCGGTTGATATTCAGGGATACGAGGCTCTCATTCGCGGTCCAAGGGCGAACCGGCTGGTCACTGGACTGCCGCGATATGCGTGGGATCATGGCCCAAACCAAGAATACTGGCACGAGTCACGTGTGAGCCGCGCATTCAGGAGCCGCAAGCCAACGCACGAGCTTCTTGGAAATATGCTGCCGGACGGAACTCCGGGAAGGTCGTACCGATGGCGAAACCACCTCAGCGTCAACGAGGTGCCATGGCTGGGTGGACACCGCGTGCAGGGCCAGGCCGTGTTTCCTGCTGCGGGTTACGTCTGTATGGCTTTCCAGGCGGCGAGGTCTGTCGTCGATCTCAACCGGCCCATGGAGCTGCTCGAGGTTCGCGACGTCAATATCGACAGCGCTCTTGCGTTCCCCGAGGACGACGTTGCAGTGGAGACCCTGTTCGAGATGGTGGACATCAACATGGATGAGAAGGCCGGCCGCCTCGACGCCCGGTTCTTTTTATCTGCTGCGACGGGTGCTGGGGTGGACGCGTTGTCGCCGAAGGCCAATGGCCGCATCGTCGTGCTATTCGGGGACGCAAGCGTGGACAGTGATGATGTTCTGCCTTTGAGACCAGACCCCGAGCCTATGATGAAGTCGGTTGACGACAGGAAGTTCTACGACGCCTTGTCAAAGACCGGTTTTGGCTACAGCGGGCCATTTAGGGGGCTGAGCCACATGCGCCGTAAGGCAGGCTTCGCGACGGGCCAGATCCAAAACCTGGTAAATGTGTCTCTCGATGACCCGCGGAAAGCCATGATAGTACACCCTGCCTTCCTCGACCTGGCCTTCCAAGCTATCATGCTGGCATATTGCTATCCTGAAGATGGACGGCTATGGGCTGTCCACGTCCCTCGACATATCCGCTCCATCCAGATATCCCCCGAGCTCTGCGCTGAGCATCTTACATGCACCCAGCAGACCAGCAGCCACATTCAGCCGTTGTATTTCGATGCTGTTGAAACTAGTGCAAGCTTTGACGGTGTGGTCGGCGACGTCGGCGTCTATGCCCCGGATGGTCAGAGCTGCATGGTGCAGGTCGACGGTCTGCACTTCGTCCCCTTGGCAGAGGCGTCACCCGAGAATGATACTAGGGTATTTTCCAAAACAGTCTGGGCTCCGTCAGAGCCAGATATCCCAGCTGTCTGCTATGATGGACTCGCCTCAGCCAAGGACCATGAGCTGGCATTGGATCTTGAGCGGGCCTGCGTTTGCTATCTTCGACAGTGGGCGACGGAGTTCACATCGAGTCACCCTATCCGTGTTGACGGCACGTCGCCTCTAAGAGGCCTGCTTCGATACGCTGATCATGTCTTGAGCCAAGTCGCAAGCGGAAATCACAAACACGCCTCACAGGAATGGATGTCAGATGACCCGCTCGTCGTTCTGCCTGCCCTCTTGGACAAGCATGGCGACGAGTGCTTGGACCTCAAGATGGTCAACACGGTCGGACAGCAGATACCCGCGGTGTTGCGCGGAGAGACCACCATGCTGGAACATCTACTTCATGATGATTTGTTATCACGCTACTACCGCGAGTCTCTGGGCATGCGTGACTACACCGGATACCTTGCTCGAGGCGTAAAGCAGCTCACCCACCGTTTCCCAAACATGACTATCCTGGAGGTCGGAGGAGGTACCGGACACGCAACCAAGTCTATACTGGCAGAATGCGAGGGCAAATTCGACAGTTATACATTCACGGATGTCTCCCCTGGCTTCTTCCCCACCGCCGAGGAAACATTCGGTCGAGACTACGCGGACCAGGGAGGAGACCGAATGCAGTTCCGTGTCCTCGACATGGAGAAAGATATCGCGACCCAAGGATTTGCCCAGGGTCACTATGACCTGATCGTGGCCAGTTTTGTGCTTCACATAACAGAGGATCTCGAGAGCACACTCAGAAATGTGAGGAGGCTCCTCAAACCAGGCGGCTTCCTTATCCTGGCCGAGCTTACAGACAACGACGTCATCCGGTCTGGATTCATATTTGGTTCACTACCAGGGTGGTGGATTGGCGGGAACGATGGTCGGGTGTTGAGTCCCTGCATTGCGCCCTCGGAGTGGGACACGGTCCTGAGAAAGACGGGCTTCAGCGGGGCGGATTCCGTGTCGGACGACCGAGATACCCTGCCCCGACCGGCTTCTATAATTGTGTCTCAGGCTGTGGATTGGCGCATCCGCCTCCTGCGCGATCCGGCTACCGTGGTGCAGTCTACATCCGAAGTGTCTTCGCCTCTCAACAAGGAACTGATAATCATTGGGGGACAGTCCACGACCTCCATGGAGCTCGTCAAGGCACTGAAGACGAATCTCACGCCACTATACGGCCGAGTTCGCGACGAAATTTCCTTGGACAAGGTAGCGGCCACCGACATTACGCAAAACACCAGTGTTCTCAACTTATTTGATCTTGACACTCCGGTGTTTGAGAACCTGACACAGGAAAAGCTGTCCGGTTTGAAGCGCGTGGTCGAGAACGCAAAGACCATTGTGTGGGTGACGTCGGGGAGGCGAAACAAAAAGCCTTATGCGAACATGAGCGTCGGATTTGGGCGGTCTCTGTTCTGGGAGATTCCTGACCTCCGGCTGCAGTTTGTTGATTTCGAGGACGGGGTCGGGTCAGAGGCGCAAGAAGACATGATCACGGCAGAAATGCTGCGATTTGAAATGTCTGCCGAGTGGAAGGCTTCTGGTGCCCTTGATCGAGACAAGACTCTGTGGTCGGTTGAGCTGGAGGTGCTCTACGCCAAGACCAAGACAAGCAACTGCACGGGCTTTATCCCGAGACTGGTTGTCGACCGTGAAGCCAATCGCCGCTACAATGCGGCAAAGAGGAAGATAGAGGAGCCCACAGATTTATCCAATGTCTGTGTCGAGGCCATCCCAGAACCTGGCAGCACCGACGAAGACCTCCCAAGCTTGGATTTGCAGAGAGGGCCTCTCGTTGACGAGATGCGTGCCGAGCAACGCAAACAGTCCTCCGACAGGGCGAGCGATACCGTGTTGCTGCATGTGGAATATTCTTCACCATTTTCCGTCCCAGTGGCATCCGGCAGTCGACTCTACGTTCTCGCAGGCACAATGGAAGGCACTGGGGCACTCGCATTCGCGTTGGCCGAGACTACTGCGAGCAGCGTATTGCTCCCCCATCACCAAGTCAAACAGGTGGATGCCAAGTTGACAAGGCGTGATATACTCACCATGATGTTGCTCATTGTTGATGGCTTCATGGCGGCCAATACACTGAAGAATTTGGTGGAAGGGGATGAACTCTTGGTTCATGAGCCATCGTCAAGTGTGGCGCTCATCATAAAGCGACTGTTTAGAACGCTAGCCCCAGGAGTCGTCGTCCACATTACGACGACAACTGACCACTCAACCCCAGTCACGATGGACAGCGACCATGGCAATCATGACGACTTTCACTGGATCAGGCTGCCGCAACGCCCCCATCCTAGGACAATCTCTCGGATGTTGCCAAAACCGCATTCCATCGCAAAATTCGTCAACTTTGCCACCTCGAATGGCGACAGCTCCGGCATGGACCGAACAAGCACGATCATTGAAAAACATGTAGCAAACACATGCATAAAATGCAGCGTCAATACATTCTTTACCAACGAGTCCGGAATTGCGCAACACGACTCACCGTTTCTACGTCAGCACCTTGTCGCCAGAGTCAATCTGGCTCAGCGGATGCTCACCGATTCCAGTGTGCCTCTTGGGGAGCGCAACCCGGTGTTGCTACCAGTGTCCAGTCTACGCACTGGACAAACGTCGGTGCTAGACTTCCAAAACAGCTCCGACTTGATCGTCACATGGGACTCGGACTTGCCCGTGGTGGTCCGACCGGCCGATCACAGCAGCAGTCTATTCCGAGGCGATAGAAGCTACTGGCTAGTAGGCCTGACCGGAGACCTGGGCCTTTCCTTGTGCGAATGGATGATGCAACACGGAGCAAGATGCGTGGTGCTCTCCAGTCGACGTCCTGATGTCGACACAGAGTGGTTGAACAAGGTACAAAAGGAGCACGATGCCACGATTTTGGTATTGCCCTGCGACGTGACATCTTTCGAATCTGTGAAATCATGCTATCTCACCATAACCAGAACTCTTCCTGCACTGGCCGGCGTTGCTCAGGCGGCCATGGTCCTGCGCGACTCGTTGATCAAAGACATGGACATGTCTAAAATGCAGTCCGTACTAGATCCAAAGGTCCAGGGGAGCTTGAACCTATGTCGCGTACTGGAAGGTCAAGATAGTGGCCAACAGACCAAGCTGGACTTTATGATTTTCTTTTCGAGCATGGCGGGTCTTGTCGGCAACTTAGGGCAGTCGAACTACAGTGCAGCTAATGCGTTCCTGATCTCACTTGCAGCTCAGCGGAGAGAGCAAGGACTCGCAGCCTCTGTGATCAATATCGGAGTCATTGTGGGCATTGGATACATCACCAGAGAAGTCAGCGACGCAACCCTCGAGGATGTGAGGGAGGGCGGTTACATGTTCCTGCCGGAGCAAGCGTTCCACGCCATGTTTGCTGAGGCTGTGACTGCAAGTAACGTAAACAGTGGAAGAGATCCCGAGATATCCACAGGCGTTGCGCACGTTCAAATGGATGGAGAGTCCCGACCGATCTGGATTGACAACCCGAGGTTTTCCCACCACGTCCTGCCCGCCGCTAGAGACTACAACACGACGAGCGACAAGCCCGCAGGAAATTCTGCATCAATCGAGACGCAATTGGCAGAGGCAAAAAGCAAAGAAGATCTCTTCAACATTGTGAAAGGTAAAGCCAACAGACGTCCTAGGACTTTTCATTTTGCCTGGCCGGTTTTTGATTTCTTTTTTTTCTTTTTTAACTTCTAACTATCTACGAGTTGGATGGCTGACAGTGATCTGCTAGATGCATTCTCCATCAGGCTTCAGCATCTCCTGAAGATGGATCCAGATATCGAATGTCCTGTGAACATGCCACTCATGGACTTTGGGATCGACTCTCTCATTGCCGTCGAAATCCGAAAATGGTTCCTCAAGAATTTGTCGGTCAACGTGCCGGTGCTCAAGATACTTGGTGGCGCCACCGTCGCGGACGTCGTAAACCACGCAATATCTCAACTGAGCGCGACTCAGACACCTTTGCTATGCAACCCACGGGACGACGAGAACCAGAAGGAACCTAAGACAGACACTCCGAAAACGATCGACAAGGAAGTCATCGACTATGAGAAATCGGCGGTAGAGCTAAGTGATTCGGTCACCGAAGTCGACAACGGGGTGCTCGATTCCAGCGACGAACCGACAGGGATGTAGCACACCGGAGACGGGCGCGAGTCAAGACGATCTTGCAGTACCCGTCAGCAGCAAAGTCTCCGAGGTGGAGGAATTAACGCCTGCGAGAACCGACCGCATCCTCTCTCCAAGCCCCCGGGGCCAAGGCAGTGCAAAGATCAGGTCCTTTGTCTCAGGGACAATCCATGTTCTGGTTTGTTCATCAGCTCTTCCCCGACGGCACCACACTGAACCACACGACGTCGCTGCGAATCACTGGGCAGGTTGATTCCGCAGCTCTGAGCATGGCCTTTGCGAAACTGGCTCATGCTCATGAAATTCTGCGTACCTCCTTCTACATGGACTCAACTACGGGTCATGCTGTGCAAGCGGTCATGGACTCTCCGACTGTACAACTTGAGGTAAAGCACCTAGGACGTGCCGGCAGAGACTACGAGAAGGAGGTATCTCGTGTCTTTCGAGAGGTGCAGAGCAATTGGGTCCATGCGCTGGACCGAGGACAAGCACTCAGGGCGGTTCTCTTGACCAGCGATGATCCCGGTTTGAGCTTCCTCGTGGTGGGCTGTCACCATATCATTGTTGACGGCTCCAGCCAGGAGGTTATGATGCGGGACCTGGCAGAAGCATATTCTGGCCAAACAATCATTCCCCGTCGTCCACAGTACCTTGACTTCACCCGCCACCAGATGGAAGACCTCTCGTCTGGATCACGAGACACGGAGCTGCAGTATTGGCGCAAAGTGTTCCACAATGTACCTGAACCGCTCCCCCTGCTGCCTTTGCCAGGTTCTGCCTCAACCAGGACGAAGATGGGGAGCAACTACAACTTCCATCGTGCAACCATCACCCTCAGCCATGAGCTGACGCTACGGATCAATGAGCAAAGCCGCGTGCTCAAGTCTACCCCCTTTCACTTTTACCTCGCCGTCTTTCGCGCACTCCTCGTCCGTCTGACACAGGGTGAAGACCTCTGCATCGGGATCGCGTCTGCAAGTCGATCCCAGGAGAGTGCGGATGGAATCGGGCCATACGTTAACCTGGTGCCTGTGCGGCTCTCTCGCAAAAGCGATTCGGACATGTTTCCGGGACTGCTTGAAGACACACGGAATACAGTCCTGGAAGCCCTGGACCATTCAGGTATTCCTTTTGCGGCCATTTTGAACGATCTCAAACTGCCGAGGAACGAATACTACACCCCACTCTTCCAGGCTCTTGTTGACTACCGAGAAGGCGTCGTTCAGGGCCCAGTGCCATTCGGGGAATCTGGCCTCACAATGGAGGTCATGGACTTCGAAACGGGAATGACGGGCTATGATCTGAACATTGATATTGCAAACTACAAGGGTGGTTGCAAGATTGATGTCATGGTGCAAAGCAGTCTGTACTCGGAAGGAGACCCAGAACTGCTACTCGAGGCGTACCAGATGCTCCTGGACGCATTCTCTGCCAACGCGGAAAGGGACCTATTCGATCCCCCAATGTTTGCTGCTGAGGACGTTGAGGCGGCGCTCGACATTGGTAAAGGTAAGTACATTACACCATCGTTACAAGTGTTTTTAGGCACGCGTTAATCAAATACGTGCAGGTCCAGTACTCCGGTCTTCGTGGCCAGCCACATTGGTCCACCGCGTGGCTCAAATCGCTTCTCAAAACGGTAGCGACATTGCCATTCAAGACGGGCACGGGTGTTCGATCACGTACCAGCAGATGCTCGACCGCGTGATGGACATAGCATGCGAGCTGCTGGGAATGGATCTTGATGATGGTACAGTCATTGCTGTGTTTCAAGACCGGACAACGGACTGCATATGCTCCATTCTGGCGATCATGTATACCGGCGTGATCTACGTCCCCGTTGACGCAGATCCCGACTCAGCGGCAAGATCAGCGGCAATCGTGAAAGATTGCCGTCCGAAGGTGCTGCTGGCCGACGACACGACCATGGATTCAGCAAATGCTTTGGAACTTGCCGAGGAGACTGTGGCAGTCAATGTCTCCAAGGCAAAGCCCCATCATATCCTCCCAGGAGAGACGCCAGCCATCAAAGCCGCAGGCCCTGCGCCAGCGGTCATCCTCTACACGAGTGGGACGACGGGCACGCCCAAGGGGGTGTCAATCGCCCACAAAAGTCTTGTGAACGAGATAGAGTTCTCCGCCGAGACGTACGGAGTGCGGAGAGAGAAAGTACTCCAGCAGAGCTCGCTCTCGTTCGACATGTCATTGACCCAGATCTTCTCAGCACTCGCGTTCGGAGGCACCCTCTATGTGGTACCCGCCTTTATGCGTGCCGATGCTGCATCGGTGGCCAAGGTGATCAACCAAGAGTGCATCACGATGACAGGAGCGACACCATCCGAGTATCTCTCGTGGATCGCGCACGGTGCCGTGGAACTGCAGCGCTCGACAGGCTGGAGGACTGCCATCTGCGGCGGCGAGCAGATGACGGAGAGCCTCGTCAGCGGCTTCACTTCTCTGGGAAAAGCACCTGGCGAGCCGAAGCTGTTCAACGCGTTTGGGCCCACCGAAGCCACGTGCTCTTCCAACCGTCGCGAGGTTGATTACGCCAATCCCGGCCGTCTTGCCTTTCCGTTGAGCGTTGGGTGGACCGCACCCAATGCTCGGATATACATTATGGAGCCCCAATTGGAGACGGCAAAACCTTCAAACCACCCATTTCCTGTGAGCTGGACTGGCGAGATTGTTATTGGTGGTGCCGGTGTCGCCTTGGGCTACCACAATGACGCATCAAGTCCGAAGTTCGCTCCCGACCTACTTGACCGGAGTCAGAAAATGCACAAAACAGGCGACATTGGAAAACTCCTACCTGACGGCCAGCTCATGGTTCTTGGACGGACGCATGGCGACACACGGATCAAACTGAGTGGTGTCCGCATGAGCCCGTACGAGATCGAATCTGCCATATTGCAATCAGGGAATGGAAGGATCACCGAGGCAGTGGTCACCAAGAGGCGTTTCAATGAGCTACGGAGTTGGGATATCCCCAGTGTCGAGGCCCTGGTTGCACACATCGTGCTCCATCCCGACATCGGATTGAACCCAACTGGAGCACATGTAGCCTTGGGGGACATTGAAGGAACAGACCCTCTGAGACTGCCGCGAGCCATGCGGCCTAGCCTGATTTTACCTGTTCCTAGCCTGCCCAAAAGTAGCACTGGCAAGATAGACAGGAATGCTGTGTCGAAACTGCCGCTGCCACAGTCCTCCCCCCATTGTCAGCAGCCCTCACCTGATGACCGCGATAGCAGTCTTACACACATGAGCGAAGGTGTCAGGATAATGGCAGGGATGTGGAGCCAGGTTGTTCCGGCGGATGTCCTCTCAAGACACGCGCTGACTGAGGGAAGTGATTTCTTCAGCGTCGGCGGAAGTTCTCTGCTGTTGGTGGAGCTCCGAGAGCTCATTGTGAAAGAGACAGGAGTCAGACTACGACTTGACCACATGTTTGGTGCATCCACACTGCAAGGCATGGCGGAGTTGGTCCAGGATACAAGGCTAGAGGTGGATACGCCAACACAAACAATGGTTGGCGACAAGATCGACTGGGATTATGAAACCACGCCTCCACTGCCGGACACGCAGAACCACACATGCGACCTCCCGAGCGACGCCCCGGAATTCGACGAGGTACAACACCCGAAGGTTATCATCTTGACAGGCGCCACCGGCCAGCTCGGTCGCGCACTGCTTACTCGACTATCCGACTGCCAGTCGGTCTCTGAGGTACACTGCCTCGCTGTTCGCGGCGCGTCGAGGCTTCCGAACAGTCCAAAGGTCCACACCCACCCCGGGGACCTGCGCGAGCCTAACCTGGGAATGCACCCGGCCGACGCAGCCCGAGTCTTCGCCTCCGCGGACACCATCATCCACAACGGTGCAGAGGTCAACTTTCTCAGGCCGTACCGTAGCCTCCGGTCGACCAATGTCGAGTCGACGCGCGAGATTCTGCGTCTGGCCCTGCACTCCCGTCGCAGGGGCAAGAGCATTGCCTTCCACTACATAAGTTCCGCAGCGGTATCCTTATGCGCCGAATGCGACTCTTTCGGAGAGGTCTCGGTGCGGAAGTATACCCCAGATGCCCTGGATGGGTATTCACAGACAAAATGGGCATCCGAGGTCATGCTGGAACGGGCGACAGAAGTCGCTGAAAACCTTGGACTGACCATACATCGACCTTCTCACATCATGGGTGAAAATGATTCAGATGAATCCCCGCTACACAACGGCAGTCCTGACCTGCTGGATGGCCTCCTGGACCACTGCAGGTTTATTGGGGCAGTGCCGAAACTGGACAAGGTCAGAGGAACCATCAACTTGGTTGCGCGGAATGATTGTGCTAGCAGCATTTTCGGCCATATCAACACTCCAGTGGGAGAGATGTCAACAAGGGGATTGAAGTTCCTGCACCATATTGGCGGTCAAAATATTCTCCTTGGGGATATTAACGGCCACCTTGCACAAACAGGAGGAGATACCGTGGAAGAGATACCGCTAGGCGAGTGGATGGAGAGAGCTAAAGAAGCGGGTCTGAGGAAAGACTTTGCTGCGTATCTGCAGGATCTCGAGCAGGGCAGCCACACGTACCACTATCCCATTCTACAGAAAGAGAGTTGTGATGGGCGTTAAGCGACTTTGATCGATTTGAGCCATTGGCGTCTGTCGAGAATGCCCCTCCCGAATCTTTGTTTCTTGCTTTGGCTGAAAAGTGGTTTCTGCCATGGTGGCTGTCTCACTTATCTTTTGAATTCGCATGAAGGGCTGGACATGCGCCAGAGGTACCATGGAGGATCCGTCTGATCCCATTCGTAACTTTAATCAACATTATTCGCTATGAGCGCATTAATGAATGGCCGTATGCGACGGTGTGTCCCTTGTGATGCAAAACTCCAAAACTCCCTGCTGAGCATTAAACGCGCATCCATCGTAGTCGACGCGTGCTTCAAAAAATATTCCGTCCCACATAATGCACTCTGTTCAGGCAGGCAAGTCTACCAAGCCCTCTTTGGCCCGAAAGACCTGTACAGACGATTCCGTGCCCATAGAAACGATTGCCAGAAACCGATCCGAGACCCCACCTCGTTGCCACTGCCTCAGCAAATGTGCCAATGCGTCTTGTGCAACCACGATGGGCCGCACGCCTGGAGAAGTGCAGCCGAGTTGGGAAGTCTCTGTCGTGCGGAAAATAACGAGGTTGACAGCGATATACTGGGACGAGTCCTCTGGGTTCATGGCGACGAAGAAGCGAGTGTCGTCTTTGCGCACCCCATCGAGTAACTCCATGTTCCCGGGGAATTGCCCGGCGTCCACGACCCTGGTCTGGGGAAAGTTTGCCTGCAGCGACCGTTCTGCTGCTCCGAACTGAGATGTGCGGGACGCCATGCGAGACTGACTTGTATTTTCTTGGGCTGTCATTCGAACGCGCTGCAGTGGCGCTTGACATTGCATGTCGTTGTCGAAGGGGCCGGGGACGATATATGTGGCCGGCTCGTCCACGCTGCGAACTCGGCCGAAAGCAGGGGGTGCTGACGCTCTGTTCGGGTTTGGGTGCTTCGTCCGAGGTAGTGTCGCCATGGCGCTCTTCGGCCGGGCGCCGAACATCCTCCTCAGTGTTTTCCTCATATTGTTGTGACGCGCGGTAGTAGCTGCCTCTCTGGATCTGGATCAATGGTGAGCACCGTCTGCATCGGCGTCTTGAGGCCTGCACACATGTTCTTATGCCTGAGGATTCGGCGGCTAAGTTTTCAGTCTTCTCCGCTGGCATCATTTCAGGATCAGGGACCCCTGTCTTTCAGGTTACTGTGCCTCAATGTGGACGGGAAAACAGTCCCAATCCGAACTTCGTGTTGCAATTCGAGTGCCGTTTTGGTCCCGGTGGATTCGCTAATGGTGCGCTAAATCTCGGAACCCACAGCTTTCTGGGGCGGTTCTCCTGCCAGTTTGGCTGGGTCGAGGCTCTAGCAAAGACGCCCGGAAATGAACGCAATTCAAGCGAGCGCCTTCTTCAGGTGCTGCCGCGCGTTGGGCTGCCAACCCTGCGCCACTAATGAGGTTCGCCGTGTCCGGAGACCATCCGTTGGACCCTCCATCCCTACAACCCCGGATTTTTATTACGCTATTGATGCACAAGGCTTCATGCGGTTGTCTTGGGCGCCACACAACGACTTTGCGCGATCAGGTCCGTCACGGGTAAAATTGAGTAGTGCTGGAGGGAATAAAGCCACTGTCTTCAATTTCGTCTTTGCTGGTGCAGTAAGGCCACGGTGCGTGTTGGGTCTTTGTATTTATGCAGGTCTGCCGGGTAATGTTTCCCTCAAAACATGACAAGAAGGTAAATAAACGACTCTTGCCAAGATGCCATCCCATAGTTAATCTGGCCAGCACAATACCTGCATTTCCTCGACCTCTCCAATGGGCACAATGCGTGAGCTACTAGTACTTGAAGATGCTTAATAGCCGCTGCAGACAGTTCGAATCTAGAGTCGAGATTGCCAGATACAAGCCCACATGAGTATCAACGGTGACATGCGCCCTAGTGAGTGACAGTCAAGAGAGACTTGGCCAATTTTTTCTCGGCAATGAAGATGCTAAGGGGTTTTGACTCAGTGGGGAAAGAAAGTATCTGTGTCACAGAATTGAGAGCTCTCGATTTCGCGGACAATCCAAGGGTACTCCATCGCTTCGTTAAATGCTCAAACAAGCAAAAGCCCATCACAGCTTTGATGTCTTCGCTCAATCATCATCATCCTCTTGGTCGTCTGACGAGCCACCAACGGAGCTCCCCCCTCCGCCCCATTCGTTTTCATCATCGTCATCCTCGCCCTCGGACTCCCCACCCGCGACATTCAATGCAACCGGACTGGCATTACCTGAAGCCTGTATAGGAGTTCCAGCCTGGGCCGCAACCCCATCACAAGATGCAGCCCGGGCTTGTCCCAGCCTCACCGTGAACGGCCCAAAACCCCTCCTCGTGGAAGCCAAGTTGGCCGTCGGGCGAGCGTTGGCCTGCCACTGCCTGCTCAGACAACGCCCATCCCATCACGCCATCGGCTCCCGTACTAGTAACCTCCGCACCAAGTCCCAGGGCACTGTCCATGCAGCCTTCACATAGAAATGTGAAGGTGAGAAACGAGTCGTTGACTGCCGTGGCCTCCGCGATGGCGAAACAGCAAAGTTTCCCACCACCTCGGGTGGGCCATCCTCGTTGGTGCCTTGCCTGAACGACGCCATCACGCCGCCTGCGCCATCAGACCATGCCGCGAGGAAGAAGCTGTCCTCCACATCGCCAGTGAGGCCTATGGCGCCCCGGCCCGCCCCATTGACGAGGGGAAAAGACATTTGTCCGGTGAAAGAGTCAACGGGTGTCTCTGGCATGGTCATCGCGAACCCGTACGAGCACCAAAGAAACGTCCCATGGTGAGGCCCGTTACGGCTTCGGTGAATGCGGTTGAAACCTGAGCGGCGGACGAAGTCGGCTCATCGTCATCTTGGGCGACGATAATGACGGAAAGGAGGAGTAGAATGAGACAAAAGGGAAGAGAGGCCCCAAATACTGGTCGTCTGGCCATTCTTGATTGTAGCCTGACGTGGGTATTTGCAACGTAGAGATCCGAATGGAGTCGAAAAGAGCTAAATGGCGTTTCCAATAAATTGTTGTCGAAGCTAGAAAAGGTGTCAATGCCAACACCTCGAGGGATTGTAACATCTTTATGAACGTTCAACGAAAATGCAGACACGTGGTCGCGATTTGAGCACGAAGACAGTGCCAGGCGGAACACCAAATGCATGGCACCTAAGCAGCCCAGCTAACTTGGCTCCTTGTCGGCGCCTCAGAAGACTTGGGAGGTTCATGATGTTATCTCGAACCAATCATTGGCGAAAGGAGTATTCTGACCGTACAGAAGTATGATAGAAATAAAATAAGCTACACTTCAGCTGACAGACGATGAGTCAACACATGGGATGGCTGGTAGAAGCTAGGAGCAGTGAAACTAATTGCAACCAACCAGGCACAAGGGAAAGGCGCATTTGCTGTAGGAGGATTCGGCAAAGAAGTCGTCCGAATTAACGAGGTCAGAGCTTGTGTGCGATGAGGCGGCGCCTGCCGCATCAGATAGTAGTTTCGATCGACTTGGCTGTGTGGAGAGTGAGGGGATCAAGAATAGGCCAAGAGCTCGTAGTCTGCATGCGGCTGAACGTCCAGGCCATCTCATAGGCGCCACGCATGGGTGGTGAAGGGGCTAGTCGGGACGAACTGTTTGGCATCCTAGCTAATCATGATAATTTCTGACAGCGAAGATCTTTGGGACGAACGTTGTGGCCGCCCACAGCGGCCCATCTAGGTCCGCTTGGCCCTGCCAAGTCCCTTGCCATCCAAACGGCCCAAACACGCGAGACCGACGGGAGGGCTGTCTCGCTTGCGTCTTATCCCGAAGCGACCATTTTCTAGCTATGATGAACCAAGCATGTACCTGCAGGCGATTTTATCACCTGATTCGAGAGTGCCCGTTGCTCAAGCTGCGATGTATTACTCCTGTAAAGGCACTGCGCGCCCGGAACACTGACATGAATTATAGTCTATCAAGCCGTCCTCGCCCATGAACCACTCAAAACCCATCCAGCCAGCTCAGGCAGCCTTGGCTGCTTAGGCAAAACTCCGCAGCTCATGCACGACGATGTCCTTCGGAATGAGCTGGTCAGAACACGTCACATGTCCACCTGGGCACACTCCGAGTCGGTCTCAAATGTCATCTTAAAATGCTCTCGCACCGCAACAAGGGGTCCCCTTCAACCAACCCAAGCGAGCTTGTATGGCTTCCAAGTATGCCAATCCAGACATGTCCGTCTCAGGTGCAGGCTACCATCTCGCTGAATCTGAGCCTGCGTGCATTGCCGTGTGTATGGCCAAGCGTGGCGGTGACCATGGCATCAGCAGCCCCTGAGTTTCTGTTTGCGAGCTGCATCACTTGTGGCGTGTCTCGACAGGGTAATTAAATTCAAGCCGACCCAGCTTGTCTTTCGTTGGCCTCACTGGCTTTTCGAACGGCGACTAGTGAGTCTTCTGAGCGATGACGGCCGCAGGACCAATGACCTCCTTTTCTTCTCCGTCGAAATCGGTTGTTCCTCAGCGCCGCTGTTCACATCCATCACATCATCCGGGAACGCCATCGCCCTCGGGCTCGCGGCGGGTAACTCATTCAGCCTGGAATAGCGCGACTTCGGCTTCCACTTGTCGGAGTAGTTGGTAAACGTCCGAGGCGGCAGGTCGAAAAGGTGATCATAGACGGGAGGGCCGACTTGTGCCGGCTCCTCGACTATTACTTCCTGTCGAGTTGGCTGATCGAGCGTGCTGGTTTCTGAGTATATGCTGGAGTTGTAGGTGGGTCGCCTGAGCGGCAGCGGAAGCGACCCGGCCGGGTGGTCGTCGCCTAAATCCAGCTGCGCCTCCAGCTCTGAATGCCGAGAGCTGCCGTAGCCGCTGTCTGAACTGCTGGACCCATTCCATGAATCGCGTTTCGAGGCGCGATTTGAGTTGTACTGCCCGGCCGTGACATTATTTGCGTAGGAAGTGTCGATTGTGTCGATTGTGTCCTTGAGGCTCTGTCCGCATTCGTGACAGACATGGACGTGGTGCGGCACGCCATTGTCTCCAGACCTGGCACTGCCTTCCCTGATGCTTCTCCTGAACCTCTTGAACATTTTGTCTTAGCTTGCTAGTTGCACCGCCAAAGGGATAAAGTGTAGTAGGGTTGACTGGAGGGAGAAAATCAATTGTGCTGCTCGATGGAGAACGTTGGGCAAGGCGATCTAGTTGAATGGCAGCTTGAGAGCGGTATCCGGGAGAGAAGAATGATTCTGGAGTGGCGGTGCGCCCACACCGGAACGGCATCGTGCTGATATTTCATCCATCATATGGATCTTCATGCCACGCGACGGGCAGTCCGCATGGCAGCCGCTGAAACCGACAGCCGCGTACCCACATCCCGCTCATCCAATCAAAGCAGCTCCACGGAACATGCACAAAAAGGGGCTAAAACTGACCCGAAACCTTTCACGACGGAGAATGCAGATGTTGTGCATCAGCATCACCATGCCTGGCTCACAAACTTGAATGTGCTTACCTTGAATGCGTCTGGCATGTGTTTCCTTTCCACAGGGAGCCCTACCTGAAAGTCATCTCGAATGAGAAGAGTCATCTCATTCGAGATGAACCGTGATCGGATGATCGGACCGGGGGCGCCAATGATACGTCTAATGTCGGTGGCAGTGTGGGTATTATCTCGCATGCTATTGAATACTTGCACGATTGAAGACTACGTATTTAGTCAGTATCAACCGGTCAAGCAAGCGAGAATGGAGCCGAAATACATGATTGGCGCCTGCACATATTTTTGGTAAAGAACGCACACGGCGGGAAGATCAACTTTAAAGTCCCCCGAGTCCGAAGACAGTCAAGCGTTGAGTCCCGGCCAACAAATCCCCAACGGTTTTGAGGACTTGTGGACCAAAGAATCTGTTGAACCAGCAGCACGGCCTCGACCAGCGCTTTAACATCAGAACCAGTCATAGGTCATATGGAATTCGCTTCTTCTTGGACTTGATGTGTCCCTGCAGAAAGGAAAGACACTTTGAATATTGCCTCTCGGTTATGCAATCCTAAGTCCAATTTCGAGGCGGTGCATACATGAAAGAGATGTAAGGCAACCTGCGTTTGTGGTAGCAAATCCTCTCTTACCAGGGTAAGCAATCAGTCAATGACACAATCACGCGGGAGCATTGCCGGACATCGAGGGTTCCCCCTTTCTTTTTCTTTATTACTAATTTTTATTTTATTTTGTCGGGCAGAACAGCTGATCTAAGTCTTTAAAGTCTACAGCCGTCCAAAACAAGCAGCAGTGGAATTCCACTCAAACCGCATGTCTCTGCGTGTAGACCCCAGAAAGTGTCTCAAAAGTCAGAAGGCGAAAAGTCGAACCACAAACATCCTGACTCAATCCAGCCACCCCATCCACCATTGTCGCAGTCCGTGTAATCACGAATGAGAGTTGACTTGCAGTTATCGACACTCGGGAGAAGTTGCCCTTGGGTCATCTGCCTGCATGTATCGCTTGCGTCCGGCGTCCACGATATAGTGAAGCGGTAGTCGACCTATCTACCCCAGATTTGGTTAATTTCATCTCGTCGTCGGAACTAGGTCTTCTGTGGGTTCCGGGATGTTACTTACGCCGCTCTCGGCACGGCCATACGCAATATGAGGTGAGTTCGGGGTCAATACAGATCCGGCAACGTAGGAATTCGAGTTGCATAACATACCCGCGATTCGGGTCACCGCATCAGACGAGACGGGTTCATTTGGGCTAGTTGTCGGAGGCTTGGAGTGACAGTGCGGTCCGCCTGTTGGAGAAAGGCCCGAGTGTCGGCTGCTGTGATGGCGACGACGAGGTCGGAGACGAGGTCCGAGACGGAGCCACAGACATGGTAGATGTGTTTTGGTAGGGATAAAAGTCAAGGAGGAGACATCCAATCTGGGTCACGCCTCCCCATCCGCCGTTATCACCTGTCGAGCAATGCTGTTGGCGTCATGTTGCATGCCTGCGGTAGTCAATATCCCAATATGGTGTGGGTCTATTCTGCTGAGACGTGATGCTGACTTACAAAGTTTCCAGTCGTCATGATAGATGTTTCTGCAGTCTTGCTCACTGGGTAATTGCTGAGTGGTGACTCCACCAGGGCAGCCGTCAGTGGTCCATGCCAAGCTGTAATTATACGCCACACCATCAATCGGGCCATCAACACCTGGTATGGGCTTGGCATCTTGATCAAAAACCGCAGAGTCTTTGAAATGGAGCCGACAGTACCGAGCTGCGAATTCAGTCACGTTGTTCTCGTAAATTGGGCTTGAGACCGAGGCGGGTGCTGCATAACAACAGGGAAGCGCCGTGGGAATGGTAGCACTGGTAGTCAGAGTCGAGCTCTTCGTCGGACTGGCCGAGTGGGAAATCGTCAGTGTCTAGCTCGGGCGGGTCATCGACGTTGCTGATGTAGTCTCAGTCGAACCAGATGTTGTCGGACTCCCGGTGGGGCCCGAAATATAGCTGGTCGATAACAGAGTTGTGATATAGTCGGTGAAGACGGCACTGGTGTAAGTCGGGCTCGCTTCGGAAGGAGGGTCTGCTACCAAGGGGCACGAACCGGCTTCGAACATTCCGGCGGGAAAGTCGGGAACCTGGAGGCAGCGTTGTGGACCATGGGCCACTGCATTAAGCACAATTAGCATACACATTCAACGACATCCGACTGCCTGAGATATGAGTCCATTGCACACGCCATGCTGCATCAGGCAGCTGTGGGCATCACAAGTGTGAGAGTGTTACTTACTATTATAGGCGACATTGACACGATCAGGAATAGGGAAAGTCCCTTGCCAGGTGTTCCAGCCTCGCTCACTCATGACCTTGTTTGCGAGCTCGTTGTCCGGGAGTCTCTGATAGGACCAGCGGATGAGTGCTGCCTTCACCCGCTCGCCCATGCTGCCCTTCGAGTTATCGGATGGATCGAATGGGTTGTTGGTGGCGTCTTTCCAGGGATACGTCAGGAAGTTGGCAACGAGGCCAGCCTGAGGGGTAATCGAAGCTTAGCAGTTGATCCAAGAGGTTGGGCAATGGTTCCGGGTCTCAGCTCACCACAGCAGGAGCTGAAAAGCTCGTTCCAGCGTCGTTGTCCATCACCTGGCCGTTCATAATGCCGGTTGAAACTCCATCAGCCAGGGCATAGACAGTTGAAATGACACCAGCTTGTGGAGAATCAGGCGTCGTCATCGGCCACAGGCTGCCGTCGGCATACACTCCCTCAACGAGAATAAACGGGCTGTTCTTGGTGATCCACCTGTGAGGATATGTCTCTGCCAGGAAGGCGTCAGGTGCATTTCCTGTGTATTGGAGGCCCCTATTTCCTGCGGCGACAACAATGGTGACTCCAAGGTTGTTCAGCTTCGTTGTCCACTCATTCCAGGCTGCAAGCCAGTGGTCTTCAGTGTCGAAGTACATCCACTTATCACCCGTGGTGAAGAAGTCTAAAGAATAGTCCGATGATGAGCTCGCTCTTCAAGGTGTGTTCCAAGGCTATTTGCGTCTGGGGGGGGGGGGTTTACTCGCAGTACATGAGATACACGGTAGTCCCAAATTCTTGGTCCATGCGGGTTTGGGTTGTTGAATCCGTCCAGAAACTTGATGAGATGGACCGGTGCTAAACCCAGTATCAATCACGAATGTCCAAGATCCCTCACCACGCGGACTCTGGAAATAAAGGTTGTCCTCTTTTGTAATGCCAAATCCCTTCTTCATGGAAAAAAGTTTCTGGTAGTCGAAAGCTTGTGATTGTGAGGAATCCGAAGTGGGCTCGGATGGTGGCGGGTCATCGTCCTTGATGTCGGTGGCAGGAGGGCTCCAGGTCTTGCTTACATCATCCAGACATGTTCTCTGAGCCCAGGAATCATTGCGGTCTTTGGAGGCCCTGGACCAGATGCCCATGCAGCGAACGAAATCTACTGCGTGGTGCATCTGAACGAGGTCGACTTGTCGAGGGTGGACATCCATCACATAGGCTGCGCCCATGTCCGGGACGTAACTGGCATCAGCACCAACATCGGACCCAGCTGCTTGTTCAAGCAGCGGCTTAAGCGACTGCAAGTCTGCGTACGTAGTTCCTGGTTTGAGCTGCATGTCGTAGCGCGGATACCAGTCATCTTCGTCGTCAGGCTTCTTCTCTTCCTCGTCGGGCTGGTCGAGGTGATCAAAGTCCCATTGCGTGCGGCACAGCCGATGAGCTTGCTGCCATCCCGTAATCAGTGAGCCCCAATTACCGACAAAGTCGAAGACGGTGTTCCGGTAGTATGAGAGGGTGCTGTTGAGAATGGCCTCGATGATCTTCAGGATGACATTCTTGTGGGCGACGTTCTTGACTGAGGTGACTGTATTCATACTCGTATGAATGTCGCTGTGCTTGGCGAGAGCTCGGCAGATGGCACTCTGTTCGAAGTTGTTGGCGCAGTCTAAGCAGACGTTGAGCTCCGAAAACTCCATATCGACTGTATCGATCCAGTCTTGTATGTTTGAATGGGAGCCATGTACCGTGCTCTTTTGAGAAGCGCGGCATGGTTCATCCTATCAGTGAGATACCCTAGGTCCAGGTATTACGTGGTGGCAGCATCACCTCGTTGGAATTCACTGGGTAGTTGATGGTGTGGTTGTCTTTACAAAGCCTGGAGGGGATATCCACTATATAATATAGCAGGAAAAGTTTGCCCCGCCTCTTTGACGGCCGGTGGACTTGATACTGCGATCATGTGCTCTTCTCGAGCCTCGTGGCAAGCGTAAGGGATGGGATCAAAACGAAACAAATATGAAATTTCTACGTCGAAAGGCTACTGGAAGTAGAAAAACTGGAGTAGTTTCAAGTTTCTTCATGATACTTCGACTTATTGTTTTGGTTTGATTCGAAAGCCCGGTGTCTGCAATCAATCTTTCTCAAATCATCTCTTTCTCTCGCCCGACAATCTTGGACGGCGCAACTGGGCCACATTCCGAAGCATCATAGCGACCCTGGTGGCTCTCCAGCATCCTCATTCCACTTAGATCTTGAGTCTCAAGCAATACGTCGGCATCGGCAGTAGACAGACCCAAGATACGACAGGAACCTCGCAGAAATCGGCCGCATCGTAGTCCGAGTTTCTCCTGGATTCTATTTCACCCCGTCCTATCTCGATTGAGGGCATACAACTAATTCATAATTGTCAGAGACTATCAAGATGGGGCATATCTACATGGTTATAAAGCTCTAGCCAATGATAAAGTAGACGGATTAAGTTGATTTGAAGGTACCGTGCTAGCATCCTGAGTAGCGTTGCTTAGGCGAGGTTCGTTATACACATCAAGTACTAGGCGGGTGTGAAATTTGCACACTGTACCTGTCCGGGCATCATGGTTTTACTCGACTACGCGCCCAAATGAGAACATTCCCGCCACAATAACCTTCACTACCAGACTCGGAATGCTAAACCACCAATAATATTAAGCCTTGGTGACGTGACCAATATTATGCCGCAGCTGGCGCTTTCCACATCAAGGTCGCAGATTGCACAGTGAATACTCTCAGTCCTCGATCACTCACGTTGATTGATGGGACCATAACGGTACCGGAATCCGACCTGTGTATAGCTAAAAATAATAATGAAAAACGGGCACCACACAGATAGAGGTGCGTAGTTCTGCTAGAAGCCCCAGTGCTATGCCAAAGGGCACTCTAACGCGAGGAGGAATAAAAGAAGATCATAAAGCATAGGGTCGAAATAATCACAAAATTCTGTCTTCAAAAATAATAGAGGGGAGTTGATTGTTCTGATCAGAAAAGATCTAAAGCAACGAGAGGAAGCCGAAGCTCTCATGATAGCTACCGGAGAAAAGAATGGCCGAAATGCTCACTATGCATTCCCTGCACCCTGCAACAATAACATCGCCATTTTATCGTTCAAAAAAAAAAAAAAAAACGACTTCCGGTTTCAATCTCATCTCCATAGCTCAATTGTGTACCATCGGTGAGAAATAGCACGAAACGTAATCCCCTGTCTTGCCATGATTAAACGCGACATATGACAGGCCTCCGACTTTGGAATAATCTTGCCGCGGCCTATTTAATAAGGATCAGAGTTAGCTCAATTCCAGACAAAACAGCATGCGAACACAATGTACTCACAGCGTCGCAGCCTGGACAGCACCTCGCGCAAACCTCGAGGCGTGGTCATCCCACCCCAAGGTAGACAATGCCTCGGTAAGGTTAGCCACAGCGTGTAAGTCACTCTTGTTCGTCTGGCACCATGACGTATGGGCCTTGACATCAATGCGCTCCTCCCAGGGCCGCAGCTCAAAGACGAAGTAGGTGCCGGGTGTGTTGGTGCTGGGGGTCACGAGGGGCCTTGGCCTGGTCATCAGCAAGACCGTCCCTCTCGTCGAGCAACAGGTGCCAGATCTTCAGGGCCTGCTCGACCCCCTTCAGACTTATATCGTCTGTCTGTGCGCCACCAAGCGTCATCATCTCGCGGACGACAGATTTGGAGTTCGAATTCACTCCGCAGTAGATCTTGAATCGTGCCTTTGAGGGGTCAATGCAGTCGACAGCTATCATCACCGCAGTGCAGCCTGGGGAATATGTGTCCATGAACCTCTCTAGCTTGGCGGCAGGAACGGCGAAGGCATCACCATACGGCTGGAGGCTGCGAATCTGGTCGAACACGAGCTGCTTTGTGCTCAGACCCGTGGCGAGGTGCTTGAGTATGGGAAAGACGTATGCCTTGAGGGAGCACTTCTCTCTCTTCAAGTCAAACGCAAAGAAAACCTGCGGAATGCGGCTCTTGTGCGGTGGCAGCTTGGCCTTTGCCGCCTGAGCTTCCTGGCCTGTGACATTCCAGGCGTCCCATACCTGGTTGAACCACCGGAGGTCGGCGTCGTCGGAGACATAGCGAAGAAGAGGGGACAAGGTGGGCATCAGGTCGCCTGGGAATGGGTTTTCTGGAGTCCCTGCATTGTCCCAGAGAGGTTCGAAGCTGTATCGCACAATGTTTGAGTCCTGTTGGAAGTTCCACGACGGCTCAACGGGCGAACCATCGATGGTGAGCATTGACGTTACTTTAGCTCGTTCTGGTGTCGGGCCCAGTGTTGGAATCACAACATCTCTGAAGATGCGAAGGTGCTTGGACTTCTGCTCTGGGGTATAGGAACCAGAGTTGTCAAGGAGGGTCGCAAGGAGTGGCGCGCAGCGCGTCCACCAGTAACTATGATCATGCTCAACCGGTGGCCTGACGTTCTCAACTGTGATTGAAGTCTGACGGTCTGAACCATTGACTTCGCTTGCAGCGAAAATACCGTTCAGTCCGGGCTCCTTGACAGTCGGCAGTGGAGCCTTCATTGTGGCGTCTTCTATAACAGAGGGCATGATGACTAGTGGGCAGCAGGAAAATGTCTTTGAGTTATGGTATAGTGTTTATTCCAGGGTTGAAGCCATTAAATCAGGGCTCTGGCTGGGGTTTGTGCAAATCATGAGAGCGATATTCTTTTGAAAAGGAGGAAAGCGCTCTGACTGTAGCTTTTTTATAAGTCACCCGTATTGGTTTCGATGGACGAAGTGAGGGTATCTAGTAGAATCCGTGTCGCATTAAGCTCTAAGTCAAGTGGCCCACATTCGGCCCACCCGGGGATTCGGTCCATTCCACACCCGCGTACGCGTCATGTCTACCATTGCCTTTCCGTGAGAGTTTCCCCTGATACGACTGCCGGAAATGGCGTATACCGAAATCCACCATCCTGCTTGACCTTCATGGCACGCGCAGATCTCCAGGGATGGTTGTCTCATGATCATCTCAATCTGTAGTCGCTTGCCATCAAGTTAAGGTGACCGACGTGTGCGGTCCTACTACAATGTGCGAAAATGCCCAACAAGAATGCCAGTTTGAGTTTATATTCGCAGCTCTTTGTGGAGAACTCCGTTCAGTCTTGAGGTTTCAGACTCGCGGTTGTCACATGCTTTGCGGACGTCCGGGTCATTTGTGTGAAATTTAAATTAATTTCCATCCGAAGTAAACTGCCTTTATACAGGGATAACCTTATGGGCTTCCCGAAACTGGTTCGTCCCCCAAAAAAGCTTAAAATGTTCCTTGTTGAACGTGAAGTATGATACGATGTTAGGATGAGTTGCACTGGCATTGCTGGTTAAAACCTTTTCCAGCATTCTCATGGATGGTGGTTGGGGCTCATTGTACTTGGACCTTGGTGTTGATTCCTCTCTATCCGCGAAAACTCAGACGCGGCCTTTGTCCCAGACTACATGCTCTCACTTGTTTACCAAAATCACCTCTAATTACGGGAGGAAACGGGTGCACAGACAAACTTACCGGATGGTCGATATCGTTGGATGCCACAAACATGAATCTATGCGCATTCAGTAGAGCGAAGTAACTAACACTGTCTAAAATGTTCCGCCACATGTAAAAGAGCCGGGTCGAATCACTAGATTGTCGGGCGTTCCCGAAAACAGCTAGCCCAGGGAAATTGCCTGACGAACAAAAGCAGCCAACTTGGACACATACGGACTTCGCTATAGCCAAGTTAGCAATGGATCCACTGCATGTTAGACTGGTGGGTGGCAGGATCCAGGGCCGTTAAACCTACAGTCAAGGAGAAATGATGAGCGCCTTCCAGCCGTTGGCACAAAACGGCAGCTTCATCCACACCAGGAACTAGCTCTTCCCAACCCGCCGTCGAGAAGTCTGTCCTCTGTACAGTCAAGAACTTCATTCCCTCAGTGTCATCTGGGTGCGGCTCGAGTGGTTTATCAGCGCCGACAACGCTCTCGCCCGCCCATATGCACGCGACGGTCTTGAGCCGAGCCGACTGGGCCCGCGTGAGCGGCTCGGCGACGTAGTGCTGCAAGACGGCAATGGTGCCGTTGAAGTGTGGGATCAGCCACTCGGGCGCCTTGCGAGCCTGAGGGCCCGACCAGCCGCCAAAGATGCCTTTCCGCTCGCAATACTCGTAGAAGTGATCTGGCAACGGATCCATGCCCCTGATTGGCGGCGGTGCGTCGATCAGCACGAGGCCGGCCAGGCTACCTGGGCTCTTGCGGCCGGGTGAAACCGCATCCTCCTGTTGCAGTAGGCACTGTGCGGCGCGGTACGCGAGCGTGCCTCCAGCAGACCATCCGCCGACGTAGTACGTATGCTTCGTACCAACATCCTCCGTGTGCCGTAGCTCGAGGCGGCGGTGCAGCTCGGGGAAATAACCCTGGTTGATGAGGGCATCGAGAGGACACATAAACATGGACGCTTCTTTCTTGAGGAATGGACAGTTGAAAGCAATGACGCAGATGTCGCCATTCGGAGAGATGGGAGGTATGGATGCGTATGAAGTGGCTGAGCCAGAACCATCGGGAAACAGGAAGAGCGTTGCGCGGGCCTTCTTGGGTGACCCTTGGAGGATAACCGATGTAGCCTGGGGGACCTGGGGATGGCTGGTGGGTGTGGGTGAAAGCATCGAAGTGTCTTGTGCGCATGTGCTGGCTGGGAGGCTGAGCGGTATCGATGCTGTATTTGTTGTTGCCCTCCACTTCTGTACCTTCAGTGGATCCGGGGCTCGTCTTTCACCAACCAAAGCAGCCTTGAGAGTTGCGACAGTAGGGTAAGCCATGAACAGAGTGTTTAGGTCAAGATGGTTGAGAGAATCCCCAAGCTCTTCACGAAGCCGGCTGGTGATTGCCAGGGACAGTAAGGAGTCAACGCCCAGATCCGCCAGGGCCAGGTTGTCGTCGTCAATATCACCCAGCTCGTAGCCGCTTTCTTCCGAGATTATTTGCAATGAACGTTTCACGACTCCGCCAGCAGCGTCACGATCAGCATACTGGCTTGCAATCATGTCGTTATTGAGGCTTAAAGCTTCTGCCGTCAGCGGTGTCGGTGGTGCCGAGTGGGAGGCAGCAATGTTGACCTTGATATGAAGATGTTGGTGGTCTCGACCTCGAAGACCTGAAGTGGTGACAGGGGCAGCATGAGTTGGCCGAAGTGGCTGCTCGAATTCTTGAACGGGAGATACCAGAGTTGGTGATGGAGAAGGGCTCGCTTGTCGTGCAGGCTTCGGTGGTACGTCGTGCCGGTGATCGACCTGGCTCAGATGACTCTTCACCGACTGTGCTTTGGCATTCCTGTACGCACCCCCGCCCTCAGCCCGTAACAGGATGCCCAATACACGTCGTGGCAGGCGCTGCACCGAATATCTCTCAAACAAGGCGACCACTCTTGCAACGCCGTCATCCTCGCTCATATCAAGCACCACTATGTCCCCATACCAGATGTGGTCTTCACCTTCTGTCATGTGCACATAGACAGTGTACGCCTTGGTTAGCTCCAGCTGCTCAAAAAGGTAGAATGAGCCCCAGCCATGATTTATGTAAGCCTCCCTGTCCAGATCAGCAGTATCTGCTCCATTCAGCGCGAAGCCAGCCGGCTGCGTCAGCGCGTCAACGATCCCCGGATGGGTGTGGAACGAGCCAGCGGGTTTCCCGTCCTCGCCGAGAAGCTGACCAAAGCTGACCCGTGCTGTAGCCTCGTGCGTCTGGCTGTCCAAGACAATGTCTTCGACCAGCTTATGGTCCGGGTGGAACTCGGCCAGCGAGCTGATCATGCGGTACATCATGTTGCACGTGAAGCGGACGGTCCGGTGAGCCGCGATGCCCTGCCGGAGGGCTTGGACCAATTTTGCGTAGGAACCGGCCATGTCGAATTGTTCAATGTGCTTCATGACCTCGCTGTTGGTGAACATGATTGTGCACTGGGCGTGCTGTTGGGGCTTGTTGCGACGCTGCATAAATGTGAGTCTCAAGTGGCCAGCGCCATCTGGTCTAAGAAATAGCTCAACACTCGTGAAGGGGGAAGGGGAATGGACTTGGATGAAGCAAAATCTGACTCCGTCCCTACTTACGTCAAGTGTGCTGAATTTACAAATGGCCGCATTATAATCCCAGTCAGCCTCAACATGTGCTCGCAGCGTTTGTGGGCCGGACGGCTGGGCAATCAACGCCTTCGTCACAGCCATGTCTTTGATGTTGATCAGTCGCTCTGGACATCCGTGACGGTATCGCTGCTGCATGTATTTCCCAAGCGAAAGAGCAATGTCAGAGTAGATAGACTGAAGTAAAAAGGTTTTGTATCAGCCATTGCCTCGTGCAGACGGATTCTCTCAATGGCTTTGTTGAATATCACTTACCGGCGTGCAGAGCGGAACTCCGTCCACGACGTGCCCCTGCACGATCCCATGAAGGTCATGACGGGAGATGTCAGCCTCGACAACCAAGCGTAACTTGTCGACGTCTTCGTCCACCAGCTCGGTCTCCTCGATAATTCTGTGTATGGTCGTGCTTTCGAGCTTGGGGACCTCGATTGCCTTGCGCGCATCACCCTTGTGGAGTGTCCAGTCGTTCACGTACGGCACCCAATACTCCTTGAGATCCCAGCTGTACGCAGGAAGGATGCTGATCGCTCTCCGGCTTCTCGGTGGCAGATCGAGATAGAATTGGTCCCAGTGGATCTTGGCTCCGGCATGATACAACGTCCGCATCGTCTCCGTCAGGTGTGACCACATCAGCACCATGTATTCTGTTTGTGGTGCATCTCCAACCCCAACTCTATTGCGAGTGCTTGAGCGATCCGCCAAAGGTTTTGGCGCTTCTGGTTCCATTTCCTGTATGATGCACTGGTCTGGGATGGCATCTGATGAGTGACAGGCTGCGACAAGATCTGATTCCGTAGAGACACCGACCGGCTCGCTTTCGAGGTCTTTTAGCTTGGTGATGCATAGTATGTGACGACTCAAGAGCGTCTGGTTGTCTTCACCTGCATGGGACAGAACATCCAGCCGCGCTTTTGAAAAACCTATCTGCTGGCTTGGTATCCCATCGCTAGCCTTGGATGTGATCAGCCTTAAGACGGGGATTTGGGCCTTGTGGTACACCGTGAGGCTGTCCAGTCTTTCAAATTCCGCAGTGGCGGCGGAATACCAGTCTTCTCCAAGACCTGACTGCCGCCTCTCTGTTTGCTGCAGCAATCCAAGTTGGATGGAGGCGCCGGCTAGGTAGATTGCGCCGGCGTCGGAAAGCACACCCGCGACGTTCAGAGCCGAGTAGATATTCACGTCGCCGTCGCTGACAGCTGCGACTGGCTGAATGCCCCAAGATCTCCATAGCCTGGACAAAACAATCTGCGTACACACGTGGGCAAGTTGTTCCGCCATCTCGCACACTCCGGTGCTGTTGTCAGAATGTTGACCCTGGATCAGCTGGTGCGGCCCATGACGTCGAACCGACTGCGTGTACCTGCTGGCAAGCGGTCTCACAGGCTGACTGGTGTCTGTGCCGTTGTACGAGTGCTGAGACTCGAAATGTTGACGCGACTCGCCACAGCCCTTCAACCCTAATGCTTTCATGACAGGGGGAAGGCCGAGACGTCTCACGATCTGTTCCAGATGGTAGGTGTCCCTTCGAACGCGAGAAAACCTTTCGTAGAGTTGCCTGAAGTACGGTTTGCATGTGAGGGACCCAGTAAAGGTGAAGACGATCGGCCGAGTCATCACTTCATGATCAGTGTTGGCGACTTGCAATGGCCTCACATCAGTCAGGGCGGAACCTCGTTCCATTCTTGTTCTTTGCAGTTCGGCAAATAGCTGAGCACAGAGATCCGCAACTGAAGAGACAACGAGCATAGTTCGATACGAGTAATGGTTGCGACGTGCCGTGGTTGTATATGAAAGCTGTGCGAGGTTGATCTGACCCCGCGTAGCTTCATTCTCGAGCCAGAGGTATAGGTTCGCTATATTTCTATAATGGGATTTCTTGCTCTTAGCGGAGATGGCTATGATATAGGACGTAGGTTGATCCGTTCCGAGTGGATGGTCCAGTGCCGCGGAACACTCGTGTAGTTCATGTTCCTGCAATGGAGCTTCTTCCAGTATCAAGGCTGAATTTGCGCGTGCGATCATACCCAGGTCATACACAAGTGCACGCTTTGGCTGGCTTCGAGACGATGCTTTCGCTCCATTGCCCCATTTGATGGCTTTTCCGGTGGAGATGTGAACGTTGCGGTGTTTAGCCAGCTCAACGGGGAACTTGGAGTTGACCCGCGTATGTATTCCGATGTGCGGCGGTATGATGTTCTCCCTGAACATTAGCAGTACTTTGATGATACTGCTCAGTCCCGAAGTCGCCTCACCATGACCGATGTTCGCCATAGCACTTCCAAGATATAGTGGCATGGCTCTACTCGTGCCTGCCACTTTTGAAGCAGATGTCGGTGCAAGAACATCCACTGCACATGCAACTCGGCTGGCATCCCCAACCTTGGTACGAGATCCGTCCATCTCGACGTATGTGATCGATGCTGGGTCCATGTTTGATCCTTTGAGCACCTTGATAAACAGGCTCTTCTGGATATTGTTCTGTGCCGAATCATACCCGACTGAGGATGCAGAGTTGTAATTTGTGGCAGCTCCTGCAATAACACCAAGAACGGTGTCGTTCTCAGCCACAGCGTCCTCGAGCCTCTTGAGCACGAGAGACACTACCGCCTCCCCGCGACAAAGGCCATCAGCTGTCTCATCAAAGACCTTGCAGTTGCCACTGCGGGACAGCAAACCTGCTCGGTCCAAGCCGGCGTGTACAGCCGGGTTCGTCATCACGTCAGCCCCACCCACAATACACATGTCGGTCTCCTGTACCCAGAGCGAACGACAGGCAATGTGCACAGCCGCCAGGCTGGTGGAAGATGATGTGTCGACAGAAAGACTTGGGCCACCAAGGTCAAAGGTCTCGGCGATGCGTCCTGAAATGAAGGCCCGGTTACTTGCGCGCATGTAGTGTGAGTCGACCTTCTGGGTGGCATTACAGTCTCTCCATTCGTTGCCTTACACGCCACAGTAAACCCCGACGCGGTCCCGCCGCGTGGAAGGTGTAGCAAAATCTCCATCGACACCGCTTGTCCAGACTATTCCGGCTTGTTCAATCGCCTCGTAGGTTGTCATGAGTGCCAGTCGCTGTGCTGGGTCCATGCGGGTGGCCTCTTGAGCCGAAATTCCGAAGAAGTCCGCGTCGAAAACATCCGGATCATTTAGCCAACAGCCCAAAGACGTCCTGCTGAAATTCTTCTTCCGTCCTGACGGATCTACGTGGGTCTTGGTGTTCCAACGTAGCGGCGGGACTTCCTTGCTGACATCAAGTCCAAGCCGAAGGATGTCCCAAAGGGCATCCGTGGTTGCGGCCTCCGGAAAGCGGCCTGCCATGCCAATGATAGCGATCTTGTCCTCGTTCGGACGCGAATTTGACTTCGCAGCTATCGTCCGTCTAAAACCATTGTTCCCAGGGGCCCTCTCTGACAACGACGGATTCTGCTGTTGAAGACCAGTGTAAATCAATTGGTCAACGGTCGTCGCCACAGGGACCACCCTCAGTGCAATATTTCCACGCATATTTTGCAGTCTTGTTTGCAATGTCGCAAGCACCGGGTCCCAGCGAATGGGTTGTAACAATATTTGCTCTACCGCAGACTCCAGCACAGCCTGAAAGTCAACTTGACTGTTTGCGGCCTCCGCAACATCTCCTGTTGTGCTGGAAACAAGCGGTATCCGAACCGTCGATCTACATGCGACTGAGGGACTTCTCCTGCAAGCTGAGGCGTGCACAGGATGTACGGCTTGTTCGACATCATTATGGTTGTAAAGATGAGGTGCATGATATGGTGCAAAAATCTGCAAAGGTCGAGGCTTCCGTTGTCCAAGCTTCGAGGACGAAGATTCCGCAGATCATTGGTCTGAATATCGTACGTCTGGTCCCAAAAAACACACACGTCGAAAGATGATTGATTCTCCATAGTGACAGAGGAATCCCGAGTGATTCGTATCAGTGTGGTGTAAGTCGTTATTAAGCTTGGAGACGCCGCTTGTGGGCTCATGTAGAGGTGAAGTCTCCAGACCAGCACGATTGGCTTTGCCTCACTTCATCTGCTCAACTTTGGTAATTACATCCAGCCAGAGGCACGTGAGGGAACATTTCTATCAACACTGCGTTTGTTGCACGAGCCGGGTCTCTCGGTCAAGGTGCGTTTGCTCCATCACTAGGAAGTATTTCGGTACTTTTCACAGCCTTCAGGCTTTGGCCACACTGTGTTTTTTTAATCAACTGTCCATTGGTTTGTGTGCTATCTGCTTAGCTTTCTGATTATCCCTTAAGCCTAAGCTTATATATAAAGTCACATATAGCTTAATATATAAACTTTATCCTTGATACGCTCGGTCAACATCGTGGTGATTCTCACGTCCTACCACCCACGGCTTGGTGTTTCTTGTATCTCAATGTACTGGAATTTTTAGCCTGTGTGTAAGTATGGTAGCGCGGAGTGCTTGGCTCGGCTCGGCTCGTTGGTAACGCTGTATTTAGACTAGCGCTTTGCGGAGACTCAACTGCCAAGGCTGGGGACGGACGTTTTTTGTTTCGAACTAGAGCTTGTATATCTACTGACGGCAGCTTTGGGATGAACGAGTCTAGATCATGATTTTGCATTATAGGAGGGCGAGCACCGGACGGCCCGTGGGTACATTCCAGCGCAACCTTAGATAACTGCAGCAGTTCTCAGATGCTGCCGCAAATCTTGTTGGTCTCTTACTGTCCGGTGGGGAAGTGCGGCCTCCTGAGGCTCATGAAACTTAAGTCAATTTCGCAACTCGGCCATCTCGCGGCGGTATTTTCAAGATCGGCAGCTCCGGATCTGATATCACACCTCAAGGTGAGTATTCAGACTGCGTTACCGAAGAAAGCCCCGGAACGGCATTCAAAACAAGGCCCGAGGATTTAAAGGGGACAGTTTTGAGCTCTTGTAAATTGCACGGAAGGTTCCTAGGACAGACAAACCCTGCTCGCCACCAATACAATATTTCGTCTGTTCCCTATCATGAATCGCTTACAACTAGCCATCATCAATTTTGTTGGTCTCATCGTGCCCAATGTCTTGTGCCAGGCGGTACAACCATTGAGAATCACGACGATTGCGTCCCATGATGGATATTCGGTACTCGAATGCTGGCAGATTGACTCTATTCCCGTCGAGTACATGTCTGCGTTGAACTATGGCATCGGAGGCCGCACAACAAACGTGAAATGGTCCACACTTCAGCCGAGAACCTACGTCGGCGAAGCGTGGGCTCCACGTGTCCAGTGAGTAATTATTGTACTCAAAGAAACAGTACCCAGCGTGCAGGGCCAAGATACTGACGCCGAATTGATAGACTGACCATTGTATTGAATGGAATGATACGCGTGTCTGCGCCTTATACGCCGCCCCAGCCGTCCTCTCCTAATGCCACTGCAAGCTGCATAGCACAGGCGAACCCGGCCATACCACGACAGACCGCATATGTATTGTCAAACAGGCTGTTATATCAGGGGGCTGTCCCCTCTGCGAGCGCGGACAGTCAAGTTCCGGCTCGCCCACCGCCGGAGGAGATTGCGTATCTCATGCCAGGCACAATGACCTCCAGCATCATCTTGGTCACCGATCTTCGGAGCGAGAGCAATATTGCGGGCCATGGCGCTGAGTTCCCTTCAAATGAGCCTACTGTTCTAGTTCAAATCCCCTTTGAGAATGACGAGATACCAGCACACACTGTACTTGGAACTGGGAGCTGTAGCAACTATAGATGAATATCTAATGAGTATCTGACGGGATCGTATCAGAAAACAATTAATGGTCTTTCGTTGAGGTGCTGAGATCTGATATAAAATCATGCCTTGCTGCATCCACCTCCTCTACCCCGCCGAGTCAGCAATTGTCAGAACAAAACGACATTGGGTATTTTAGACACAATGAAAACAATCAAGCTTGTCCAGCAAGCCTTCACCACGCAGTGCCCCCCTCAAGACCTCATACGACGCTCTGTGGCTCGAGAGCAGGCTCATGCAGCTTCCTCCCCGCTCTCTCGAACAGGCCCTCCTCCACGCCCTGCTCCAACTGTTCCATTTCCCTTCCGTGTTTCCGCTGAACTCTCTTGAGCAACAAAGTATTGATTACAAGCAATGCCCCGCAGATGACCAGATCCGCGCCCTCGACGATACCGGTAACCATAGCCGTGATGCTCCAGTCTCCATGCTTCTGCGAGTAGACAACGACAAGGGTCGAGATCAAGCCGGCCAGGGCGTTTGTCGCTCCCGGGAGGTATATCCTGTTGAGCTGCCAGACGTAGTTGGACCGCCAGCGGAAGGCCAGCCACGACAGGCCGGCGGCGCCGATGCCGCAGGAGATGGCGGCGATGACGAGCAGCGGCACGTTCTGGACGTGGCCGAGCACGGCGCTGGCGGTTGGGGACTTCTCGGCCAGCTCCGGGTCGTCGGACAGGTCGCGGATGCTGGTGAAGGTCCCCGGGAAGACGATGAAGCCGGCGAGCAGGATCCAGCCGAAGAAGGAGGCGAGGATGTTGTGCAGGCGGGGGATCTTGTCGAGGCTGAGGAGCATCTCCATGTAGCGGGTCTGCAGGGTGTCGACCCTCTGCAGGCCGGCGGTGGGCCTTCGCTGGGGGCCATTGCCCGTGACTGTCCTCACGGACGGGTTGCGCGTCGTGGATGATCTAGTCGAGGAGAGGCGTCGAGGAGAGGCCTTCTCTTCCCGTATGGAGGGATGCCTCACCGGAGGCGGCTTGCTCGTGGATGGTTGTCGGTGTGGCATTTTTCGATGTCAAGTTTCAGACTATTTGCTTATTCTACTTGGAAAACAGTGGGCTTTGAACTTCTAATAGGAGACAGTGGGGCTGATGTAGGCATATTATTGAAATGGAATGGTGGTCTAATTACAAGACAGAGGCCGGCCTGTTTGTGGGCTTCATGATGGTGAAGTAGGAATACTCGCCGTCAGCCCTGCCGTCCATGCTAGCAAGAGATCGGATAACAGTGAATGAAGCCGCGGACTGACATCACCACGAGAGCTGCACTCGAAAATGGTTGGCTGCTTGCCCTGATTTTCCTGTCTTCCACCGCCGGGCTAGACGAATCCAGAAGTTGAGCCGCCACACCGCGTGAGACGATAGAACAGGAAAACTATCAGGGACCAGTCTTGGCTCTTTTGGGGTGTGTCAGCTCGAGAATGGCGCGCAAAAACCTGGTTCGGGCGAGCAGGTACAGGGGCCGTGGGGGTGGTATCGGCATGGGGGTCGCAGTCCTCATGCGGAATGACATAAGCCCCCGTCTGTCTGCGGAATCTTCATCCCTCAATGCCGACGGCAGCGAACACTAGTCTATTTCCAGTAGACTTGATGGTCTTGGCCTGCTTACCAGTAGATTATAAGGTGAAATGCTACCTGACAGCACGCCTTGCTGGCTCCACTTGAACGCAGGGTCCTGCAAGCTACACTTCCCATCGTTTAGTCATCCTTCCTATGTGAAGCAGCCCACAACTTGAATATCCCTCTTAATGTGACTGTAGCGTGGTCAGCTACCCTGCACGATGAATGTGAAAAATCAGGCAGGAAGGCTAAACTGATCAACACCAGTACACTTTCGCTATCCAGCCGACGACGATAAAACCTTACATAGGTTCGACCGGGGGGATCCTCGGCTCTGCCAATATCAGCCCTAGAAGCAGCCGGAACCCAGGCGATCTCTGCCTGCACGTACAAATGTGGCACTACGGGTTTGACCTTTGCTAGTTGGCTTGCATACACAAAATTCACCTTGCAGGATGCTATATGCAAAATGCCAAATTTTGTGGAGATGGTGAAATCGGCAAGGCACTGAACGTAACTGCGAATAATAAATTTCCTCGCTATTTTATATTGTAAAATACACTTGTGTTTTGGTAGTCTTTCTCGGGTGAACTGTCAAGATGCCCCCCGTCACCATAATCAAATGTCTCCTTCGTAATGAGGCTTTGGGCTTCTACTGCTATGGAAAATATTTACTATAGCCACTAGGCGATTTTTATCTAAATCTCTACCCGTTCTTTACGGATTTCATCGAGGCTTCTTGACTACGCTGTAACCAATGTGACGATGCGTCAGTGCCACACCCGGTGAATGACCTTTTCCCAAAGCCCCACCCGTCCGTCATTTAAGCATTTCCTTACTTATGACGATTCTGAAGAATCATCTGTGACTTGATGGGAGACGGTATAGGTGGCGCTTGGAATGTACTTAACTCCCTCCTCAGACAGGCTCGGGCCTCCGAACCACCGATGTCGGATCTCGAGGAAGACCTTGCTGTTGGAACACAAGGGCGATGGTGGCCAAGGTCGGGAGCCGTGGATATTGATATTCTTACGAATTGCGTTGTCCATGGTGACAGCACCAATTTCTGTGTTCTTGTAATGTGTTGCCTGTGGATTGATATCTTTCAGCATTGTCCCATGTCTCCTGTGGATGAGGGTGTCGACACTAGAATTATCAAGAGCCACCAAGCGTCCAGCCAGTCTCCAAGGGCGGACCGTTGCCGCTTCGATTCACCTGGGCCTCGAGTGTGATCGGGCACGGAATGCACACCAGCTCATGTCTCCTCATTGCGCTTCACTCAGCGTTGCACACGCCTCCAGCATGCAGGAAGGCCTCGGGGAAGCAGAGGTGGAGGTTATTTAGGCACGTTCAGTCAAGGCACTTCGATGAATCAATTAATCATACGAGGCCCCGAAACGGCATACGCCCCCCCCCCTCCAAATGCCCAGAGGCGAAACATCGTACGACATAAGAGAGGGAAATTCCCCCGCTCCTTGCTCCGTGACCTCGCGGCGCTTCCTCCGCTCGTCAGCAGAGAGATTTGCCCAGAAACGCATCATGTTCATGGCCAAGAGGGGATGGGTTACACAGCAGTGTGTTTCCTCATCTAGGAAGGCGGCCAGTGCCGTCAGCAATTAGCCCATACCATACATCTCGAACCCAAATACTTATATGAAGGCCCAACCTCTCAATTGCAGCGTTTGGTATAAACCACTTGCTTACGACCTTTCCCACCTCTTCTAACACACGCTGCCACAGATGTGGGAGCATTGGCAGTTGGTAAGTCGTTTCTTCACCCACATCCTCTCGCTTTTCATGATGAATCTCTTGCCCTCCTCTGTCACCTTCATCAAGGAGCATGAAGACACACCTCGAAGGATTTCTATTACGCAATTATCCTCTCTGAAAAAGGCATATGCTAGTGCGCCTTCCATGTATCAAATTTCCAATCGCTTTGCAGTTTCTAACAACTTGACTTCTTTGCAAGGCCCATCCATTCTGGCCATCTAGAAGAAGCAACATCTCTAGTTTGTGACGGACTCCACGTCTGTTTAGAACACAATTGACTAATTGACTACAGGAATATGATGAATTCCATTAATGGTCCCGTAGCTAAACAGGAGCCCTCACCAAAGCCGATGCTATCACAATTCAATGTTAGGTCTTGTCTATTTGTCGCGTATGTAAGGACCCGGGTGTATTGTGCATTAATGGCGTCACTTTGGTCCTTATAGTACAGCGGCCAAAAACGTGACACTATTGCTTGTATGACTCGAATCTTCTTGTCCACCGCATCGCTTAACCCTACAAGACAGGTAAATGACACCTGCTTTCCGGACTACCGGGCTACATCTCATACGTGTCCCCATCCAACCACAAACCTAAAGACAACCGGCTTAAGAAAGCTCTAGCATATGAGCAAGGGTGAAACTGGAATCCGGAGAAGTCAACAAATTATCGGTTCGCTTTAAACGCGACCGGTTACAATTCGAATGTCGCAGCATGACCTGAGCACTCCCGAAAAGTTCGCAGTCCTCTCCCCCACATCATGCAGCCAGCCTCGTACAGATCGGCAAAATGACGCACCGCTTACCCCGATGTCAGCTTACCCTGGTGAGCTGCGACTTATATGGATGCGTCGCTTCTTGGGCGATACAAATTGCAAAAGATGCCTACTTTCCCTCGTGCTAACCTATTTTAACCCAACGCCATCTGTAATTTTCACCACGGTAGTCAACATTCTGGGGCTCCCACAACGGCCTCGTTCTGGGAAATATCATGGCGAAGCAAGACTTCTCTCTCTTTCGCCGCCTTGCGGATCACCACAAAAACAGCAACAATGGGAAGACAATTTGGGTTGGAGCGGCTCAAAAGCCCTTGCGAGGCATTCTTGCTTGGAAGTACAAGAACATGCGTAAGTAATTACCCACCTGCGCGCTCGGATGAGAAGATCCAGGCTTGAAATAAGCCTTGTAGGCTTGCAATATCTTCAATTATCTCTGACAATGGCACTGCAGGCAAAGTTAATGCCCGGCCAAATTTCCAAAACCTGTGCATGGAAACGTTGAAAGACGAGGACCTGGAGGAGTGGCTTCAAAGGCCGGGTCCCACGCCGCCCGGGAACGCCGGTGCCCTAGAAGCCCACGTCCGAGTCCTAGTCTGTCACCAGACCGAGAACGAGATCGACATGCCTTCCGACCAGACCAAGAACGAGATCCGTAAGCCGAAATGCACGGTCTCGCAAAAGTGCTATCATGTGGCCAGGAGCTCGTTTGATGCTATAGAAGAGCACCTGCGCTTGCCCGTCCAGACGCTGCCTACCATGAGCAGCATGTGGGGGGTCCAGTCGAGCGAATTTGTCACAGATACAAACGCAGCAGGAAGGGAAACGATGTGTCTTGGTGAGTATATTACAGAAGGGCCAGAAGTACTTGAGACCTGCTGGCCCTTGTTCCCCTTGGTCCTTTGCCCAATGCCCAAATTCTAACGACTACCTTCTGGGATGTTGCAAGACATCACAATGAGCAACGCAAGCATCCCAGAACTTGCGCACTACGGCCTCGCCATGTCATACGACTTCTCGACGCGGCGTACCACGGCCTTTGTCAAAGGCATCAACGCGGTCGACAAGGACTCCGGGAGGAAGTACCAGCCTTGGCAGCTCGACGCCCGCATCCGCAACGGGCTGCACGACACCATGCCGCTCTGGCCGCACCCGCTGCTGCTGCCGGTCATCCTGCTGCAGCACGAGCTCGCCGCCATCCGCGAGTTCTCGAAGGAGAAGCTCCACGCCGACTCGCACGGCATCCAGGACACCATGCGTCTCGACTACAATGCCCAGGCCAGGATACTCGGCGGGCTCAACTCGGACGAGGAGGGGCGGGGCGACCGCGCCGAGTTCACCAATTGGCTCAACGGTCTGCTCTGCAGCGCTCACAGCACCCGCAGGGCTCTCCGTGTGAACAGACAGGCGGCCGGCTTTTTGCTCGGAATCCTGGACGAGCTGAAAGATCCTTCGCTGTGTTCTGAGGAGGAGGAGATCCCGCCCCAGGTGGGACGGCAGATCAGAGACACCATCATGACCCTCGACAGAGGGGCCGCAGGTTTTGAAGCGGGAATCGACTGTATCATCGCGACTCTGGAGACCCAGGTTAACATTGTATGAGCCCCCGTCCCCTTCCCTCACCCCTGCTTCTCCTTCTGGTTTTCACTACCCTATTTCTCACCCGGATCATAGTCCATGAGTCTATGAGTCTATGCTGCTTTTTCTCTTTCATTTGAGATGTTGACAAGTGACAATGGCATGCTTCCAGCTCTCCGTCGTCGCCGCCCAGCTGGACAACAATCGGAGTGCCGAGATGAGCGCACAAGCCGGGCTGGACAGCGTGGCGATGAAGACCCTGGCCCTGGTCACGGCCATCTTCCTGCCGGCCACCTTCATCGCCACGCTCTTCAGCATGGGCATGTTTGACTGGCAGGCAGAAAGCAGCTCCTCCGTCCTGAGCCCCGAGTTCTGGATCTTCTGGGTGGTCTCGGTGCCCCTGAGCATCGCGGTCCTCGCCGCGTGGTGGTGCTTCTGGGACCTGTCCAGGACCTACTACGCCGAAAGGTTCAAGGACGCTAAGCCGACCAAGGAGCACGAGACGCTGTGGAAAACGTTGAAGGCGAAGATGAGGCGAGACAGCGGCTCGAACGTCGGCAATGAGGCCGGCCGTGTCGGAGCCGTGGCCATGGCTCACGATGCCGAAGACATGAACAGCAGGGGCTCGTTCGACCATCTGAACAAGCTAGTTGGGAGAAAACCCAGGCAGTATGGTGAGGAACATGCGATGGAGTCAGGGGGGTCGAACTCAAGACAACAAGAATGAAAACAAGATGGAGATCCAGTGTATTTACAAACCCGTCTTTCCCAAAAGTGGACGAAGCTTATAAAGGGGGAAACGCTTGCAGAGTATGCTGAGTATTCGATATTATAACGCCTTGTATTACGCAAGAAGGTCACATGGGCCCCTCATGCCCCTTCTGCCAAGGTATAGCAGCCATGTAAGGGCTTCCCCGAAGCAGGGGCGCCCTCAGAAAGACTTGAACCCTCACGCTCAATTATTTCCACTTTGAGGCTCTCATTAACATTTGATGCAACTGTTGGCGGACGATGAGTATATCTGTAAGACGTTATGCATCTGTGCAAGTGTGCCCATCCTCTTGGCCGTCCAGCGGCTCCGGAGCGGCTGCGGTTGGATACGATTGTTGGCAGACGATGGTGGCTGTGATGCCATGGTGCCGATCCTGGCGGACCTTGGATAATGCAAAGTGGAGCGACTGGCTGCAACTCTTCCCGGCGCGTGCAGCCGGTCAATATCTTGTTAGTTGCCACAGGCCGGCATGTAGCTGGCTGAGTGGGACACATGCAGAGTCACGGCTCAAATTCTTGCAGTTGAGTGCAAGCTTTCTTGAGTCTTACTGCATGCAGTCCATCAGCTGAACAGACTGCTGTGCATGTGGGGGTTGCAATGATTCGTCACTCGAGGGTGGTTTGTGGCTGTGTGGTTGCACAGAACCAAAAGATTCTCCATAGAGCTGATACAAATTTAGATTCAAGTGCCTGTCACCAATTGGTAAAGCGTAAGCGAAGCGTTCAGGCATTGATAGAACGGCTTCCCTCCCTCTTGACTTCTAAGATTGTGTAAGAGCAAAGAGGGAAGAAAACTTCTCTCTGCTCCTCAAGTATCCTGTGTCTCTAGTCAGCTCCCGCCTCTACACCATCAAAGCCTGATCATCAGCCGCCTAAAAGCCTTGACCCAAAATTGCCACCTTCAGACTGTTGTCATCAAACGAGTCAAGACTTCTCTTTTCACATTCACTATGCGAGCACTTCCGAAAAGCGGCCAGGAAAACCTGGCTACTTGCATCGCTATGATTGTTTTGACAGGCCTTTTCCTCATAGCTAGATTTGCTGTGAGGTTGTCTCAACGACAAGCACCTTTCGGGGCAGACTGGCTGTGCCTCTTGTCCGCCTTTCCGTTTTATGCCTGCTGTGGGCTCATTGTCAACTGTAGGTCATTTCTCAGTATGAGTGAGCATGAGGCGCCTACGCACAACAGCTGACTAGTGCAATTGTTGAATTAGTTATTCTAAACGTTTCTGTCGACGGCTCTTACGACTATAATCATAGCGTGATGCAAAATGTGGAACAGACCATGAACCTCTTCAAGGTATAATCACTCTTGCTGTTAACTCATAATATGTATATGACTCTTATAATGACATGTGGTACAGCTTACCTACGCCTTGGAGATTCTCTTTGGAATTGCCATCACTACCGTCAAGTTCAGTATTCTGTGGTTTTACTGGGAGTTGTTCGCAACAAGCGGCGGTGTTACGCACAACAAGAGGATTATACAAGTGGCAGCAGTTGCCTGTACAATCTGGTTCTTGGTTATGAACTTTCTCGTCATCTTTCAGTGTATTCCCATCCACGCCTATTGGGATAAGTTGGCACAGCCACTGTACTGCATGGATACTCCAAAGCTACTCCTTGCATATGAGCTGACGAACCTCTTTCTCGATGTTTTTATCCTCTGCATACCGATGCCAATAGTGTGGCAACTGAACTTAAAGTCTTCCAAGAAGATCAGTCTTTTGGGGATATTTTTCCTCGGTGCCTTGTAAGTACACGTTGGTGCCGCGGTCCTGCGGCTGAGGTATGGGAGTATGAGAAGCTGACTGGTTGGCTGCTTAGTGTATGCGTGGCAAGCATTCTTCGCTTGAATGCAATCTGGGACCCATCAGGGCAAGGTAAGTGAACCCAGCCTTTCCGCCAAGTGATGAGGTTCTAACAACTGGATGGCAGTCGCATATTCTAATGCAATGCTCTGGTCAACATTGCAAATAGGATTGGCAATAATCTGTGCTTGTCTCCCAACCCTTGCCCCCATTCTTCCTTCCATCATCAAACTGTTTTCTTACATTCGAAGCTGGAGTCTGTCGATCTGGTCTCGATCACCTGCCAATAATCACAAGCAGGCCTTCCATGACTACAGGCGGTCCGATGAATATGGCATCACAAAGACCATTCACGGGGGCCAGTACTCCCCAATAGGGCCCTTCAACAGCAGTTCTCAGATTTGGGCTGAATGGTCTCACAGTCGGGGATACCCCAGCCAGCAGTCATTGGGCGAGTCCATACCATCTATGAGCATCAAGGTCGACCGACAAGTAGATGTAGCCTGAAGAGGTGCATGGTTCTGTTTTGATGGCGAGAATTTGGAGTGGCCCTGGTAGCGGAAACTCGTGGTCCTTTCTTACACATCCAGTTGGGAATGTCGGACACATTTTGATCGGACACACAGTCCTGGAAACTTAATCTTCTGTGACTACCATTGTGATTTTGCCTGCGTACACGAGATTGGGTCCGAGAAAATGGTTAGGACCATATTCTATCTTTCCCGGCATCTTTCTAAATAGCTTCAAAATGTATGGTATTTTGTACAATACAAGGGGGTAGACGCAGGTGTTGGCAACTTTAGCTCGATGCCCGGATGTGGCAATCGCCTGTTGGTACGCAAGAACCCCGCAGGATGCTTGGAGGCACCTCTTCTTTCAGTTGGTACAAGATGCCAAGCTCCCAATGTCACCACGCGTAAAAGGTATCCGGTTCCTTTTATGTGACAGGTTCCTCTTCGCTCTCTGAGAGGGGTAATGGCTGACCACCTTCTCCGTGATGACATCCCGCCCACGACCCTCCACCGCGAGACAATCCTGAGCAAGTCAATCCGTCATCAGCAGCCTTAAACCTTTTCAAACTTTTATCACCTGTAGCTTCCAGCCAGTTGCTTCTGAAAATTCCAGAATAACTACAGTGGTGCCAACAACAGCAACAGAATGGCTCGAATCTGGTCATCGCAGCCCTTGAAGGCTCTCTACACCATATTCTTCCTGCTTGCAACCCCGCCGTATGCCGCCGCATTGTTCCTTCGATATCTTGCGAAGCCCTCGCATCCCGATTGTGGGTATCCTGATGAGCCTTCTGTCGCACGTTCACGAAACGGCAGTCTGACGAACAGTCACAGGGACCGCCAGGATGAGCTTATCTAGCGACATGTTGAAGCTATTTTTCCGATACTCCTTGACCACTCAATCCCGACGCATCTTGGACGACGATCCTGCAACGGCTAAAGAGAGGCTGGCTATTATCGAGCCCCCAGCTAGGTCCTTGTTCTCCGGTGCTTTAGCTCCAACAGCCTCAGTCAAACCGGGTCCTGTGAGGGGTGTTTGGCTGCCAGATGCTCCTTCACTGCAATCCCCCAATCTAGAGGACGAGAAGGTCGTGATTCACTTCCCCGGCGGCGCATTTGTCATCACTTTCGGCCACGAGGGTTCGGGCCGGCCGGTATCAGAGGTCCTGACAAAGCACCTGAAGGCGAGCAAGGTACTCTGGGCACAATACCGTCTCGCAGCAGATGAGCAGACATGCTTCCCGGCTGCGGTCCAGGATGCCCTTACGTATTACAACTATGTTCTCTCTCTGGGTATATCTCCAAAGAATATCATCCTCTCAGGCGATTCGGCCGGTGGAAACGTCGTTCTTGCCTTGATCCGCTTCCTCGAGTCCTCAACCAGCCAGCGAGATCGACGCCGACGGCTCTTTGAGGACCAACACTCCCGGATTCCCAGTGCCAGGCGGTGCTGTTGTGTGGTCACCTTGGGTAGAGGTTACACCGAACGCGGGGAAAGACTATGAAGGCTATGCCAATGCCAAATCTGATATGTTGGACGCCGACTTTCTACAATGGGGGGCAGAGTCATACCTCGGCAAAAATGGAGGTGAAAAGGACAATCTGCCATACACGTCGCCCCTGAGCTACCCCTTCAAAACATCGGTGCCGCTATACATTCATGCTGGAGCTGCTGAAGGCTTTTGTCAGTCTATCACAAAATTTGCGGCAAACATGCGGGGGGTCGACGGCAATCGTGTGGCATTCTGTGCCACACCAAAGGCACCCCATGATCTTCTCCTCGGACACCCTACGTTTGGGATGACGGACGAGCTTCATACGGTGTTGGATGTGGTTCACGAGTTTTTGAATGGCGAGAGGTGAGACATTTTGTCCGTCGCTGGGAATGTTGATCACCCGTTCCTTCTTTCTTTCGTCTTCGTTTGTCTACTTTTGTTTGTCCAGCTTGTGTAGACATTGCAGAATGAAAGTTCAACATCGCACTCAGACACAGCCTTCGCCAGACTGTTGATGATATTTAAGATTATATTACCCCTCTAAGGGTAGCTGAAAGCAAACCTTTGCAGCTGTCTCAATGCTGGATGTTCTTCGATCGTACTCCAACTTGACACAGTTGATATTTGCCATCCTGCTCGAGCAGCTGCACAGAAACCCTACTCGCAAGTTTCGACATGGCATCCACGGAACCATCATCACACGAAGACGTCTTACCCGTCTTGCTAGTATTCGCAGCCAGCAGGTCCCGATCCACCCAGTTCTCCCCGGCCGGCCCACACAGCAACACCGCCAGCGGAAAGAGCTTCCACATTGGCACGGCCCTCCGCGCAGTGGTAGCCACCGTCAGCGCAAGCATCACCAGCGCGAGACCCGTCAGCGCCGCCGGCAGCGCGATCCACGCCCAGGTCACCCGCACGCACACTGCGTAGTGAAGAACGTCGCCCTCGGCTCGCCGGCTGTGTCCCGGGTCACCGTTGGAGCGCACCCAGAGCGTTAGCGCCTGCGCAAGGTTCGCAAACGTGTCTCGGATCGACTCCATTGATACGTTTCCCGAGTTGTAGAGTTGCAGGAGCTGCTCCCTGCCTTCGAAGACGTACCCAAAGGTACGTGACTGTAGTTTGGGCAAATTGCGGGTTACGTTGCCGATGAAGAAGGGCCAGAGAGTCCCGACCCAGAATGTGTCGATGAAGAAGGGGTTGATAATGTATAGACAGTTGTTCGCCAGTAGGGACTCGGGGAACGGTGACGAGGCGTTGACGGAGTTGGACGTGTTGAAGGTGGTGTTATACGGAAGCCAGCGACCGGCATTTTCAAGGTCGTATCCATTGTCAAGGAGGTGCCTGCGGTCGGCATCCGTGATACAATGCAGATCTAACAGGCTAAGGAGCGGATCATAAGGAAGAGTGGTATCCCCTAGATTTGGATCGCCGAAGCCCCAGATTTGATCCAGACTAGACTCCTCCACAATCGTCTCGTTGACCCGACCTGCCTCGATGGAACAAGAGTATGTCCGTAAGCAGGGCCGTAGAACGCACTCGGCAGCGCCAAAGCCTCGGCAGCGCCAGGTGTCGTTTGTGAGAGAATCATCGCACCCAATCAAAGGATCACGGCCGTTGGTTGGATCTGTTCGGAGTATGGCAGTGTCTGAATACCCCAGTATGGCGCCGAATTGAAGGCCTTGTGGGATCTGACCATATGGAGAAGACACATTAAGATACTGCTCTTTGGCTTGGGTCGAGAACACTTCAGTGGCTTGGTTGTTGCTGGACAGATTCAGTGACGGGTCGTAGTAGAAATTGACATCAAATGGTGACCAGTGTGTTGTAATATTCCACAGTGTCGTGACTGCATATGTCGTGTTTCGGACTGTATCTCCCGTGACCGTATCTCCTTTGACAAGATTGCAAGGGCCTCTGCCAGTCGCGAAAGCTTCAACACTGCACATTTCATACAAGGATCCACCACTGCATTGTTCATCGAAAGATGTAACACTGCATTGTTCATCGAAAACAACTTCAGACGATCTGTCGGAGCACTGATTACAGAACGCGAGACTAGTATAAGTATTTTCGAAGGTGCAATTGCCCGTCGAACATTCGAAGTCGGTGAGGTTCTGAAATGTGTTCAGACCGTCCAGAATCGTCGGCAGAAGGTAAGTCTTCCTGCTGCTGTCGTCGTTACCTTGGTGGAGGAAGTTCGTCCGGGGAACGGTCGCCGGCATGTCATTGGACAACGTCTTACTGCAGTCGACGGCATGGACGAGTTGTTGAATGCAAGGATCGATAGCAAGTGCTACGATGGAAATCATGGCTCCAAGAGCAGTCAATGGCTGCCGCAGGCGGTTGACCCATAGCCATCGCACTGAGCCCAAAGTTCCATTCGCCGCCTCATGGAATAGAACAACATCTTTCAATGGCCGAGCTTCCAAGTACCAACTCCATTGAAGTTGCCCGATGCATGAGGTGACGAGGAATGCGATACATACTCTTAGAACTATCGAGTAAATTGATAGCAGGGCATTGATTGAGATAGAAAAGGGCCACTGTGGCAATGGCTGTCCATCGTGAGGGTAAAGGGTTGCAGGTATCGCTGCCCCGGAAACGAGAAGCAGGATAGCACTACCGAGTTCCCGCATCCATGATTGGGTCAACGTAGTTCGTGCGCCAGGTCGTTCCTTGCCTTCGCTCTGCTGTTGGGGTGGTTGAGGTTGTTGAGGCTGTTGGCCCGGCGGCGAAATGATCTCGGCGCTTGAACAGGGACGGGATCCGGTAGGTGAAACGTTGTCGTCCCTGATATGATCAGTAGGTGTACTCAAGAAGGGCGACGAGGGTGAGAGCTGCGACGAGGAGGACATTTTGGCATAGACCAGTAACTAGATGGTAAAGACCCAGCGAACCAAAAAAAAAAAAAAAATCCGCAAGGCCAAATGCAAGGATCATACAACCTCCTTAAAAATTATGAAAGTGAGGATCTCTTTCGGCACTTATATATTTTGGCATTCCCTGCTGATGGTGGAATGATCCAAAAAGAAATATGGGGGCAGCAAGCCCCTTACTTCTGACGCAATGCATATAGGCGGCTTAGACGCTACTGATCATGTAGGTTCCTTTTCAGCAGGTAGCAGCTGAAAGACAAGATTACGACCCCGTCCAATCAGATCACGCGGAGAGGACTAGAACATTATTCAGATGCTGCTGTACAACGTGCTGCTGAGGCAATGTCTCAGGTCAGGGGCTGGTTTGGGGGCTGTACCACTCATCGACACCGCCCGTCTCCTCACGGTTCAAAGACGAATGCGTGGCTTAGAAATAGATAGCTGCAACGGCCGAGACACACGGGGTGATTGTAGGGGTCAGAGTCCATATCAAGAATCAACCGACTGCGCAAAATCTCATAAGGAGCTCTGTCGACGAATGAAGCTAGTTATTTTCAACTGGCATGACCAAAATAATTGCAAGTAAGAATGACATATCGCACTTATGCAGCGGACAGGGCGAAAACACTTGTCGCACGGTACGTACAACTGAGCGAGTAAGGTTTGTCGGATGTCTTCACAGCTTAGAATTCTTGTTATTTGTTCTAATACTGTTTAGTAAACATTTTAGTTATGTATTGTTAGTGGTCTGTCGGACGCGGTGGACAGAGATCTGTCCTTCTTTCTTCAATACATTTCGTAGGCGAAGCCAGCTTGCAATATTTATATCTGTAGAGACATACCAGCCGGCATCAAACTACATGAAATTGTCCAAAGGCAGTTTCTCCGTACGAGTCATCAAGCCTAACCATACTATCCAAGCATTCCTCATTCCACGCATCCAACAACTCATCCATTGCGCCAGGCTGCCAATCCGAAGGCCCAAGCGACTTGTCCCCACCATTAGGGTCATACGAAGCCTTCTGAGACTCCTTGACTCTCTCCAACGTCTTTTTCCAGACTTCAGAACGCCAGAACAATTTCCCATCTGTCCAGATATCACGGACGTAAGCCTTCCAGAGACTTGGGAGGATGCCAACATCTGCACAACAGTAGTCGATTATCGCCGCTGGCATCGGTCGCTGGTTGACCGAAGCGTACGTCCCCCCGAGACTTGGATTCCAAATTCTCTCCCCCGCCCGTTTGGCGCTGACGGCCCTAGCAACAGCCGCCTGGTCCGGAACAGCCGTCAGGTCCGTCTCGATGCACCTGGCAAGCCCGGACACGCGGCGCCTGGGGCCTGTGCGTCGGGCCAGCTCCATGAGCTGTATGTCGTGGATTCCTGCGACCTTGATGCCGAACAGGCTGAAGAGGGCGTCCGAGTCATTTCGAATATCGAAGAAGGCTTTGGGTACCGTGGGAGACTCAGGGACGGCCTTGAGAGATGTGCCCTCTTCGTTGGCGGTGGTGAAGGTGTCGGCCTGCAGTGTGTGAACGTCGATCAGGTACGCTGTGTCGTCTGGAGATAGGAATAGGGACAGAATGGACATTGTCCCGTGTCGGCAAAGGTTTTGACCCTCGATGTCAAAATACAGACTCGGAGGATCGGTAGGCTTGGTTGGAGGGCGGACGGTACTCAGCTTGTCCAGCAGAGAGACAAGCTTGAGCTCTGAGTCAACAATGATCCCCTGGAGCGAAAAAGCCACGGTGATTGGTATGGAAGTTGATAGTTAAGTGACGGGTGCCTAGGTAAGTGTGGGATTGTGAACGATCAGAAGATGGGGTGGCCAGGCACAAGAAACTTGGAGCTAGAAGAAGAGTTTGGTTTGACGACGTAAGCCTGGATGTACATACCTACTTATAATTCATTAAATCTGGGGACGCAGTCGCGCTAAACCTATCAGTTCGTATGTCAAGCAAGAGTGGAAAGTTTCCATGGCCTATTGTTTGGACGAGGCACTCTTCTAGCAGTGAGGGAAGGTAGGCCTCTTGCATTACCCACTGGGGACCGCCCAGCCGTGCCGCCACAGGAGGCGATTCGATGAGATTGCTGTACTGTCGCTGCCTCCTCCATGTCTCCGCCCCCCGAGCATGAAAAAAAAAAAAAAGCAGATTTATCGGTAAGACGTTCGTTGGCGCACGGTTGATTGTGAAGTAAGTTAGGCACCAATCCGCTGCGCCGCTCCGGCTGAGCCGCCTTGTACACCTGGGCAGGTTTAGCAGATTTCCGACGACGAACAGGGGCAGATCGTTTACGATCACTTGTGCATCTGACAAAAGAACAAGACGGAGGAGCCGTAGGGCCACGACGAGCAAATGCTTGGATCTGTCTCCGTGCCGCCGCAGCAACATAGGCAGGCTATTTGCAATACATCACGACAATGTCCTCAGGGGCCCCAGTGGCACCTGGTCTCCGGCCAGTCAAACTTCAACGCCGCCTCGGCGATAAGACGTGCAACCTGTACCTTCCACAGTATCTGCGTATTCCCAGTCGGTACGATCCGCCCATGGTGTTGCAGGAGCATCTTGTGCAGGCTGACTGGTTCACAACTTGCCGGCGGCCGCTCGTCGGCCGGGAGGAAGTAGAACCTGTGGAAGGCGCTCGATGCGTGCACCATCTGCACGGCCAGAAGCTCGGCCTCTTCGTGCTGTGCAAGATATTCCGGACAGAATTGAACTGAAATTCGCGGCGACATATCGATTCCGACATGTCCGTCGTGCTCCGGTTCGCTGGGACTGGCGGCGACGGTCTTGCGCAACTTCGACGGCTGTGCCAATCCATCTGAGGACCGTCTTCGCTTATGTTTCCCCATTTCAACTGTCTATTCCATTTCGTCGGCCGCTTTCCGGCTAAGTCTTTGCGGCGCCATCGAGACGAATCTTAGCCAGACGGGGTCCTTTTCCATTGGCCTCCTGGATGGTATTATTTCAGGATAGAAGCCGGCTGGTTAGCAGGGGAGGACAGTAGGACAGGGTACTATTCTATAGATAGTGTTAGACCTAGACTTATCTAAATGCCATATGTTTCTTTCCAATAATTTTTGGAATATAAAAACCATGGGGTCCAAAGCTATGAAAGAATGCGGGCTTGAAAACCTTGATTAAGGAGTGGACAACAACGATGAAATGCTTCCCACGAGTAATGACTGTTTCTCAACTATCTGTCCAGCTACTCAATCTGAAATACCGTGGATGGATCTGCACCGTCAATTCACCCACATGATCATAATCTGGATTACCAGCAGAAGACATATTTTGCCTGATCTGGACATGAGGCCTCCAGGAGTTCAGTTATCTGCCGCCTCATTTCCAGACCTGTGTGTTGCCACAGTGGCCGACCGTTCCTGCCTCACCCCCCTTCTGCAGCGCTCCCATAACAAAACTGTATTCCCCCTTGCGTCGTGGGTGATCTTGACTGTGTGACTGCACTGTGTAGACAGTCAGTCCTTTCTTGACCAATCGGTCGCACTATACATACCACCTTACGCATGCGCTTGTTCCAAGTTAACTTTGCCGGCCAAGCCAGCAGCGTTCGCGACGAATCCAAAGTCCCTCAGGCAATCAAAGTTGGCAGCGCTGTACCCGTGGCTTGACTGGGCCGCGGCGCAGTTATTGTTGGTGTAGAACGCCAGAGTTCCGGCGGGCGAGCCCGAGTCGTCAGTGATCTTCGCCGAGGACCAGCCGGGTGTAAACCACGTCATGCAGCTGCCAGAGTTGACATTGGCTGACCCGAGGCAATCATCGTCCGAGTAGAGGGTCATGACCACGTCTGCCTTGGCTCCAGTAATGGCCAAGAACGGCACGACCACGGAAGGAATGTTGGTGAACATGTTGATAAGGCTTCTTGTGTTGTCTTGAAAGAATTAAGGCTTTGCAACAGGTCTGATCTGGGGATTTGACCAAGCACACTATGGGAGACAACATCCCTATATATACTCAATGCCCATAATTGAGGGGACTAGACGAGGCTTGAGTGATGTAATGTATCAAAAGTGGACAGCTGCAAGGCAACCGCATCCTTCTTCGCAACTAAACAACCTCTACCACTGAATTTCTAATAAAACGTAAATTTTCTCCATGTTCCACTCTATTCTGCTCATGAGAAACTTCGAACGTAAACGTAGCCGACTTTTAAAGCATGGAAAACATGTGTGGTTGAGGGCATCCGTGGCCGCTATCTAGGCAAGGGACCGGCTTGCACTACATCCAGACGGTCTCTGACTCACTGAATATCACCACTAGTCAATGGGTATTACAGATGCGACTGAGTTACTTGCTGTGCTAGTTTGTGCGTGGCCTTGCTCTCGCTTTTGAATCCGCTTGGGCGCAATCATGCTTCAGGCCTGTTAGACTAAAGGAAGAGGGGATATCGAAAGCTTCGAGCAACGCCAAGATTTTTGGTGCGAAGTGGTGGCTTCTCACATAACACCGGTATGCAGAAGTAGGTTGAATAGTCGTTGTCCAAAGCCTTGCATAGAGAGATTGACTGTTACCTACATCCTATATTGTCTTTCGTCCCTCTGGGGCATTCACTGTCGTTCCTGCTTAGTAGAGGAACTCATAACTTGAACAGTCTATTAAAGGTTCTGAGACTTTGTGTCCCCGCCCTGACATATCCTGGTGGGAAATGTTCTACTAGTATATTATGCAAGGAAAGGCGAGCATTCTGTTGATAGTCTATCCATGCATTAACACAGGGGAACGGAAACTGAACTTAGCAGCCGCGCACAGAGCCCGAACTGGTCATCCATCACTTGCAATATTGTAAACCTTTCATGCGCTTCAATGTCGCCGGGTCACAACCTCACCACCCATTCCAAATAAGTACACCTTGAAATGTTTTACATAGGGCGTATGTGACTACGGTGACAGACATAAGAATAAGGAATGGCAACCGTATGCGGCTTCCATGGTCGCTGCGTATGCCAAAGCAATCCTCAACGAAATTCCACCAGCTTCTAATGCATAGCAGGTTGACATGTAAGGATATCCATTAAGACTGAGTTTGGCGGTAATGGGGCAGGTGGCAAGTGGGAGAGCCGTAGAGTCAGATAGTATGTAGATCAATGGAATCAGCCTGCTTGGCATCGAAAGAGTAATGATAGTGTTATAGAGACTATTTAATAACCATGCTATTATACCTAGCTTCCCAAGAATACATCAGTGAAGACGTCGAATTGTGCATCCCGAAGTAAACGTAATTACCTCAGCCCGCTCAAAGCTGACATTGAAAACATTTCTGATGGTCTGTTGAGAAAACAACCATGTCCTGCGACGCTTTCGCTGATCCCATCGAGTGTGATCGGTGCCTGGCTGGTTTATTAGTGGCGGCTGGTGATACTGCTCCGTTTGGCTTGATTGTGCACCGGTCAACGTAATCCTTGCCCGCCAGTGTCTGTCTCCTTGAACTTTGTGGGCTTGTATCTGTATATCATCCATTTCTTTCGATGCAAATATCCGCCTTTATAGGAAGGATTTGAGTTTTGTGAAGAAAGCCTGTGTGTACATGCTTATTTACAATTCATTGATTCTGGGGACGCAGTGGAGCTAAATCTATCAGTTCGTGTATCGGACAAGAGAGGAGAGTTAACTAGCTGCGCCTCCTTATACACGATTATCAGAATTCCCCAGCCGATCAGAGGCAAATCGTTTGCCATCATTTGTGCACCTGACAAAAAGAAACGTCGAAGGGGAAGGGCCATCACGGTGACGACTGCAACTACGACAAGCAAAATGCTTGGACCCATCTCCCTGCCGCCGCATCAACACAGACAGGTAATTGCTATACATCACCAAACTGTTTTTAGGTGCGGTGGAAAGACGTGATGTGTCTCTGATTCGCCCGCTGACTCTTGCGGACCAATCCACGGCGCCACACGATCAGACACTTCACACAGTGCAGAGAAATAGTTGAGCCGGTAGATAGTGAAAGTAGGGATATGAGAGTTGGCGAGCTAGTGGTGCTATCTGGCCAGCACTGGCGGTGCCATATTTGGGTCTAAGGCTGCAAAAGCTATTGCTCAGCACGTAGTCTACCCGGGGTGGTCTTCTTGCCGGTTTCGGTGCCGATGAGTTGCCGAGACAGGAGCACGTCATAGCAGTGTGACATGAGTGAGCTTGAGCTCCAGATCCATCTTCAGCTCCTACGTAGCTCTTGAGCTCCCTCAACTGAGACACTCGAGCTCTGCATCAGCTTGTCGGACAATTTTATGCCCCAAGATGCTGTGCAACCAATTGCTTCTGCTCTCTATGAGCTTCATCCCGGCATTCGGATCCATGTTCGGCAAGCAGCAGCCGCTAGGAATTGATCACCAATCCGAGTCCAACCCCGCGTCGAACAAAGCACCCTCGTATCGCGACGACCTCCTCGCCCTGCACAAGAATCTCGTCGACATTTCTTCCACCACTGGGGCCGAGCACGATGCCGCGGCCTTCTTGATCGACTACTTCATCTCGCGGTCGTGGCACTACGACGTCGACAAGGTGGTACCCAGGAACAACACCCCCGAGGGCAAGGACCGGCTCAACGTCGTGGCCTGGCCCCCGACGGGGAGCTCAAAATACCACGGCGGCAGCAGCGACGCTGCCGCCAGCGACAAAAAGCCCGACCCGAAGATCCTCGTTACGAGCCACATCGACGTCGTGCCGCCGCACATCCCCTACTCCATCGCCGACGGCAAAGTAACAAGAGACACCGTCATCGCAGGCCGCGGGTCAGTCGACGCCAAGGGCAGCGTGGCGGCGCAGCTGACAGCGGTCGAGGACCTGCTGGCGCGCGGCCTGCTGGCCCCGGAGGACGTCATGGTGGCGTACGTGGTGGGCGAGGAGCGGTACGGCGACGGCATGCGGGCCTTCTCCGAGCGCGCCAGGTCGTCCTCGCTGGCCTTCCGGGCCGCCATCTTCGGCGAGCCCACCGAGAACAAGCTGGCGTGCGGCCACAAGGGCGGGCTGTCATGCGAGGTGACGGCCACGGGCAAGGCTGGTCATAGCGGTTACCCGCGGCTGGGCAAGAGTGCCAACGAGGTTCTGCTCAGAGGGCTGCTGAGGGTGCTGGAGACGGACCTGGGGAGCAGTGACAGGTATGGCAACACTACTGTCAACATTGGCCTGATGGAGGGGGGCGTTGCGCCCAATGTTATCCCTGCGCACGCGTCGGCCAGTCTAATGTGCCGCGTTGCCGTTGGGCCACAGGAGAGCGGGCATGAGTCTGTACGGGAGAAGATCAAGGAGGTGCTGGCCTCCGTAGACGATGAGGCGCTGAGCGTAGACTGCCCGGGCGGCGTCGGTGTGGTGCCTTGTGATTGTGATGTACATGGTAGGTATCCTCTCGTACACCGTGCAACCTGGGTGAATGTACCAGAGCTAACGGTGTCTTCATTTCGCCAGGCTTCGACACCATCGTCGCCAACTACGGCACTGACATCCCATACCTGGAGGGCAACCACACCCGGTATCTCTACGGGCCTGGCACCATCCTCGTCGCCCACGGGGACAACGAGGCCCTGACGGTGGGCGATCTCGAGGACGCCGTTGAGGGCTTCCAGAAGCTCATTCTGCATTCACTGAAGCTGTAAGAGGGGTATCATGGCTTTCTGAGAGGTTAAAATGTAGATACGGGAGGCAACTGGACGGGTGGTGGTCATGTGTGCCCACGTTGCGTGCGCTAGGCTTTTAGCAGCCATCCCCTACATCATTGCCCTCCCACGACCTTGGCCCACCGCTCCGGCATGACCTCCCTGAAATCGAACCTGCCCTCCGCGTTCTTGACCACCGCCCCCTTCTCCGTCACAATCGCATCGATCAGCTCCGCCGGCGTGACGTCGAACGCCGGGTTCCACACCCCGATCCGCTGGTCCGCGATGGCCACCCTCGCCGTCTTGGAGACATCCACCGCGCCGTCGGCGCCCACCACGGCGCCGCTGATCTGCGTGAGCTCCTCGCCTTTGCGCTCCTCGATCTTGATCCCGTCGCCCGTCAGCGTCTCGAGGTCGACCGACGTCGTCGGCGCCGCGACGACGAACTTGACGCCGTGGTGGCGCGCCAGCACGGCGAGCTGGTAGGTGCCGATCTTGTTAGCGGTGTCGCCGTTGCGCACGACGCGGTCGGCGCCGACCACGACGGCGCCGATGTTCATGTCTGCACCGCGCAGCCGGAACAGCGCGCCGGCCATCGAGTCCGTGACCAGCGTCGAGGGGATCCCCTCGAACACGAGCTCGAACGAGGTCAGCCGGCTGCCCTGGTTGTACGGCCGCGTCTCGGTGCAGAAGGCGTGGCGGAGGAGGCCCTTGGACCGCAGCGTGCGGATGATCCCCAGCGCGGTGCCGTGCCCGGACGTCGCCAGCGACCCCGTGTTGCAGTGCGTCAGCACCGAGACCTGCTTGTCCGGCGAGGAGAGGCCGTGCACGCCCGCCAGCCACGCCGCGCCGTGCTCGCCGATGGCGAGGTTGGTGTCCAGGTCCCGGGCGAGGATGGCCTCGGCGGTGGCGATGAAGGTCTCGACCACGGTGGCCTGCGGCGTCGGGGTCGGCACTGAGTTGGTGGTTTCCAGCGGGTCCGCGCGGATCGCCGCCTTGAGGTGGTTGATGGCGTTTGTCAGGTCGACAGCTGTGGGGCGTGACTCTTTCAGGTAGTCTAGCCGGCCGTCGATGTATTTAATTGTGTCATCAACGGTGGTGGCAGCTGTGATTCGAAAGTCAGTCATGATCAAGTCTCATCTACGATGCGTGTGCGCCTCAGTGAGCGAGACAGATGTGCGGAGAGAGTGAGACTGACTGCATGCGCCCCGGTGCAGCTCGACTGCCAGGGCCAGGGCAGCTACGATAGCAATAGCAGGAGCACCTCGCACCCTCATCGACTTGATACAGTCGAAGGCCTCCTCGCATGTCGACACCTCGTCGTAGTGGTGCTCATGAGGCAGCCTCGGCTGGTCTAGCACGTCCAGCCGGCCCCGCGTGTACTTGATGGCTTGCAGGCTGGCCATCTTGTCCTGGACAAGACCTCTGCCTTGAATGTTTACCTAACACGTACTTCGTGTGAAACAATCCAGTTGAAGTGAACGAAATAGCTCAGATATCAGAATGTAGGCAACTGGGATATGTATGAGAAGCGAGATATGGATTTGTATAAGTCACGGTTGCGGCCTGACGAGCGTGAGAAAGCGGCCCCTCCATTACGAGGAAAAGTTCTGCCCCTCCAGGCAGCTCATTGCGCGATTTGCGTCAACATCCTGGGGTCCGGGGTCCCTGGTCTGGACCAAGCTGAACTAGCTCCACACTTGACTTCAGTCCAGCAGCCTCCATGCATACCTAGGTACATAGCACCGTCCGTCCGTCATTCACGCCTTCCACTCCATCTGAGGGACGTTTAAAATGTCCGTCCGGAATGCCTCCCAACGGGCAGATCACCTCCTGGGTACAAAGGTTATCGAAGACGTGTCATTGGTTTTTTCGACTGTGTTTATTAAAATCTCGCTATTCTACGAGCCGGAGCCCAACCCAACGCTAAAATGAGAAGGATGGGGTTCATGTCCACATAGACCAACATCAATACCCACCCAAACTTCCCCTCCTACTTCTGACCAGCATCACAACTCTTTCTCAATTCCGACAAGTTCACGACAAAGTGGCGGGCAGAATATTCCTTTACGGTACTCCCCTCCTCCACATGCAATCTAGATCCTAGATCCTGTGCCAGCTTTTCATTCACCCCAAAAATGTCCCTCCAGGATCTGTATGCCGAGCACTTCGCCCCGCTGAGGCTGGCTTTGCTCAATATGCTTTCAACACAGGTCGCTGTCATAACATTGCTATTTAATTATACCGCTTGCATGACGGAGCTCACAAACACGCAGATTGGACAAGTTGGCGTGAAAAGGAGCTCGCGAATCTCCCAGAACAGTCCAGCAAGCGGGAGCGCAGCAAATGTGGCCCGCCAACATTATTCTATGCCAACCAGTACATGGATCCGCAGCGGTTTCCTCATAACTTAGCAGATGTTGCCAGATATTGGGCAGAACTCCAGGATTTTGGAGGTGTTGTTCTATTTGACCGTGGGCAGAGTGAGGAAGAGGTGAGCACTATTACTTGACTGACTCTCTATTCACGCGGAGTCTACTGCATAAACTGAGCTGCGTCGTAGTGCAACGGAGTTTATTTACAAAGCTCGGCAACCGCCACCCTAGCGCCATCCACCGAACAGCAATTTCAGAGTCTTATAGACAACCTAATCTCATCGGAACGGGACTTGTCCCGCAGTCCTCTCCCTATCAGCATCACCAAGGACAACAGGTGGCGCTGGCACGTCTATCAAGCAATGACGGAGCATTGCATATTCAACCATCCATATGAGATCCCTATGGAGGAACCGTTTACGCATTATGAATGTCAACTTAGGGCGTCGGACTGGCCAGAAATAGACGACTATAGAATCGGTTCGCGTGGATTGAGAAAAAAGGAAGCCGGGGAACCTTACGACGAAGACCTGCTCAAGACCACGTGGGATCGGCCGGGACGAACCATCACTCCCACTTCAAGGTACTGGCGTGATCTGGAGAAGGAAATAGTCAGGATCCAACCAGACAGGGAGACACAGGGAAGACCACCATACTTCTTCGATGCTTAAGATCACATCTCTGAGACAGAGTCCTACAGCATGTGCAACGGGGTGAAGTGGCGATTTGCATGTGGGATTAGGCAGCTCAGGCAGCACCTGACACTCAAACACGAGTTACACTCAAACACGAGTTTCTTCGAATCAATTAGTAGCTACTTATAGGTACAAATACAGGTCCCACGTGATACCTGCCCGACTACTTCAGCGCATGATTAGTCCACAACCGAGTTTGTCCGACATTCTGTCCCTGCACCGTTTTTGGGCAGCACACTTCTCACGGCGCCCATGCATCTGGATCATTCTGACTGCCACCCAGCCATCTTGTGATGCTCATGAAAGACTCTTTCGGGCAGTGGACCCAGTCTCCATTTAACTAGAAATGAGGGAACACATTCGTCCACTGGGGAGTCTGGTAGGCCCCCTCAGGCAATTCCCTGATACTGATGAATGCCTCCAACACAATGAAAACGCGAGCCAACATCAAGCTGAAGCCACAGAGGAACACTATGACTCCAAGGCTGACACTTTGCCACCATGACTTTTCCCCATCCATCCAACGTTCCCAAAAGCTGTTCAGTCGCGGATATCTTCCCACTATGAAGTTCAGCACAACCCAAAGACCGCCGCAGAACCCAATATACGACGCTGAGGCGCGCCAAATCCACTTCTCCGCAGTGGATGGGAAGGAATCGTTCCATGCCGCCGCGTGGATGGCGCCGTAACAGAAGTTTGCAAGCCATAGTACCATTCCCACGATCAGCCCGCCCACACTGCGGAGCAAATCGTTTGACGGCCAGTTCTGGATGTGGTCGGCCACCAGCTGCTCGGGGCGCAGATGGATGCAAGTAGCACTCTCAACCTGGTGAGACAAGAGGATACTGTCCTCGAACAGGTTCGGGTTTGAAGCGAGCGCTGTCTGCATCAGTTCCCATCTTCTTCCGTCTATCTCCTTGAAGGTTTCAGTCACGGGCCTTTTATCATGAACCTGAGGGCGGCGCTCAAAGAACGCTGTTCCCTTTTCTTTCTGCCGTGTGGCTCGCAGCTCAGCGTTACATTCCTCTCCGATATGCTTAAATGCGAAGCCCGTCGACGCAAGATTTGATATACCCGCGGTCCCTGAAACGCTCCCTTTCAGTGATAACAAGTCGACGGTCGAATCATGTCCTTGTCGTATTGACAGGTCAGGCTGTTTCTCCCTAAGACACAAGGTCTCCAGTTCCGGTGTTTTGTAGTAAAGGCTGAGGTAGGCGAAGAATGTCTTCACAATCGTCTGTGACTGTACACGCGAGGGGTTCACATATCCGCTCATCTCGCTGCTGGAGTACATGAACATGGCCAGTGGCGCCAGGGCTTCATCTCGGAGGATGACAGGTGCGTTGGGTAACAACAGTTTGTGCCACCAGAATAAGTACATTGCGAAGGCACACAACCTGCTCAAACCTTCAATATCAGTACACAAAACCAGACAAACCCTCGAGAAATTAAGAGGTCGCTTACACGTGCGCCACCGTATTAACTTCCAACAAGGTAACTGGAAGCCGAAACGCCAGCCTACTAATGACCTGTAAAAGCATCCACGTTGCTTGAACGACAACTGTGGCTTTTGCAAGGTCGTTGGCCTTGCTCTTGTCTTCGATTTGATCCTCTTCCACGTCTGGAAGATAGCCGCACCTTGCCAAGAGTGCCATTCCTCTCGCTGTGATTGTCACCCTGGGACATCTCTGCTTCTCTCCCGAAGGTAGGTCGTGTATTGTTTGGCGCGTCGACTCAAGCTCAAAGGCGAAGCCGCCGGCGCATGCGAAGAAGCTGTGGGTCATGCTCCACTCTGGCTTTCTGCTGCCTTGCATGGATTTGTGGGAGCCGGAGCTTATAGTGTCCTGGACCGTGTGATTTAAAATGCGTGCTGAGCTCCACTGTCGCCATGCAGTGAAGACGACGAGTTCGGGAGCATAAATCCCTGAGATGATCCAGCGCGCATTCAGGAATACGTTTTGCAGCCGCCCGCGCTAATGCAATCTGTAATGCAACGTACTACCAACATCAAACATCAAACATTGAACGTCAGCCGCTTCCGTGGCTGGTCAAAAGCTTTTTACCTTTTCCTCGTACCCTTTGCGAGGCCAGCTCCCAGGACTGATCACAGCATTCCGAGCCAATAGCTCTGTTCCACTTCACCTTATGTCGCAACAATCCCAGGGACTGCAGAAGGGCAGGTTGATGACGTGGAAGGATATCTGTAAGCATGACCGCCAGGCTAGGACGTGCGGTACGCTGATGCCTTGAATTACAGTTCCATGGCAAAGGTATATAAGATTCTCGTAGTGTTTTGAGGGGGGCTCAAATGACTGACGACAAACAGAGACAACGAGTTTATTTTAACGGGTTATCGGTAGGTCTCGTCTCTCCATCTATCAACACAACCTTCACCCGATCTGGCCGTGTTAACGCCTTACAGCCGAGCTTCCTTCTCGTATCCCAGCTCAATATGGAGCATTCTCGCAGTGCACAATGAGACCGGTAGGATGATTTCTTTTCTGATCAATGGTTCTTCTTACCCCTCCCCCGCTTTTCTTTCCCCAAGGGTGGGGATTGGGGCTGGGAGACGTGTGCTTTCAGTCAGCGGAATGGAGCAACGGGCTGATACAAAACCCAGCAAGTATCTGGTCACATCTGCTCGGCGCCTTTTGGTTCATCGCAAGTTTATTGAACCATGTCAATGCTTCGCCCCATCACAATTCCCGGCTCCAAGACGTCTTCGCCATCGCATTGTACCAGACTTGTGTGTCCGTTTGCTTCATTCTCTCGACCTTCTACCACACCTTCTCAGACCACAGCCCAGGCCTCCACAGATTTGGAAACGAGCTGGACCACCTCGGCATTGTGCTCGTCATGTGGGGCACAGGCATGTCCGGGACCCATTTTGCGTTTTGCTGTCACTCGGCCTTACGCAACATCTATTTTACATTTCTCACCTTGACGGGACTTGGTTGTGCAGTGTACACACTCAGGCCCAAGTTTCGCCGGCCGGAATATCGGACGACCAGGTTTCTCATGTACTGCTTCCTCGGGACGAGCCTCTTCGCACCAGTGGTCCACGGGCTGCTTCGATTTGGATCCGGGCTTCAACCGATGATGGGCCTCACATCCTTCCTTGCGCTGGCGTTGATCAACTTCTCGGGAGCGGCTGTGTATGCAGCCAGGATACCGGAGAGATGGTATCCCAGGACATTCGACCTCCTAGGGCAAAGCCACAATTGGATGCATGTCTTGGTGCTTACAGGGGCACTGGTGAGATTAAAAGGGCTCTACGACACCGCAGGGGTATGGCAGGTGTCGATAGAAAGGTATGGGCTTTGCGGGAACTTGATCTGAGCCAGGTCAACTACACCTTGGGTCTTGGCAGTTAGCTAGCATGACCAATGCGAGACAAACTTGGTGAAGATGTGCGATTTCCACTTCTTTACAGCCCATCCGAATTTAGCCAGCAGTATAACGCGGTGACGTTCATATTGCGTCCCTGAAGTCCCGGGCCGAAATGCATGAAGTCAAGAGTGTGAAGATGAACTTCTATTTTTTGGATTATCAAGACATTCCAAAGGGTGGTGACCTGATATACGAAGTTGTGAAAATGGGTGGTGCGTACAACCCGTCCCCTTTCGAAGTTTTTGGGGTATGGATCCCTTTTCACGACAAGAGGGAGGGAGGCTGGAACGCTGAGATGTTGCAACCTGTGCATACGATGATGGAGGGTCAACAAGAACTGGGTGGATTCTTATTTTGAATTAGCAACGGTATTAGACATCTGCACCACCAAGCTCCTCTTTTCTTTCCAACTGTTTTTCCTTTTCTCGTCTTTTTTTTTTCTCTTTCAGCTTTCCACGTCTGTCCTGCTCATGACCCCACCACCATTGTTTTTCCCAGGGCCTAAAAGGTCCAGGGAAGAACTCTGGCAGCAAGGTCTTTCCGAACCCATCATATTTCGTCTCCAGCTCCATGAGTGTCCACATAACTTTCTTCTCGGCAAATATTTGCTGCTGGACCTGCTTTCCGGTAGGTTCGTTGTTGATAGGGAGACCCATCGCCTCTGGTTTCCGCGCCACGCCGGCAGCCATGAGATTGTGCAACATGCCTAATCTGCCAACTGCCAACAAGTACCAGGTATCTGCCACTATTCCAGTACAAGTGATCAAAAAGACCATCCATAGCGCGGTCAGGACCACGGTCCAAATGCGCGTTGACTGCATTTCTAGTGTGTGGCCCGCCGCCAAATCTTCCAGGTCGAGTCCCAAGGACTTTCCAGTCTCAGTGTCTGCTGCATCCATCACAATGATCACATTCTGCGAACCTTGGCCTCATGTCAACGTGAAGTCTTTCTTTTTCCTGGCTCCGCGGGTTTCGTACTTCTCTTTACGCCAGTGGGGTAGCGAGGCAGTTGCGTAGGCCAGAAGCGTCGCACTACTCTCATTTGCAATCAATCGTATCAAAATGGCGCTAATGACCTGCACAAGACACACCACACCCTTTTTCATATACACTTCATTTCTTAACTATTTTCACCTCCCATATCACGTATACCTTCTCAATCTAATAAAGACTTATATTAAAAGAAAGCTGCTTCTTTTTTAATTCTTTTAATATTTATTTAAGGAGGGCGGAGGGAATATTAAAGGTATAAGGTGTGTTAATGTTAGATTTTAAAAAAGAATCTTAAATTTTAAGGAGGGTGTGTTTTTAAGCAGAAATAGTTAAATTTACCCTGGGTTCCCTGGTGGTTTTATATAACTCTTAAATTTCACCCCCCCCCATTCCTCTCTAAATCTAACTTCAACTTAAGTTATTTTTAACTTTAATTTAAATATAAATTTCTCCTCCTCCATATACTTAATTTAATAGCAGAAAGAAGAAATAAAATCAGAAAAGAAGCAGCTTTCTTCTCATATAAGTTTTAAATAAATTGAAGTTAAATTGAGAGAGTTGAAAGAAGTGCATACGAAAAAGGGTGTGGTGTGTCTTGTGCAGGTCATTAGCGCCATTTTGATACGATTGATTGCAAATGAGAGTAGTTGCGGCCAGAAAAATGGCCCAGTTCCCACGCAGGGCCAAAGGAATGGCTGCTACTCCCAACTGCACGGCTGTGACAACCAGACCACTCCACCAGACGTAGTCGAGACTCGGGTTTCCGGCCTTGTCGCTCCAAGTATACACAGTGACACACAATCCAATTGTCTGATTCTTCCGCCGTGGAAGATAGGTCGTTGTAGCGGCTACCTCCGCCCTGAGTAAGTCCATGGCTGTTCGCATCTCCGCCGGCATCCAGGTATCGTAAGTCTTGACCAATCTGGCAAGCAACCATGTATGATTGTCGCGGCCTTAGCTAGTCTCCAGGTTCAAGACTTTGACAGGGACCTCCGGCCTGCAGCTTATGTGTCGATTGTCGGACATCGCGCCGAGAGTTGCCGTGATGGCGTATGCGACCCACCCGAAGGAGAATGTGATAGGCGTGACCATGACGCCGGTCAGGTTTGCCAGCGTGAGTTGGATCACATCACCGCCGACAATAAGTAGGACGGAGAACGTGTCGCTTGGTTGAGTCCACTGGGTCCGGAACTCGTTGGCTGCTGCTGCTGCCACAACTTCCAACACCACCGAGCTGGCAGAAATATCATGAGATCATGTCGTACGCGAGTGTGAGGAGTAAATTGCTAGGATCGTAGGAAATGCCCACACTTGTTTCTACTATTTTCAAATGATTGTTCAAAAACAAAAAAAAAAAAGGCTCTATTTCTTCGCAAAAGCCAGTGGCCAAACTTTACTTGCAGACACCGAGGTATACAGAAGCACTTATCTCACGGAAAACTTTGTCACTCTGTCCACGTTTGCAGTGTGGTCCACTCAGCTTCGGGCCCACCTGCAATTTAGCTGTTAGGAAATCTGCAAAAGTTGGCTGTCGACGGAACAAACCGAGTCCACCTGTTTTACGAAACTGCTGGCCTGGGTGCATCAAGTCGAGGATTTGTCTAGAATGGCAGAATACTTGGCTGCGTACTTACCTAGGTAGGTTTGATTCCTACACAGCAACCGAGACATTCGGCGTCTGGCATACAATCGCCCTGGTAATATTCGCAGCACGTTACTAGGCAAGCACTGCCAGACACATCACTGAGAACTCTTCGCAAGCAGGATCGTCGCTTACATCCTTCTGTGCTCTATGTAAGAGATAGAAAAAGATATGGAGATAAATTGCTGTTGAACTCGGCGAAATCAGCCATGTGCGTATGATTCCCGGTAGTGGACGATTCTATTCATCCATTACATTGAATAGAATACCTTCCCTGCCGACCACCCCTTCAGAAACGAGGTGAGCAGGAAACAAAAACCTAATGCGTATAGAAATTCCCAGGTTCCATGGCATTCCGGCGTACAGTATTAGGGAGCACTTCCGAAATGTGCGGATCCTTCTGGTGACGGGCTACGGTAATGCCGGTATCCTCCAGAACTGTCATCCGTCTGCCATTATGGTCTGGTGTCTGACATTCTTCACCCCGGACTCACCTCGCCGTCCTCAATCCTAGAAACGTGGCAACTTTCATCGTCGTTATAGTTGAGTGTTGGATTATCTTCGTAGTCTCTATCTTGATCGTCATTATCTTCATCTAGTTCCATGTCATCCCCAGCCTCGTCACAGGTGCATACCTCCTTAAAATCCCCACAGGGCGGAAACTGTCGAAAGGAAATGTAGATATCGTGCTCGAAGTGGCCTGGTAGAATGCCCACTAGGTCCCTCCTTCCCGATATTGAAAGCCTCATCTTCGTGTATTGTAACGTTGCTGTCCAGAGGCATCCTAAGTGTTCTAGCGTAGGGATGCATCAGTGGCTCACCACAAATGCTGGCAGAGATGGAGGGGACTGCACCAGGACGGTCAATTCGATACGAGGTTCATCGTGGAATAGTGCCAAGCTACATTAGCAGTTGCTTAAAATATGAGGAATGCTCACCAGACCGATAACCAAGCCGTGACAGCTCATCATCTGTCAGTCACTCGATACCCAACAGGTGGGGTTTCACCATTGTGCAACAGTTCTGGTGCCAGCTCGGTCAGCTGCCTTAATAGTGCACGAGTAAAATGGCGGTCCGACTCCATTTTTTGGGAAAGGAGAAAAGAAGATAAGAAAGTTAGGAAACGATCATTCTCTCATTGTCATAACAGGGTTTCAGGCATTATAATAACGCGTGGGAATGTAGAGATCACACATGTCTCAGAGCGATCACAAGCAATCGTGGATATCCGGGGTATGTCTGCGAAACACAAGCATAGGTCTTGTTGTGTGTCTGCGCTGCAGACTAATCCCATGTGAAAAATGCCAAATATTCTTGCCAGAGACGGAATAAGTAGCCGCGAAAGACCATCAGCCAAGTTTGGAAGGGTGCCATTCTGTCACATTTGCAGCTGTTGGGCATGGAACGGCACCAGCAACGGGAGCCAACCGTTTGGCGCCGTGGTGGCCTTACCGCCTTCCGTTTTGAGCAAACGCTGCTGGAGCTCCCCCCGAGGTGGGGCTCCGTCGCACTCAGGGGTCCTGCCTCCCGAGGCCTGTTTTGGACATCGCATCAGCGTCGTTGCAACGTCCCCTTGTCAAGGTACCTTCGTTGGTCAAAGTCAAGGTACAGCAAGGCGCCGCGCAACGACCAAACAGCAACACCCAAGGCCGAGGAGTCGGCGATGCATTGCTGAGCTGGCCCTGCATACCGCACGCGACAGCAATGCGACAGCGACCGGCCCCATGACAGACAGCTGTTCAGCATGGAACAGCCCTTCTCGACCTCGAAGGTCACAGGTAAGACACCATGGCTACTCTCCCTCCCCTTCGGTCGCCAACATCACTGCTGTCGCCGCCGCGGGCCGGATTGTGATCGTGATGCTGACACGTGCCACCAAGTCGATTACTTCGACCCTCACGATGTCTACAAACTTCTTGCCCCGGGGCTGCTCCCGCGACTCCCCCTCCACAACCTGCACTGGCAGTCCCACGCCGGCCCTCTGCGATCCATCGAGACACTGCATGTCGAGCTCGTCGACGCCCTCGCCGCTGCCAAAGCCCCCAAGCAGAGGCAGCCTTCCATAACACCCGCATCCGGCACTGGCGGCGACGATGGCTTCCAGACACAGCCTCTTGCAGGTGGCAACCGACTCACTGCCGACGCTGACGATGCCTTCCCCGCCAAGCCATACTCGCCCGGCTACGGTCCCTCGGCTGCTAACGTCCGCCGCCACCAGATCCCAGGCCTGCGCCGGACACCATACCTGAAGGTCCTGCTTGTTCGATGCGATGACAACGACCAGTACAAGTCAAGTGTGCGCTCAGAGATCCGCGACTGGCTCAAGGAGCACGCCACGCCGGCCTCGACCACCAATAGCAAGAAAGACGCGCGGACTGCCGCCGAGAACCACGATGCATGCGAGCTCCTGATAATACACGTTGTTGTGCCCAACACCGTCGCCGCTACCCAGCCTAGGATGACCGGCGGCGGAGGCGTGGACGGCAGGTCGGACGCGTTGCCAGTGACAAAGACCACATCTAGATGGGGCAAGAACACGACCCCGCTGCTGGAAAGAATGAGAAGCGATTATGGGAGCTCTTCCAAGGCAAATGTCGACAGGATAGCGCAGATACGCATCGGTATCAACGATGTGCCTTACGATCTTCTGCCGAGGGTCGTGCCCGCCGTGCCTACGGGCTACATGGAGACCGAGGAAGACGCCAAGGTCGCCTGGGCCGATCTCATCGACAAATTCAAGAGGCTGATCCTGGCTAGCTTCGACATGAGGGTCAGCCAGTACGAGGAAGACATCAAGGAAAAGGACGCGCAGAGAAGTCTGCCCGGCTGGAACTTCTGCACCTTCTTCATTCTGAAGGAGGGACTAGCAAGGGGCTTCGAGAGCGTAGGATTGGTGGACGATGCCCTTGTTGGATACGACGAATTAAGTGTCGGCTTGGACACCATAATACAAGAGCAAGCGGCTGCGGACTTTGACGACACCCATGGGGGCTCACTGCTTCCGCACACCCCGGACCTCAAGAAGATCGCGCAGTCGGCGATGGTGACGGCGAGCACAGGGACACTGGAGTTTGACGACGAGGAAACCGTGGATCTGCAGTCCTCCAAGGAACCAGAACCCCAGGAAAAATTCGACGACATCCCCATCTCTGTCATGAAGAAGGCTTACCGAGACCTGATTCTATCAAATAACGTGTCGATATTTGATTTCAGGTGTTATATATTTGCACGACAAATTGCACTGCTCCTCCGCCTGGGCAATGCTTGGTCCACGCGGGAAGAGCTGCTCGCCAAAGTCAAAGAACAGCAGGAGTCCATACTGCATGGTGTTGCACCACGGGCCCCACCTCCACAGCCAGCGGACGAGTCCGAAAACCTGTCTATGCTGGCAGAAATATGCAAACGCACTCTTGAGTTCATACCTGCTGTATCCCAGGTCATGCGCCGAGATGTCATTGCCGCTCTGGCCGACCAACGCAAGCTCGAGGCCGGCGGCGTGACGCCCAAGACGACAATTCCCTACGAGAACCTCGTGTCAGAGGTGGCCGAGAATATAGTCGCGTCTTTTGCTTTCTCGATAGCCCAACAAATCCTTGCACAGACGTCTACGAAGGCTTTGCCCATCCCGCCGCCGACCACAACCCCAACTGGTGAGGACGGTCCAGAGCAGAAGTCGAAGGAGTCCATACCAGAGCCCAAGACGATGATGCACCCCGTTAGAACGACATCTCTCAGGGTTTCAACAACGGGGGACGGTCGACTGCCGCCGCTGCCCAGTCCAAACTTCTTCCCGGGCCCTGGCACTCGCAGAGCGAGCACAGCTGATGTGCAGGATACAATAAATCAACGGCACCACAAGGCAGGACAAGAAGAGCTGGCTGCTAGAAGAGCTGAGCTTTATGCGTTGTCACGGAACATATTGGAGGAGTGCGGCAAAAAGCGGGGCTGGAGCGATGGGTGGTCTTCTGCACCGGTCATAGGAGAAACCGGGTTGCAGGAAATGGAAGATATCAGCCTTGACGACGACTTGCCGCCAAGTCCTTCACAGCCGACAAGAACCCCATCATCAGATCTTACTCTTGCCGGTATTGACAACAAACTCCTTCGAACGGCCCTCGACACCAAAGAGGATTTCTACCGCCTGTACGAGATGCTCACAGACAAATCCTTGCGTCACTACACTGTCGCCAGCCATACACACTCTGTCCTGGCCAATATGGCAGATCTTGCCGTCATGAAGTACTACCTGGAAGACTACTCCGCCGCAGCGTCATATTTCCTCCGGACGACGCCATTTTACGGAGAGAGCGGATGGAGCTTGCTTGAGCTATCTATGCTTGTCATGTACTCAAAGTGCCTTCGAGAACTGAACAGGAACGACGTCTATGTCAAAGTCATGCTCAAACTACTTTCAAAAGCAGCAAACTCGGAAAGGGATAGGATCGAGGAAAGGGGCTCGGTCAAATTAAGCCAGAAAGAGGCCAAGGAGTACGCGGAGAACGAGTTGTTTAAAGGCTTTCTACCCGACTTTCTGACTGCTGCCAAATCTTTCGACAAGGAGGTGAAGCATTCGCTGCAGAACTTCTTCACCCATATCGAGGTTGAAGGCACACCGGCATACGACGACGACCAGGACAGCTTTAACTTGACCTTGGTACTCCGGAGCGTTCTAGCCGACCCACTACCCGTGGACAAGGCCTTCCTGCGGATCATCACCACTGGCGGACGCGAAATCTGGCTTGAAAGTGGCGACAAGCTGGAACTGAGACCCGGGCGGAACAAGATTCAGCTGCGATGCATGGCCATGAACCCGGGCACGTATGAGGTCGACCGAGTCCAGTTGAATAGCGGACCGTTGAAGCTCAGCTTTGAGAGACAAGCATTCCAGCCTGTTGAGCGCGATGCGGTCAATCTGAGGAACCCATACGTGACCTTGTATCAACGTGCCGACACACTTGACCTGCGTGTCGAGCCATCGACGGTAACACAACTGGATAGGAACTTCGCCATGGATCTTGAGTTGACGACGGGGTGGAATGAGGTGGAGTCCTGCGAGATTCGCGTCCGGTCTGCGACAGGGGGCCTCCGGCTCCTTACGGCAGAAGCTCAAATACTCGGTACTGAGGAACACAAGCAGCCAGCATCGTCTGAACCAGGCTTGTTTGTGTTTGCGTCTCTGGCAGCCAGGTCGTCGGTCAAGGCTCGGATACCTTTTACCACCGAGCAGGATGCCCCAAGTGTCTCCATCAAAGTCGAGGTCAAGTACACTACCTCTCGGGGAACGTTCACCTTGTCCAAAACGCCGTCAATACCACTAGCTCTGAAGTTGGGCGTCAATGTCCAGGATGTTTTCAAGCACACAGCGCTTTTCTCGCGCTTCACCGTATCAACAGCGACACAAAGTCCACTGCGCCTGTTCAAATCGGAGCTCATTGAATCGGATGTATTCGAGTCACGATTTGGAGTGCCACCTACAAACCCAGTTGTCATTTTTCCAAAGCAGCCGGCGAGCCTGATCTACAGGATCAACCGCATACCGGGATCCAGGATCGGCCCCAACACTAACAAGACCATGTACTTGAAGCTGTCATACAGCGTCCTTCAGGATGAGATCAGGGATAATATCCGTGAGTCGTTGACTGACGCACTGAAAGACACCGAGTTATGGAAGTACAGCAGGCTCCTAGTGGCGAGTGTGCTGGAACGGGTGAAGAGCGATCTTACGGCTTATGATCTCGAGAGGTCTGCGACGCTGGGCGAGCTGCCGCTGAGTTTTCTAACTGAGGTCAAGTGGCAGAAGCAGTTCTCCGGGCTGGGCACAACATCGGCCGGAGAAAGCATCCCGGCACTTATGTCCCAATTCATAGTCAACTGGACAAAGAAGACCCCAAGGATCCCAGCAATGCGCCAGGTAGATCCTACACAACTGCAGTCGATCCTCATCCCCGTCGACGTCCCGTCGATACCGGTCGTGCACACCGCCGACATCCGACTGCAAAGACCCGTCCCGTCTCTTGTTGAGCCTGCAGATGAGTACGAGGCACCAGTGGTCTGCGTCAACCAGCTTCTCCCGGCGACATTGCACCTGAAATGGACACGGGTTTGGGACACAAGCAGACTCGACACCGCCGCCGCAGCGTCTTCCGCCGAAGAAGCTGCAGGTGACGAATTCAGCTACGATGTCACTGCGCCGAGCGATACGTGGCTCGTCGGCGGCCGGAAGAAGGGCCACTTCGTCATTCCTGCGCGAAACTCCACCGGCGAGGAAGGCGACCTGGTGAGCTCCTCTCCCATCAACGAGGCGGACATCCCACTCGTGCTCATCCCGCTAAGGGAGGGGTACCTGCCGTACCCCAGCGTCGAGGTCAGGGAGAGCAGCGGACCTGCCGAGACCAACGACAACGAGAGCCACGGCCATGGCCACGGTCAGGGCCAGGGGAGGAAGAGCCCGGCCGTCACTGGGCACTGCGAGACGGACTATCGGAACCTGGGCGAGACGGTGCGGGTTGTTGCGGACCGGAGGAGGGTCACCGTGTCGCTGGATGCCAGTGGGGCTGGTGGTGGGCCGTTGGTGCTTGATAGTGAGAGGGTCACTGGGACGGAGATTGGGAGGGTGGTTGCCTAGGTTTATTATGTACTTTATTCAAATGTTAGATGCAGAAATGGAACCTGACGTGTCCAGTAGCCAAGCCGCTTTCAGGCCATGTCAACTTTGGGCTGTATGTCTACTACAACGAACTACATTTCGATGAGTGTATGCAAAGAATACTAAATCTGGACCATGTCCCACCCAATCCTGGCAGCCATAAGCATGAGAACGACCTGGGCTATATTGAACCAGCTTCCCCACAGCCTGCCCATTCCGCTTCGGGCACCAGGCATCGTGTACCCGACGCGATACATAATGGCAGCAACAACGTCGCTCAACCGATTCGGAGGTCCGTTCCTGGTATACCCGAGAGCGTAGAATACTCTCCCCACGTTCCATAGCAGCCCCATGACGGCAGCCTCGACTGGCCATGTCAGCCCGGCTATCATGAGTGGTAGTAGGAGGCAGGGCAGATTTTCCATGAAGTGATCCTTGAATTCGAGGATTGTCATTAGTATCAACAATGCTGGCCTAATTATGTGGACAGTCTTCTGTGGAATTTGATCGACACTTACATGAGCCCGTAGGGCACAGTTGAACAGATGAACTGCTCTTTTCAACGCCGGGGATTTGGCCCCGTTGACTTCAGCACGGCTGGCATGCTGATAAGGCCAAGGCATTCTGGCAGCTTGGCGAAAGGGCGAGCCACGATGAGCGTGACCAAGCTTATTCTTGTGCATATGCTGCAGAGGTGAGAGATGCGGTATGGGACTGCGGATGGGAAGAGGCCGCCTGTTGTGCCCATTGCATTTTCTCGCATCCCTGATGCCATGGCGGATATGTTGTTTAAGGAGAGAGAGGAGTGGAGGGAACGCAACGGTTAAGAGCTCATAATATATTGAACTTAAGTCTGATATAATACAGATATGATGTAGGTAAATATAGTCTCGTGGCGTAATACAATACAATTTCACGACATCCTCTTTCTGAACCGCAGGTTTGCCTTGGGCGCAGCGAGAACAGCCGCACCGAACACGACGTTTTTCGGCCTCGTAGTCCCCTCCTCCAGGGCGACATCATATTGCAGCAACAGCTTTCTCAGGATAACCTTTATCATGTGGCCGGCAAAGAATCCTAAATCGATGGCAGGGGAAATGTTAGCAAACTCTGAATCATTTTGTTACGCCGCTGGGGAATGTTGGAATCCCAATACGCAATCACCACAGAGGTCAACATACCTCCTGGACAAGTGTGCTTCCCCTGTCCCCACGACGTGTGTCGCGCGTTGGCCGTCACGAAGAGGTGTGAGTTCTGCGCTCCTTCCGCCTGCCTCAGACGATAGAAACGCAATGAATCAAATGTATCAGGGTCAAACCACAGCTCTGCATCCATGTAGCCCTGCGATGCATTAAGCGCGAGAAAGGTGTCCCGTGGGATAAATGTGCCGTCCTCGAGCTCGAAATCCCTCATCGCCAGTCGTTGGAACGTGTAAGGAGTCAGGGGGTTCAATCGCTGCGATTCCTTCATGAAACTGTCAAGCTTCTGAAGCTTATGGATATAGCTGTTGTTCATCTCTCCGCCCGTTTCCGCAAGAGCAGTCACCATCTCTGCCCCCAGCTCCTCAACGATCCCGGGATGCGAGGCGAGGTCCAGAAGCAGATGTGTAGTCGTCATCTCGGAGGTGTGCAGCGCCGCCATGGACAGCGTGAAGGTAAAGTCGACCTGCTGGACGAGATCTGCCGCCCACTCGGGATGTCGCTGGGCCACCCATTCGTTGATGTAGTCGCCCTTGCTGTCGTCTAATGCCTCGGTCTCGGTAGCCTCGCGTAGGACCCTCCTCCCCTCAGCCCATGTCCTTTTGGCAGTCTTCAACGCTGGCATGAAAGGCGCCACCCAGGGATGCAAAAGCGCCGGCCACTTCTTGACGGCCTGCAGGCTCGCGGCGGCCATGTGGGTGAAGTTTCTCATGATGCTCATCCATGCCTCGTCCCGGCACAGCTTGGGTCTCACGAAGACCCTAGCTGACGCCTGCGCGATCGGCTCCATGACGACCTCGCTCAAAGTGCGGAGCTCCCACTCCCTCGTCTGCGGCAGCATCTTGCGCAGGGCAATTTCGACCTCAGTCGCCATGTATCCCACGACGCGGGGCAGATTTGCCGTCAGCTCCCCGCGGACCGCGTCCTGCCCGATACCTTGGGGCACGTTGGAGATCTTGGTGTACTTCCCGGCAGTGAGACTCTTAGCGGCCTCGTCGAAGCTGAGGTAGTCATCGGGGAGGGACGGGAGCTGTTTGATGTAGCGGTGGTTGAAGACGACGTTTTGCTTGCCGTCCTCGATGGTGATCTGGACGTAGGGCGCAGACTTGTTCTTTAGGTAGTCGTATCAGGACGCGAGCACAGATGGTGAGTGGGACAGCCATCGTAGCCTTTCTTTGAACCACCACCCGGTGCTAAGCTTCACGCCTCCTGATAGCTTTCGACTGCGGCGCCCGTTGAGATGATGGGCCGAGTATGAGATGCAGGTGATTGTCATGAGTAACCCGGCAAGGAGCCACGCGCTTGAGAGGGAGCTCATTGCCGCAGCTTGACACAGTGATTCCAATGCCGTTGAAGTCAAAGACATGGGGACTGGCCCACTCGAATTCCCACTCATGGTTCAGTTGCGTCGAGGGTCGAGTCTGCAGGGATTTGGGAAGACTCTGAGTTGTGACAACAGCCAATTGGTTTGCACAGTAATTATACGTATTTTCCAGACTATTCGGTGTAGACGAATTAAATATTGAATTCTTATATGTGCTAGACTAAACATTTATTTAAGAGTTTATTTTCTTTACTCAGACGATGGACACGGAACACCAGCCAATCAGAAGTGTCCATGGCAATATCTGGAGGATTTGGTCTGCTTTTCCGGTCCGGACTTGTACCCTCCGAGTGTTTACATTCTGCCCCTGCCCGGCATCGATGGTATGCACACCCGGCGGCCAATATTATTGTGCGACTAGTATACATAACACTGCTGAATGTCATGACATTTTCAGGCAGTCGTCACATCAGTATTTGGAACCATGGCCGTGATTTCATTGCTTTTGTTAACTCTGCTCGGACCCCTGTTGCTTTTCCTATCCGCAATATCTGCTTTGGCCAGGAACTACTCGAAAGCACAAACAATAGGAATTCCTATCTTGATCGTCCCCGTGAGCTACTCCAACCCCCTCTGGTTAGTTATTGGTCGGCATGCCGCCCCATGGTTCAGACATCTGCCCTTCGGCCTCGGCAACACTGTGAGTCGGATCGGCTACAGCGGCTGGGAGTGGGCACAAAAGCACAGCATGTTCCCAGAATACGGCCCCGGGTTTGTCATTGTCACGCCTGTCCAGAACTGGCTCTACACGTTCGATGGGGAGAAATTGTACGGCATCTTTTACGGCGAGCGCCAGGGCAGCATCGAGAGGCCGACGGAGCTGTAGGCGATGCTCAATTGTTTCGGGCCGAATGTCATCACGGCGACGGGCGAGGACTGGCGGCGTCATCGAAAGGTCACTGCAGCCGCGTTCGCGGAGAAGACGAACAGGCTCGCCTGATACGAGGCTTTGAGGCAGGCTGAGCAGGTTCTGAGTTACTGGAAAGCTGCAGGGCCGAAGGGGGTCAAGACCACTGCCCGGGACTACAAGACTGTGGCTCTGAACATTCTGGTCAGTGCTGGGTTTGGCAGATCGTGCGCTGTTGCTGGTAGCGAAGACGAAGACCAGGATGACAGTGGTCCTACAAAAGATGGGGATGGTCTAGTTGGGTATCACACAAGTCTTCGTCTGATCCTCGAAAACATTCTCGTTGTTTTCCTGCTTGGAGCCAAAGTCCTCGGCCGGATAGAGTGGCCCGCCAACCTGGCTCGTATCGGGAAGGGATTCAGATCGTTCCAAATCCACATGAAAAACGACTTTGAGACGGCAAAAGATGGCTTGAGGGAAAAGGGTACCACAGAAGGGACGTTGATGGCAAACCTTGTTCGTGCCTTCGTCGAGTCAGAGGAGTCGAATGGTTTCGGCATCTTGGAGCAGGAGGTATTTGGAAACATGTTTGCATATCAGTTCTCCGGCCACGATACCACGGCTCGTTCGTTGAACTTTACGTTCTACCTGCTGGCAGCTTTCCCAGAGGTCCAGGACTGGATGCGTGAGGAGATACAACACGTTCTTGGCGAGAAATCAACGTTAAGGTAGGTCGTATTCCACCGCTTGAACTTTGCTTGTCTGACCATGGCCCGATGCAGAAGCAAAAAATTGAATGTCGCTACTCTACCTTTTCTACGACATCCCCAAATTTCAACCTCAGGACGTTGGCACCAAATATCACACAAACAACTGCTATCACTCCGCCGGATGATCTCTCTAATTACGACTTCAGCGCCCCCCTGGACAATCTCAGCGACGCAGATCTCTTCTCAGACGATGCAGCGACGTCGTCTTTCCCAGAGAGCTCTTCATTGATCTGGATATCCCACTTCGTACCTGTCCCCTCCCCAACCTCCTTCCAGAGCTCCCCCAAAGTCTCCTCATTGTGCGAGAAGCTCTCGAGCGGGTTGCTGACCCTGGTACCCTGGGGCTGCACGAGCGTCTTGACAAGTCGTGCCTCTTTGAGACCCGCATTCCGGCCTACTATCAGAGCACCTGGACCATCGAGATTGAGCAGCGGAAGAAACACGTCGCAGATTATTGTGAGCGTGTCCTCTCCCGGTAACAGGTGCAGGAAGTGGCTGCTGTGGATTACAGACAGTTTGCCCAGCAGCTTTGGGTTGGAGAGGAGCGGCGAGGTCGTGCGCGACGTGTCAAGCGCGTCGGCCTCGATGAAGGTTGCTTTGGAGCGGCCAGAGTCGCGGAAGAGATCGTAGCCGAGACTCCCGAAGAGCCCTTCGATGTCTGTGGCGTACAGGTTTTCTGTTGGCGCGCCGTCAGCGGCCAGGCGTCGCAGGTCCTGACCAAACAAGGTTCCAAAGTCGATCAGACCCTCTCCGGCCTTGACGCGGTCCAAGATCTCCGGATAGATGCCCAGCTTCGAGATGCCAGAGTCAAGGAAGGCGAGCATCCCGATGCATGGGAAAGTGTGCTTTGCCCATGCCTCATCTCTCTATAATTGAGATCTATGATTAGATTTGATGTTTGAGTCGTACTGGTGTTCTTTGGTGCCAGACTTACCACGCGCGAAACATGGCTCAGTAGCTCTTCCTTTTGTACTCCACCATAACTACGTTTCGATAGTGTTCAGACCCTCCTGGAATTTGAACAGTACTGGATCCTCCAGCGAGGTGGGCGTCAGTACAAATGCGTTCTTCAGGCCTTCGTGGCCTTTGTTGAAATTGGCAATTTTTGAATTATCGCGATTTTGAGCGATATCGATTTTGCGTGGGATGAGATCTCCTTGCGAATGGATACGATTCTATGTGCTATGCTATTGCTTCTGCGTCGCCGTTTTTCTTGTCAGGTCATGTTAGCCAAGCCGTCAGCCTTGGCGGCTCTTCACGGAATAATTCTTAAGTGTCAATCAATGGCGACTCGGACCGGCCGTTGTGATAGTCCCGTCGGGGTAGGTGGGTAACAACCACCGTAATGCGGCTACGCCTAACCGAGATGGATGAATACGCATCTCAGTTAAATGGCACAGGCTTGAGTTGGAATAAAGTTCCGGTGTCATGAACCCCTGCCATCCAGCGCCGGAATTCAAGGGGGGCGTGGACCAATCGGAAAGACGTCGGAAATGGTGTTATGCGATTGGTCAGATTTCCGGCTTGCCGGAGACAGATCCGGAAAGAAACTAGTCTAATACGCTTGCGGGACGAGTGCAGCCACTTCATTGTAGCATTCTTAGACTCCTCGCGGGGACACTCCAGCGCGGCGGTCCAGTACAGATCCCAGCTCTGGCCAATCTGCATCTGGCGGACCTCGTCGATCAAAATCCTCAATCAATGGGGATTTTGCAATTCCGACAGGCGGTCCAGGGCCAGCGTCCGGAGGTAGCTGGTAGAGTTGACGGTCTGTGGTGCCCCAAAGATGGTGTGCGCTGAAGGCTGCCCTCTTCGCAAGGGGGACGAGTCCTCCAAGTCGTCGCACAAAAGCGAAGCCATGTGCACGTGTTTGACGACGTCTTTGATGGTGGAAATGGATCGGGTCGGGAGGTGGAGCCAGCCGTCCATGCCGTCGACAATGGCTTCACGGAAGCCCTTTGAGGGGAGGGATTCCAGGTATTTGATTGGTGCCAAGACGAGTTCGTCACCCAACATGGAATGCTCACCAGTTCAATGGTTTTTTTTTTTGGGGGGGGGGGGTCGCACGTCCTGTTCCAGTAACTTCTTCATGCCAGCTTCCAAACTCTCGACTGGCTCTCCGATCAATCCTGTGGAGTCACTCGAGTCGTCTTCATGGTCCGAGTCGTGTGGAGGGGTTGGCAGGCTCACCAGAGACACCTGGACGGTGGACTCTTTCCTCTCGTAATTTTTTGAACGTACTGGGAGCTCCATGTGCTCTTTCTCTTTGCGATGGGACGAATAGTGGTCGGATGAGGCGCTCCAGACCAAGTTCCCCACCACCATGTCCACGATTCCATCAAGACAGACACGGAGTTTATGGTCCATCTTCTCCCATCGCTCGTCTTTTAGCCGCAAAACGGCGTTCTCATGCTCCTGGCCCAATTGTGCGACCTTCTCCTTGGCTTCTTTGAGATCCAGCCCCTCCGTGTCGGCCAACACGGAGACTGCGTTCGCGATGCCTATCGAACTCCCGCCGAGCTCAACAAACATATCGTGCTCTTAGTTGAAGGAAAAGAAATCGTTCTGTTAAGAGAGGGCTCGAGCGGTATGGTCGACGATATCCTCGATCCGCCGCGGCTCCTCGACTGAGATGTTCAAGCCCATGGCCCAGTTCACGAGGTGTACAGCAACGATGGTCCCTGAGTCGACGACGCGGTATTGCATGTATTGCTCGACGCTGTCGAAGCGACGAGGCTTGTTGAATCCTTTGGCCCATTCCTTCCACGCTTGCATTACGTTCTTGGCGCAATCTGGATCGATGAGGAGGAGTTGAAGCGCTGGTTTTGCCACGACTTGTTTTGCTCCCGTGTTGGACTTTTTACCCGCCTTGGTTTCTGAATTTGATATGGTCCTTGTCTTATCTCCAGAGCCAGGCATAGTCTCTGCCCACTCATTCGCAAGGCTGCCCGTGTCGTCTTGAGACCCGGGCTCCGCGATATTGTCCATGTAGAAAATTGCCTCCATGAAGTAGCCCATGGTCTCGATGCGCGACGGTATGCACTCTGGCATCACCATGGCGACCGAGTGGCCAACGCTGGACTCGCATGTTGGGCGGTGATGGTGGCCGATCAGGGCCTCGCATTCTGTTTTCGCCTGCCGTGAACCAGCGCGCGCGAGATGCTGGTCTTTGTGTCGGCGGGGGATGTGCCGGGGATCCTGGCAGAATCCAAATGTCCGATATTCGCCAGGTTCCAATGTCTTAGAGTAAATGTGCTCCATGATGTAAGTTGTCGCTCTTGGAGTTTGAGGACTTTTCTTTCTTCCTTTTCTTCTTACTTCTAGAGATAGAGACCGGGTCTCCTTTTGAATCTGTCACTCTTTTGTGATAAATAGTATTTTATTTGGTACAGCCTCCGAGAAGGCGATCATGTTAGACACCGACACGCAGTCAGGTATACCCACCCTATTACCCACTGTGGCAAGCAACGCATGTACAAATCCACTGTACCTGAAGCACCACAAATCCCTAACTACCCAAGCCGGCTTAGGATTGGCGCACGATCCGAATAAGACAAGAATAACATAATTCGTCCAATGACATCTCCCAGATGACCTCACCGAGAAACAGTTCCGAGGGGCTGGATAGCGAAATGATAGCACGGCTGGAAACGCGGGACAGTACTCGGAACCAGCACCAGCGTGACGGCGCCGTCTTCTCAACTGCGAAAGGCTACCGGACGAGAAGCCCTAGGATTGCAGAACCCGGTTATAGCTATATCCACCTGGTAATTTGATGCGATTCGGGCCCATGAGCTCGACCGTGCACTGGGAGCCGACATAGGTGGCGGCCCCCTCGGAGTGAGAAGACAATTACCAAGGTCGATCATTTCGACACTCATTCTAACACCGGTGGTATAGGCAAAATGGAAAAGTATTTCGAGGGCACGTCGATGGTGTCGTCCGTGAGCGGGCGCATCATGTCGGACCCAAAGGCAGTGTTCACTGCAATCGGCGCCATAACTGCAGTGTACTTTGTCACAACATGTCTCTACAACCTCTTCCTCAGCCCCCTGAGGCATCTTCCAGGGCCGTGGTTCGCGGCAGCATCTCCACTCCCCTTCGTCTGGGCTATGGTCCGCGGCGGATGGAACACATACCTGGTGGACCTGCACCGGCAATACGGCCCCGTGGTGCGTTTTGGCCCGGATCACATCAGCTACGCCGACTCGCAAGCGCAACGTGACGTGCACACGCCTGCAGGCCTCCGCCACGCATTCGACAAGCACCCGGCTCTCTATCAGGCCGTCACGAGCAACGAACAGTCCATCTTCACCTCCAATGGCAACCAGCACGAGCGACACCGCCGCATCCTGCTCCGCGCGTTTACGGACGGAACCTTGCAGCTCTTAACTCCCATGATCAAGTTGTACATCGACATGCTCATGGACCGTCTGGATGAACACGCGGCAGCTCAGACCCCAGCCAACATGCAAGATCTGCTGCTATTCGTCACGGTCGACACAGCCAACGATTTCCTATTTGGCGAGCCTTTCAACATGACACGAGACGGCAAGGCCCACGGCTTCGTAGCAGGTGTGCTTAACCTCACCGAGATCGGGCAGGTGGTCGCGGGCCTGCAGCAGTTACGCTGCTTCCGCTTCCTTTGGGACAACATCATCCAGTACCTGATCCAGCCCGTCTTGCAAAAGCACCAGGGCGTGACCAACGAGCGTGTCGCCCGCCGGCTCACAAAAGGCGTGGACGCCCGCGACGACATGATCAAGTACAGCAGGCAGGGCAAGGAGACGCTGAACGACCAGGAGCTCTTCCTCAACGCAAGCCACCTGTGGCTGGCCGCCAGCGAGACGAGCACCACGAGCTTGGTAGCGCTGGTCTTCTTCCTTCTACAGCACCCGGATGCATACAAGCGCCTGGTCGATGAGGTGCGCTCCGCGTATGCCACCGAGGCAGACATAGCAGACACCTCGCGCCTGCCGCAGCTGAAGTGGGTCGACGCCTGCATCAAGGAGGCACAGAGGCTGCACAGCCCGCTGCCCACGCCGCTGCCGCGGCTGATTCCCAAGGGGGGCGCCACCATCTGCGGCGGGTTCGTCCCCGAGGGGAGCTGCGTCGTCGTGCCCACCTGTGCTGCGTCGCAGTCTGCCGAGAACTTCCACGACCCCCACGCCTTCCGGCTCGAGCGCTGGCTGGACGAGGACGCTGACTTTGCCGAGGACAAGCAGGCGGCGTTTCAGCCGTTCCTTCTTGGGCCTAAGAGCTGTATCGGGAAGCCGTAAGTTTCTGTGATACCCATCTGTCTGACACTGTGCTTCTGTCCCAAGTGCTAACTTTTGGTGAATTAGTATGGCTTTGCTTCAGACGCGATGGATCGCAGCCTCCATTTTCTGGAAGTACGACTTGGAACTGTTGGAAGAGAGCAAGCAATGGATTGACCAGAAGGTTTTCGTTCTTTGGGAGCAAAAACCATTAGAAGTGAACCTCAAACCTCGAAAGGTGTAAGATGAGCCTCATCGGGGAGCTCCTCTTGTCTCGCGTAGAAGCAGGGGGTCACTCTCAAATCTAGACAGTCGCTGGACTATTATCTCATGCTGGTAATTTTGATGATGAGAGCGTCTTCATGTAATATGCAATTCGAATCAAACCAAGCCCAATTTGCTGGAAAAGAATTTTGTGTACGTGAAACCTACATTGAGTCCTTCCACAAGTGAACATGCACATTCCTGAGTTTCAAAGGAACGACTGCTCGTGTCTATGCCCAGGAACTGTTGGTAGTGACTCTTCTTCAATAGCTCCTATCCCCTGAATGAGTCGCTTATTATCACCACAGCGATGGACGTCCTCAGAACAATGAAAGGCGCCGTGGTGCTGCTGGTAAACAAAGACTGCTGTTATATTGGGTCGTCCGCTGTGCAGAGAATACTCTTGGAATTGAAGTCAGCATGTGACATCGAGCTCATTCTATCGTTGAAGTCCATTACCTCGAGCGTGTAGTCGAGACAGTGTGGCTAGTGGTCATCACCTGTTCAAAAACAGTCCTTGCTCTTGGTACTCAGGAAAAGAGGAGGCCACCTCCGGTCCTTCTGATGGCACCATTGTCTCGTAGAAGCTGGATTGCTCTGGCATGACCCCCAACCGTGGCACTCTGAAGCGCTGTCTGTCCTCTACGTCTCTTGCTGCTGTAGGCATTTAAGTCTGCACCGGCCGCTAGTAAGCGCTCAATAATCTCTACGTGGCCCTTCTCAGCTGCCGCATGCAAAGCCATTCCATCTCCGTAGATGCCCCCCAAAGCATGAACATCGGCACCTTCCTGAAGTAGAAGGTCGACGAGGTCAACATGGCCTCCCAAACATGCACCCTGAAGAGCGGTGTATCCCTTGTATTTTGCCGAAGCGCCGTTGATGTCGGCCCCATGTTGGAGGAGAAGCTTGACTATCTCCGTGAAGCCGCCACCGGCTGCGGCTTGCACTGCCGTGTAGCCCGCTGTTGGTGACGGAGGAGCGTTTACATCTGCACCTAGTGCCAGGAGGCGGCTGACCAGATGCATGTGCCCTCGCTCCGATGCAGCCTGTAGTGCCGTCCTGCCGTTATACCGCGTCACAACGGAGAGCCCCGGAGTCGCTTGTGGGCGACTTGCAGATGGTGTCATTACCTCGTTGACCCTGGCACCTGCCTTAAGCAGGATATCGACGATCTCCTCGTTTCCCTGTCCGCAGGCGATCTGTAAGGCATTCCTCTGAAAGTTGTTGCCGCCGCAGAAGTTGAGATCAGCCGCGGCGTCGACGAGGATCTGCACGGCCTGTTGGTGACCATGCATGCATGCAGCCTGGATGGCGGTCTGGCCATAATAACCGCGCGGTGGTTCGTTTACGGCAGCTGGGTTAGAGGCGAGTATTTCCTCGATTCGTTCTATTTGTCCGCATCTCGCGGCAAGTTGCAAGGGCGTCCAGCAATATTCATCGCAGTCATCAGCCTCGAGGGTCGGATCCCAGGCGGCGTCCAATGGTGGCAATGATGTCGGCATAATATCGCGCAAGTGGAGAGGGGAAGGAGTCAGCGTACGCCCACCCAGCTTCCACAGTACGCCCACTTAGCTTTTAGCGTTGGTCTACCCAGTACTTTCTTTTCTTAATATTATATTAATAAGACTAAATACTTTTCTAAGTTTACCCTATATATAAGAAGCTAGGGTAGCTATTTTCTAATTTAAGCAATACTTTAAAAATATAAGCTTAAAAAGCCCAGAGGGCCCTAGAGCCCCCAGAGGGCCCCAGAGCGCCCAGAGGGCTGCAGAGCGCTTAGAGGGCGCAGAGCGCTTAGAGGGCGTAGAGGGCGTAGAGGGTGCAGAGGGCAGAAGAGGGCGCCGAGGGCGGTAAAGGGCGCCGAGGGCGGCAGAGGGCGCTGAGGGCATAGAGGGTAAAGAGGGCGCAAAGGGTAAAAGAGGGCGCAAAGGGTAAAAGAGGGCGCAAAGGGTAAAAGGGCAAAAGTAACTTTTAAGTTGCAAATAAAGGGGTAGCTATAGGACCTCTTTAAGATAGCTATAATTATGCTTTATTAATAACCTTATAGTACTAATATTTTATAACGCATGCAACTAATTTCCTTATACTAAGTGGGCTAACGCTGGAAGCTGGGTGGGCGTATTGTGGAAGCTGGGTGGGCGTACGCTGACTCGAGGGGAAGTGCGGCAAGTGGTGGATCAGTCAGTCTGGTGGCGGCTCCGAAGCCTTTGGGTTGAGGACAAGCCTACAGTCCCCAGAGAGAGAAAGATACGAGGGCAAAAAAAGTAATACTCCTTTGACGAGGTCCTTCGATAGAACATGCATGCATGAGGGAGCATTCACACAACTTGTCATTTGACTGGTAGCGGACATCTGACCCGAATTTTCTGTATTTAACACCTAGCTTGTAATGGGGATTTCGGCCCGGAATCCTGCGGCTCAAGCACAGGGGCCGCCCCCGACCTTTTCGGCCCGAACTTCTGTAGCGCAGGCAATGGATTGAGCCTCATAAGGTCACGGCATGAGCAGGTAACGATGCCACTTAGCGTTAAATGAATATCCCTTCCACAGGTCTTATCTTTGTACCGAAATCAGTGGCCGGAAGAACACACACACATCTTAACCCGGGTGCATTTTTCAGCCCGCTGATTTCGCATCTTCCATTGCTTGAATTTAGCTCAACCCAATACACAACATGTCCCAATTGTAGCTAAATCATCTTCGTATCGGACCCAGTCATTCATCAGAGGATCTCAATCTGACTGAAGAGACGGTACGAGTCTGTGATTGAGAGAATGGAGATTATGTCAAGTGAATGATATCGTCTTTCCTCAGATTAGGTCGAGTAGAGTCTGGCTGCAGTGATGACCTTAGGACACAATAGACTATGCTTCCCAACCGGATCGTTTGTGATACTCTTCTCTCGCAAGCCTGGGGTAGCTTTCTTGCCTGCAGAATTGTATAAAGATACCATAAGATTGTTCTCTACGAGTATCAGTAAGCCCTTTGCCGCTTTCATATGCTAGTTGTTTAGTAATATAAGATGGTTGGGACGGAGCAGAAGTCCAGCACGAACCAGCACGCAATACATCATGTTGTTCCCCGTTTTCGCCGAAATTGATATGAGTTACTGAAAAGCAGAAACTAAGTCCCCAAGAGGTGTATGTGCCAACATCCGATTAGTGGCGAGCTGATGAAAAAGGGTTCAGAACCTTTTGTAGTATGACACTCAGTACTATTGACACAATTGCTGAATTGCTCAACCGTAATCTAAACGCGCCTAGATGGGCATTGTGGCTGACGAATTCACCCTTGCGAATACCTAATGTTGACAGATCTATGCACGACAAGGCGTGACAGAGCGGGGCTAGGACGTCGTGCTACAACACTCTCATGTCCGATGAGTGTGTATCCACCCGGGCGCTTCGCTCTTTTCCGCCAGTTGAGCTTCGAGAAAGATCTGCAAGTTTTCAACGTGAGGTAATCAGGAGGGGGGAAATGGCTCCTCGCCAATCACGTGGTTGTGCGATTACTATTAGGCAGCGGCCGTCAGCCCCCGCTGCGGCACCTGAACACACACCAAGGCAATTCTAATATCGCAATGGAAGCGTCTCTGTCTTTTTCCGGGCGTCAAATAGCTGTCACGGTGAGTCCGGAAGGCATCAGGCTCGAGAGCACATGGTAATATCTCAAATGCTCTCAGGGAGGGTGTTCTGGGATTGGACTGGCAGTCGTCAAGACACTGCTTGCACTCGGTGCAGTTGTGTACGTGGCAGACATCAGTCCTCAGGCCCCAAAGGAGCTCCAGAATCGAGATGAATGCCATACGACACTTCAATGCGACGTAACGGAGCGTCAGGACGCGCAATCTTTCTTGGATTCCATACCCGGACGGCTCGATGGACTCGTGAATTCTGCAGGTGTCGGCGCCTGGGAAGGCAAGATCGGGACCGACGAAGTATATCAGAGAACGATGGATTTCAATGTGACGGGAACTTGGAATATGGCAACCGAGGCCATGCGCCGAATGTCAGCCCAAGACGATATCGAGACGCCGGGTGTCATTGCCGGTGCGGTACGAAGCGTCGGCCAAGGGTCAATCGTCATTGTTGGAAGCGGGGCGTCTCGTCGCGGCGTGCCTGGGATGGCTGCGTACACGGCTTCAAAACACGCTGTTCTCGGACTCACTAGGTCGTGGGCACGGGACTTTCCTAAGCTACGCGTGAACTTGGTTGCTCCAGGTAAGTGGTCATGTAAACCTCTTTCATGCGACCGGCCATTGACAAAGTTTAGGTGCCACTGATACTCCGCTGGCTGAAACTATTGTTGCCGGCGCGCCACAAGATGACCCTAGCGTTGCCGTGGGTAAAGCACAAGTTGCATTGATACCCAGAGGAAGGATGGCGTATGCGACTGATATTGCGGATGTTATCATCTTCCTACTTTCTGACTGGTCAAGCTTCATGACCGGGCAGTGCTTGCCAGTAAATGGCGTGAATTCGTAGTGCTGATGGACTATGCGAGCTACGAAATTGCATTTAACGTTATCAAAACGCTTTCGACAACGATGAAATCAATTATACTAAACGGCAAATGATTGAGAACTCCCTGAAGAAGAAACATCCCTGACGAACGTCCTGGTGTTGCAATCATCAGACACGTGTTAACCCGTATCTCATCCTCATCAATATAGTAGATTGCTTGACCTCTCTGCAGGGAAGCCTAATTTGCTGCCACAGGAAATATCCCAAACACATTTCACGACTTGCAGTGGGCAGCGGTACCTTGACCAAGCTCTGTCGCGAGGCCTACGTAGAAACTATTACAAACCTACAAAACTTAAGTTATTCATGAAAGCAGATTTTAAAGTCGATTAGAACGTAATTTCTGATCTTTACCCATATACTCACTTCCACTAATAATGTTAAACCAATGTCGTCTTTCATTGTTATGAGAGAAATGAAGTAAGAGCCGTCAGAAAGTAATTCAGAATAGAGACAAAGACTTCATAAGGTACGGGCTGATATTACATTAGACGTCGCCGGGCCGTGTTCATTTGTTGTGTAAGTCAATTCCTTTGTTCCCAGCCATGGGCAACAAGCTCCATGCAACAGCACTATACACGGCGCCCTACTTCAAGTCTATAGTATGGCTTAGAGCAAATTTACTAGCGAATAGACGAGGACAAGGATGGTGTCTTGGTAACAATGGCATTGTCAATATCTACGATACGGACTCTATTGTATTTCCTGGCTCGCATGCTGTTTATAAAAGCTCACTTCAGAAATGTTCCTTACCTTGCAGTCACCAATTTGTCTACACCACTGCATAAAGCTTGGCTAACATTTCGATCACAACACAAGAATCAGCACAAACAACCATGGCGAAGAGCATTCAGAGTTTCGAGCAGTGGGGCTATGTCGTTGATCCCAACGCCAGAGGCTTCAAGCAGGTGGTATTCTCTGGTCATGAGAAACACTGTAACATTTACCACCAAGCCGCTGTAGACCCTATGGTCCCCGTCAACACCTTTACTGTCACACAGGACAGGACACTACTCAAGATTCCGCGTGCTTTCAATAACCACCCGGACATAGACGCCCGTCCAAAGGCGGCAAAGCTCAGTCTTCGAGACCAGATCGTTTCGTACTGGTCACTGGTCGAACACAGAGACCTCAAGCACCTTAAACAGATCAAGTACACTGGTGTGATCGAGGAGAACCTCCAGGGCTACATCGAGCAGGTGTACGACATGATGGGTGTGGCGGATGAGTACGAACAGCTGACGCTCAGACCAACGGACCAGGCTTTCCAATTGCTTTTGACCCGAACCCCGTTCATGGCTGGCGTGCAGAAAATGCTCAACGAGTATGCCGACAAGTTCGGAGGTAAGAGAATCGCAAGCTGTCACTTTGACCCAGTCGGCGGTTTTGATATCTTCGACTTCACTATCAACCTCACCTAAGTAACTAGGAGGCTAGGAAGCTTGTCATTTCACGTCAGTACCTGAAGGTAAGTCAAACACTCGCATCTAAATTGTCATCTTACCCCGTCGATCTCTGGAATGTTTTGCATTCCAATGCCCATCGCCGTCCCGTAGATTACCCCGCAAATAAAACAACTTCGCAATCATCTCAAGGCCCCTTAACATTGCAGTCTTACGTGACGGTTGACTTACATGCTCGCCATATTCTTCTCATTTTCTGATGTGAATGTCAACTCCGATGTCTCCAATAATGTGGAAGTAGAAATGTGTTTTGTTATAAATGCAGAGATTCGCATCCTCTAAAACGGAAGGCACACCCGCACATCGCCAGCACTCATAAACCAACACCCACACCCAATTCGCACGCCCAGCTCGCAATCCCAATTCGCATACTCAATTCGAATGCCCAATTCTTTTTACTGAATATCTTTCATTTCACATTATAAGCGTGTATGCTAAGTTTCCGTCATGAACGGTGATACTAATATAGGTTTGGTGATGCTGCCTGACTCTCAATGCTAGGGGCATGGTTAGGCGTGCAAATATAATTGCTTGAGACATGAAATAAATGAATGTCTATGATAAAAACGTTTAAAGCGATTTCATACATTCGAACGTATTTAATATGGCGGAAAAGAAAACGGTGGGAATCCTCTACTTACGTATACTTTGTAAATACCGAGCACCGATCTATCATTAGATCTGTTTCTTTCTGCTCCATTCCCATTTTTGCTTTTTGCCGTTATGAAGTAATTGCGAGCAGGCCATGAAGCTGGTCACACTATGCCTCGTGGACGACTCAGCGAGCTCGCTGTTTTGCTTTGCGACAGCCCTGGAGAGCGGCACGCACGGGATCCGGATATAACGTCCCATGCAAACTTAAATGACCGACAGTAGACAGCCCACTGCACCGGAGTCAGTTCTATTATCAATGACGGCGTGGGACATGTGAACCGTGACGAAAAATTGACTTGCACGGGGATTCTCAGCCCACTGCACGGCCTGGAAAGAATAAGAAATCGTCTGACCTCGGATTTGCGGGGAAGATTCGCCAAACGTGTGGGGTCCCCGGGCAGCCCAGCTCCTCGGATTCTTCTCCTTGCCAGCACATTTCGCCGAACGCCTTCGGGTTCCTGATCATCCACACCCACTGGAACAGCAGGGAGCACAGTGTCGACCAGTGCCTCCGGACAGATGCGATGCCTCGCGGAGGAAAGGAGCTGCCCGTCGGCCCTCCATCGCAACGCCAGAGAGTGTCCGAAGAGGCAGATGGGACTGAGGTGAGTGAGAGCCCGGGGCGCCTGGGGCGACGCGTCTCCAAGACTACGCGAGCCTGCGATTTGTGCAAGGTATGCTCTGCCCGCAAAAGCCCTAGTTGATTGGTTCTGGGCCCTTTTTTGACATGTCCCAGGCTCGGAAGGTTAAGTGCTCTGGTACCAGACCATGTACGAGCTGCGCCAAGGGAGGGAGGAGATGCCTTTATGAGACTCAGTCCATGCGTGGCCGTCCTCCAACGCCTCCGGGTTCTACGCCCAGCCATAACGCTTTAGGGATGGCCATTGCTCCCACACCTGTCAGCGCTCTAGAATTCACTGGCCCAACGGTTACTCAAGAGCCAATTGTACAGGAAGAATCATTCACACGAACCCAGTCGAGAAGTTCGCCAGAGCTCGACTCTGCAGAGGTCCATGGACAGTACGTTGACACAACTTCGGGCCTTTCTTTTCTCCATCGGGCTCGTAATCGCCTTTCAAGTCACCATAGACTTGCCGGAGCAGACCAGCAGGAGTGCAATATACTTCAGCCACTTATTGCAGCCGGCGACAGACCCATCGTTGGACTCAGCCTGGGCGTACCCGGTGAAACAGCCCGGTTGTTGGGATCGTACTTCCAGACACTTAATCGACACGACGCCATCGAGCTGCTCGACCTCTATTTCGATGTCTGCGTTGCCACATACAGACCTTTGCATAGACCGAGCGTTCAATCCTGGTATGAGACTGTGGCAGCAAATGCATTCGCAGGCAGGGCGCTGCAAGGAGGCGTTGGTCACGCCAGACTGGCAACTCTTTTCGGTTTCTTAGCAGTGGCTACGTTTAACAAGGCAAAAGTCTCGCGGATTCTGAGACGATGAGGCCTCTCTTGCCGAGTGCGACAGCTTATTCCAGAAATCCACGAGACTGACGGACGCCGAGGTCGGTTTACCTCAGCTCGAATCAGCGCAAGCAAGACTGGTACAGGTTTTCTATCTATTGATGACATGTCGCATGAACCGGGCATGGTATACTTTTGGCTCGTTGCTGCAGATAATATCCGCCCTCGGCATGCACCGTCGGGGTCGAAAGGGCCGCAGTGACTTGTCGAGTCAAGATTACGTTTACAAGCAATGTCGCAAACGCACATTCTGGACAGCCTACATACTAGAAAAGTACCTCGGGGTCGTGACGGGCCGACCAAGACACTTCCATGATGACGACCTCGACCAGGACTACCCTGACGGCGTCAATGATGCAGACATGTCGATGGACGGGCGCGGGTCACACGATGACAGCAACGACTGCGCCATTGATGCTTTCGCGTGCAATGTAAAGCTCTCGCGCATAGTTGGCCGCGTTTCTCACGAGCTTTATAGCATCAAAGCCAAACCTGGCAACCAACGAAGAGATGCGACGCTCCGCCTTGCGCAGGAGTTAGAGAACTGGCACGCAAACCTGCCGCCGTTCCTAAGCACGGTCAAGCCCTCGACGCTGATCAGGAGCTTCCGACGCCAAGCCATCGCACTGAAAGTAGCATACTGTCATGCTGTAATGCACCTTTACCGTTCTTTCCTTCTAAACCACTGGACATCCCAGCCTCACTCAGACTCTGGTACATTACGAGCCGACGCCATCCGACACTGCATCATGGCGGCCCAGCAAGCCTTGCGCACCGTGGACTCCATTGCTAAAGAGGGCCTTATCTTCCGTGCGTTTTGGTGGACCCATTGCGTGACCTTTTGCGCCCTCGCAGTGGTCTGCGTTTGGAAGATCCAGCAGGACAAACACCAGGATGATATCCCTGGAATAGTGCACGAGAGACTTTTCCAACTCCCCGAACGATGTCACATCCACCTTGATCAAGCAACAGCCATGAACTCTCCGAGCCGGAGATATAGTGTCATTCTGGAGGAGCTGAGAGTTGAGGCCCGAGCCAGCAATGCCACTGTGTCGAACACGCAGTCCACCCAGGTGGGTCTGGAACAAGATCTGGACCTGGCGTCCAATGAGATTCATTGCCCGATCAACGAACCCAGCACCATGGGACAACTCGTTGGAAGCACGACTGGCAACAACCTTGCGGCTCCATTTGGTGACTCCTTTGTTCACTGGCAGCCTTCAGACTGGCTGGATCTCGATGCATTTGTAAGTTATTGTCGTGTTGGCTTTTACGATTATCAAACTAAAACGGAAGCTTCATAGGCATTTCTTGATCAGGTAAGTTGACGTGAAGTCGACCTTATCAATGTGCTGTCGCTCTGAGACCACTTGAGCCTTGCCTCCAATCCCGAATCCTGAAGTGTCATGAAACCATTGCATTGCGAATGGATAAATATTGTGCCAATTAAATGACGGTTCACCAACATAGAAGTGAGCCTGTGCACACCCATAATTCCTTTCAACGATGATGGTGTCCGTATTTGATACCCGAGCACCTCCATTTTACACATAAACTTACCAAGGCCAGGAAAAGACTAGAGGCGCACAGGTTGCGGCAGATAGTTGCTAGGTTGTACGCCAAAGCCACAAAATTTGGAATTGATTTTCGAGCAGGATCAAAAATAGATGCAGTCAGCTGAGTGAAAAGTGATATTGCTATCAAGTAATAGGTCAACTCGTAGAGGCTTACTGATCACGCTGCCTGGCCACACCTGCCCCGAGATAAGCGACCTGCAATGCAGCTGAAACTATTAGAACAGCTGTGCAATCGGGGAGGAACAAGGGGCTTTTTCAAAAGCTTTTAAGAGGGCGTCTGGCACTCGTTGGAACACAAGCAACTACTAGTAATCATTCTGAACGTTCCTTGTCATGGCGAGGTTCTCGATAATACTGCCCTCCTTGGGCTTTTTCGGCCGGTCACTTGGGAATTCATTCGTGCCTACAAACGGAAATGCATTGTCTCCATTGCACGGCACGCCGTACTTTGAAGAGGTCCATCCCGAAAGCACCTTCACAGTCGACAACTCGACCCTGACACCGGTCATCTCGCCAGACGGCTCCGGCATCGCGATCCAGACGTCGACCACGCAGTTCCATACACACGTCAACTTCCGGTTTCCATCGTACATCAACGAGGGAAGTTTCCTGTGCCAGCTGGCTTTCCGCATCGATCCCCATCCGCAATCTGCCGTCGATGATGGCGCAAACAGCGCCGAGTTGGATCTCTTCGAGCTTGATAGCCCCACGAACGCGACGCACCATCCAGACATCGCCGGCTATCGGGGTCGCTGGGTTGCCAAGGAGCTCGTACAAGAAAGTGGTGTTGCATATACTGAATATGGGATCCAGCCGTTCGACTGCTCCTCGATGCGGCTTGGGGGACTCTTGATGGGCTTCGAGGTCTCGCCCAAATGGTGGGACCCAGATGCTCGTGTTAATATCTCGTGGTCTGGTAAGCAAATCATTCGCCTCTTTTTCCCACTTATAAGAATGCCCTGGCCGCAGCTCGCTCGTTCTTTACATGAGTATGTCTCTCTGTCCATGAGATCTGATCGGTCAGACTGTTGATTCCGTACGGCAGCAGGTACAGGCATAGTGTTAAGTATCTGGGGCATGGACTTTCAGCTTGTCTTTTTAGTGATTCCATATTATCTCGGTCACAAAGTTTCACGCGATGTATGATGGAGCTAATACTAGGCTTTAGGACATGCCGGAATTAAACTCAACGTATGGGGAATGTGGGTATAAAATTTATTTTCAAAGCTGTGTTTTGCAGGGTCCGATTAGCTTCTTTTGTGCTGATCCAGCATCAGGCTTTTCTGAGATATCGTCAGGTTGCCAGTTCTGCGAGACATCCAGCGCCATCGATAATGGGTCCATGGTGTATTAAGATAGGCAGGCTCGACGGATGTAGAGGAAAAATACTCGAGTTTGACCCATTTTGGAGTAGCATATCCGTATCGATGAAAGATCCATGTCACGTTCACGTTATTGGTGTCGCCCACGCGGCAGCACCCTGCTCTTTTGTTCAACCATCTCAGCCTTTCTGAAGTTGCTTGAATCTCGCTATATATCTTACCTATCCCTGGAACGGTAAACTAAATCATGGGATGGGTGGTGCCCTGTCCAAGGCTTCCCACCGCCTAGGCCCTTGCTCTCACCGCACCCAAATCATCCACGTTCAAAACCCCGACGCCAGCGTCAACCAAAACCCTCCATACCACCTCCCTCAAGTTTGGAGGTTCTGATGGAGTATCCTAATATCGTGTGAGCAAGCCTCTTACTCTTGCTTGTTCGAGTTGGGTAGGGGATGTTCCGGTATCGCTGGGGGAGACGTAGAGCATGGCGTTCCTGAGTTCTGTCGAGGCAAAGTAAGAGCTCGACTGGTTGAACTTGTATGTGGGCGACTCGTTATCTAAGTTGTCATCGCCGGCGACCAATTTTTCGAGCTTGGCATCCCAAAATATGTCCCTGTGGGTCTCATTCAGGGCAAGCACAGAATCAAAATTGCTGTTGCCGGATGCTACGATGGTGAGGGGCCTCATGATTCGAGTCGTGCCGTTCCAGTGCGTGAGGAAATCAAGGTCTCGCAATGATTCTAGTTGGGCGTCCAACCCCGCAAAAGCCCCCGGCCCTGAGCTTTTAAAGTCCACGAGGAGGACTAGAGTTTGCTCAGGGGCGAGGTTAAAAACGCCGCGTCGAGTACTAGTCGCCACGTTCTGCGCTTGCAAAATACGTTGGAGGGGATCCAAATATAGGGAACGCAGCGTAACATCTTTGTGTAGGTTTGCGTCAGAGTGCCCGACTAGAAGATCACTGTCTTTCAAGTGGACATCGGCTTCAACGCTTATGCACCCGGACCCGAGTGCTTCGAAGAGAGGAATCCGGCGCTCGTAATCGATATGAGAATGAACTGGCACCGGTAAAACGTTACGCAAAAATAACTGGCATTCCTCGCTCCAGACCTCGGGCCTAGTGTTGCTAACATCGTGCCCAAACCAGTTATCGAAAGGGTCGTTGGGAATGCGGACTAATCCAGCCTCGAGCGGATACAGATACACAGATTGTGCAGCGAAACTGAGAACAGAGCCATTTCAGCAATGTAGCAGCGTTAGAGACATCTTGCAGCGTACTCACCCGAGAAACAAAAGGCCACTGACATATTTGAATAGGTTTCGTCTGCCGCTGTAGAATACTTTCGATAGGATCGTTTGCTTATGTGTGCCCTCGAGGCTCACAGATGAGGATGAGGCGGTATCATTGGCAAGCGATCTATGGTCGTGGAGGTTTATGAGGTGGTGAGAGGAGGCCATGATGTATCTGTTGCTGGTTCCTTGTCACACGATCATCGTCTTGTGGGGCAGAGCGGCCTTTAAACAAGGGGGGTTTTCGCTTACTGATGGACTTCTTAGGAGGGTTCTGCTAATGACATTTTAGGCAGCCGCTTACCAGTTTCGGAGACCTGGTCAACCGTAGGAGCAGCTGCCGCAGAGCCACGCTCTAGAAAAGAACTGGTAAAGTCTTCTGACAATATGTTTCTCATACCCTAGTCCAATGATCTTTGAGTGAAAATTGAAATCTTTAATTTTTAATTGTGTTTTTGGAAGCTGTGGTACGAGGCAACGTATTTTGCCGCCAGTCTTTTTCAAATCAAAGTAACTGGCGAGATGATTCCCCCCAAAGCTTTTTACAACGTGGAATTTCTTCTTAATTTTTAATTAGTATTCCCCTTAAGGATCATTGAATAGACTCGGAGTATAATTCAAGAAAACCTGCTCTGTTGTGGGCATAAGACCCAAGGTCCAAACACTATCTTGCCGGATATTGTTGGCCTGCACTGTGCTAATGCATATTTAGGTTTTTATGAGTTTAAGAAATATTTTCTTTCTTTATATGTATTGTCCCATGTGTTGGCACTATCATGAATTATGTGATACTCTGTTCCGTTACCTTTAACCCCTCCCCCCCTCCCCCCCCGGAACCAAAACCTGGGCATTTCAGTCTTCCTCAATGTCCAGGGTGTTGATCATATCCGTCAAACCACAAACAACATGCTCATACACGGCCTCTTGGAGCCGCGGCCTTGATAGGTCGTTTCCAACAGCAAAATCACACTCTAAGCACTGCTGGGTGAGATCTCGGTACCTCTTACCCAGTACTGGCACCTTCTGGGCGAGGCGGCGCACTGCAACCACGTCATCCGGAGACTCTAGTTTCGCCCACGTCCCTATTTGAAGCCTTTGCAAGGTTAGATACCCAGATCGATTGCAAAATGGACTCGAGGGAAAAGACTGCCTGGAGCTGCCACTCGGTGATTTGTGAGGGTTTCAGCTCTGGAAGTGCCCTTGAAAGTCGGGTCATCGTCGCGAGAACATCGGGGAAGACGAAATTCTTTTCAAGGAGCACGTACATGACTGTTCCCAACCCCCAGAGGGTTAGGTTACGGACTCCGTGGGCCAACTTTGCATCCTCGATGGCGCCACTATTGCCTTCATCCTCGGTTGGAATTGGAAAGTCGTCGCGTAGGGAGGTCTGAAGAAAATCAAAATTCAGATGCGCAGTCCGTATACAACTCGACAGGTCTCTATCATCGAACCGGAAGAACGAGATGTCCCTGATGGAGACATATTCTGTTAGCCATGGTGTTGAGTGAAACTTCAAGACCGCCATGGCGAAGCTGCGTGCAAGTCTTAGCTGGTCGACGAGTGTTGCAGACGTTTCAGGAGGATAGCTTAGAATATCTTCAGTCGATACACAGATTGATTTTGACATCGGTCTCGGTGCCGCCATTCCAAAGAAGCTGTGCCTGAAAGTGTCACTGCCACAACTATCAAGGTAGCCTAGGCATTTTGATTCAGAGGATTCGACGCTCGTTCCTTGCAGTGCCGTGCAGATACTTTGGGCGTCTCCAAGATCAACGTTTCCTTGATCCTGTGCTTCCATTACAGTAGACACTGTTGCAGAGCCTTCTTGGTCGTCGTCGAGATTGAAACGAACCCTAGGCTTCTTTCGACGGCCCCCATCACTGGAAGGGGGTGGGGTATTGAGTCCAGACTTCGAGAAACCGATGACGCGAGACTTCACGTGAAGGTTGATGAAGCCAGCTCGGATGGGCATTCTAAGATAAATGTCAGATTTAATGACGTGAAAGGTTGTGTCACTCTTACCGTTGTAACTGGGCATGCTTGTAGTAGGTGATTACGACTTCCATCTTGACCTCGTCTCGCACTTCAGTGTCAAGCTTAAGTTTGACGTTATGTCTGATTCCTTCGGGCTGAGTTTTTGAAATCTCTTTCAACCATGCCTCGGCCAGAGCTTGGTGGAAGGCATGTGATGCCCTGCGAACCTTTCCGATCGAGCCATATTCCTGGCTAAGTTGATGAACTGGTCGGATACGTGCTTTGCTTCGGAGAACTGGCTCTTGAATCTCCATTGCTTGCTCCCGGAGGTTTCGTAGATCGCTATTGAGGTCTCGCAAAGTCTTTATATGTCTTTCCCAATTCTCTTTATTCCAGGTGATGCTCACTCTCTCGCGTAAACGGCAGACTGTGGCCTTCAGGCGCTCGTTCTGTGTGTGAGAATTAGACCTTGAACACATGAACACAGCAGGGCTTGAAGCTTGGAAGTGTGTCTTGCACAATCTTCATTATTTACCTCTGCACCCATCCGTTCTATCTTATCAAAGCATGCTAGTTCATCTTGGAGAGCCTGCAGTGTTGATCTGAACTGCTCCATGATATCTTTAACAGTGCCCAGATTCCTCGGAAATGCAGAATTGAGTTCAGCCTGTAGCTCTTGACTACTCCATTGTGGGTCGTCCCCATCCTGGAGCATGCGTTTAATGTCATTTTCACCCTGCTTGGCTAGCCTCAAGAGCAGGTGTATCTCGTTTATAAAGTTCTCTTTCTGTCGTAGTACCCCTTTGAAAACTCGTTTTACTTCTCGAGAGTAGTGGCAGAAGACGACAATTTTCTTTTTTAGGACCGATGAGACATTGACAATAACGCATGTGAGTTGCAAGACGCCTAACGCAATGGCGAACGGTTCCATGGCGTGCAGAGATAGACAGGCTTGCAGGACGAAGAGGTCGGTACCTAAGTTATGATCAATTCTGGGGTACCATGTCCATATCAATAAAATACAGGCCCGAATCATGTCTAGGCGTCTGCTATCTGTGGACGGTCGCTGTGCTCAGAAACATCTCAGCTTAGCCAGTATCATCGTTTTCTCTTGCTATTGGGTAGCGATCATAGTGTTCATTGCCGTTAGGACCACAGGCTTGGCGGTGCCGCTATGGTCCCGCAAACTATGTGTCCTTGTTGGGCTGACCTTGCTCGAATGGGTATGGATGGGGATTAGATCTCAAAGACAAAAAGGCCTAGTTACAAATAGGGACGGCCTTTGCACACGGTGTTACTAAAGTGACAAAGAATATTGCTAAATAGCGCTGAACCCTGTGAAAGGAAAGTTCACGTCGGCAATCTATCTCCCGGCAATCTGTCTTGATCGGGCGCACGCTAGAGAGTAGCCGTGTGGCCCGCGGCCTGATGCTCTCGGGTGACCACCTTGCAACATTGATGTGAGAAGCTCCAATGACTGTACTAGGAATACGCTCGGAGGCGATGGTGCTTCGCACAAGCGTTTGCACCTCGCGTCACATGTGTATTCACATGTGCAAGCATAGGGCCTTCGGGGCGGCTGTGCTGAGAAGCATTCTGGCTAAGACTGCACCTCTCTCCTTTGTCCTTCTATTAGTTGAGCAACCCACTAGTTAGCGTGACAAACTCCAACGGCTTTAATGCAGTTGACAGGCACGGTCTCCGTCCCGGCCATCTCTCGTAAACGCCATTCTCCCCAATTTGCTTCATTCTCCCTGCCATAATCTTCTTGTCGCTCGCTCTTACCTGTCGAGGACGCTGGGAGTTGAAACCTACCCAGTCATGAAGTCTTTAAGGTTTCAAGATGCATGTAGTACCGCAGCCCTTGTACAACAATACCTCCAGGATGCGGAGTCATTATGGACGGACGTGGAAGAGCGCAGTCATTTGGGCCAGCTGTGCTACGAATGCATACTTCTGTTCCGGATTATTTTGAAAGCCCTGCGCTCAAACACTGATTTCCGATCCAAATGGAAGATGATGGAGGTCAGTCTCAATAGGAGCTACGGCCGTTTGCAGATATGGTCAGTAGAGCATGGCGCAGTCGATGGAAAGTTGGATGCGACCCTCGCAGCATCCGGTGATCTGCAACGCGACACTCGCAAATACGTTGTGAGTATCAGCCGAACCTTGACTGAGAGTAGGTAGATCTACACTTCTCCTCGACACGTTACCTTGGCCAGCAGCAGTTGACCTTTATCATCAGGACTAATCAACTACGTCGACATCAGTCTTGGTGAGGCTGGTAACAAATCCATTTCGGTCATCAGGTCCCTCACTGCGGCCGTTACGGAAGGTGAAAGTGACAATTCATCAGATTCAGGATTTTCAGACTCTAGTCCTGACTCCATCAATGACATCCTGGAGGATTTGAAAGTTGACACGACGTGTCTCCTGGACCTCGAGCCACTTTTTTGCAGCCCAATCTTGCGAAAGGATCTTGAACCGGCCGCCGTTCTGGATACCACGCGGATAAGATGGAGTCCCCACCGGCCTTATAGCGACAGAATCAGCGTGCTGTTTCCAAAGGCTCCCGACAAGTTAGTCACTAGGCTCGGAAAAGCTAACTATGAACGCTATTTGAGGTGCCAAAAGCAGAAAACTACGAACACTCTGGGTGGCGTGCTACCCGACCAAACAGCCTCAGCCAAGCCCGACAGTGCGAGCTCAAAGTTCCACGATTCTGGCATCGGCTCGTCCCTACCCGTCTCGGCATCTGCATATGCAGAAACGATCATGTCATATGGCACAGGTGAAGGAACAAAAGTGGGAGTGCCACCACTGTCAGCTCGAGCTAAGGAAGGCCTGCCGTTCTCGTGCCTTGCCTGTGGTAAATGGCTCAAAATCGTCACTGACACCGCCTGGAAGCGGCACATATACGGTGACCTCGAGCCATGGATATGTCTTGAAGTGGATTGTATCTTCGACAGTGAGACATTCCGAACTCGAAAAGATTGGATGTCCCATCTCTCTCATCATCATGGAATGGACCCAAACTGGCGCATGATCGATTGCCCCCTTTGTCGAGTTGAAATAGGCCCGGGTAAGCTTCCCATCACAAAGCATATGAGTGATCACCTGGAGGAAATCTCTCTTTCAGCATTACCGGCGGACTGCGAGTTCGACGAAGAGTCCGAAGAAGGTGAGCCCGATCGGGAAGATGTCAAAAGCATTAACCCAAGGGCGTGGTTGGATGGCCTGGCGATCTTCCACAAGACACACGGCCGCCAACTTAGATCCGTGCCGGCTCTTAGAAAGAAATCTTTGAGCCTTTTCGACTTAAACTTGGCAGTCGAGGGACTAGGAGGATACGACCAGGTCAGCGAGTCCGAGGCTTGGGGACAAATCTGCCGTGACCTAGGATTTCGCTTCGACGAGGCAGCCGAGGCGGCCACGGACCTCCAGGATGCCTATAAAGAATGGATAAGCCCATATTACGAATCTGTGCACCCAGCTCCATCATTAACAGCGTCATCGAGCTCGGATGTATCCTCAAGTACCAGCATGCCTTCCCCACAACATGGCCCCGTCCCCGCCCCTGCGCCAATGGGCGGTATATCGCTTCCACTGCAAGGCAACTCGCGCCAACTGCCTACTGAAAACCATGCAAATCGATCATACGTCCCTCCTGTTGGGGCGGATCCTATAATCGTCACGCTGGCTAAGGGAGCGCAAACGGACCCGCAATTGCTCAATTTGACGAATCGAGTGGCCAACGGTAGCCCTTCAAAAGACGAGCTTTCCCGCTTCCAGGCAGTAATCGACCAGATCACGGTGGAGACGAAGCACAAAGGAACACTGCAAGTCCCGTCAGAGGTGACAAGTGAATTAATGGTATTCGACTCGAATAATATACATAGCAAGGAAGGGTCAGAGAACCCGCAGTCTCTTGGAACAACTCCCGGTGTCTCAGTCGCGCGGACCGATTTTGCTAGTGTTTCTGGGCACTTAAAAGATGACAGGTCGAGTTTCAACGATGGCGGAGATGAAATTTTCGCAGGCAGGACATCTGTGGGGGCCACGACCCGAGACGTAACTCCAAACGATATACCACAAAGATCTGTACGATCACACGAGGTTTCACGCCCAGTCCAAGACGATCGACAACGGCACGAAAGTCTCCATTCTGCAGAGAACACAACGACACACAATAAACAGCCCAAGGTTTCCGAGGCTAATGCTACTTCAAGCTACTGGAGCGCGGCCGAGGTGGACAATTTTCCCAAGCTTCTGAGGCGTTATGGTACGGATTGGGAGGGAATTGCACAGTACATGACTACTAAGACGGCTACAATGGTAAGCACGCTCTCAGATATTGCTCTGAAATTGGGGCAGAAGACAGCCTAATCAAATGCGCAGGTCGAGAACTTCTTCAACAAGCAAACCCACCGCGGGAACCGGAAGTGGCTGTCTATTGTCTCGAAGGCTGACCTGCGGATCCGGAAACAAAAGAAAGGAACCAAGCAACAGATACCTGGTTCCTAGCGCAAGTATTAGGCCCAGAAGCTACGGTAAAGTGGTCTAAGGGTCGGCCAGGGGGTTGAGAGATCCAGTCCGGGCATCGCGAAGCTTAATAATAGATAATTTAATCAATCCCATTCAAGAGTCACCCTTCGATGTAGTACAGGTGGATGGCAACCAAGAGCTGCCCGGAAACTCCCACTTCGGCCCGGAAGCTTCATCCACGATCCAGGCCATTTGGGCGAGGAGCCTGTGGCCCACATTCCGCAAATTTCTCAGACCGGCCTACGCCCAGGTATGATGGCTCATCATCTCAGTCAATTGAGGATGACAAACAGTCTAGGAATTGCCAACGTGACGCCACAATCTCAACTGTTGGCCCAGCAGCAACGTTAGTAACAGTAAGGACGGAAGATGAACGCAGCCATGATATAGAACGACAAGATAAACGGCGGGGACCACAGGATGCGCGACAATGAATACAGGCAAGATTCATCTAGCAGCAGCAGAACAATGCGTACCTGGCAGCAGGCGTCAGAGGCGTGGGGTGACGAGCAGGACGACGTTGAAGGCACGTCGGAGTCGAATATCAAGGCAGAAACAACCATGAACCGCAAAGGCTGACACAGCTCCAAAGATTGCAGCTGTTCCTTTGTAGGTACACTTCTGGTGATTACGTAGATACCTGAACGCATGTTGTGTAGCCATTCACTTTTTTTGGCCACTGCACACTGATCATACTCTCACACACTGGATGATAACTCCGTCGTCAATCATTTGAGAAAAGTAGGTACAGCGGATTATGGGCTGTGACAGTGACACATGGAATATTGCGGCTGGTCTTCTCGGCATCAGGAATAGCTGCAATTTACATATGCGTACCAGAATGTCAAGATAGGTCGTCAACCTCATTATCACATTTCTGTCGGTGTCCCGCTTATGCAATCCGACCGATCTAGGCGTCTTACTCAGCCCTGCAGGGCCACAGCAGCAGCAGTGGATGTGCTGTTGGTTGGCAAGCGTGTTGTGGGACGCAAAATGGTTGGCCCAAAGAGTTTACCACGCGATGAATCCTTCCCGTGTCCATACCCATAGACTCGTGAGGGGCCACGCAATCGCGTATTCTTTGCTCAATCGGCCCATTTGCCGCCAGGGAGCGAGGCGGCCAACTATTATAACTCGTCGGACGATCCAGAGGGAAACCCATTCAATGGCGCCTCAACTTGTTTTTGGGACGGGTGTCCTTGGCATGGACGGCACCGAGTTCCAGGACAGCGAATCCGTCACAAACCTGCTCCACACGCTCAGGCAGCTCGGCATCAATCGCCTGGACACGGCCGCACGTTACCCGCCTTTCAACCCGGGCAAGTCCGAGCAGCTCATCGGCGCGGCCAATGTGCCCGGGGACGAGTTCATCGTCGACACGAAGGTGTACACCGAGGTCGGCGACGGCAGCGGCGACCTGACCAACACTGCCATTCAAAAGTCCGTGGGCGGCAGCCTCGAACGCCTGCACCGACCACAGGGCGTCAACGTACTCTTCGCACACCGTCCGGATCCCGCCACGCCGCTCGAGGAGCAAGTGCAGGGCTTCCAGGACCAGATCGCTCAAGGCCACGCCAAGGAATGGGGCGTCGCGAACCACCCGCCCGAGACACTGCAGAAGATCATCGACCTGTGCGAGCAGAAGCGCTGGGTGAAGCCGAAGTGGTACCAGGGCACCTACAATCTGCTCACGCGCGGCACGGAGACCCGTGTGCTACCCATGCTACGGGCACACGGCATGTCATTCCTTGCATCTCACGCCCTCGCCTCGGGCTACCTGACGTGCGACCACATTGACACTGGCGGGAACCCGACGGGCCGCTTCGCCAAGAACAGCAGCTATGCTGCTCCGCAGGTGGCGGCCGCGATGAAGAAATTCGTGGATGGTTGCGAGGCACACGGGTTGCCGCCCGTGGAGGTGGCCTGCCGCTGGATCGCTCATCATTCGGCCCTGAGTGAAAGCGACGGCATCGTGTTGGGTGCGAGCAAGCTGGCCCAAATTGGTGACACGGTGACCAAGGTTCGCAAGGGCCGTCTTTCCCAGGACGTGGCTGTTCTGGCAGAGGGTCTTTGGGACGCTGTGAAACATATGCGTGGCTCAATGCTGTGACCCGGTTCAAAACTGAGGAGCTTGATGTCTGGCATTTCCGAATTTGGGGCTATTGTGGGTGAATACTATTAGAGATCATTCACAATTTTTTCCGTCTCTAGAGCTACTGTCCCTTCTAGTCACATCGAAGTAGCTACATGCGTCGGTGAGATCAGTCGGGGCCGGTTCCTGAAAGTAGTCCATCCTCTGAGCCCTGATACCTCAGCTATCTACTTTTGCCTGCCACCCACAGCGGTGACAAGTGTTCCTCGACCATAACCTATACTGCCCCTGACATCTGGTTTAACATTCTCCGTTGGCATGCCGCTTCCGCGGCAGTGTCAAAGCCAAACAGCACTGAAGTCCTTCACCCTTTCCACCCCGCCCAACAAGGCATGAGGCGAAAAGCACTCACCCAGCCAGAATGTCTCAAGGTCTTTGTCCTGCGGTCTGCGGCTGAGCAATTGGCCTAGATGGTGGAGCCCTCGGCGGACGTTCCATCCGCCATGGAATGTTGTCACCTGCCCCACAGTCACTACACCAGCCACCCCTGTATCCATTGTCACTGTCTCGCCTGAACGCGTTGATGATCTGTCCCTGGGTGTTCCAAAAATCACCCCAAGTTATTGGCATGGAGCACCTCAAACAGTAGCTAGAGCCATGGTTTGAGGTCACCTTGTCGCGAGGTGGGACCCAGACTGAGTTCCTCAACCACGACTTGGAGACATATCTGCCTAGGAAGTCGTCCGCGAATCTCGGCGTGTCCTTGAGGTGGTCGAACAAGACCGAAGCAATGCCGCTCTGCAGGGTCAAGGTCCTTGCTACCCATATGAACTCCATGAGCACCGACTTTAAGTCCGAAATCTGCCATTCGTAGGCTTGTCGAAGGGCTTCGACAAGATCAAGGGCCCATGGGCTTAGTTGGTCGAGGTGTTGGGGGTGACGCCAAGTTGGGCGATGTGGACTTATGCACAGCTCCTTCATTCGCTTGTCGCAGTAGTCTCGAACAGCTCTTTCCACCGACCTTTTCAATGCTTCGAGCATCAAGAAGTCTGCGGTGTGCCAGAGAGAAACACAGTGCTCGACGAAGTGTTCTGCAGAGACACTGCGCATGATATCAAGCCCTACTCTGATGTTAGTCTCGACAATTCCGGCAAGGGCGTGATCGCTGCTTACCACGTCCGTAGAGGTACTTCAGAACAAGATCGACACAGATGGGGTCTTCCTCCACTAGGGTGACTTGTCTTGTGTTTGCCTCCTACGCGTGGAAGTTACTGGTCAGCTTTGGTCGGCACACGCTTTGCCTGATCAGCCACGCACCTCGAAGTGACCCATAAGGGCCTTGCGGAACCACAGGCAGCGCGGTACAAGAATCGCTCCGTGACATTTCCAAGACCGATTGCCGCAGACAACCTCAACATCGGAGAAGTTTCCAGAACTTAGAAGTCTGTACCAAGAGAGTTAAGCCTCTGCAGCAATGTAGTCTGTTTCAAAACAGAATTGAGGGAAATGATGGGTTATAATTTACTCGAGATCACCGGACTTGTGGTCTTCCACCGCAGTGGACGTTGTTGCCATTATGATGACGATGTGACATGATAGGAGTTTGTGAAGTAGGAATAAGACTATGAAAGGCGGGAGTGAAGCAGAAGAAGATGCAAGTGGATGATTGTTGACCTTCTTCAGGTGGTGTTGCTGGGGGGATAGTACTGCGCCAAATGTTTGACAGCACGATGATATCACACGGATTCAGATGAAGTGGCCCAGGCGCTCCAAGCCGTAAATTGAGGCTCCAGTAGTACGCTGCCTTGCAGGTGGCCCTATACAAGCTTCGCCGTAGCAGCTCAAGGTGTTGCCGACCCAGGCATCTAGACCCAGAGCTGGGTCCTTAGTTCCTACATGTTGAAACTCCATTACTTGATTTGGCCCTTTCGTCTCCTATTTCTGGGCGAGACCAATGTTGTATTTATAGTAAGTTATGTCTTCACAGTGTGTTGAGAAGTAGTCATACTGGTGCCTGGACCTGGCGGCGGGCAAGTGGGGTCCACGGGGGTGCCGATTCACGCCTTGTCTAAGCCGTCGCACCTGGTCTCAGCCCAGTCGGTCAGACTGGCTACATTGCTATGTAGACCCTCAACCTTGGGGTGCTGATCGATAGTTTCACGCGCTCTTATTCCACATCCTCACGTGATAACGCCCAACTGCATCTGGACTGTGACACTAACATTCAATAAATATCCCTGCATATCTGTAACTCACGCTCAGTCCCAGAAGCCATGATGACCAGGTCCCCCCCCCCCAAACGTCCGCCATGCCCAGCCCATCCTTAATCTTCATGCCTCCTACATCCTCAACCTTAAGCACAGGCTCAGATCAGCTGCTAACAGTAACAACAACCAAGCCCACACCTGTACCAAACCACTAACCAAGGGATAAAAATTAGCAATAGTAGCACGCTAAACAGGATTTAAGTTGCAGGGCTAATCACAATAACAAGACCTTCCCTCTCCCTAAGCTCTGCTTATACATTCAGGACGCAATGCGTCTGGTGCAGGGCACTCAGGGTGCATGCTCTTTTCTGGAGGTATCTTATCAGACACTGATTAAATAACAGATTAGATAAGAGATAAGGGCAGACCTATGAACCTACTATCGGCTACCAAAAGGTCGGCACTCACAAGGGCACCCTGACCAGCGACGGCGGCACCTACGATGTCTATGTCCACCAGCAGGTCAACCAGCCTTCTATCTCTGGCACCACCACCTTCAACCAGTACATTTCCATCCGTCAGACGCCTCGCACCTCGGGGACCGTCACCGTTGCCAACCACTTCAACGCTTGGAAGTCATTCGGCATGCAACTGGGTACCTACAACTACCAGACCATCTCCGTCGAGTCCTGGACTGGCTCCGGGCCAAGGTTCCATTACTCTCAGCAAGTCTGCCGGCGGTGGCTCGACCGGCTCGACCGGCACCACCACCTCGTCCAGCTAGCTCATCCACACCTACTACGGGCACCGGCTCTGGCTCCGGTACCGTCGCTCAGTGGGGTGGGACTGGCTGGACTGGCGCGACAACTTGCGCCTCAGGCTTTACCTGCAAGGTCTTGAACTCGTACTACTCCCAGTGCCAATAGGCAAGCCGACGGCCGCAGAGTTAGGTATGGAGCGATGGGAAGATCCAAAATGTACTCATATTGCCTTGCGCGTCTGTAAGGCGTATTCTACTCATGTCAATAGCTTCTTTGAAATACACAACAATACAAGGAGTCGGGTCCGCTCCTCCAAAGTTCTCAATTTCATCTCTATGTGATGGCATCGTCCACTTTCAATGTTTGCATCGGTGCTGTCTATGGAGACGGATCACACCGGACCATGGGCCCGTAGTAATCATTCCCTAATTACCGTCGTTCTGTTGTAAGCGTACGTTATCACGTCGGGTCGGCGAATCGAGCTGATTATTTGACACTATGCGATCACCTCCCAACTAGCCTCTCACTCAACACCGATGTAGTTTCAATGGTGTGTAAGGATACCCCTGCTTGCGCATATTGATCAGATTCTTCCTCCACTACCAATAGGGAATCGACGTCGGCAGAATCGACCAGGCCCATTTTACCTTCATAACCTCCAACACTCTGCTCAGCTAGTTCATCTGCTTGGTGAGCCATCCCATTGTCCTTGACAATGATAAAAAAACGTCCTTGTTGCAGAGCCGTCCTCCTCCTTTGCGCTCACAACATCAGCAGTTATCAACTGGCTGTCTTGAAGCCTTAACTTCGTGTTAGCCAGATGCTTTGCGAGCGCTATGGCACCTTCTGAGCCCGATGATGCCACGAGTGCATCCAATTCGGGATTCCGGGTTGTGCGGAGGACAGTCGAGAATGATGAGTCGGAAATCTTCGACTTAGATCTCGCGACGCTAATGACGCTTGCGACCACTACGACGCTCGTTGCCACAACTGAAGTGCAATATGCAATGAGGAGATTGCGAGGTTGGTATAAATAAGAATTCTGTGGAGTGAAGATATGGACCGGTCTTGCGGTAGAAGCGGTCGAGTTTTGACTGTGTGGTACTGATCAGCATAAGTGGCACATTCCTGGTTTTGGTCGGAGGAGCTGGAGTCGCTGCCCCCCTGCGGCCGGTCGACGTACATGAAGTAGGACTCGCTGAACAAACTTAAAGTGCAGTTGATGAAGACCTGCTCTAGTGCATCCGCAATGTTCATGTTTGCGATAGATAAAGGCTCTACATCGGGCGCAGCGGCTGCTTCAGTGGACGATGTGAGCCATTTGTCGACCTGTTCCTGCATTTTATGTAGTTCTCGACTGTCCATGAAGACGGAATTCAAAATCTGCGTCCGGACGGCGCCGATGGGCCCATAGTGCGATTGTTTAATCTGGCCGACGAGCTGAGAGCCCAAAGCATCTAATAGGGCGATATAAGCGGTCTCTGTGGCCGAACATAACTGCCCTGGCCCGCCGGGCATGTCGCAATAGTTAGTGATGGCAAGCGCTGAAGTCACTCCATTCAGCCTGGTTACGTTACGGATGTTTGTGTCTTGGCTTCCGTCATTCGAGATGAAGTCGACTTGGAAAGATGTATTGTACAGGCCGCATTCGATTGTGGTATCCGCAGAACCATCGAAGGTCAAACTTGAACCTGAATCGAGCCTAGGGACGGCAACATAGAGTCGAGCGTGGTCTTCGGATATCCTGTCGAATGTCTCAACGTACTGGTTGTCCTGCAGTGTATTATTGAGTCCTGCAAGAGCCGCATCCAGGTGGGTCTCATTTATGACATTCTGACTTGGGACGAAGCCAACATATTTGATGATAGTTCCACCAAGAGTTCTTGAAAACTCCTGGATGAGATCGGCTGTCTGCGAGTTGTTGAAGGAAATTGCAGGTCCGCAAGAGACAGAGGGCCCATAGAACTCAACCGAATAAGATGAGTTGGCGGATGGAGGGGTAAAATCGAGAATTGATCCCTTAGAGATAACCGTGGTGATCAAGCGTGAAAGTCGATTGGACGGTGCAGTGTAGTAGTTTGCTCCATCACCACCCCACTGTGCGAAATGTCTGAAAACGTTGTAGTCGATCATGGGGATAGATAAATCCACGACAGTTTCTTTAGGCTGTGTTGCCTGTTGCACAGTGAGAGTTCCTGGAGTGAATACGGCGACAATTGGGACAGCCCTAAGCCCGAATCAGTCTTTATTTGCAAGGTGATGTAGACGTCTACGTACCATAGCAGCAATGCTATCGATACCAAATGAAGCCCATGTCGCCAAGCCTCCCAATTGTAGAATTTTGACACAGCATTGACTATCGCGAAGAGGGCATCCAACCCTTTTAAAGTAAACGGTTTGGTCTTCAAGGTGCACCACAATAATTGTGTATAGGCTAGGCCGGCTGAAGCGGTGAGGAGGGTTTTGACAGAAAAGGCAAGGCCGGTTCCAATACGGCTGAACCATTCTTGTTCGTTCAGGTCTTGGACGACGCGTTGGTTTACTTTGGAGTAGAAGCAGTGGTGGGCAATTGCGGTGAGCGTTGCGAGAAGCAACCCTCCTGACATCCAAAAGGTTGTCCATGTGAAAACAACACTGTACTTCATTGCACCTGGGCTAAAGCTCTGAGCTGCTGTCGTCTTGAGCGGAATCTGAGTGCCCTGGAACGGATGGGGATTTGTAGCAAACTTCTCTTTGATGATAGGGGACGTCTTGCCATTTAACCTTCTATCCACGAGCCGCATAGTATCATGTTACACTTCGGCCCCCAATTTTCATCCTGCAGGATCCTGAAATAAACTTTCGTGTGACACACGCTGCAACCATCCCGAATTCGGAACGGGCATGTTCAGCTGGGCAATATCTGCATGTAGGCTATGTCATCTTTGCAGAATAGCCCTGTACATGTAACTTGAGCACCTTGTTTGCACGAAATCAAACAATGAGTCACTGTCCGAACGGCGTTGATAGATCAGCTGTCCAAGTTTAAAATGTAAATCAAGATCTGTATAGAAACAAAGACGTGCTCAGTGTGGCTGTACCTCACAATCATGATTGCGAAGCTTCGAGGATTGCCAGAATCCGCCTTACCAATTAGCCTTCCCCGCCGCTCATAATTGGTGGTGGCTATGCTGCAGGCCTGCCGTGTTTGCCAAGACAAAGGCTGCTTACCTAGGTACTTGCATCCCTCACTGCCAGACTCCAATCGAAGCAGGCTGGGCCGTTGTACAACACACCATGATGCGTTCACATTTCGAATTAGTAGATAGGCGCTTTCAGGTCGTACAGTTAGGCACCATGATCAGGCATTTTCGTGCGGGGTTGCAATCACTGGGCTGCCTCTTCACATGAGGCAGCCTGCTCAAGCAATACTTAAGTATCCCTCCTGACATGCACAGAGAACCCCGCGTTCTTTCAGTTCCAAAGTTCTCATCAACATCGTGTTGTAGCTAGAATAGCGTCCTGATAACACCCCAACAATCAAGATGGCCGAAGCTCTTAGCCTTGCCAGTAGCATCGTTGCGTTGGTTCAACTATCGGCCTCTATATACTCCGCGACATCAAAATTCTACCGGGAGGCCAAAGAGGCCAAGTCCAGAATCGGCGCGCTTGCAACTCAGACCAGAAACCTCTCAGGCGTGCTTCAGAACCTGTCACTCTTGGCATCCTCGCCCCTGTTCGACGATGCTGGGGTATCTGCCCTAGACTTCAGGGACACGTACATAGAATCTTGCTACAATACTCTGTACAAGATCAAGCGAAAGCTTGACAAGGCTGAGGGTGACTTTGACAGTGGAAGCCAGAAGAGAATCATCACACGCAGCTTGAAGTGGCCATTTGCATCTCAAGAAACCAAGGATCTGGTCACAGAGTTGAGCCACCACCAGGATGTTCTCCACTTGGCCTTGTCAGCTGAGACTATGTCGCAACTGCTTCAGTGTCTGGCCAACACAAACAGTATTGCAAAATCGGTCGACATCCTCAACCAAAAACTCGACCGGAAAAGAAGCATTGACATGAGGGCAGAACTGACTGCAAAGAGAGAGGAGATCGTGCGTTTCTTTTTGAAGGTCAATCCCGAGAACAAATTGCAGGACTGCAGAAGTCAAAGACAGCCAAACACCGGGAAGTGGCTAATCGAGAGAGATCGAACGTTTCGGAATTGGATGGGTCTAGCGGGGTCCCAAATATGGTTGAGCGGCATACCAGGTAAGAACCCATATACTTTCCGATGGCACCCTAATCTAATCCGTCTAACCATGCGTAGGGGCCGGCAAGACCATCCTTTGCGGCACTGTTATTGAAGAAATCCTTCAGACGCAGAGCCCGTCTACGGCGGTGGCGTTCTTCTTCTGTGACTACAAATACTCGGAAAGCCAGAAACCCATCAACATTCTAGCTACCCTAGCTGTGCAGCTTGCAAAACAAGCTAATGTCGCGTTCGAGACGCTCGAGTCTTACTACGAGGAGCTCCATCCCCACAACAGGATTGCAAAGCCGCCAGAAACCAAGCGCATGATTGAAGTTGTTCAATCAATGATCAACCATTATGACCGGGTCTATTTAGCTGTCGATGGCCTTGACGAATGCGGCCAAAATGTCTCAGAGGCAATCCAGACACTCAAGCAACTCACGCAAGGGAGCGAAGCTAACATGGCTCTATTCAGCCGGAAAGAGCACGACATAATCGAAGAGCTTTCCGATAGCCCTCACATCGAAATTGCCGCACATACTGAGGATCTAGAGCTATATGTCCTTGCACAGATGGCGAGTCGTAAGAGGTTGGGGAACCTGGCCGTAAAGAATCCCGAGCTCCATGAGCATATCCGCCGTACTCTGATTGGAGGTGCCAATGGAATGTAAGTAATTTCACATTGATTGCAATTGCAGCACGAGTCTTGTATCTGCCCGAAGGACTCTAACGGTTTCATACCAGGTTTCGGTGGGTTGCCTGCCAATTAGACCATCTTGATGGCCTTCCAAGCGATGGGCGACGTCGAAAAGCGTTGAACGAACTTCCGCCCTCTCTCTTTGAGACATACGATAGGATATTGGACCGGATCATGCAAGAAGACGAGAAAGATCAGCATATTTGTCGAAAAGCTTTGTATTGGATCGGACTGGGTTACCTTAGGATTGGTCCCATGGCTTTGTGCGAAGCCATCTCTATTCCAGACGACCAGGACCTAGTCGACAAGGATCTCTGGGTGGAGCCAGACTGGGTCTCACGCATGTGTAGCAGCCTCGTCCGTTTGGCTGAGCACGGCTCCAACAACGCTCACTTCCAGCTCGCCCATTTTACCGTCAAGGAGTACTTGCGAAGCATAAAGCCGCAGTCGGAAAGAAGCCTTTTTCGATTTTCCGAGGACGAAGCGATTCAAAGCCTGTTTCGAACTTCGTTGAGATTCTTGATATCCCCAGTATTTGACCGAAAACCAATAATTGCCAAGTCGGAGATACAACGAATAGCAGAACGCAATGAGAATCATCCATTCTACCCCGTAGCTGCGGACTATATGTTCTGTTCCGGGCCAGGCTGGGAGCAAAGCCTGAGACTCAACGAGCAATTATCTCTGTTGCTCGAAGATGAGACGATGCTGGAGCAAGCCATCAAACTATTCAATCCAGACAACAATGGGACGTTTCTCTCCTGGGTTCTTCAGTTCGCCTGGGCTTGGATGGTTCCACGTCAGCGCGTCAAAAATGAAAATGAGTTCTTCAGCCTGCTTGGGATAATCCTCGCGCCCGAATTCTCGGCACTTCAGGTTGCTGCAATGCTTGCGCTTCCTTCAGTTTGTGCATACCTGATTGATGTTGGTGGCGTCAATCCGAATTTGTGCGGCCGTCTTGGAGCACCCTTGCATGCGCTTTTGGCTGGCTTTGGTCTATTGCTCTGGTTCCGGTCTGACTTTCAATACGATCCACGCGTGCACTACCGGATTGCCCTGGAATCCACAGTGCAAACAAACGACCAGCTTCGGAAATGTTTAGAAATTCTCCTCGACCACGGCGCAGACACTTCGCTTCGATGGAACCAAACGAGCGTCATGGAAATGGCCATAAACAATGCAATCACCGGTTATTCCACCAAGTTTTGGATCGATCCTCTCATAACTCAATCAACGATTGTGCCTGAGGATTTCATCGAGACATTCAAGGAAAATCTGGTGGGGGGGCTTATCGAGCAGCCACTTCTCGATGCGATTCTCCTCATAGGCTCCGATCCCAATGCAGCACCTGGATGGGCACGTCTTGCCTCTCTCATTCAAACGCGGCGCATGGGCTCTATATGTCATGCTGAAGGGATCGATGTTGCGATTGACCTTCTGAAGAAGGTGTCGGATGAGGACTTTGCCGATGGTGTCCAAAATTCAATCAAGCAAGATTTGACAGATTCTCTCCGAGCATTTGTGCAAGATCCTAGGTTCCAGCCACAGTTATACATGCCATACGGCGATTCCGAGCAGATGCCAATCCTGAAATACGCAATCGCCGAAGGAAGCGTCAAGTCGGTTGAACTGCTATTGGACGCTGGCTGTGACCCTCAAGTGGTTGATGAGAATGACGGATGGACTGCTGTACATCAATGCGCTGCCTGTGATACAGGTGGTGCAGAGATGATGGCGCTGTTACTGAAGTCGGGGGCGGCTGACTCGGCCAAGAACCATGAAGGAGACACATGTTGGCACGTTGCCGCAGAGAATGGCAATACCTCCAGTCTCAATGTGTTGGTAGAGATGGGCAGTGACACCAAGGAGTCCCTCGCGACGACTTCGAGTGCAGGCAGAACTCCGTTAGCATCCGCCATCCACGAAGGACATCTGGAGACGGCAATGATGCTACTCGATCATTGTGGTCCAGATCTGCATTTCTTCCAGAGCGATCAACCACTTCTGAACCGGGCTGCAGCTATTGGATCCAAGGACTTGTTCCTGCGTCTGTATGACAAGCTGAAAGAAGCTAACGCGACAGAATCCATCGACAGCTCCAAGCCATTACAACATATAAACATGTCCTGCTCGGTGGAACTTGTTGATTACCTGCTAGACTCATGGGCTATGAGCGATGGAGAAGCATCCACTGCATTAACGATATTCCTACTGCACGCCAACGACATTGTCTTCCAAGATCAGGAGAAGTACCCTTCCCGTACTGATATGGATCACATTATTCGAGGTCTCCTCCCACCGAAAGATGCCGTCAACCATGATGGGCCTACACGACAGCAGTTCTGGAACATATTCTGTGAGAACGTGGTGCCCAACCTGACAAAAGTCTGCGAACATAACGACGCTCAGTGCCGTACTGGTCTCATCAGCATGATGTTCGAAATTCTCATCGACGTCGGAGTGTTGCATTCGTATGAACGGAAGGCGCCCCTGACGAGCTACAAAGTGCTGTTCCAGTCTCTTCTGGATCGAGGCAATAATTTGAAGTGCTCATGGATTGCTTCGTCGGTCCAAAAGGTGATCGAGGCAGACAGTCTATCTTTAGAGCTAACGAATGAAGCAGTATCCATCGAGCTTCTTTCAAATGCGATGCAACAATCCAACATCGACCTTGTGCGCCAGCTTCTGGATCACGGTGTTGATATCCATACGGCCCATGGAGGCTTATCACCCGTTGAGCAGGCATGCTATGCCTCAGACCTGACAATGTTCCACTTGATCATTGATCACGTGGATAAGACGCTTGTCAATAGGGCAGGATACCAAGGAAAGACCCTGTTGCACTGGGCAGTCTCTGGGACAGTCCCCGGGTACTTAGCAAAGATTCAACAGCTTCTTAAATTGGGCGCCAACATCGACTCGGAGGTTCATGATCCAAATGCAGACACCGCTCTGACTTTGGCATCACGGAGTTATCGCCAAGACATCGTCGCACTACTGGTCTCAAAAGGCGCCAATTCTCTATATCGTGGGCGTGACGGGTGGTCAGTACTCCACGCTGCAGCTGTGTCAGGCGACTTTCAGTACATCCATTCTTTGCTTTCCTCAGAAGCTCCAAGGTCATTTTGGCTGGGAACTTGCACATTTCCCTTTCTTCTTGTTGACGGGAGGCCACACAGAACACAGAACACAGCCGCCATTCATCTCGCAGCGCACTATGGAAAGTCCAATTTTGTAAAGTTTATGATACAGACCGACTTACCGTTTGACGTCAACGGAGTGACGGGATACCCGTCTCTAACACCACTGCACTTGGCATCTTTGGCTGGGCACCACGAAATTGCCGAGATCCTCATTTCATCCAATGCGAATGTCAACGCAAGGGATGCAAACCACAATCTTGCCACAGACCTAGCAGCAATGAATGGTCATCTCGGGGTGGTCAAATTGCTCCTGATGGCAGGTTCTGAAAAGCCATCAAACCTTTTCAGTGATGCAATTGCACGTCTCATGACAAACGGAACTGGATATATGGAAGATGCAGAAGATACAAAGGCCATATCTCATTTCGACTTCGAAATGGCCATTATACGTGGGAGTCTTGAACATTGCCAAAAGCTTATGGCACAGGGCCACTCAATCAACGCGGAACTTCTCACACATTCATACACGCCGCTGGTGTGTGCTGTGGTCCATGGACAAGCAGACATTGTTGACTGGTTGGTCTCAGCGGGGGTTGAAGTTACAAATCCCGTCATTAAGAGTCTACATCCATCCCTGAGATGTATGGCATCTCTCACCACACACCATATCCCGTCCACAAAGACCCTCGCAGCTGTCATGAGCCTGGCTCTGAAGCAGAACGTGAGTTGGTACGGGGGCATCCTTGGTCCGTTACACGTCGCCATTTTGAATGATGACATTGGAGTGTTGGAAGTGGCCTTGAAACATATTCGCGAGAATGACCATGCATATCGGTATGACTCAAAACTTCAGGTTATTTGCAGACTCCACTAACATAAGCACAGGAAGATGATTGACAACGAGATGATTTGCCTTCCTGCCGATATTATCGGCTGGCGTGGTCGCAGTTCCCTTTCCATCCTGGTCAACGAGGTCAATCAAGACCAAGCATTTTCGAATGGCCCGCCTTGGACGCAGGGGATGCCATCCGGTTCGCCACTGCACTGGGCTATTCGGAAAAGTGACGTTTCTGCTGTGAAGTTGCTCCTCGAAAATGAGGCTGAAGTGAACCAAGTCGATTCATCGGGAAGAACGCCACTGAACCTCGCAGTCTCCAGTTGGCATCCCGCAGAACTAATAAGAGAGCTTTTAAAAGCGGGGGCTGGTCCTTCAGAGCCAAGTCAATGTCGAATTCACTCTCTGGACATGGCCATTCGCAATGGAGACCTGGAGGTGGTCAAGATGTTGGCTGAAGCTGACCCCGAGACCTTGAAGGGTGTGGACCAACGCTCTAGCGATTTTCGTCTCGGTGTCGCAGGATCCGCAGGGGTATTTCAGTGCCTTGTTTCTCAAGGCGCTGATCCTTTCAAAGTGTACGAATACAGACCGACGGCGGTCACAATGCTAATGCGCCCTACGTCTTTGTTGAGGGGGTTCATTCTCAACTTAGGCTTAGCATCAGAGTCTGCTGAAGACCCGCTAGCCTTTCAAGTTGCCGCTGCCGCTTATGAATCCGATCCTGGCAGTATCCGCTTCATTAAAAAGCTTTACCATAGCCTTTCGATTGGTGCTTTCGGAAATCTCGTTAATCGCACAAAGTATGGAATGAACAGCCCTTTGTGTATGGCAGCCTCAATGAACAGCATCCATATGGTGGAAGCTCTTATCGCCATGAGCGCAGAGATCGATTTCGAGGGATGTCGTTACGGTTCTGCACTGATGGCTGCTTGCGTTTGGGGATGTTTGGACGTGGTGAGGTGCTTGGTTCGGTCAGGAGCTGTGATGTGCTATGTGAATGGAGATGGCCTGCCGCGCAGTGCGGTCAACTTGAGCGGTCGGCATCAAAGCGTCACGAGATGGCTTTTAGTTGACAGGCACGTGGAACAGCGGAAGCTCGAGCATCAGCCTTTACAACACAAGTCTCTGCACCCAGTTTGGGCGGGACCGAGGCTTTTCAAGCTTGCGTTGCCAGCACATTTGCAGCGGGATTTCGGCGAATCTAGTTGGGATCATGTGCGGAGACTACAAAAGTGGAAGGAGGGACTACTTGGGTCTACCTTGGCCGAAAGTCGCAGGAATAGCGGCTTGGACTTCGAAGCCGAACTTAAACTCGAGTTGAGGAAGAGTGAAGCGCACGCTGCTCGCCGTCAATTCCTCACAGGTTTAGGTGAGGAATGATTCGAGGATGCTCTTTATAGGAGGGAGGGATTTTCTTTTCCGTTCTTTCTGTGAATACTTGGGAGTTCTTCCTGGAGTCTTGCCGGTAGTCTCACTGTATTTGAGTTGAAGACTCAGTCCATGCAATCGAATCTTCCGGGATTAAGGCACCGTGGCTGTCCTCGTGTAGCTTTTGGAGCGACAGCCAGCATCTTTATACCACTCTTCCATCATTGGTTCCACAGATATATCCTCGGAGAGTCGAAGACATATTCGACGGGATAATATTCATGTCTTAAACGTCGCCCTAAAAGCACGAACAGAGTCATTTGCCTTGTGTCAAGGACATCTTCGTAAACGTCCCGCGAACGAGATCTACCGCAGCTTTGAGAACAACACGTGCCAGGAAGCCATCACCGGTACAACAACTGAAGCGAATTTCCTGCTGGTACATGCAAGTATGACGATCAACTCAAGGTCGTCGGAAAAGCTGAAGTCTTTCTCTGTATTTATAATTCGGATCAATCCTAGGCACAGCGCCCCCCAAGAAGGATCTCCCCTCCACAGCGACTCCCAATGTCTCAATCGTTACAATCGCATGGTGTACGAGTACTATCCATCGATCTCTGTTGTTGCAAAGTTTAGATGGGGAGAAACAAAGTTCCAAGGGGATAAGAATCCAGAAAGATCTCATCCAACTCCCTTAGATTTACATCTAAAACTTTTGTTGCGACTCGTGGTTGTACATAAATGGAATCAAGACCTGCGTTCACCCTATCCACCTAGCCTAATGCCATCGAGCTTTCAGAAAGCCAGTGTCCCGCCAGTACTGAATATACCGTCTTGTGACCTGCTTCGCGACTGGTCCTACACCTGCCAAAGTCTCAGACCGCCGTCTCGATTTCTCAGTATCCAGCAATAACCCACCCCACGACATTCTTTCGAAGCTCCCCTCCAAGAAGTCAACTAGTTCGAACGCAGGGTTGTCTTTCTCCACACTCCTAACGAAATGTCTCACCCGCCTGACCCACTCCCCAAAAGGGACAATGTTCCTCTGTGGGATGCCAAGCTCTGGAGCAAGCACGTCACCCACCATCCCTTTCCATGGCTGCCGCACAGGGTTGTCGATATGGTGAATTGGCTTAGCGGTGCCACCAGCGTCGCTGTTGAGAAAAAAGCCGCCAAGTGTGCTGGCCACTAGTTCCACAGAGGTCCAAGAGAGCACATTATCAAAGTCAGGGAGACAGCGCAGAGTCTGTGACGATTTCACAAGAAGTGGGAGACGTTCCAGAGCATTCCGGTATCCGGTGTTGCTGCAGCCTGCAACCTGGCCGAGGCGCACACTCATCGCGCGGAACGACGACGGATGTAGATGCAGAGTCTGGTCCAGCTTACGTTCGCTGACGTATTTGGCGTCGCCGTAGCCGTTGGCCAGGGCTGAGTCAATGTCCACGCGGCCTTCTAGAACAACGGGGCTGTTGGTGTGAAGAGGCTGGTGGCCCACCACGGCGATGGAGGAGACGAACTGGAAGGTGGCGGGACGACTGATGGCCGACACGATCTGCGGTGGAAGTACTGGCACGACTGTTACTTTGAAGCGTTGGAGATCACTCATGCGGCTGCTGGCAAGCATGGTCTGACCGTCAACGAGTGTGCGCTCCGGTGGATGGTCCACCATAGTAAACTGGACGCTTCGTTGGGTGACGGCATTGTGATGGGTGCGTCTGTGCCGAGCCAGATCAAGGAGAATGGTGAGGATCTGAGGAAGGGCGAGTTGCCTGAAGACGTGGTCCAGGCTTTCGAGCAGGCGTGGCTAAAGGCCAAGGGTTGGATCCTGCCCTACTGGCATTGATCGCAGTGCTCAATGGAGACAGCTATAAATGAAGATCTCGTTTATTTGATTCGTGACTATTCAAAATTCTAGATCAAGCGAGCTTAACAAGCATCTCCTCGGAACGCGTCGCCGAGAAAGCGTAAAAGACAAATTCTTCCCACTCCTAACCTCCGCGACAACCCATTCACCGTCCTGAAAAGCAGCACCTCGTAGATGTCCACGGCAGCAATCCCGCCAGCGGTGAACCGGTCAGTGTCCCAGTACGGATCCCCGTCCTCATTCTGGCACTGTGTCGACGGCTCTACCGTCTCGTTGGGCACGAAAACCTCCGGGGGGCCGCGACGCCACTCCTCGTCAAATATTTCCCGAATCTTTTGTGGCTCCATACCCCAGCACTGGTCCCGTCCCGACGGTGGCGGCGGGGCTTGAAATAGGCTTCCGTTTGAGATGGCGGCAAGATGATGCTCGCAGCCGTCGCCTTCAGCCGGAAGACACTCGTTGTTGTTGAGAGTGAGGAGTCCGGCGCGGTATCCTTGGTGGAACTCCACGCTCGCTTAAGAGGGTAGCGAAGTTGAGGCGTCGACACATGTCGCAGAGATCCTACTTCGGATTCGGTGACGAACCACTCGTCATCCAGGGGTGCGTCGGGACTGCCGGGCCCCCAACGCTTCTTGAAGCTGTGATGCTTATACTGATTAAATTTCGTTCGTTGGTCGTCAGTAGCCTTCGTGATAATACCTTGATAAACGAGAACGGAAAGATACATTAGGTTGCTGATCAGTATTAAACCTATGGGTATCACGGTCCCTCCGCAGTTGCACGAGTCAACAGTTTTGCGCTAGCTGCTATGATACCTTGCCTTATCACTTTTGGTAATTCCATGGGTCCACTTTATGTTGGAGACTGCCATTCCCAACCCCTTGACCATGATCATGATATCCATGAACATATGCCGAAGAGACAAGAGCGAAGAATGTATATATAGGAAGATACAGCTCGTCCTTACAGTGATACAAACTATCCTTATCCTTGAAAACATATCTAAGCGTATTTGCTGAAACCTAGCCTTGACACACTTTTTATAATCGGTTCTACTAATCATATTTATTTCGAGATGCTTTTCTCCAAAACTACTATTGCCTTTGTGGCTTTCGTTGCCCAGGGCCTTGCTGCCGCCACGCCCAAGCTTGACAACCTCAACTATCCTGGCAACAGCACTGCCCCTGCCACTACATGCAGCGCTGTTCGCTCTACCTGCCAGGCTCAGGGCGACGCCAACCAGTCCCAGTGCGCCTCGCTGGCCGCTGGGTGCTGCAACGCCGCCGATACCGTGTGCCGCACCTCCGCCGGCGCCAATATGGCCACCTGCTCTGCCGAGAAGGCCGCCTGCTACGCCGGCGCCAACCTGCCCGACCCCTACGCCAAGCGCGAGGTCGCCGTGACCGTGTGCGAGACCACCCGCAGCACGTGCATGGCCACCGTTGGCACCTCCGACCCGACCCTGTGCAACACCCTGGTTGCTACCTGCTGCGACAACGAGCGCGACACTTGCGCCAACAGGCCTGGTGTGGACACGGCTATCTGCGCTGCTGAGCACGCGGTCTGCTATGCTTATTTCAGCCTGCCTATCCCTGTCTAAATGCTGGATTCTCAAGAGAGGATATTTACGCCACCCGGGAACAAGTGACAGGGCTCTGGGGAGATATGACGGGGGGACATGATGAGTCATACGATGGGAAGTGATGCATAAATGCTTGACCATAATGTCTAAAAACTCATAGTGACGGTGTGGAACATTGAAATTCATCACTATCCTCACCTTTAACTTCTCCAGCTCTGCAGTGTGTTTCTTTGAAGCTTCTTGATGATCCGGTGATGTGAGACTATCCAAACCGTCAGCCAATAGCACAGACTATTCCTGTGCTCTGCTATCGAAACAAATGGCGAAGATAACACTATTTATTGTGCCCACGCGGTTCCGAATGTCGATTTAACGATTCTACTGAACAAAGTACCTTGATATTAACTGAACGAGTATTGATTTTGGCATAAAATCTTGATTTCTACATAACTCATTGTTGTCGAAACTAGAAAAGGGACTACAACAAAAACAGGACGGGGAGACAAGTCGATAAAGGAAAAATTACAAGACTAATAAGAAACCAAGAGCTGATAAAGTACAATTCGCAACTGCCTTGTTGCGCTATCGCCATCCCTGTCTAACTCTTCTTCGCCTCTGTGAGACTAGCATCGGAGGTCTTGGCTCGCCACGGGAGGGACCAGAAACGAGCCTCGGTGGGATTGTCGACATTGGCACCGTTCAACCCAAGAAACATCTGATGGTCCGGCTTGCTCACGACAGCCTCTTCGATGACGCTGAGGACGTCGGCCTCACTCAGGACATGGTACTACTGTTTGCGGAGGCGCTCCATCTGCTCCTTGTGCTCGATCAGGTGGCCGACGGAATTGACGATGCCAATGTCGATGGACACCGCGTGCAGGCCAGAGCACACGCGGTGCAGAGCCATAGCATCCTGGAGCGTGTTGCCTGCGGCGTAGTTGGACTGGCTGACGAAGCCGGTGACGCCGGAGAGCGAGGACAGCATGATGAAGAAATCTACTTCAGGGTTGCTGAATTGCTTGTGCAGATTCAGGGAGCCGTGGACCTTGGGACGCGTGGCGGTCAGCCATGCATCCAGTGTCATTTGCTCCAAGATTGAGTCCTAGTGATTTACCATTAGCACACATGGAACTTGTCACGGTATTTAAGGAAAATACCTACACTCAACACCATCGCTGCTTGTACTACATTACGAACTGGGGGCATGGTCTTTCCACTTTCCTCGACTGCATGTGACAGCGCCAGTGGACCTGACACATCACAGCTGACAGGAAGCAGCTTGATGCCAAGCTTGCGCACCTCCTCGACGACCTCATGGGACTTCTTGCTTGAGCCGGCGCTTCGGGACATGACGATGATGTCCCTGGCGCCCTTGTCGGCCGTCCAGTGGCAGATTGATCGACCAATGCCGCCGAGGCCAACTACGATCAAACAGGAGGCGTCAGGGCAAAAGTTTGCATCTTCTCCACTGCCCGACCACTATACCAATTGTCAGTGACAAATCCCAATTTGGTATGGGTGCAAAGAAATAGACATACGGGTAACATCTCATCGGGCCTCACTATCAACACAAACTTGCCCATGTGCTATCTGGCTTGCATCACCCGGAAGGGCTTCTCGACCTCACCGAGTGGGTAAGACACCCTTGGCTCATTCGGCATGATGTTACCATTACTAAGGAGATGCATGAGGCTCTTCAAAGCCCTCTAGACCCACTCGCCCTTGAACTCTTCCATCTGGAGCAAGTCGAGTGAAGCAAAGGCGACTTGGCGCTTGAAGACTTCCATCTCGAGCTTACTGTTGCCCCACAGGTTACGCTTCCCGGTCTCGACGAATCGGCCGAAGCGTGCAACACAGTTCCACAGTTCAGACTCTTCTGGAGCAGTGAGCCTGCCAGGGAGTTCAGCACAACGTCGACGCCTCGCCCATTTGTCACCTGCATGATCCCGGAGGCAAAGATGTGGTCTCTGCTCGAGAAGATGCCGTCGTCGGGAATGCCGTATTTGTCAGTCATGAATTGACGCTTCACTTGCAACCCCACAGTCACCAAGACCCCTGCGCCGACATGCTGGGCGATAGTGACAGCAGCTTGGCCCACGCCACCGGCTGCGCTGTGGATGAGCACGCTCTCCCAGGCCTGGATATGAGCCAGGTCAACCAGGCGCGATGTGGGAAGTGGCAAACGCCAGCGGGATGGACGCCGCTGTGTCGAAGCTCATGCTATCCGTGATGGGCACCACACTGGTCCAGTTGGCCGCGACCGTGTCGGCGAAGTGCCCACGAGGGAGAGCTGCCACGCGGTCGCCAGGCTGGAGGTTGCTCCTGGCCGCAGCGAGCGGGCCGAAAGTTCCACCCAAGCGCAGCAAATGCAATGGAAATGAGTTACTTATTATCACGATACCGATTCAAAGCGAATCGATCGTGCTGACCTCTGCTGATTTTGATCAATCCAGCCAACAACTGCAAGTCGTTTACCGCTGCAGATCGGAACAACGACCAGGCTGCAATCTGAAAATAGTTTTAGTTCCTCCCTGCTTTCTCAACAAAACTCTACCTTCATGAGGTCTCCAACCACTGTACCAAAATACCGCTATGAAGGCCCTATTGACCCAACCATTCCTTTGAACTTGGACTCCGTGAGCGGCAAATCAGTGATTATTTCTGGAGGTAACATAGTCTTGCTCTACTTCGCAGTCGTGAAAAATTCATTAACAGTGACTAGCTGCTGGTGGACTCGGTAAAGCGTATGCCAAAGCATTTGCCGATGCAGGGTACGGAGCTCCAACATGGCAGCGATGTAGGCACCAGCTAAGATTACACAGTGCCTTCGTCACCATGAGAGACATTAATACTGACGCCTGCCACAAAGAGGCTGAAGAGCTTGGAAAGTATGGGAAGCTGGACTCTGATTGTCTGATGGCTGTGTGGCTGACTACTATCCCCCAGAAATGTGCAGGCGCTCAAGTGTGTGACGTGACAAGCTGGGACGACCAAGCCTCACTATTCGAGGAAGCCATCAAGTTCTCTCCCAGCGGCACAATCGACATCGTCGTAGCAAACGCCGGCCTGGGTGCCCTCGGTGACCCGCTTGTACAGCCTGGGGACCTGTCCGGTCCTGCGACCAAGCCAGACCTGCGGATCCTAGAGGTGAATCTACGCGGCATCCTGTACACAACCCGCTTGGAGCTGAATTACCTCGCAAGGTTTCAAAACCAAAAAACCCAGCGATCGCTCATTCATCCTCATGAGCAGCATGTCCGCTTACGTTGATTGGGAGAAGTCGCTCCAGTATCCCGTCTCCAAAGGCGCTGTGCGGACTGTTGTGAGGTGTCCGAGGGGGATGACGTGGAAAGATGGGATCCGTGTGAACTCAATGGCTCCTGGGTAAGATTGCGACAGTCAGCTGGGACTTCTCGAAACAGGCTGATCAAAAGCATATGGGTACATCGAGACCGTGATGATCCCGCAGCACATCAAGTCGAAGATGATCGAGGCGGTCGTGGAATTTGCCGAGACGGAAGATGCGGTCAAGGCCGTGATGAGAATAGCAACCGATTCGTCTGTCAACGGTAAGTTGATATCCATAGCATGGATGTGAACAGTTGCTGATTAACTCGTGTTACGAAAAGGCCGATCGCTCGGTGTTTTGAGCCGCGACCGGGCGCCTCAGGGATACATTGATCTTGACAGTGATGACTACCGGGAAGGCGGCTTTTTTTATCCCATGGAACAATTGGCATTGTCGATCAAGTTCGGATAGAAAGAGTAGAGGTCGACAAATAAATTGATTCAAGTCGGGTGCCATTTTCCGTGGGTTTGTCCCTCACCGCAGGCGAGTGGTCCGCCACAGCCTGTGGCTCGGGCTGTATTTGACCGCTCTCTGAGCCGCCCGTCTCAATTACACGCCAGCCCCCCTGAGAGTGCATCAACGGAAATGATGAGTTGATACGTGCTTGGACAAATAGGGTCCGGCCCGGCGGTAACGCGTGCCCAAAACAAGCCTCTCCTACTCGTCTGATGTTGCCTTGTCTTTGAAATCCAGCCTCGGGCTCCTTCCCGCTCTGGTGGCACCCTGTGCATGTTCAAACACCGCGAGAAATTTTCTGGAGGCGTGAATAGCATGTGTTCGTGGATTTGTCAATTTAATTTTTGACCTGCATTAAGATTATAAAAAGTTCTAATTTTCCATGGAAGTCGTGCGAGCATTCTCCGAGCTTTAGGCTCGTGTTCATCCGATCCGACCTTGAGTTTTTGCCAATCATAAGCATAAGAGGCATAAACGGCCATGCTCGAAACCCCGGTTCGTCTCGGTGCCGATATCGGGTTCCCCCATGAATCAGCTGCTGACTGCGACGAGTAGGCCTGCCTCGCGGCGATCCAATCTTAAAAATTCATATTTACCAGAAATATAAGCAATCCCGAACCCCTTAATTCCTTCCCACTCGAATCATCACTAAGTCGGGGGAAAAAAATAAGAAAGGCCTCATTCTCCCTTTGGCTTGCTGATGGGGTTGCCCTTCTCGTCCACGAGCCCCTTGGCGCGCATGACCTCGAGGGCGTCGTGGAGGGGGTCGAGCTCGGGCTGGGGCGCGCGGTGGGAGCCGAAGTAGGTGTCGGCCCAGGTGAAGTACTGGCCGTAGTTGACGGTGAAGTACATGTGGTGCAGGGTGTGGTGGGCGGGGCTGTTGAGGAACTTCTCGGTCCAGTGGCCCGTGATCATGTCGCCGTCGTGGATCAGGATGGTCCAGATCTGGACGGCGACGAAGAGGATCATGTACAGGTAGCGCTGCATGGGGCAGATGAAGACGAAGACACTTTGTGAAGTGTTAGCGATGACAACGTACCAGAGCGGCAGTCGAGATGAGACTGATAACTCACTGGTATGGGAGAGACTGAACGTATCCATCAAGCGGGTGGAACGCCAGGGCAGCCCATGGGGTGGGAACTACCATGTCTCATTAGCACTGGCACAAACTCAATGTGAATGAAGTGAGTGACTTACCGATCCACTTGTGGTGTGGCTTGTGAATGTACTTGTACACACTGGGGTGGTGCTCGAGGCGATGGATCCAGTAGATGGCGATGTCGTTGAAGGCCATGTAGAGGACCGACGAGATCAGCAGCCAGGACCAGCCATAGTCGCCCACGTCCTGGTACAGCAGGCTCTTGCCGCGGACCTCTGCGAGGAACCAGGGCAGGGTGAGGATGTTGATGACGGGGACGGCGGACAGCGACGACTTGATCTCCTGGGCGACCTGGTTCTTGAGGAAGCGCGGGTGGTACTCGAGGCGCCGGTCGAAGATCAGGTAGTAGGAGAGGGCGCTGAAGATGAGGTAGAGCGAGGTGGCGCCGACCTGTGTGATGACCAGCAGCGATGTGATCTGGCGGTAGATGTTGTCGCGCGGCCACAGCGACGTGGGCGCACTGTCGGCGCCGGACAGGCTGGAATAAGCCGCATCTGTCGAGTTGCTGAAGCCGGCTCCGGGATGTGGTAGGGCCCAGGCGTAGGCCTTATCCAGGATGAGGGGATCGAGGAACTCGAGTGCTACATCCATCGTTTGCGCGTGCTGTTGATCCGGGTGCAGACGCGTGGATTGAGCGAGTGAGGGTGGCGGCGATGGCGGGCGGGAGAAAATGTTGAGTTGGGCTGCGCCGATGAAATTTCAATGCTATTGCCACCACCCCTGCGACGGAGATTGAGCACGATAATCAGTGGCTGAGTGGCTGATACCAGTAGTAGTGCCGTGCAGCTGCAGTACCTCGCCGGATCTGATAAAACAAACTATAAAGCCGCAATGCCCACCAGCTGGAACATTGAACTGAATCGGATGCGCGCGGATGATGGGGCGTGGGGAAATTTTGCCAGGCCAGGTTGCATCGAAATTGCATGCAGCTGTCCAGGGGCTGGAGTTATTAACGCGACGGGGCGAGGCCGAACGGGATCTGATAAAGACCGACCATGCCTGCCACGCAACCACGCAACGAGTTCGCAGTTTCCAGCAATGCCGTAGATTATCATACGACCGCGGATGGCCGGCAGCCGGGCCAGGGCGGAGGTGCAGAGTGGGTCGTTGGGGGGCAATTCGCCAATTGTGTGCGCCCAGGACGCCAGGCGACTAAGATCAGCGTTGGCCCGAATCAGCCTAGTCTCAGGACCGGTTCCGCTGGCGAAGCATAGGAAGAATGTTCTGTGGGTTGGGGTCGAGAGTATCGTAGCACAAGGGGCGGGGCAGAGTGATTTCATGCGTAATGTGTGTGATGCGGTCCGCGCTGCCGCTTTCGTGATTTGGGTCTGTCTGCTGCGCCGCACTGGCAGCCTCGTAGGTCCAAAATGGTACCTAGGTACCTTGCTGGCGGGGCTTGTGGTAACTTTTCAGCTGCTGGATAGTAATTAGGCATTCATCCAGTGGTTATCTCTGACACACAGACCGCCTTGGCCGCGAAGCTCTACTAGCTACAGTGGGCGCAGAGACAGGATCTGAGCGCGTTGAAGGGGTGTGGGCCAATCACGACGCGAGTGTTGCCTGCCGGTCGGCTCCGGAATAACCTAGCGTCCGGCTTTTCTTAATTGTGGAGCCCACCGCCCCACGATTCAAAACCCCCAACTCTCAACCTGACTGACTGACCAGTGTCCCCGTACACCATACAACCGCCAAACCTCAAACTTCGCATCGATTCACCAAAGACAAGATGGGCCGTGTGCGAACCAAGACCGTTAAGCGGTCCGCCAAAACCATAATCGAGAGATATTATCCCTCCCTCACTCTCGACTTTGAGATCAACAAACGCCGATGCGATGAGATCGCCCTGATCCCCAGCAAGCGTCTGCGCAACAAGGTCAAAATCTCTCCCTCTGTTTCTTTGGGTGCCCCAAGCTCACAGCCATGACTAGATTGCTGGATACGTCACGCACCTGATGCGACGCATTCAGGACGGTCCTGTGCGCGGCATTTCTTTCAAACTGCAGGAAGAGGAGCGCGAGCGGAAGGATCAGTATGTCCCCGAAATGTCTGCTCTCGACCTCGCGCAGAACGAATCTGGCCAGCTCGACATCGACCAAGAGACCAAGGACATGCTCCGTAGCCTGGGTGTATGTACACATTGCAGATTTTGTGCCTCCCAGCCTGCCTCAAGTCCTTTTTACTGACTCTGCCCTGCAGTTCGATTCGATCCCCGCCAATGTCGTACCTGTCGTACAGTCCCAGGCTCTCGACCGCCCTGGCGGCCGCCGCTTCGGAGACCGACGTCCTGCACACTAGCGATTCCGCCGAAAACGCACACGAACAGAACGTGTGGCCGACAGTGGGAAGACAGCAGTGCCGCTGAGAAAGAGCTAGGGGCTAAAAGCTGGGTGTGAGATGCGTCGCTCCTCGTTCTAGCTATCGATGCCTGTACCGTATCCACAGATCACTCTCGGTGATAGTTTGACGGACAGATAATGGATTTTTCCTTCCCCTACGGTGTCCCTGATTCTCGGCTCCCACCGAGATGACGGTTGATGGCCAACTTCTCGTTCCTCATCCTTGGGTCAACCCGAGAGAAGAAGGAGCAGTGCGCGAGGACCAAAACTACGCGTGTCATGAAGTGCTGACTATTTCTAGCTTGAGCTACCCGTTTGGCTACATGATCTCACGGTTCTCTGGACATTCGCTGTTCACGACCATCCATGTCCTCGGTTTGATTGTTCTATCTCACGGCGTATACGGATAACTCTCTTTCGTTATCCCCCCCCCCCCCCCCGAATTCTGACCACCATTGATATGCTTGTCGTCTTTATCTTGCTTTCTCCTTATTCTTTTCCAGCTGCTTTCGCTGCCGATATGCTCGTAGTCTTTCCCTTTCCCTTTCCCTAAATTCTGGTTGCCGCCGGTATGCTCGATATCTTTCCCTTTCTCTTTCTCTAATTTCTGGTTGCCACCGCCATGCTCGTCGTCTTTCCCTGCCCTTTTCCCTTTCCCTTTCTCTGACTTCTGGTCGCTGCTGATATGTTAGTCGTCTTTCCCGATTTCTTTTCTTGACTTCTGGTTGCTGCCGCCATACTCGTTGTCTTTCTCTTTCTCTTTCTCTAATTTCCGGTCGCCGTAGATATGCTCGTTGCCATTCCCGTCGCCTTTCCTTGTATGCCGGTTGTTTTCGATATGCTTTTTGTCTGATCCTTCGTCTCCTTTCTTTTTCCAGAAACTCCAAATCCTGTCTTTTGCGCTTGCACCACTTCCACTTTCTGGTATATGCCCGCTCCCGTTCCACGTACCATGGGTGCTGGCGATGTGCTTGTCGTAATTCTTTCTTTCTTTCTCTAACTCTGGGTTGCTGATGGTATAATCGTTGTTGTTCCCGTATTCTTTCTCTAACCCCTGGTTGCTGTCGGTATGCAAGTTGCTGTTCCCTTATTTTCTTTCTGTACTCTGGTTGTTGCCAATACCCTCGTCTCAATGCCGCTTGCCTTTCTCTTCTCAGAAATCTCTTCCTTCGCTGTTCGGAAGAGTCCGCAAAAGCTGTGGCCTGAAGTTCCGAGGGCAGATATCTCTTCAGGCTCTCCTCTACCATGCTCCGTAATGGATTCTGACTCAGCGTCCATTCCACGTAGGTTTCAATAGCCCTCATAATTTCCCCCCATTCGTATTTTTCGCGGTATCGGAGTATGACTGCCAAACTTTTGTACGTAAACTCATGCATTTGTATGTGCCCAATCTCACCGGCAAGCCAGAAGCCGAGATTCCAAAGCCAATCGGTCACAATTGCGTCGCGCAGTCCCCCACGTCCTCCAAGGAAGTGCTCGGGATGCGCGACAAGATAGAACATCTTGACAAGATCTCCCCTTTCCATCAAATGTTGCCCAGATACGTCCCACAGTTGTCGAAGGACTTGCCGCCAGGCTGAAGATCTCTTTTGCTGTCTCCGGTAAATTGGACAAGAAGCGCTTATGGTTTGCGACACCAAAAACGTACACTATTTGATGTTGTCCATTCCGAGTCTCTGAGATGCGAAACTGGAACTGATGGAACTTCTCCAGGAGCGGACCGCAGTGTTACCCGATGTGGTCATCCAAGCGTGTCCCATAGAGTCGCCTCTCTGTGCAATTGCGAGTCGTATAAGTCGGTGGTGTAATCCTACAACAGATGGAGTCCGTGATGAGAATGGATCGAATTACGTCTAGGCCCCCTTTATCTATAGCAAGACGCAGGCTCGGATTGCTACTATCCAAGACCGTTCCCCATTCGTCGTCTTTCACGGCCTGGCGTGTTCTGAATGATGGATAATGAAAGTTCAGATGTATCTTCGCATTCATCCGGCCTGCGGGACGGATTAGATGTTTTGCACGGACGGACGTCTTGTTTGGAGGACACGCTTGAACTTGAGCCACGAGCTTCTCGAAGTATTTTTGTAAAGTCCGCGAATCCTCATCTTGTGTGTGGGAGTCATCTTGGTGGTCGAGATCGAGAGTTTCTCGAAATGTAATAATCCGATTCTGCAGCTGTGGATCAAATCTATTGATCTCATTGGCGACAGTAGACCGAGTATACAGCCACTGCGGGATGACTTGAAGTTGCTATCAAACTTAGACATGTTCTTTAGTTTGGAGACACTGACTACCCAGCGGTCTTACCTTTTCAAAGCCCAGCCAAAATTGAAGAAGTTCAACCTTGCCCTTCCAGGATATTTCACCTATAGCAAGTCCGGCTGGTTTGCTCAACTTGCTTAACTCATTCAAAGACGCCCGGTACTGCCAAACGCGGAAGCCTTTTGGGGGTTGCTTCAGCAATCGATATTCGCGTTCCATCGCTTCTAGGAAATCCAGCCTGAGACCCGAGATTCCGGTTCTGTCTCCATTGGCATTCAGAATCGAGTGTTCATCCGTGGATAAGGGGCTTGATGGTTCGAGTAGAGGTTCAAGCGGGTATTCCCCGACAACCCAACCAGTGTCAGTAACAGGCGCAGGAACACTGACACCGGCAGCCTCATCTATTTCCAGATCATCGGTGGCATTTAACAGTTGACATTCCCTGCAAATATACTCGCCAAGCAAATCAACGTCTTGCTGCCGCAAGCCTAAACAGGAGAAATGAAACCATCCGTTGCAGCCACCGTCACAACCAATATAGGGACGATCATCCGCTGGAAGTTGACAGAGGCAAAAGAGCTCTTTTGATGTTGGATGCGATGGTCTTCTGGACGTGGAGACGGTGCGACGCTCCGGGGGCCACCTTGCGGCTCTGCGAGCGCAGCTGGTGTATCCGCAGCGGCGCCGCGAGCAGGAGCACGGCAGAAGGGCCGATGCTGAGGACGGACTGCTCAAAGGCCAGCGTGAAGTCGAACCTTCCGCTGCAATCGTATGCGAGGGGTCCAAAATGGCCATCGCAGTGCGCAGGGGCGGCGTCGGCTGCTGCTGCTGAAGTCGACATTGCCAATGCAAGGCCAGGAGATTGGTGCCCAGTCCGAGGTGAGCGAGTCTGTGTGCCGGAAGAAGCAACGCGAGTTCCAATGGTAAAGTACAGCGGAGGAGCAAGAACAATGAGTGAGAAAGCGTCGAGTGTGTTGTTTTGGTGGTTTCCGCATAACTTTAGCTAGTGATCACAAGGCATCCCGAGGTATTCTTGCTGCGCCGCGCACTTGGGAATGGGCCTGGCCAGTAAACTTAACGAAACTCCATCCGTATTTATCCATTTGAACTAAGGATGACCCGAATTCTTGTTGGTTGCTTGTTTGGCCCTCCCTGAGCTTGATCGTGAGGAGCAAAATGTAACGCTAATAGATCTCAAAGAATGGTCATTCACGGTCGCTAGCAGGGATCCTCTGGGATGAAGCTCCTATGGGGAAGCAACTGACCATGGATACCCGGCAAGGACCAGCTTCTGAACCCTTTCTAGTCAACACAGTACTGCTGCGAAAAGTAAGATTTATGTACGACGGCAAACCTCCCGTTGGCAACTTTGTATGCTTTCTTCAGGAGGAAACAACTATGCTACTCACATCTCGGCAGAGGGCGAGTCACGATGAGAACTGGCACCAAGTCAACGTAGCAAATTTGATGAACACACGGTGGCAGCGAGTCAAATTGTTGTGTGTCTAGTCACATTACTAGACCTCGGACTTATCTGGACCAGATTCACCTCACCCGCGCAAATGTCATCTCCTTAAATGTAACAATAGGCTGGCTGAGCGGATAGAAGACCCGTTTCAAGACTTGCAGAAAGACAGACCACAAAAAAAAAAAAAAAGATTGCCGATCATGACCGTTGTTTAGCTGCCCGAACTGCATTACTTGTCTCAACCATCCAGTCCCAGAAGAAACCAACTAACAGTTATCGTGGACACACGTCGCCTGAAAGCCGTTGCTCTGCACCCTACCCCCCAAGCTCATATGCCACTTGAAGTTGATGTCGTTGTCATTGTCGGGAGTTTGATCGTTATTGGTGCCAACGGTGTGGTCGGTGAAGTTCTTGCTGGGAAAGACTGTTTCGGGTACTTAAGCACGCTTGGCGTACATCTGGTACTGGAGGCCAATATCGGAGTCGACGTTGTCGGTCTCACGCTTGGCGTACATCTGGTACTGGAGGCCAATATCGGAGTCGACGTTGTCGGTCTCACGCTTGGTGTACATCTGGTACTGGAGGCCCATGTCGGGATCAATGTCATCGGTGTCGCGCTAAGTATACATCTGGTACTACAGGCCAATGTCGGGGTCGACCTTGTCGGTCTCTCTCTTGATCCTGGCCTCGCTCACATGCCCGTGGTTGTGACCGGAGACCTGAGAAGAGACTGTGCCGCTTCAGTCGTAGATGTAGATCTGGCCGGCGTCGGCGTCCGGGCCGATGTCCTTTTTCTCGTGAACGCCTTTTGTTGCATTCGTGTAAGCTAATACAACAAGTACCACATTTTGGAGAAAAGATGATGAAAATATGAAGCAGCGTGCCTTACCCAAATCCCGGTTGGAAATGCCAGTGGGCTCGAGGGGCATCGCCGAAGCCGGGAGCGTCGCGAGGACAGCGGCTAAGAACACTGCGAAGGACTGCATAGTGAACAATTTAGCCAGAAGAAGAGGGTTGAGGGCGGTATGAGAGAATGCAGGTGTTCTCGAAATAATGGCTTCCTGGACGACGTTGTTGGAGGAAAGGTTACGGGATTGAGAGCAGGAACAGCATTCTTATAATAAATCACCAGGCCTGCCAGCTGTCTGAAGTGAATGTCTTTTTCTTGATTGAGACTTTCAGGGGAATTGTATTTTTCTCTCTCGTCTTTCCTGTCATCACTCATCCCAATGGACTCGCCCCCGGTTTTCTCGTCTGACTGTAAGGGCCGTACTTCCTCTGAACTCCTGCTCGCCGACCACCTCCCCATGCAAAATAAGGAGCATCATCAGCCGCGCCATGCCTCAAGGAAACATTTATATCTCCACCTTGGAGTAATCATCCTCTATATATCAATCGGAACCCTTCTCATGGGTCACGTTTGGCCCATGCCGGGTGACAGGATGAAATGCTTGTCGGACGAATTAATTCCATGTGAGTTATTCAAGATCGATGAATCGGTCACAAACTGACACATTTCAAAGCTCCTGCCAACGAAGCCATGGAATATCATCGCATTACTTGGGACAATCCCCTCGACGGCAACAGTAATTATACGGGCCAACCACGGCCTGAGGTTGACGCTGCGTGGCGTGATCTTGTGCAATGTGCGTCTCGTAGCTTTTGTTTAGAGCCGAGCCATGCAGGCATGCCCAGGTAATTAATCAACAATCAGTCTGCTAATCACTCTTCCTCAGACATGAATATCCGTGTTCCCAAGGAAGCTCTCCAGCGCACCGGTCAGAGCTCCGTACCCCTGAGCGACGAAGGAGGTGGCTATCTCGCTTCCCTCGAAGTTTACCACGAACTCCACTGTGTGAACCTGATTCGCAAGCATGTATATCGGGAGTACTACCCCAACAGTCAGCCCATGGTAAAGCAGTTGGAGCATATCGACCACTGCATAGACATACTCCGCATGCTCGTCATGTGCAAGGGGAACACGTCTCTCATGACCTATTCGTGGATTGAAGACTACCGCAAACCCTGGCCGGACTTTCGCCAGGACCACGTCTGCCGCAACTTCGATCAGATTGACGAATGGTCCCGCGAGCGTCATATTCCGGTTCAGGATTTGCAGGGGCCGATCCTCATGCATCCAGTCTATGGTGAGTTACGGGTATTTCGTGTTCACTAGGGATAGTACCCCGGTATGCTGACGTGTGAGACAAGGTGTTGCATGGCCTGCAGATAAGATCTAGGTGCCTACAACTGAGACTCGGAAGGTGGGTGGACATGTTCAGGTTCAGAATCTTTCATTTCAAGAGAAGACAGCTCTCTGGTCTAAGGGAACTGGTGGCGAGCGACCTCGGGAGCCGACTCTCTACAGATCTGTATTAATTTACTGAAGCAGGTGGTGTGGCTAATCGTTTGAATGCGGTGTTGCAATAGCTCAGAATTGGAATCGTGCCGATGACATATTGTAGATCGGGACAATGGAGACTGCCTGGGTTATCTTGCGTATCTTCCAGACCACGTCTTGACTTAATGTGACCAGATTAATTCACACATGGAGCAACCTCGAGAAGCCCTTTCCGGGTCGATTGGTGACAGTCTCCGAGCGATCAGTCCTACGGGAATACTCATGCAGGTGAGACCGCTCTTTTTATCCAACGTTTCACGTTGGTCTAGCAGAGACGAAGGAGTCTCGGACGTCTTTGTGGCTGTGACACGCAGCCACAATACCCTGAGGTCGTGGCATTGCCACCAGTCCACACAAGATGCTGGTGATTGTAACTTGCGCCCAACTAGCTAATAGTTGTAACGTGAAGTATTATTCATTAACTACATCCTTAGTGTAGTCCTGGGACGTAATTAGATTTAGTTGCACTAATCAAAAATCCTTGCTGCGGCGCAGAATCCGACTGCTACCCATAGTTTACCCACGCCACAAACGTGCAGACGCACTCAACAGGCGCTTCTGAAGCAGGAGCAGGTTGCGACTGGAATCCTTTGATATTGATAACGGGACCATGATACGAACGGAAATCAGTTCCTGGTCCGGTCCTGGTCTGGTCTCTGCTTCACGCAGTCCTACATGTAGTTAGTCACTGCAGACCAGTGATAGCACCGTGCCACATACAAACACATGCTTTTGACACATCGGTGGGAGCCTTTGGATTAGATTGTACGGGTTTGCAAGAAATCCTGGTCCCAGATTGCATCCATGCGCAATTCCATCAGACTTTTGCTTGAATATTTGACCATGACTTGCAAGCTCTCAGGAAATTTAGGATATCCTCACAGAACAACTTCTCGCAAATTTGACCTTGGGCCACTTTTACTTCATCACCATCTACCCGTTTTATAACCACCATGCTTGGCGCTCTGCGTACTAGAGCAAGCGATGCTCGCTTCTTGAAATGGTACCGCTACAGCAATTTGCCCCAAGAATTGGAAGGCAGTGACGAGGAGTACGCCATCAATAAAGACGCAGCCTTGTGTCCAGAAAGGCCGTGGTACAAATCGCTCTCGAGAGCCCTGCTGTGGAACATTGCTGTCTTCAGCTTATTGACCCTCGCCTTCTGGTTTGTCGGCAGGAAGCCCACGAAACCAGCTGTATTTCCTCCTACTTGTAGGCTTTTCCTACATGGCTTATGCTTGATATTTCTCCCGCTGACCACTATAGTGCCGATCACTATCCCAACCACGTTTCTTGCAAGCGATCATTTTATGTCAGAAAAGTCTCCGGAATCCGACGCAGCATGGGAGAGCTTAATGCCAGGTCAGTCCGTCATTCAAGGATTTCACAACGTCCGTCTAACAACACGCAAAGAGGGTCATGGCTTTGTTCTGGTTGAGCATCTAGAGGCCTTCAACTTACTATCGCCTGGTATCCCCACAAACGTAGGATCAGACCGGTATAGCGTGTCAATGTTTCACCAATTGCATTGCTTGGTAGGCAAGCCCTTGGCTCTTATCATCTCAATCACGAATAAGGATTCATGCTGATTATTTTAGGGGATGCTCCGAGAAAGCTACTACGCGGCCCAATCTGGGAGAGCGCCGAAAATCTACCAGGAAGACAAGCTGCCGGCAGAGAAGCAAGAGCATGCACATGGTGTGCATGTTGGGCATTGTTTTGACTACCCTAGGCAGGCGATACAATGTGCAGGAGACTTGACTTTGGAGCCGTCCGCGCAGTCTAGTACGGGCCAGGTCCTCGGCACCGTCGACGGCTGGGGTGTAACGCATATGTGTCGGAGTTGGGATGATGCTGTGAAATGGACGTTGGAGCACAAGGCACCCCACAATGAGGGAGGCATAGCTTGAACAGACAGGATTCTTCTTTCGATCTAGTCGGGGTTCTTTGGAATGAGACTTTATCTACATATCGATTGCTTGCAAAGTGACCCACATCAAAACCGAATACAATCATCAGAAAAGTTCAGCCACACATTGACGCTAGCGCCATCTTCTGAGGTCGACAGTCGCCACACATGGATTCCGGCGTCAACTGCACAAGTCGATCAAGACAGTAGCGGGAAAGTTCGAGACAAGGAGAATGATTGCAAAGTTCGACATGCACACGTAAGTGAGTGGCTATGACGTTCCCAAATATATTTTAAAGTCACTCTTGATTTCTAGTTGTAAATGTGGAGCTGAAAGTGGAGTGACAACTTGAACAGCTAAGGGTCGGGGGGAGCTCCCCAACGGACTTTCCAATCAAATAAACGTCCGTAATATTTTCCCGAGTGTTATAGGCCAGAATTAAAGGATCAATCACTATCAGCACATTGGAATGTGACGCAAATCATCAGCAATACATGAAAAGGTTCCTTCCCCTATTCCGACGGAATCTTTTGTAGTGCGATGGCTCCAGGGTAAGCGGGTCCTAATGATATACATGTAATTAGCTTTCCGGTTTGAATACCAGCCGCACGTTTTCTTTCTTCCTGGATGGCTTCTAAACGAGAACAGCATTCTTACCAAAGATTGGGTGTATGAGCATGTCCCCACCGAGATCTGGAGCCTGGTGCTCTTCTGCCCACGCCATAATATTGTCCCATTTCCGACACTCGTGCATGATTTTGAAGTCAGGCCATGGCAGAAGATGGTCCTTCTTCCAATAGTATGTGCCGACAGAGATATCTCAGTGACAGATTAGTGATTGTCGAATCGAGTCGATACAGGTGTTCACCTGTCGGAGGCGGACCACCGCCTCGCTTGTGGACTCGTTATAGTATGCACGGTAAAGATACTTCCGAATCGAATTCAGACAGTCGAGGTTGTGGAAAACGTCCAATTCAACCAAGACGTGCCCAGTTCCGTCATTTGTTTCCACCGATGACTGTTGGTCCCCCAACTCGGAAGGCAAGACAGCAGAATGACGAACTACGAAACAGTCAGTATCAGAAAGTGCGTCTTTGTAATCAAAGAGAGGATAGGCCTCACACTGTAACAGTTCATCCCAAGCATTATCAGACTCCGGTCGAGGTGGCCCCTTGAAGGCATTTTCAATGTCAACATCGTGCTGCATAAGGACCTTCTCATACTCGATGACTGATCGTGCTGGGCCTTGGGTTGATCGTCAATAATTAAACACGTGCGATGGGTGGATTATTGCTCACTTGAGATCAGATTAACCCCGTACGGGTAGTCCTGACCAAATCTCCTCCGCAAATATGCCCAAAAAAACCCTAACACGATGAAGATAAAGCCATGCAAAAAAAAAAAAACCAGACCAGAATTAGCTTGCGTCTATGATGTATAGGAAACTCTGGTGTCTTCTCAAATTGTGTCTCCTGAGTCTCGGCCCTCACGGGAGTCACGGGGGCTCATATCGCCGTCCATCAGCTGTCACTTGATCGAGGCCAGCTGTAGGGATTGTGATAAACTGGAGCTTCTTGTGTTTGTGGTAGCCTTGTAGGACAAGGCCTTGTGTTAAAGATGGCGTCCGTGTTTCAGTCAGTCTAGCCCATGCATCCAACAGCCCGAGGGCTCCATGAGTTTAAGGTGGGATATCTCCGACGTGCTACACGATCCAATGATCGCCCTAGGAGGTCCCGTTGACAGTTCATTCACTGGGGCTATTTCCACGAAAGCAAGGCCCCTGGCCGTAGGCAGGGACAGGGGAGGGGGAAGTCGTACATCCTTCAACCTTATAGACTAGACCAGGCTACACCAACAAGCTGAGAAGTTAGCCTGGTGTTCTCATTGATGTTGGTTTAGTCTCCAAGATAGCCCATGTGATCTCGATAATCTGTGCGTTACATCATCCTGTGGGCATCCCAGTGTAGCAAACTTTGACTCCGGACCGGGACCAGACAGGACCAAACTTCGGCACACGACTGCCGAACGCGAAGGATCAGGATATACTAGTAGAGACCGACTTTGAGATTAATGAACTGGTACTAGCTACAGAACTGATCCCCTCGGGTATGTCCCTTCGTTTCCAATGTAGGATCGGCCTTTGGGCCGCCGAGGCTAAAGCCAAGCATGCATGTCTGCGGCACACGTCAAAATCCTTCACCTGTTGATTCGACCCCTCTATGGGACCGGCCTGGGACCGGCCTGGGACCGGCCGCGTAGTTTATTTCTGATAAATGAACGTTCTGAGATCACATTCAATGCAGAATTGGTAAATGTTACATTGTCCTGCCAGAACACACTTCATTCGTGGCACCGAGACAACAAGGTTGCACTAACTAGCGGGGGCACAATGACGACCCAGGACCGGACCTGAATACTCCACCTCACCCAATAGTCTGAGCACTTCCCACTTTAGGGACGACCAAATTGCCATACATACTTTGAGTGGTTGTTGACCCATTAGTCCTCAGATAAGAAACGCAAACAAACCAGTGTCACGACGGAGACCACACCAAGACCAGACCGAGAGCGGCAAGGAAGCTGACGGTAAAAAGGTTGTTCAGCGATGTCTAACAAGAATTCCCATTGGGCTATGGACGGTGGGATTTGACTTGATTGACTTGTGGCGGAAGATAATTTGTGAGTATTTAGCCACGTGAGCATAGCCTTAAAACTGACAGATCTTACATCTGGAGTGGGTTGGATTGTAGAGACATCATTCGACTCCTTTGTGTAATTGTAGAGTCAGCTTTCCAATACCGTAATCTCTTAAGCCATAAATTCTTGCGTCTTCCAATTTATTTCTTTGCTGGCATTCAGATACTTGCTCCCTACATCTCACAAATACTGGGCAAAGATACATCACAATGACATTCTATTCCTTCATTGAGAGTTCCAAACATATCATATGGGCCAAAAAGGACAATTCGGCATCCAATACCAAGTATGATGCAGTCCAAACCAGATACCAGCCAAGCCAGGCTCCTCATTCATGGCATCAAGTTTTGCGAATCCTGGGACTTAACCTGGGACTTTTCCTCTCATACTCGGGCATCTTTTGCTACGCTGCTCATAGAATGATTCTCAATCGCCACGAGATAGGCTTAATCTACTGTAAGCGGGCCCGAAACTCACCTTCCTGCCGGTTTGTCGGTTGGCGGCTCTACATTACACTCGAGTCTGATTTTCTCTTAGCCCCAGCACGGTCGGTAGTCTCCTACGAAAGTCGATATCTTGACCAGTCTACACCGTCAACCTTTAACCAGGCACCCAGGCTGGAGGTCGATACTGCATGGCATCAGCTTCTCAAGTGTGAGTTCCAAGGTTCTCACGGTGAAGCAAGCTGATACATGCTTTCTGACCACCCATCAGATAACAACATTATGCTGCAAGCAGAGGATCTGACACAGATAAACAAGACTTTCTGTTGTTTTACGAGACAAGTCAGCATACTTGGGGGGTCTCGACGTGTTCCATGAACTCCATTGCTTGGTACGTAGAGCAGCTACTGACTTTCACATCCATGAGACTAAATTCACATTTACCACAGAATTACATTCGAGAGAACGTCTACGCCGATTACTATGCCCTTGAACCAGGAATGTTCCGCACGGAACACCTATGTGAGACTCCCCAGGCCCAGTTTGTGCCGCCGTATAATTTCGAATGGCGATTGACCCGGCTGCTGCTGAACACACAGACCATTGCATCGACCATCTCCGAGAAATCCTCATGTGCCACGGGGACATCGCGGTGCACACGTACGAGTGGGGTGAGAGCACACGCTACCCGCTCATGAAGCAGAAGACGCTGCACGAGTGCAGGGAGTGGGAGCCAATTGTGGCATGGGCTAAGCAGCATGACCCGGCTGCACTGCTGATGCCGATTCTCGAACACCCCCAACTCGGTGAGTTTTGACCATCCATGTCGCAGGACCTACAGTTGGGCTGCAACCTAACCGGTTGCTATGTATAGGCATCATAAAGCCCCAAGTCCTCAACAAGACGCAGGCCTGAGGGACGGCCGCGTGGGAGTTGGAGCCGGAAAGATCGAAGCTGGGGCAGTCAGGTTGCATTTAGAAGCTTCTCCGAATTAAAAGGTAGTATTTGGCGTGGGTTTGGTTGGTTCATAGCGGCATCATTGGTGATCCTGAGGTTCAAGCTTTATGCTGCGCCGTACCTAGGTAGATAGCCATCCAGGTGAACCTCGAATCAAATGCTGAGAAATACAACCAACTGCAAAGCTAGTAAACACCAGAGGAAGATTCAGTTACTCTTTGATGTCACTGCTGAATGGAATGGACATATTCATGTCAGCTTGTGTTGGTGATGACTAGATTCTAGAGCAGACCTTGCCATGCTTCAATTGCCAGACACCAAAGGAAGCGACTGTTACAGAACCCATGCTGCTGTCCATAATGAAGTGCTTGGCATCAATATACAAGAATGATTAGCCCTGCATTTTCTGACCGAGGGTATTGCAGCCCCAGGGAACGGCGATGTTAGAATCTGCCATATTGATGACCACCCTCTGATGGTCCCCTGACGTACGTCAAACACCATGACGGCCTCAAAGAAGATCCCTTGTCCATGGACCCCCGAGGAAGATATCCTCTTGAATTGCCTGACCAGCGAGAAGCGTACGTCCTTCCATCTGTATAGATTTATGCCTCTGGGCACAAGGCCACTAACCTTGACTGGCATGCAGAGGAGTTGGAAGAAGGACCCATCAACTGGATGGAAATTGCCTTACACTTTACAAACCGAAGCAATAAAGACTGTCGAAAGCGTTGGGTCTACGCCTTATGCCCGTCCATCAAGAAGGGAACGTGGGAGGAGGGCGAAGACTCGGCGTTGCGAGACGCGGTCAGGCTGTTCGGAACAAAGTAAGTCATGAGGTATCTACCTGAAACAAGTCGTCAACTTCGTTGCTAATGGCAATCCACGGTCAGGTGGTCAGACGTATCTCGACACGTAGGCTCCAGGCAAGCGGACCGTGAGTTCCCGCAGTGACCCCAGATTTCGGCGTCGACGAGGATCCGGGTGCTAAAGATGTTTGCAGAGTGCGCACGAAGGTGGCATCAGATCCTGAAGCCGGACATCAATAGAGGCCGGTGGTCTTTATACGAGGTTGTAATTGATCCAGGGCATGTTGTCTCCATGTGCATGTTTAGTAGCTGACAAAATTGCCTACGGGATAGGACGAAATGTTGAAGAACGCCGTGCTAGCCCACGGTCGACATTGGACTGAGATCGTGGAAAGATATTTCTGCGATCGAACACCAATAGCAGCTAGGAGCAGGTACGACCTGCCGACTCAACCCATTCATTGACGCCAATGGAAAATCGCATTGACACGTTTCTGGTGCAGATATGATCAGCTCAGTCGGCGCTTACAAGGCGCAGGGGAAAGCTCGTGATATTGTGGCTGGACGAGCAGGTCATTTACCAAATACAACACTTTTTATGAAACTTTTTCCGACATGAAGAATCGTGCCTTGCTTAGAATCAAATCTATTGACACCTACAATTCCCTATTTCGTTAAATCTTGATCAAATAGAAGTGCTGTGAGAGCTCCAACGCCAATGTTCCGCGGCCTACAGGAATAAGAAACTCACGCTTCTTTGGGTCAGATATGGTCCAGTACTGATTCAATCTTTCACTTTCCCGTTATCCTCTGCACACTGAGTGGCTATCCGTGACGTGTATTTGAATTTCAAAGAAATTAGCCCGCCGTTATCCATTTGGGTCCGATCTCCCGAACAAGCGCCATGGACACATACTGCTCTTGGATGAAACCACTCGCAAACACTTGAGTAAGTTCAACTTGTTGGACTCACCCTGTAGAACACATTGAAGCCTCAGGGAGGGTTGATGACCTCGTGACCCCAATTTCAATCACAATAGGCAGGGAGGCCAGTGATATTTGCGTTTTTGAGACAAGTCCCCACTGGCGGCTGATCAAGGGCAGCGAGGCTAGGGTTGTTGCAGTAGCGCGGTACTAAAGCGTATAAAACGCTGCTTCACATCCAATGTCTCGGGCAATTGTTTCACGGATACAAAAAGATTTGGTGGCTGCAAAGGGGGTTCCCGCGGCTTCGTTGAGCGATCTGTCATCTCCCGGGCCCTTGATGCCCTTGGGAAGGCTGTAGTAGCCACCGTGCTGTCTGAATTCGTGATTGACAGTATCATTTGGGAAAATATTAAAAGAGCAACCACCACCTTCTTCCACGACGTGCACGTGTGTTCTCCCCCTCCCGCAGTTTCCTTTGCGACCAACAAATCGATCAACTTCAAAATGATGAATACAGTATGGTGGGGCGCAGCTCACGTTCTCGCTACAATTTCCCATTTCATCATGGGCATCGTTGGCATCATTACGTTCAACAACACCGCAATTCAAGCTTTAGAGGACTTCTGGTCGGGAGCCGCCTTGGGATCCTCCCCGGTTAGACAAGTGGGCGAAGCAAGTTTATTGCAGGGAATAACGGCCGTGGTAAGTCAAGTCTCGCCGCAGCCTTTTTCACTTGGGCTTGCTCATGGATCCCCTGGAGGGGGAGCTGACCACAAGAAAACATAGGGCTGGGTGGGATTTGTCTTTAATTTGACATACTTCCCTGGCCTCCTCTGGCTAGACCACAAAATATCAACCGACAGCTCTCGTGACACGCTCATGAAGCGGAAAATTACTGTCTTGATTGGCATCATCTTTTCCTGTGGAATATTAATCGGAGATATCGCATTGGCTTCGATGATAGGTGTGAAGGGAGCAAGTGTGATGGTTGGACCAATCACCGTCTCTACTATTGCTGGGTAAGCTACAGCCCTTGCGACCTGGTCCATTGCTTGAGGCTAATCGTCACTGTTCATCATAAGATTCCTGATGGCCCTTACTATTGTGGCCGATCTTATTAAGCTTCATGTCATGGACAGGGGACAGGAGAAGCCATTGGGAGGTACAGAGAAGAATCAACAGCAGGCATAAATCATTTTGATCTGCCTGTTAGGGATGACGCGCTTTGGGTGTAACTAGAGGGGAGCTGATTAGATTTACCTCTGGTTTCGAGTCCTTATGCAAGACGAATCTAAAAGTACTTTAGTCCTTCGCTTTGACAGTGAGAGACGCGTTTGAATTCCATGATTCCACCGCTTCTTGCATCTCTCCTCCGTATAGGTGTCAGCACCTGGGCAGTTATTTGCCTGATTAGTGACTTCTCAGATACACAACGCTAGGATGATTGTGGTACAGCGAATCCCGTACTGCCTGGCAAACACGTTCTTTGATATCTGCAGTTCTTCAGCCTTAGACAGACTATTACGAGTAATAAGTATTAGACGGTTGGCTGCGCGCGGACTTTTTTTCAGGAAACATCGTCGCACACCATCATGAAACCAGGATATGCTGTATGGCTCCTTTCCGTAACGGACCAATCCATCAAGGAGCATTCTACTTAGGTTCATGTCTCAATAGAAATCAGACGGAGGGGTTCGATGAAGACCGCTGTCACTTGTGAGCACCTGGGACATTATGACAGCGGCCTCTTTCCGAGTCACCGGACGGGCGTCCAACCGGCCCCCTAACCAACCTTACACCTTGACCTTGGCCACAAGTGTTCACTTATAGCGATGTGAACTTGTGAATCCCAGGACTCGAGTTAAAAGACCTCCGTATCTTGCAATTCTCAGCACGAGGGCCAAGCACTACGCCATCTACAGGACACCGAATACCTCCCTAGTCCTCTGTGACATCCGAAGAAGGAAGGCACGTTCCCCAAGCAGTGAGTGCGCTTTCCATGTATCAGCGAGGTGATCACCCCACCGCAGTCAGTCTGGCGGCGCATGGCTTTCCAACTGACCTTTGCCTGCACACAGCGACTGCAAACGACTGGAAAGACAAGCTCAGCCTGATCCAACCAACACAATCACAATCAAGCAGCCTAACACACCCGCCAGCCAAGATGCTCTTCATTATTTTCACCTTGATCACTGCCACCGCCACCTTCTTGGGCTTCGGCCAGGCAACCCTTTCCACCGCCGTCAACCTCGCCCGCGACGACGTACGCTCGCCCACCCTGGGGGCCGCCCCCAACCATCCTAGACACGACCCTCGGCTAACAAAGCCCCAACAGAAGAACCCGAACCTGACGCACATCATCTGCAAGCCCCAGATGTCCCGCGAGGCGCGCAAGGACTTCACGCTGCAGAACATCGAGTACCTGGGCGGGCTGGACCACGGCGGGCCGGACCACGGCGGGCCGGGTGCGTACCTGGGGGCCCACACCAACGGCAAGAACTGCGAGCGCATGAGCTGCCAGTACGGGTCGGGCACCTACGTCTGCAACGACGGCGACGGCGACCTCAACGTCCTGTACGCGACTCTGGCTGCCTACGCGCAGGCTGTTGTCGACGACCCGCGCAAGGAGTGCAATTGGCACGAGGAGCACTACGAGGGCGGCAAGGACGGGGCGGACCTCACTTTGGGGGCAGGCGTTTGATGCCAATGGCTGGTCAGTCTTGGGACCCCTCGTCGTCCTTGATCCCTGTGCCTCTAGTGGGGTTGTGCACCTGTGTGCGCGTGCGCGTGTGCGTGTTGGTGCGCGATGCTGACTTTGGGACTCATTATAGGAACGTCATTGTTGGCATGTGGCATTCGGATGACCACTGCCCATGATCGATCTATCACTGCGAGAGAGTGCGAAAAGGAACATGTGTGGTGGTGGTGGCGGAGATTAGGTGCTGCAGTGGCCTTCCAATGAAGCAACGTCGCGAGGTTTTGCACCTCATTTGCCTCTAGCCCCAGTCCAGTATGGCACGCCTAATAATGTAATTGACATGGATTGGGCCCCAGCGCCTCATCCGTCTTGCCGTTCAGCCATCCAGCCACCCCAGGTTACTGTGTGGTGAGATGCTTCATGAGCGGACATGTGAGCGGTGGCTGCTGCGCAGAGTACCGTACGTGGCTTGTAGAGAGGACCTCATCCCAGCCGGCCCGAGACAAGAATGTCGTTGAATGTCATCCCCAGCCACAGGGGTCAAGCCACCTCCCTGGGAGTGGGAACCCACCCTGGACCGTTGATCCCGGGGACATCTGGTAACAGCCTGACAGGGTGGACGGAGAAAAAACGGTCCCCGGAACAAGGGCCCCAGGTACGGAGGGAAAACTGTGATCATAGCTGACGTTTCTCATTGACCGGCGGATTGCAACGCCGGAAGCAATGGCAAGGCTGTTTTAACGTGTAGGTGAGCCTGGGTGCCCGTCCGTCTATCTGTCGATCCTGCACCTCATCGAGCGGCCAGAATCTTGGCCTGCCTGGGCGGATTGAGTGGGTGATTAATTGGCCCGTTCCCAGGCATCCCATGCCAGTCATGCAGCCGCCCACTCAATTGTTCGTTGTTGCTTCTGGAAAATGCGGGCTGACTGGGGGGCTTGATGTTTATGTCTGGATGCAGTCTAGCATCTACGCATCTTGTACTCACTTGCAGGTACGTTGGACTGCCTTGGTAGGTGATTATACTGACGTCGACCTGGGCTGATTTTCTCAGCCACCAAGGCCCCATTGAGTGCATCTACTACTGGTGGGCAGTCGGCTCCTTCCATCGGTCTTTGATGGCGTGTAACATGGTGGCTAATGAAGATGCCTTCAGAAGTGGCCTGCAGGATGAGCAGGATAGATCATCATTATGAGGTGGAACCCCTGAATGATACCCAGCCCAGAGGACACTCAATCAATCTGAGCCTGGCTCCTTGCTCGAGCTGTCCTGCTGCATCTGTGACTTCTCCTGCCATCTGCCACCAATTCTGTTCCCAAACCCACCTGCATTGCTTTGCATCCAACAAAGCCGCCCAGAGTCCTGAGACACTCCAGCGAACTCAATTGCAGCGAAACAAGGACCACAGGTGCCAGAGTCTGGGTCGCCTCCTGATCCCTGCCCTGCTCCCGCTAATAACCGTACCACCCGCATCGGGCTCACCACAGGCCGTGACGTGAACCCTGCCGGGCTTTGCGCCACAGCTTCATTCTTAGCCCACTTGCACTTGCACTTGCGCCTGCACTTGGACTTGTCACTCGTCCGTCCTTTCGTCCCATCCTCTCGATCCCGCTGCTCCAGATATGCCCCTCCTTGGCTGTGGTCCTCTTCTTCCCTGACTCCTCTGAGCCTCACCGGTCCCCATCTGCAACCGCAAACCAACCCCTACTGCCGACGATCCCTCCCCTGCTGCATTGTCCCAGCTCGACCGAACCAGAGCAAACAGCCCCTGAGAGCCGCCCTCGGGGCCTCCACGATCAGATGCCACTGTCCAGCCTCTCCACCACCGCGCCCGCCCTCCCATCCACGCCTGCCATCGCCTCCAGACCGGCCAATTGCGCCCGGATTTGATACGGAATCCAACTCCGAGCACACCGTGACGCGCTCTGGCGGCGAGCTACCCGGCGGATTCGCGTCGGGTCGGGGCTCTTGGCGGCGGGAGATGCAGCCGGCACGCAGGCAAGCCGACGAGAGGAAGGCCAAGCTCAACCGCTCCTACCAGGAGCTGCTCGACGAGTTCTCCAACAAGGACCTCAAGACTGTCGGCAACTACCAGCTCGGCCGCCTGATCGGGAAGGGCTCCTTCGGGAAGGTCTACCTGGCCTCGCACAAGCTCACAAATGGATCAAAGGCATGTCATGGGACACGCCATATACGTCGATGGCATTTTGGCTGACTGCTGCTTGCGGCGCATCTAGGTCGTGCTCAAGTCGGCAAAGAAAGATGACTCCAACCTCGCCAGGGAGATACACCACCACCGCCAATTCGTACATCCGCACATCACCCGGCTGTACGAGGTGGTGGTGACCGAGAACCTGGTGTGGATGGTCATGGAATACTGTTCAGGTAAGCAGCTCCCACGTACACCCAGGGCAAGCATCCATGCGCCCAATTGTGTGCTGACGCCACCCTCAGGCGATGAACTATACGACTACCTGCTCCGACACGGCAAGCTGCCCGTCGACAAGGTCCAGAAGAGCTTCACCCAGCTGGTAGGCGCCGTCGCCTACGTCCACCAGCAGAACTGCGTCCACCGCGACCTCAAGCTCGAGAACATCCTGCTCGACAAGAACGAGAACGTCAAGCTGCTGGACTTTGGCTTTGCGCGCGAGTACGAGGGCAAGACCAACTACCTGCAGACCTTCTGCGGCACAATATGCTACTCGGCCCCGGAGATGCTCAAGGGGGAGAAGTATGCCGGAGAAAAGGTGGACGTCTGGAGCTTGGGCATCATACTATACGCGCTGTTGTGTGGGGAGCTGCCCTTCGACGACGACGATGACGACACCACGCGGCGGAAGATTCTCGGGGAAGAGCCGAAATACCCAGACCATATACCGCTGGACGCCTTGTCCCTCCTGAAGCAGCTGCTATCGAAACGACCCTTTCCCCGACCGTCTCTGACCGACATCCTCGACCACCCGTTCCTTTCTGAACACGCTCCGGAGCAGCAGGCCATCCTCAGCAAGGAGCGACTGGAGCCATTTAGCTCAGCCTTGGAACGAGACTGTTTGCATCGGATGAAGAGTGCTGGCGTGAACATTGACCATGTGATAGAATCCGTGTTGGCCCAGAAATGTGACACCCTCGCCGGCTGGTGGACGCTCCTGCTGGAGAAGGAGGAGCGAAAGCAGAAGAGGAGAGAAAGGAAGCGCAAGGAGAAAGAGGCGGATCGCAGGGGCTCACGCCGCTTCTCACAGGCCTCCAGCCGCCTCGAGCGACTAGCTCCCGTGGGCGAGGAGGGATCATTCGTTAAGCTCGGTGACCCACCTGCGCCCAGGACACGGGGCCGCTCCGAGAGGAGAAGCGGGTACTACCCCGAGTTCCAGATCACGGACCTACCCGGGCTGCCCGAGGCCGGCAAGTCAAACATCACGCTCAGCCCCGAGACCGAGAACCCGCCGCCTCCGATAGACAAGGACTCGATCCGGTCCGTCAGCACGTCACGCAACCGAAGGCCCGTACCGCCGCCTAAGGAGGGCGTGCCCGGCGTGCTCCGTAGCGCAAGGTCCAGGGGGTCCACGCTGCACCTCGTCACGACGAGCGACGCGTTGGGAAGCAGAAGCGGCAGCCGTGGTCTTGATCCCGACACGACACCCCAGCAAAAAGTCCGCAAACGACCCTCTCAGGGAATCATGGCACACTGGAAAAACCTCACTAACTGGCTCGTCGAAAGCACCCGCCGTCATAAGCACAACAGCAGGAACCAGAGCCACTCGACCCCAGACCTGCGTGCTAAGAGCCGCGCTGGGAAAGAGGGCAAGCTGTCCAAGGAGAACAGTCCCAGGCCGCACACCGGGAAGAACCTCCCAACACACACTCCGCAGGCAGCCGTGTCTCAGCTCCCTCAGAATCTTGTCGTGAACGGGTTCGCAAGGAAACCTGTCGGGTCGTCGACGCAGCCAACGGCCAGCGGGCTGAGCAGCCCATCCACACCAGGCTTCAACACTTCCGGCGGCCCGTCTGTCCATCGTCGTGTGCCTACCGGGCACTCGTACAAACGACAGTCCCTGTCGCCATCACCCATCACACCGCGATCTGCCGTCCGCCGCTCCTCGGCTGGCCTCCGGGGGCGTAAGTCGACGTCCTCGTCCGTGTCTTCTGTCAGGTCCATGCATCACGCGCAACACCACCATACCCACTCCAAGGCCTCGTCCACATCATCCACTAATTCTGTTTCAACCAACATGTCAAAGACGCCCATGCAAACGGGCCGCAGCCCTCACCATTCCGTCAAGGTTCTGCCCGCCACACCCACCAGCACGACATCCTTCCCCAGCAATATCCGGCTCGTCCGGGGTGCCGGGCCCCCGCTTGCCCTGTACAACGAGACGGCCCCGGGCAGTGGCCCCGGCCGCAGCGGTGGCAGGCTGGCCGCGAGCCCCATGATACCACCAGCCCCCGGGTCACCGAACCCGTTCGCATCCTTTGGCGAGCGCAGCATGCCTTTCTTCGCCAAGCGGAAGAGGAACGTCTTCAAGGGCCCGTCCTTGGCATTCGGGGGCGGCAGTAACAGCCGGAGCGCCAGCGGAAGCACACACGGCAGCACGCCGTCGCACAGCCGCAGCGCCAGTGGCGACCGCATGGGAGGAGGCCGGCGCAGCGGTGAGATCGCCGCCGTGCAGGAAGAAGATGAAGATGCGCTTGAGCTGGAAGACGGTATGCTCCTCGAAGACGAACACGAAGACGATAGGGATACCGTCAAGTTTCGAGGACTAGACTCGGATATCGAAGAAGTAGATAGTTTTACCCCCGTGGTGGGCGGCCCCGGGGAATCCGTTTCGGAGCAGATTTTTGAGCCTGGCGAGCTGGAGAAGGCTCAGAACGGCGTGGCCAAGGAGGTCAAGAATGACGCCGCTGCTGTTGGTCACGGCGGGGTTGCTGCGGCTGGGACTACGACTGCTGTGAACTGATTTCATGGAGGCGACCTGTTTCCATGACAGCTTTTCATGTCTTCTGTCTTCTAGGTTGGAATCCCGCAATTTGGCGAGACGGAAGCATTCACGAACTACGTCGTGGACCACCACAACCGTAACTCTCAAACGCAACTACCTGTCACCACATCACCAGCAAGCAGCACAACATTAACAACAAGCACATTTTAATTACCAACTTCAGACATTTTCAACCGGCGCTCCGGGGGCTTTTACCACATGCCACAGCAAAGTGGCCACAAGATACCACATTTTCTTCCTCTCCTTCTCTCTATGCCTTTTACCTCTTCCCTACCGATGTCTTTATTTCCCAGCCATACGTCTATCGACAAGCGCCTTATCAGAGATCGCCCACCGTTCCACAATGGTCCTCGAAGTCAATCTGCCACCGCTTCTCACCTAACCTTTTACTACATACACATTCCCACCAACCGGACTGCCTCGCCGCAGTACGCAAGTCCATGAGGATGTGCAAGGGTCGTCCCTTCTCTACCCCGTCCAACCGACTGATATTCCCCTTTTTTTGTCTTAAAAAAAACTTGTACCAACCATTATCATTTTCTCGTACCCAGTTCTTGTTTTCCCTAGTGTACTTTAGCCGACGCCCGAAATATTTGTCGCCCTTTTTCACCCTCAAATGATACCTCTGAATACTTTCGGATTTCTCTAGCTTGAAACCTGGTCGGGGAGGGATGGAATGTACTGCTGTTCACAAGAGCGTGACTATTGAGGCCTTGGGATCATCAGATTGCGTGACTGATTCTCTAGTGCCAATTGTTTGTGCTCGGCTTGTGTCTACGTGTATGTGCGTGTGATATCTAGTCTTGTGGTGTATTCTGCCTTGGTCCTGGTGGATGGGCAACTACCTCGAGGACGTTTGACTGGCGAGTCTGGACTGGGCATTAGCACCATGTGCCCAGGAATTTACAACAGCGCTCCCTGGGCCTCTTTTATGACAATGATCTATCTCATTGTGCTGTGGCCTGACAGGGCCACAGCGGGGTTAGTGGAAGGAGGGGTTTGTTCTGCTGGGCTGGTGAATGCCCCCCGGCCACTGTCCCCGCCACCTCTCACCCGTGCCTGTCTTCCCATTCCTTTGGGGCTACTACCTGCCCTGTTCAAACGAACAAGACCGCCCTGAATCAAGGCAGACAACGAAATGCTGCCGCCTGTGCTCTTCCTGGGCATGCTTCTCCCTGGAGCAGGGGGTCTGACCACCACCCAGACCCCAGCATCGTCCAGAAGAAGAACGGCGACCCCCACAAGGCAAAAAAATTACACTTTTGGTACATTCGAACTGGGCGTTGGTACACTCGAACTTGGAACCATTATTATTGGAACTCTTGTAATGTACAGTTGTGCCACAGGTGTTGAAACATGACCTGGGATTAAAATCGCTTGCTATATGGGGATATCAAAGTAAGGGGTGACTTGGTAACAGCTATGGCCAGGCTCTCACACTGTAACGTCCAACCATGCAGGCCTCTCGCCACCACTCCCCATGGAGACGGCCATGTCCACCAGGGCCTTCCCATACCCAGCTCCCGAGGCGGCACCCCCGCCGTCCTCGCCCTGCCTCGCCCTCCTCAGCAGCCCCTTCCTCCCGGCCTCGATCTTCCTGACCGTGTCCACGCTGACGGCCAGCCCGGCATCGACCTTCTTCAGCGACGGGTCGCCCATGGTGGCCAGGGCGAAGAGGCCCAGGCTGGAGTGGTAGATATCTGGGGGATCGCCGGCGCGCTTGCCGAAGCCGCCGATGGCGTGCTGGGTCTTGTCGAGGAGGAAGGTCCGGGCCGCGCCCAGGGCCGCTGGGCCGACTGTGTTGGGTGATGGGAACGAGCCGGAGGTTCGGGAGGCGTCGTCGAGGACTCCCAGTATGGACAGCGAGCCGAGGACCCACCAGGTGTAGCACGTGTCGGCGACCTTGTTACAGCGGCCGTTAAAGCCGATGTGGTTTGTGTCGTCGTGGGATTCAGAGAGGGAGAGCCCAGCCATCTGGAAGTTCGCGGTCTCGGGGTCCTCGTCGTCCTCTTCTTCCGCCTTCTTCTCCTGGGCGTCGAGGTATGCGAACTGCCTGGAGACGAGGAAGGATATGAAGCCTGGTATATCCCCTATTCCCTCCTGTAACGACCTGCTCTGTGTGTGATGTGTAGATGGTGTCTTTTGCTCTCCCGCTTCGGAACCGGATGTGCCGCCCCCGGTAGGCCGGTCTAGCAGGGCCAAGGCCGCGACGGCGCAGTACGCATACCCGGCGTGGCTCTCGTGGCCAAGACTCTCGGAGAAGCCGCCGTCGTACGACTGGCTGCGGTGGATGTGGCGCACCAGCGCGGCGACGTCGATATCCTCGACGTAGGCCCCGTCGCCCTCGGGCACGTCGCCGCGGAGCATCCACCGGATGGAGGCGGCGAGGTAGCAGTAGCGCATGTCCTTGCCGCCGCCGATCATGTACCTCCTGCTCCTTTCGTCTCCGTCTTGTCTTTCATCTGTGGTTTCAAAAGAAGGCAGCTCATATACGACCTCGCCAAAGCTCCCGTCGCCGTCGACCCTCTGCAGCCTCCGGAGCCACCTCAGCGTCTTGGCCCGGTCGACACCTGCGTACGCGCCCCCCTCGGCTTGATCAGCCTCCGTCAGCATGGGCAGCAACAGCAGCGCGAAGTAGGTCGCCGCGATGTTCGCATTTCCGCCTGCGTCGCGGTCGTCATATTGGGCGCGGGGGAAAACGTGGGACGGGCTGCCGCAGAATCCACCGTGGGGGTGCTGGCACGACAGGACCCAGGCGCGCAGGCTGCGGCGGTCTGCCGGGGTGAGGAGGGGCTTCTGGTCTGTGGGAGAGGAGAGCAGGTCGATGGCGGCGATGATGAAGAAGCCGAGGGTCAGGCGCTGGCTGTCGTTGGGCGTGTAGTGGTGGGGCAGAAGCGTGCGGGCGCAGCGCTGCCAGTAGCGCAGGTGGCGGGGCTTGTCGAGGGGAGGGTCGAAGGGGGATGAGGATGAGGACATATTGAGCGAATATTAGGATGTGGAAGTTGGTGGGTGAGTATATGCTATAACATCATGATGATGGTGGAGGAGGACTGTGCAGGTCAAGATCGAAGAAGCTATCCCAAAGTACCTAGGCACATTTACCAGCTTGGGTCCTGCCCGTCAGAGAGCTACCCCTGCTACCTAGGTAGGTGGGCCCTTGGACAGCCAGGGCAGCAGCCCACGCCAGAGGACCCCTGAAAGTGGGGGTGACCAATCACTCGAGGCAGGGCTGCCCGCTTGACCTGTTACGTACAGCAAGAGCAAGCACGGGGCAGCTGGCGGCATGTGAACAAACAGGGCAGCAAGCTCAAGCTCGACCAACCCAAACGTTGAGCTCAAATCGGGAACGAGGTCGCATGGCTGAACCCGCCTTCTCCTCTCTACCAGGCACACCCGGAACCGGAGCTGAACCGCTCGCTATACGACACACTGGCTGACTGACTGTCTTCACACTCCAACTCTCTCCGTGTCTTGACGACGACGACCCTGTCGAACTGGCAGCAGAAACGACCGGAACACCCCAATAAAACAGCCCGCTGGCTGACCAAGTGACAACACCATGGCCCTCATATCCGCAAAGACAATCATCACCTCGCTCTCGCTCTTCCACATCACCCTCGGCTTCTTCTTTCTGACCAACCCTATGACCATCGCCGACCAGGCCCTCGTCTGGGCCTTGGGCGAGTCCATGGGGATGCCCTACGACAGGTCCTTCGAGACTCACTCGCCCGCCCTGGCCTTCCTCGCCGTCATCCTCGCAACCATGGGCCTGACAGATCTTGTCTCCCTGAGCCTGCCCGAGGAGGTGGGCCTGTTCGAGCACTGGGGGACTCAGGGTACGTATTCCCTCTATCCATGAGAGATAGGGAGGGCAAAAAGGACAAGAGAGCAAGGAGCTAACGTACAGCCGCTCTCCAGCCCCCATCCGCCTCCTCATCTCCTTCTTCCTTGTCACCTACTCGTTCCTCTTCTCGCCCTCGAGCCCCATCTACCGCGACGACTCCTCCGTCCGGGGCCGCATGGCCCACCCCACCACCGGGATACACCCCCCGGGCTACGCCGCCAGCACCTGGGGCGGTGACGGGCTCAAGAACAGGGTCTTTTTCGCCTTCGCCTTTGTCGAGGTCATCAGCTGGTTCTGGATCTGGGTCACCCTGCGCGAGGAGAAGCAGAGCCTCGCCGTGAAGAGGGCGGGTGCTTCTAAGAGGAGGTCGAGCAGGTAGTGACCTGAACAACTGCGACGCGGGGGAAATGAGGCAGATGGATCTCTTGCGCTGGCCGCTTCGGGTGGGGAGGGTTCAAGAGAGGATACTTACTTGGTAAGGAGGGCGGACGTGCACATTATGGTATCAGTTGGAAGGGAACGGAACATACGGGAACGAATGAATCACGACGCTGCATTGCAAGGAGTTTACAAACTGAATTTCGGACTGAGCCGGCTTGGGGCAGCAGACAGACTGAGTGTATTCTTGATGGCAACAACATGACACTTAGCCTGGCAGTGAGGGATATACCCAATAAATCAATCGAATTCCATTTCTTTTTCTATCCCCCATGACTCCTCGTTTTCTAGGATTTCTTCGCATGGATATGGCCATTTCCCCCATCCCCGCCTCCAGCCCTCGGTCCACCCACTCACTCCATCTTGACCATCCCCAGCCCCTTCACGCCCTCCCTCCAGCTCTCAACGACCCGACCACCCCACTCCTCAACATTCGCCTCACCAACAACATCCCGAACCAGACCGGAAAGCTCATCCTCCCCGAACGCCCACCCCTCCATCCGGTCAAGCCAGCCGCCGAGCCCGAGGACCTCCTTGAGCCCCTTCACCCGCGCCCTCACGGACCCCAGCAACTTACCCGCGACCTCGTCCAGCCCCTTCGCCTCGGCGAGCACGTCCTTGTGCAGCCCGCTCTTGCCCGACCTGTCCCGCGCGCCCTGCTCCCCGTGGAACGCCACCAGCGACCCGGCGGCCCACCTCGCCGCCAGCGCGGCGTCGCGCAGGAGGGACAGCGACAGGGGTGCCGTCAGGTGGTGGAAGACGTCGCCCTCGCCGCCGGGGAGGGCAGCCATCCGCGGCGGGACGTCAAACGCCCCCGCGCGCAGCGCCTCGAGCGAGGCACGCACCCCTTCCGCGGCGGTGGAGAAGGCGGCCGGGGCGGGCGTGCTCGCGGACTTGGGGGTGTCGAGGGCGGTGCGCGCGAGCGCCGCGAGGAGGGCGACGGCCGTGTGGTACTTGTGCTCCGCCGGGGTGAGCTGGGCGGGCGTGGAGGGGCGGTGGAGGAGGGTCGACATGGACTCTGCGAGGCGGGCGTATGTCTCTATCTGGTAGGCCTTGTCGCGGGCGGCTGCTTCGTTGGCCTTTGTGGGCTTGTAGTCCTTTGAGGGCTTGTGGGTTACCACGTCTAGGAACTGTTCTGTTAGGAGGGCGAGGCGGCAGCGCTCGTCCTGTTGGGGGTTGGGATGTTAGACTGGTACGGTCATTGATGCGTTATGGGAAGGAGAAAACGAGCTTACTGAGAGGGCTGGGCCGAGCCTGACTATGTCGTGGAGAGGTGCAGTGTGTGAGCTCTCCAGGCTCGGGAAGGAGCCGTAGTCGATGGCGTTGACGAATGTTGTGTCTTCCGTGATGTGTGCTGCCACAAGTCAGCCGGGAAACCACTCCAAAGGCGGGCGCGTGTGTCGAGATCTAACTCACCAAGCAGAGGGGACTGCTCGATCCCGCCCTCGATCTTGCTACCCAACGCCCGAGCCGCCCTCCTCTCCTCAACAACACTCATAACCAGCGTGCAGCTCCGCCGCAGCCGATCCGAGTACGCCGCCATTCCCAGGATCGACGTGTAGCTCCCCGCCGCGAAGGCGTCCCAGATCTTGACGGGCGACCTCTCCCGCAGGCAGCCCGAGTAGTACGAGGCCAGCGGCTCGGTGAGGGCCTGTCTACCCGGCCCGGAGTGCTGGAATAGCCCCGGCGAGAGGCCCGACAGCCGGTCGAAGAACAGCGGGCTGAGCGCGTCCTGGATCGTGCGCTTAACGTCCATGGGCACCCAGGTCGCGTGCGCCAGCGAGCCGCAGCCGAGGAGGAGGTACACCTGCACGAGGAGCAGGCGCAGCGGGATCTCGTTGGGCGTCTTGGACAGCTGCGCCGCCAGGACCACGGCCGCCTGGAGGAGCCTCGAGGCGTCGACAGTGCTCAGGGGCAGCAGCCTGCTGGGCGAAGGGGACTGGCGCAGGCCGCTTAGTTTGAGGAGGGCTGATGCTGCGACAAGTGCGAGGTCGACGTGCGGGTCTTTGTCGAGCCCTTTGAGGGCCTCGGGCGTCCTGCCGAGGCCTTGGTAGGTGGAGAGTGCTGTGGTGGCCACGCCCTCCAGGCACGAGGTGCAGTTCTTGGTGGTGGTGGTGGAGGAGCAGAGCTTGCACTTGAGCTGCGAGTCGCCGGCCTCCGCCACGACGGCGATGTACTCCTGCGTCAGAGGGCATGTGGTCAGGAAGTACCTGAACTTGATCTCGAGAACGCGGGAAACCAGCTGTCTCTGAGCATCTGGGGTCTGTGGGTAGAATCTAGTCAGAAGGGTTTTGACCATCGTTGCAGACTAGAGCAGTGCTCACCTTTCCGGCTACTATATTTCTCAGGTTTCCAAGGAAGTGTTTGGCTTCTTCAAAGGTAAGCTGAGACACATACTCCTTCACGTCGTCGAAAGTGGCGCGCTGGAGCAGGTTCTGTTCGATGAAAAGGTACAACTGGATTACCCGGTGCGATGGCTTGCTCGGGTCGAGGCTCGGGGGCAGGAGACTGGTGGGTGAGCTGAAGGCCAGTTCCAGGAGCGCCAGGCCGATGTTTTTCTTGTACATTGGTGCCACGCCTTGTTGGACCGAGACGAACTTCTGCAGCACCTCCTGAACCTCCGTGAAAGCACTGGACAACTCGTCAGTAGGAGGTCAGCGGTCAACAGGAAGAAGTGATGTTGCTTACGCTTCGACGTCTCCTTTCGTGCCCGCGGACTTGACGAATAGTTTCCATATTCGCATGTCAAGAGCGAGGAACGATGGCTTCCCATTGTCGTCCTCTTTGCTCAACGCCTGCCGGCACGTGCTGTAGATGGTCTCCCAGTCCCCAGCCTCCTGCAGGGTCTCCAGGCACTGCTGGAGCAGGTGCTTCCGGCCCTGCTTGAACTGCTCGAGAACCCCAATTGGATTTGCCTCCGCTGAAAGTGACTTCAGGTACGCATCCTTGCCGGCCACGTGGTAGTAGAGGTTGATCTCCTCCTCCTCCCGGAGAGCGCGGCCTGCGGCCTTGGCGTCAGCAGCGTTGGTGGCCGCCTTCTCAAGCTGCATGCGCGACAACTTGCCGAACATGACCTTCATGTTTTCTGGGCATTGTGGGCTAGTCTAAATTTGTCAGTCTGATGAGGTCCCTGGGCATGGAGTGTTTAAATGCTCACAGAGAGGAGGTGGGTTAGCGTGATGCTCCAGAATGTGTTTTTGCCGTTGTTCTTCCCCGGCTGGCCCTTGTCTAATGTGGCGGCGATCTGTTGTGGTGAGCATTACCGTAGAAGAACGCACAGAATGGCCAGTGACAACATACCTGCTGGGCGTTTACTAGGTCCCACGCAAGCACACACGCCTTGAGGCACTCGACCACGTTGGGGCTGGACGGGTTTGCCTTGGCCCACTTCGCCCGGAGGACACCAATCGACTGCGCGTAGTCGAGCGGCGGTGCAGCCTCCCTGAGCGCCCACTCATACAGCTCGATGGAGTCAAAGTCCGGTACGGCGTTCTTGTCCCTGGCCAGGGCGTCGACGGCGAACACGACAGCGGATTTCTCCGTCACCGTGTCCAACTGGGACTCTGCGCAGATCCGTATCGCCTGTGTCTCAAATCAGTACGTGGTCTAGAATTTCAAATGCGAAGGCGGCTCGCTGGTGGCCAACCTCATAGTATGGGTCCTTCTTGGCCTTGAACCGCTGGGCGGCGAGGCGGGCAACGTTGGACCAGAGACCCTCGTTAAAGGCGGTCTGCAGTTGAACATCGACGCTGTTCTTCAGTGCAGGCCTGTAGTACCTGCCGTACATGGACATGATGGCGTGGCGTTTATATCGGTATCATGCGATCAACTGTATCGCATCGAGTCGAATCGAATCTGTCTGCCGGGGTCGGAGGGGCGGACGGCGGGCGGAGAGGGCGAGCCGCCGGATGAGATGAGGACTCTCTAGAACTCTGCAGGGTGCCACAAGACGTGTTTCGCCCATGCGATCTGATGAAGGTGTGTAAATATGAGACGTTTTTCGCTTTAGAAAATTCACTCCATCCTCCCCTATGACCCGGTCGAACTGTATCGTGAGAATTTCGCAGAGTGGCTCCATAGAATGGAAGTGCTCACTCTCCAAGTTGCAATCTGTATGTCCTGGTTTTGCACCTGTTGGCCCGTGCGGGGACATGCCTGAGGACCATCACGGACAGAAATCACGGGAGATTCAGAAGTCAATTTACAACATTTGAAAGAATATTTTAGAATTGAGTGCTTGTAATATTGAATTCCGATGATGTCGAGAATTTTCGATTTCCTCCCCATGCACCAGGAATTTGCGCGCACTGGCTTTTCCTTCACCAAGAATGAGGTTGGTGCCTCCACGAGTTTCCCTTCAGACTAATCTCATGCAATTCTCTCTCAGATGAAGCGCGTGCTACGATACCCTGAAATATTCCTGGCAGAAATCGTCATCGTTTCTAGCCCATGAGTGCCACTGCACCGGGCCCTAGACCACAAAAATAGCAGAGACAAAACCTGTCAATACTGTGCCTCTCGATCTGTAATTCAAAGTTTGTTTATTTTTGGTCTTGATACAATTTCGAGTTCGCAACGTGACTGCAGAGAATTGCGAGACTTGGTCGTGGCTCTTCAGAGCGAATCGAGAACACTGCATGGGAAATGACCGTGAGATCCCGGTGAATAACACCATTCCCCCCCCCCCCCCACGTCAGAATTTATTTGCCGTTTAGAGAACTGGCCAGATGGGACCCATGCGAGAAAGACCCATGTGCTTCGGCAGCCCATTTCTCGCCATCCCACCATGGCCTTGAGTCAAACCAGATGCCCTCGCCAACCGTCCGGGTCCCAACCAACTCGTGAGCTCGGACGGTCGATTCCTCATTGACGAAATGTGAGCGTCGTTTGCCTTTTGTAGAGTGGGGTGTGCGTGCTGGGCGTTATATACCCGGCGGTCCTCCCGGCACGTATCGTATCGGCCCGTCGTCGGTCGATTCCAGCCTGAGGGGACATTTTGCGTTTCTTTAACAAATCGCCCGCATATTTATTAGGATCCTATCCGAAGAGGCCGCCACCCTCAGCCTTCCGCTTATTGATCTGCCTCCTCGTTAGCAACGCATCGCAACCCCAGGTGTACCATTCGCATTCATACCCAATTCTTCTTGCACTCCCTATATGCCCTAGAAACATCCCTTGTCAGCCTTGTCGTCTTCAACCCAGGTACGCCCGGTCCACCAGATCGGCCTGGTCGTGGAAAACGCACTCGAAGTAGTCCTGGCACATGGCCCTGTCGCCGCCGTTCCGATTGAGGCACTTGATGCTCTTGGAGGCGGCCTCCTGGCACGGGTCGAGCCACTTGCTCTTGCTCTTGCTGGGTGGTTGCGGTACAAGGTCAGCGACAAGGAGCCGACGGGCCAGAAGCGTGCGGTGCGTGAGGCGGCTACCAACCTGTTGAACTCCTCCTTGGTCTTGTCGTTCCAAGGTTCCTCGCCTTTGTCAACTGGGGACGCCATCCTGTCGGTCACTGGCGCTGCGGCGCATCTGCGTGGGGTCGAGGGGCGGTGGTTGTTTGGATCTCGAAAGGACGGAGGCACACGAGAGAAGATCGATGCCTCGGCTGGCTTGGTGACGTCCTGAATTCTGGTGAAGCTACGATAAGATAAGAGCTCGGCTGTGGCTGCTCCAGCATTATGTCAGCATCCCTCACCAGTCCACCACCTCCCTTCCTGAACCGCTTTCATGACAGCGTCCGTGTTCACTCCCTCCTAATCCAGATTGCCAAAGCATTCTTCATCGAATTCCATACTACAGACTATGGCTAGCCTACTGTACAGGTCACATAACGCCAGACAAAGCCCAAATCACCCTCCCTAGCCATAACGCCACACAAAACCTCACAATTGTACAAAACCCCCTTGTTCAACTTCCTCAGGGACCGTTCTGCTTGTGCCTTTGCTTCCTTGTTCTCGCTGCCAGCACATGAGCCTCGGAAGTCGCGGTGGTACCGGCGACTAGCCTTGCGCCTACGCTGCTTTTTCCTGTCTCGCTCACTTCGCAGCTTCTGACGGGTTCTCGCCTTCTTCTCCGCCCTGGCCCTCTGGTCCTCCCTAAGCCTCTCATTTTGCGCCTCCTCACGCGCCTTCACCGTATCATGCTGCTCCTCCCTCCCTGGCCCTGTGCTCCTTAGGCGACGGGGCTTCCGAGCGCTGCGGCCGAGCATCGTCGTCACCGGCCTGACCGGGGAGAGCAGGAGACTCGGACTCGGTTTGGGTCATGGCACGGGCATCTCCGGACTCTCTCTCGCTTGACGCATGTACCGGAGGAAGCTGTGCTCGGTGCATCATGCCCAAGTGGACACGATTGTGCACCTCGAGCGGTGAGTAGCCGTGCCCGCCACTCGATCCCTTCCCGAGCGTGCTCTCCAGGAACGCCCAGTCGTCAAACGGCATGCGATGGAACCGCTCCTCGACGCACTGCTGTAACTGCGCCTCGATAATAGCTGGGGTGGAGGTCGGAGGCACCATCTGGTGGTCTATGCTGTCCTGTCTAGGGGCGTCACGGCTTCCCTTGGGCGGCGACGACGAGAGATGCAGCTTGCTCAGCTTGCGCCACGAAGGATGGTGGCCTTCGGCCTCCTTGCTCGACAAGGAGTCGTTCTTATCGTCTCCGTCCAACGGCACCCCCGCGCGGTCCGCATCCGCACCCGCGTCGTCGCCGTACGCACTCGATCCGAGGCCGCTGTCGTCATCGTCGGCCTCCTCACCAAGGTCAATGCTCGACTCCCGCTTGATAGGCGACGACACGATCATCTCGAGCTCCAGGGCACGGCGGTGGGCCCTTTCAAGCGCCTGCTTTTTCCTTGCCTCCTGCAGTGCGGCAAGCTGCTTCTCCTTTTCCTCCTGCAGTGCGGCAAGCTGCTTCTCCTTTTCCTCCTGCAGGAGCATCGCAGCCCTCTGCCCGCGGTTGCGCTTCTGACTGGCCTTCCTAGCAGCCCTCTTCCGTCTCTTTCTCTTATGCTGCTCATCCTCGGGGTCGGGCTCTTCGCTGGTGGTGCGCTTGCGCTTGCTAGCCTGGGCGGAGGGCGGCGGCTCTTTGTAATCTGGCTCGATCTTGATAGGCTCTTTCTTAGGGCTGTGTCGCGCAGGCGAACGGTTGGCCTGCGCTGGGGATCGGGGGAGGGGTGGGAGCTGTTCCTTCGTGAGCGGCTCGACGTTGATGCTTGGTAGCTCGGCCTCGTCGTCCTCCAGCATACTCTCGGAAGGCTCGATATCCGAGTCGCTGCCCGACGACAGCTCTATGACTTCCGGTGGGTTTTTCTCCACGTGTTGAGGATTTTCGTCAATAGGAGGGATATCTGCCAGTTTTGTTCTTGATGAAAGGCTTTCCTCGCTGCTGGGCGGCTCTTTCTTCACGATCCGGACGTCTTCCTCATTGTCGCTTTCTTCTGCACTGGATGAGTCGTGAACAATGGTGGCCTCTTCTCTCTTTGAAGGACTTGTAATAATGGGTGTCTTGGTAGGACTTTTCTGACTCGACTTCTTGCCTGGAGATGGGGATTGTCCGAGTGGCTTCTTGAAGGGGCTCTTCACAGGGCTCTTCGGAAGGCGCTTCTTTGGGGAGACGCTAACAATGGAAACCTCATCCTCCACTAGTGCTGCATATTCCTCATCCTCAGCCATGCTCCGGCTTGCAGGAGGCTGGTCATCAGCACCCGTTTCAGCGTCTGGCGCCGCGCGCAGAGGAGGTGCAGACCATGGCAGCGAGGGCGTCGGAATCGAGCCGGACAGGTCCCGAAACGCCTCTTCGATTAAATCGTCATCGGAGTCGGAATCATGGACGCGAAATACGATCTGGCCTGGGCTAGGCAGCGAGGGCTGCGTGTTCCTTCCGACAGCGCGCTGTCCTCCCTTGGCGATGGCAGCTGCGACGTGGGTGGTAGGTGAGGACGGCAGCGGTGCGGCTGGCGATGAGGGGTTTGCCTTGGTTGGTGTTGCTTTCTTAGTCGGGGTCGACGTCTTGCTGCCGACGGCGGGGACTGATCCTTTGTTGGAAGGCGACCGTGATGCCTCGCCCGATTGATGACGACGCGGAGATGGGAGCGACACAGGCGGTGGCACGACAGATCGGCGCCGCGCGGTCGCGCTGCCCAGCTTTCGGACCGAGGATGACATCTTGATGTTGGCGGCAGTCTTGGTGTTGCTTTCATCTGAACGCTCGTCCTCCTCGTCTGACAGCACAGTGTTGATGTCGTATGGATCTGGTCTGGACATCTGCAACTTTGGTTGAGCAGTGGTAGTCTGGACGCGTGGCAAAGGACGCGACTGAGCCTTCTGCGTGCAAGACGTGTCAGGCGTTGGAAGTGTAGGTGCAGGGTGATCAGTTTCGACAGATTCCTGAGAAAAGAGTCCTTGGGAGAAGGGGTCCTGTGAGTCCGGGATGACAAGTTGGGAATCCTGGAGGTTAGGTGGGATTGCGTATGGTTGTGTTTGTGGTTGAGGTGGCGGCGGTGGTGGGGATGGGCTGCGAAGTGGTGAGGCAGCACCCAAGTTGGCGTCCAAGTCGTCGGTTTCGGCTGGCTCACCCACATCAGTTTCCCCATCACGCACCTCTCCATCAGGCGCTTCTCCCACCTTTTCTAGGGCCGGTGACGGCAAGCTCTTCTTCACGGCAGAACTTGTGGGCAGCGTCCTTCCAACAACCGGCTCCTGAGGTGTTGGGGTGCGTCCCTGAGCGATGGCCAACGCCTTCTGGGAGGCTGTCAATCTAGGCTGCCCAGCCTTCCCCTTGGAGTCACTTCGCGACGACGATGCCCTGGACGAGACCGAAGGTGTGCGGTAAGGCGTCTTCGTCTTTTCTTCCTCCTCCCCCTCAATTTCCAGGCTCTTCAGGCACAGCAGCCGACCCCTCTCCCTGGAGGTGCTCTTGGGCTTCTCGCTTGCCCCTTTGCTGCCCCTGACTACCTTCGCCGCCCCCCGCGCATCCAGCCCGTCTTCTACCAGGTAGATAGTCTCCCCGCTCAGGATCTCCTCGGAAAGGGTCTCGTGCCCCTGGAAGACGTGCCCGTCCCTGTCGCGCGCCTCGAAGCGCGACCCGTCCAGCACGACGTCGAAGTTTCGCCGGGCATGGCCCGCAGCGTGCAGGCAGAGCTCCCTGATCTTGGTCATGGGGAGCATGTTCATGGTGAAGGAGTGGGCGAGCCCAAATTCTTGTGGGCCGTTTGCTGTTGATGAAGATGACGAGGAGGAGGAGGAGGAGGAGGGACGAGCAGAAGAAGAAGCACCAAGGCGGACGATCTGGATGTTGATTGGGGTCGCGCGCCGTGAGGCCGACAGGGCTGCTTTCGCGCTCATCTTGGCGTTGTTGCTTTTTTTCGGTCTCTGTGTCGCTTGTGGCGTGGTGGTTTTGCTTTTGCCTGTGGTTGTGCTTGTGGATGTACTGCAGGTACCGGGGTTGGCGAGTGAAGCGGCAGTCTTGAGCTGCGTTTGTTGGCGATGACAAGGTGTGGCTGCCGCTGCCGCTCCCGCTTCTTCTGCGAGTGAATGGCGCTCTGCCTCGACAAGTTGAGAGAAACCTTCCCCTTTCAGATCCTCAAGCTGGCCATTATCCGAATCGACAGCAGAGGTCTCTGGGGACAGCAGGTGGGATTCCTGGCTCGGCTGGGCCGGCACCACCTCTCCTGAAGCGAACATTGTCATAGTCCTCAGCTCTCCTCAGGAGAACCAAGCATATATCACGGAACGTACAGCATCCACATATGGATCATGGATAGACAGTATTTACAAGCATGTGACTTCACGATGGAAATAAAGAATAATAGACGAGGGAAAAGAGGAGAAGGCCATGACGAGGGTGGCGGTCTCGCAATGTCCACCTCGAGAGTTAATAAAAGAGAGATCCAAAGGTAAAACGAGGGCGACGTCACAGCGCCGTGCCAGAAGAGGGTTCACACCTTCTCTTCCTCGTCCCCCGGATTTCAACGCGGCCGTCCGTGCCCCCACACGTCTCGAGACGCGTTCCCGCGTTTTTGACTCGGGCTCGACAGCGACACCGCGTCTTAATTGGGTTTGGCTTGCCGGCTGTGGCTTGGGCACCCGCTGAGGACGCCCGTTTCCTTTTTTTTCTCTTGGAACACATCTTGCCAAGCTCCACTGGGTTTTGGGACTCTGGGTTTCGGTTTGATGTTACCTGCACACCCCACCACACGCATGCGCATGGGCGTGCATTGCGTGCATTTGGTTGTATCTTGCTACTGCAAGGTGAAAAAGGTGTATGCACGGCCGAGTCCCACTTTCTCTCATTGTCGCGAGGACCTTGTCAGTTGATCCGGAGCGCGTCGGCCGTTTGCTCGCGTCCGCCCGGCTTTTTGAGGTTCCACGGCCCCATTCTCGTCCCACTGGCAGGACCGGCCGAACATTCGGTTAGCGACGTCGCAAACGGGCGCCATCCATCGTATCTAATAAATGTGAGATACGACATGGTAGGATTGGCAGCCCTTGGCAGATGGCCAGATCGGCGGGGAAGGAATTCCATGTTCCCGCCAACCCGCCCGTGGACTACTGCATCTCCCCAGGAATGGATCGCTCTGAACAGGGGGTTGTTAATGGTGCAGGTCATGTTCATGGCCCAGGCCTGGTCATCTCCCAGGGGCGAATGCATATTCAAGGACCGGCCGACCGACCAGTCTGCAACGATGAACACTAAAACACAGGGTGATGGCAGTGATCTATCTATGCTATTGCCAGTGATAGTATCTTCTTATATATGCACTCTACTGCACTGCACCAACGCGCTGTGGGTGTAGATATCCCACTACAAAATGACTCCAGAGCCTCGGTGACCTTTCGATCCGGGTATTCAACCATCCTTACTTCCGTCTCTTGTCCACGCTTCCATTTCCATGTTCGACCTCTCTTCGCCTATAGTCTGGATTTCACGGCCATCCGCTCCGGCGCAGCAAAACCTTGAACAAAACACAAAGAACAAATCAACCTCGTCGCTCAACACACACACACACGCCTCTTGGCTTCACTTCACACAACTTTACTCGTCCCTCACCAACTCACCATTCAGATCCCAATCCTCCGACTGCGCCACCAGGTCCGGGATATCGTCGACCTGGCACTTCCCATCCAGAATGTCGTTGACGGCCGTGAACAGCGGGTACTCATGCGTCAGCCCCCGCGCCTTGAGGAACGAGTTGACCTCCTTGGCCGTCGAGGTGCCCTGCAGCATCTGCCCGTTGAGCTCCGTACGCTCCACCTCGGCCACGCTGACTCCGCGCTCAACGGAAATCTTCGCGCAGCGGAAGTTTCGGCCTGACGAGCACGATGTCACCAGGTCCGCCATGCCAGCCGACTCCACCGTGAATGTCGCCGTGTTGACCGTCTGCCCGAAGAACTCCTTGCCGAACTTGATCATCTCGACTATTCCCAGCCGGCAGACCTCCGACTTGGCATTGTCGCCCCAGCCCTTGCCCACCACGAAGCCTGCGGCCACAGCGACGATATTCTTGAGAGCACCACCCAGCGAAGTGCCTGCGACGTCCGACACCATTCGCACGTGGAAGTAGGGCCGTCGGAACAGTGCCTTGAAGGTCATGTGGTCGAGGGGCGGGAAGGTGTCGGGCACGGCGGTGAGCTTGACCTTGCTGTTGCGGCCGCGGGCGTCCTTGTGCGACTGGTTGACGGGCGTGATGCTGAGGTCGAACTTTGTCTGGTTTGCGGCAGGGCTCTGCGTCCTGGGCGTCGGGTTGCGGCTAGCATCCATGGGCGGCGGGTCGTAGGCAATGGTCGTCGCGCACCACTTCTCGGCAGCGATCTCAGACGCGATGTTGGCTCCCGACAAGGCGCCGCAGTAGATGCCTAGGCCGTCGCCGATCCATTCGCTGAACAGCGAGACACCGTCGTCGGACACGTGCACACCCTTGATGCAGCTGATCGCTCGAGCGTAGGGGACGATGTGGCCGCGCAGCTGGTTGCAGACGTTGTCGATGAACTGGTGGGGCAGGTTGAAAACCAGAATGGTCGAGTCCTTGGCGGCGTCGATCAGGTTGGGGTTCGCGATGACATTGTCGGGGAGCTTGATGCCGGGCAGGTACTTGACGTTCTCGTGGTACTTGTTGATAATGCTCGTTATTTTCTGCTTCGCGTCACCAACCGAGGCGTCGTAGTGGGGGGAGTCCTTGGGTATTGCGACTTCCTCCTCGTAGACCCACATCTGCACCTCGGGCTCGAAAATCTTGGGGTTTGCCTTTGTGTTTTCGGCGACGATCTTCGCGATGGTCGAGCCCCAGTTTCCAGAGCCAATGACCGTCACCTTGTGCCGCTTCTCGTAGGACGCTCCTAAGGTAGCCATGTTGCGTCGACCGGCGATCTGAAATTTGCTAGATGCTGCTGCCGCTTTGCCGCCCGTGGCTGATGAAGCTAACTTGCGAAGGTGACAACTTGCAGGGGAGAGCGTAGATGCGTGTAAAGGACGGTTGGAACTGTACTTGGCCGGCGATGTTGTGGTCACGAAGCTGCGGGTCGGGATGGAAGCTCTTCTGGTGTCCGATGTAGCGAGTTGCTGGTAGCTTGTGAGGATTCTTCTTGTTGACCAGGATGGGTTGTTCAGTACGACGGTGTTTGTAGAAACGAGAGAGAAAGAGTCGACTCGAACAATGCGAAGGGCGTGCATGAACGAGAGCACGGGAGGTCAAGAAGTGGTGGTCACACGAGCTGTTTTAATAGAAACGGAGAGGAAGCTGACAGGAGACCGCAGGGAAGGAAGGAAGAACCCCACGTCCCACTGACAGGATAGGTAGGAAGGTACCAAGGGAGCAGGAGCACAGCAGGGCAGGGCAGGGCAGGCAAGAACAAGCCGAAGCGAGGCACGGCAAGATGGCAGGTGGCAGGTGGCACCGCGGACTGCCTAGGTACTATAAACCTGGCGAGTAGGTATTTTTGGTTTGTAATTGGGTCTCGTGGCTTCCACATATGTGCATGTGGTTTGTGCTGTGCTTTTGCAGTGATCAGTTGTGCTGCGTCGCGTTGTGTTGAGCTCCTTCCCGCCTTCCTGCCCTTGCCTTCCTGGTATCTCCGTCCCGGCTCCCGTCCAACCTTCCCCACTGCCCCCCTGCCCGTCGAGTAGAAAGTGACGCAACGAGCCGGCAGAATCCTGGCCGCCTTCCCTACAGAGCGGGATGCATGCAGGGCCGTATAGCCAAGTACTTTCTGTATGCCGGATAGTATGTGCTATCTGAGGTATCACAGTAACACAGCGTCGAGCTCGTAGCCCTTCAACAATGGTGGGGTCCTCAACCATCCTGACCTAAAGCTTTTTTCTTTCTCTCTAGGCGCTCGGGATGTCCCGGCCTGGCCGATCTTGACAAGCTCTCGTGTTTCCATTAGTTGCCGAGGCCGTTGCAACCCATGCCGGCGTACTTCCCTCTTTTTTTTTCCCGGTGTCGTTTTCAATGGCAAGGCGAGGTTCGAGGCTGTGAGCTGAACAGGGTGGGTTCTGTCATATTTGACAATCGAGGGAAGCATGTGAAAGTCCCCATAATTTCCTGCCTTATTTCCGTTCATCACATGCCAGCGGACCGACCTCAGGCGACACTCCCATCCCGTCGGCCGAATAGGCAATGCCCCGTTCAACATGAGCTGACATCACGCCTGGTCTGATCCGGTGCAGGTAGAAGAATGGCCCCGGAAAGTCCGTCTCCGACAGGCGATTTGATTTCTCACGGGCTGTATCAGCCTTCACATCTAAACGCTACGAGGCCTGGCCAGGTTGGTTGCGTGGTGCAAACATGACATCAACGGCCATTGTTGTCCTCGGCAGCGCCGTTCTGAGCCACAGCCAGCTCAATGCCTCGCTCTACTCACGATTGTCTGAATCAGGCTGTCTAGTCATGGAGCCTTTCTGCATGTCATCTTGAAATTACTGCCGGGAATATCCTTCCTTGGACTCGAGGGGCGGTTGTTCGAGAAGAGCCTCGCAGCAGTAGGTAGCAGATTCTGGCACGTAAAGCTCATAGGCTTGGTCTTTCAATCAGCGGGAGAGATGCGATCCCTTTGATAGCTTCACCGCTGCAACGGAATTTGATGGATCATTGGTCAAATCAGGAAAAATCTGCTGGGGCACTGTAGTCGTCACAGGAAGGCCTCAACCACCTTCCTCGAAGCCAGGATGTGCTGGGGGAGCCGTAGACCAGATGGGAATATGGCTTTGATCAGATTGTGGCTTCAGAAACAGGCCCAGGTTTGACAATGTATTGTTGAAGTGTTGTGCGGATGGGCGAGTCGAAATTCGGAATCTGCATAGTTGAGACGTCTGGAAGGAATGGGACCGAGAGATCATATATCCTGGTCTGACAGGCCATGGGCTATACCAAAACCTCTTAAGGATATTCTGCGAGTTGTAAGGATCTGCAAGCTGCCATGAAATCAGTAATGCAGTACAGAGGTCCCTGCCGTTGCTATTGTTATCGAGAGGCTGGTCTCCTCCCCCAATCCATGGACTTGCAGTAGTCGTGGGAAAGGCCGGATGGTCTATTTGGCCCTGAGGCTGGAAAAGCTGCTGATTCCCCATTTGATGAGGTCTCTCATTATCGAAAGCGACATCGGCAAGATACGCCTCGTACCAAGTGTTCTGGACAATGGGAAAGGCGGAAACGAAGTTTGGTGGAATGGATACAGGGGAAAGATCGCATACATTTGCTAACCAATCCACAATGTTCACCCTATGCTGACTTTACTCAGATAATCAAGACGAAAATACAGAAAAAGTCACGTCAAAGTTAGACGTATGCTCAAGATTGTTTGATCACGGTCCCATACCATTCTATGTGCGCATTGTACATTCTAACAACGACACTCGGCACCAAACAGGTATCCGGGATTCCAATCAGGAAACTGAGATGAGGCAAGGGCACGGGGCTGTGACCAACCGTCAAGGGGAGCTGCAAACGCCCAGTTCCATGGACGCTCAAGGCGCACGCAGTGAGTAGAGCTATTCAAAGCGACCGCAAGACAATCAGGCAGCAGTACGCCATACCCATTAACTTCACAGCCTGACTTCCAAGACCAACCCCCTGCACAAAAACCCCCAACCAACCATGACACGCCTTCGCGCGCCTCATCTTCGGGTGCGCGCCGCCACAGCTCATGACCTCAGTGCCATGGCAACGATTGTTTACGAGGCAATGCCATCAGACCCTCAGTGGAACTACAGGTTTCCCCTCCAGAAGAGATTCCCCGAGGACAACTACGGATGTACTCGCCAGATGCTCAAGTCGATGCTTGAGACAGACGGTGTTTACATCAATATTGTCACCTTTCCTTCACCGTGTCTGCACGAGGACGAAGAGATACCTGCGGCCGTAGCTGCATGGGAGGTGGACATCAACTGAGACAAGAACTACTCCACGCAGCCAACAGGTCAGTTCCCCCTCCAACATTACTGCTACCAACCCTCAGCATTCCATCTTTTACACGCGACTCACATTGAACCTGAGGGCAGAAAAGCCAGAATGTCGTCGAGATGCAAACATTGAGCACATGAATGCCTTCGCCACTGCCCTCCAGTCGGCCAAGAAGTCGTACTCCGACAGCAAATACCAGTCTCATCACCTCCACCTGCGCATACTTGCAACCCATCCCGACTTTCAACGCCGAGGTGCAGCATCGGCACTCTGCCGCTGGGGAGTTGAGTATGCAGGGGAGCGCAAACAGCCCGGGACGCTGTTCGCAAGTCCCATGGGCCGGAAGCTCTACACCTACTTGGGATTCAAATATCTAGGGACGGTCCCGGTTCAGGTTGAAGGGGAGGATGAGAAGCTTTCCATTGGGGCCATGATGTACTCTTATCCGGATGAGGGTGATATCTCTCCACCAGTCGGTCCGGATGATGGAGTCCAGCAGCTCAGGGAGTGAAGAATCGCTTGGATGAAAGGCATTAGACTTTCCTGCGAATGGGATTTGTCACTGAGAATGAGATAAATGCTAGTCAAGGGGGATGAGACTGAGTAATAGACTGATGATCCTTCCTTTGGAGAGGATGACGGCCTTCCAACAACCTTCTATTTCCCTCTTCCTTCCCTAGCTAGATGGGATTTAAGATAGGATTCTGCGTTATTAAGCAAGACGTGACAACTTGAGATGCTCTGGGGCGGATTAGGCTAATGGAGTGCCTTTGAGTCCTTGCCCCTGACTGGAGCACATTCCATTGATAAGATTGTGCTTTTAGTTCTGGTGGAAGTCTAAACTAAGACAAGTCGGAATTTAAACGAAGTTAATCAGCCAAGACAGACCCGGCCTGGGAACGCAATGGATATGTCCAATATCAATGGATGTAAGTCCGGCATCGCCCGGCCACTTCCTGTGAGAGCCGGCTGAAGCGGGGTTGAGCTGGGTCCCCCTTATCGCCCATGACATCAAACCCCAAGCTTTCTCATGACCCACCCGTTGGATCAGAAGCGAGCTTAAGACAAGGCGGAATTCCAGCGGTTCGGGAATTTGCGAGCTCAACATGAAGAAAGCAACACATACGGAATTTGAGCGATTCGACGACCAAGGCAAACTTCCATCAGACAACTTGAAGAGCACAATGGCACCCCCAAAGCGCAAGGCGTTCATCAACGTCGACCTAGGAGAAGGATATGGCAACTTCAAATGCGGCCCAGATGAGGAGCTTATACCGATGATTGACCATGCTAACATTGCATGTGGTTTTCAGTGAGTCTCAAGTTTCGCATGCTGAGTGGTCTCGACGTAGGAATGCTAACAACATCTCAGTGCCGGGTTAGTCCACATACTCCACCTGCAAGGTTAGAAAAGATTGGAATCAGAGCACTGTCTCTAACATCGTGTTTCTAAGTGATCCTTTGCACATGCTCGAGTCCGTACGTCTGTGCAAACAGCACGGAGTCAAGACCGGCGCCCATCCGGGTCTTCCAGACGTGCAGGGGTTCGGCCGCCGTGAGATGAAGCTGGCGCCAGAGGAGCACACGGCCAACATCATCTACCAAGTCGGCGCACTCAAGGCCTTCCTCGACGCCGAGGGCATGGAGCTGCACCACGTCAAGCCCCACGGCATCCTCTACGGCATGATGTGTCGCGACCCAGAGGTCTGCAAAGCCGTCTGGGCCGGCGTGCCGAAGGGTATCAAAGTGTTTGGCCTGGCCGGGACGCACATGGAGAAGGTCGCCAACGAGATGGGCATTGAGTTTGTGGCAGAATTCTACGGGGACGTCAAGTATACTGCCGAGGGAGCTTTGGTGATCGACCGGAAGAAGAAGCCGTGGAAGGTCGAGGATGTGAAGAAGCACGTACGTCAGCAAGTTGAAGACTCGGCGGTAACGGCTGTCACGGGCGAGGTGGTGCATCTGCCGACGAAGGACTACGCCGTCTCCCTGTGCTGTCACTCGGACTCGCCGGGCTGTGTCGAGATTGTCACGGCGGCTCGGCAGGTGGTGGATGAGTACAATAAGGCCAACGGCTTTGCATAGAGAAATGCGGCAGAAGGTCAAGTACCACTCAAGGACATGATACAGCACAAAACTAGTAAGTATGAGACACATTTATTCTCGAACCCGTGATAGGATGAGACTGGGATGTCTTTGAGCTCCAGACAGAGCTCAGTCCGAATACTTTGTCTGCTTTTCATTTCTTGACCCAGTGGCGTACACACCCAGGCCGACATATGTGACAAAATGCACAACTACGGGGGTACTGTCCAACGAGAACGCGAATGTGGCAGTGAATGGGGGGTACTTACCGTACGTGCGTCTTTAAAAACGGTGCCCTCTGGTGCCCCTTCTGCAGTCAAGTTGTAGCTATACGCCCGCTTTGGATCCAAATATCGCACATTTGCAGCCCCCATGTTTACCTTCCACATACAGGGACTGTGAGGCTGCGAAACCCGGATTACGTACGCCCAATTTTAAGAGGATTGTGACGCGACCGAGGATCTACGACCCCCTATTGAGTTGGCAGAACCGGTCAGATTTTTCCTTGCACGCAGATGTGTGCTTTTTCATCCAACAGCATCGTTTCTTGAGGAGAAGAAGAGGAAGGCTCACAATCGCCTACATGCTGTCAATATAATGCAAAGACTTTACCAACATGCATGAGGAAATGCAAGTCGAAAAGAGCTGCCTAATTAAGGGCACTAGCGCTCAGGATTCGCCCCGTCTTAAAGGTAGACTTGATACATCAGCGGTGATATGCAAATACATAATTGATGCGCCAGAACTTCAACCACTGCTTGAACTTTCTTCTTCTTGAACGTGTGAATCAGACCGAACCACTTCACACCAAGCTTTAGAGACATCGACCATGACCGACAAGGAGCTCTTCAACCTGGAAGAGATGTGGGAGCAGGCCGAGGCTAGGTTCAACAGCCGTACCGGAACTCCCCTGCATCTGAAGTGTGCGACTTGGAAGCAATTCATTGAGGAAATCAAGAAGATGCGTGATTCAGACACATCCTCAGCTCCCAATGATAGATTGGAAAGGGCTAAAGAATCCGGCGTCAAGAGGGTTCATTGCTTGAGACTGGTCGGTGGTGTGGCCGCCAGAGCCGGGAGTTTGGTATGCTCGCAGGTGCTCTGTCTTTGCGAAACCTCCAATCTGGTGCTGACCCTACGCAGGTCTCTGGCCCATCCGAGACGTGCTTCAACGCCCTTGGTGTTCTGCTGGATATTGCATTGAAGATCCGCGATTTCCACAAGACAGTGGCTACAATGTTTGAGGTCTTGGGGCCAGCGCTGTCGGTGTACGAGATATACAAGGACAAGGACAAATTCGACAATATTCACCCAGCAGTAGACCGAGCAGTCCACGACATCATGATAAGCTTCGTCGACATCTGTGGCTTATACCAAAAGCTTCATGGGAATAAGTCGAAAGCGAAAAGCTTTTGGACCGATTTCAAGGCTGCGATTCTAAATGACGACTCCGGTGTGGGTAGCGAGATGGAGAGATTCAAAACGTTGACCCAAGTCCATAGAGATGTCGAGGTAACACAGACTCTCAACGAGGTTTTGGAAACCAACGACCTTGCCGCCAATATGCTTCTGCAATTCACAGGTTTTCAACACGACGTGTCCATCCTGAGAAATTCAGATGAGGAGCGGATGTTGCAAAAAAGACATCAACAACATCTGACGGTGATCAAGGATAAGCTCGGATGGAACGAAAGCGCAAGCAAGCAGTCCGAAGCGACCCCGAAGAAGAAATTAGACAACATCCCTGACGGAACAGCAAACTGGTTCAGGACCGAAGAACAATTTCTTGCATGGATGAAAACGAAACCCGTAGGTGAGACGCAGTCTCGGCCACTCTTCGTATTGGGAGGTCCTGAAGACACCGGAAAGTCTGTTCTCATGTCGGCTATCCTCCGGCATTCACAAACCACGCCACGTACCAACAGTCCACTGCGCAACCTGGTCGCTGGGTACTTTTTCCCTCCGTCGTCTGGCACCAAAGATGAGGACAGGCACCCAGTCAGAACAGCTCTCAAATGCATCGCAGTACAGCTGGCAGGGCAAGACAGTGTCTTTGCAAGGACCTTACGTCAAAGATGTGATGATCAAGCTGTTATTGACGACGTTATCAGAAACGGAACGTACCAGCAACTCTGGGCCTTTCTCGGCATCGGGATCCCTAAAGACAATACGGCGCATTACATCATCATTGACGGCTTTGCAAGCCTTTCCAAAGAAAAGGAGTGCGAAGAGCAGATGAACCAGTTGTTTGGTATCTTGGGCACGCAACTCGAATCCGATAGGAGAGTACGAGTGGCAATCTCGGTGAGGTCGACCATGATGTCACTCATGCCAGATCACACGAAACGGAGTTCATTCGTGGTGGACATCGTCCAGAAGAGCGCAAAAGATATTCAAAAGCTCACCTATGACCAACTGAAGGAAAAGGACCTATTCCAGGATGAAGAACATCGAGAGATACGAGACTTGGTCGATCAGATCGCAGCTAAAGTTCAAGATGATTTCAGCAATATCGTTACTGTTGTGGAACAGGTCAACAAACTCGTCGATTCATGCGAATCCAGGGAAGACATCAAAAAAGCCCTCAAGCCTTGCAGCACCGAGTTAAGTGCCTTATCTGATGCAATCAGACGGCTGGAAACTGAACTTGGAGCCAAAGAAATCGATGAACTGCAGGAGCTTTTGCGATGGACAATGTTTGGTCGACAGAAATATTGCTCACTAGACGAGTTGAATGGAGCATTGGTGCGCATCAATCTATCTGGTTTTTGGTAGGCTTTTGCTAACACAAGGTCCCAGTGGCTCAAGTTTGGGACCGCAAACACACGCAAGACGCAAAAGAAGATGGCAGCCAAGGGCAGGTACTCCGACATCTTTACTCTCGACGAGGACCAGGACGTCTGGACCAAGAATAATATGCGCGAGCTACTTCGGCGCCCTGAAAGACAACTTGGAACTGATGAGACACCGAAGATCACGGCCAGCTTTGAAATCACCAAAGGGGGCCTGCAAAGCGTGCAGACGTTCTGTTGGAGCCTATCCCAGCAAGTGGCTCGACTGAGCTTCAACTTCGATCAGGCCGCTCTTGCGGCGGGAAATGTTCGAAAGAGCTTCCGACTCAATGAGGTCGATGCCAATATATCCATGCTCCGTTCCACATTCAAAATCCTTGGGGCAAAACCAAATCCAAGGACGCAGCCGCTTGGCAGATATGCAATGGCCTATTTACCACAGCATATTGAACGTCTTGGAGATGTAGACCAATTGGAACGACAGGAAAAGATCGACATAGCAATGGGATTGTATCGAATCTTCGTGTCCGGAACGTCGTGGACACACATTGGGAAATTACTGACAGCTCAGATCTGTGGTGGCATAGTGACGACAAGGAAATCACAACAATACGGGAATTCATCCGCAAACAGCCTATCCTCGACAACTTGGACATCAAAGACCAAGAGTGGTTGGTGGATGGCGTGGTCGAGCAGGATGAAGTTGAAGTGATGCTCGGGGAGCTCAGGAGACACCCAGCAGAGGAAGCAGGAAAAGGACGCGGATCTACCATCACCACCCAATTCAGAAGACCCCACACGCGAAAGGCTACGCAAAGCATGCAGCAAACTGCGAAGCCCCAAAAACCACAGCCTTTAGGAGATGGACTGCCACACCTGCGGTGAAACTTGGGATTTCTAAAACGACTTCTACCGCTGCAAGTACTGCCGCAACAGGATGCTTTGCCAACGCTGTCACGAAAGCTTCAAGGAGGAACCATTTGCCTCGAACCTGAAATGGGTGGAGGAGCTGGCGTGTCAGAAGGACCACGACTGGCTTTTCCTGCCGAAATGGACCAGAGAAGCATACATGGCAAGCTTAGCCGGCAAGGTGGTGACTGGAGGTCGCGTGGACAACAAAGTGCGCGCGTCTGTGGTGAGCTTGTGCTCGTATCCGACTGGTTGAACGGAATGAAAAAGGAATGGGGCTGGCCAACGCAAGATGTGTCGGAGGAAGAAGAATGATGTTGCTGGGTATTTGTGTGGAGTTTCTTTCCCCCTTGTGGAAAAGGGTCGACATGAAATGCTTTTGAAATGAAACCGAGTACTTCCCCAGGAGCCGAATAAAATGCAAAATCGTCAAGATCTCAGGAAAAGTAACTACAATAAAACACGCGGTGCGAGATTCGTTATATCCTGCCGTATCGGCGTGCACCTGGAGGGAAACCTCCACTCTAGTCCTGCACCAGTTGCATGGTAGTCAAGTGGGGACAGAGGTGCGCTTCCAACACACGGAATAGATCTATTTTCTGGAATCTATTTCACCTAGCTCTAAGATTCGCTCTCTCTGTCTAATTCAGATGGTGAATTGCCGGCGTCGTCGGTGTAGCACGAATCAACTCGTCTTCGCTCGGTGGCGGCGAAAGCTGCTCGACCTGCCGCTTCGACCGCCAATGCACCGTGCCGTACCTGTACAGCTCCCCATACGTTCCCGGTCTGTGGTCTGCATCCTTGAGACCGTCCCTCTTTATCAAGTCTCCCAGCGCAGGCAGACCTCCTGCTGAGTTGTGGTAGACTTTGTACATGTGGCTGTTCTCCAGCATGTCGACCACAAATCTCTCAGCAGCAGCCCTCTTCTCCATGCAGGGCTCGTCAAGACGGGTCGTGAAGTACTCGACCTGCCTCGCGCCGTCGTAGTCCGTCTTGATTGCTCCGAGAACGCCATTCTGGATACCCTCGACCATGAAAGCCCTCTTCTCAAAGACCTCACGCCCATTCCAGCTCGTTTCAACGTCGAGGAGGTTTCTTGTCCGGTCGCCAATGAGCATGTGGGCCACATAGTCGCTCATCTCGAGGACCTTGTCCTCAAAGTTCCAGTCTGACATGCCGTCGGCGATACCGATTTCCTGGACCAAGGGATGCTTATGGAAGCCACGTTCGTTGGTGCGTCCGTTCCACAGCTCCTTGTACCCGTTGTGCCAATTCTTGATGAAGAGGGAGCCCTTTCTCGCGGCCAGCATGAAGTTTCCGAAGCTGCCCCATTTCTTCCTGATCTGGCCGGTGATGATCCACAGTCCGACCTCATATGAATCCGAGCTCGAGAGCGAGTTCCAAAAGAGGTCATCAAGGTGAGTGTGCAGCATGTTCCCGACGTCCATCCAGACGCCGCCGTGCTCGAATAGCAAGGGGAGGCGTATCAGATCTGACGTGTGTTGGGCCTTGTGACCTCCGTCCATGGAATTGTTGATGACACAATCCGGGAACCAGGATTTGTCGACAAAATTGTAGATGTTATTGGGTGAACCGTCGACGAGGTCGACGACGCGGACCGTCCAGCTAGGGCCAAGCTTTCGCACCCAATTCAGGACGGTGCATCGGTAGCTGGGGTACATTGCGTCGAGGCCCTTGTCCCAGAAGGCCCATACGTTCTTCTCCGATGTGACGGGTCGGAACGAGCCGAGCTCGGCGATGATGTCTGTGTCAGACCGTAGGTCAAGTTGGGATCGCGGTACCTCTTCGAGGCTAGTTGCTCCTTTTGGGATAAGAAAGTACAGCATGTTGATGGAATTACTGCTTCTTTGTGAATGGTTGGTGTTGGATGTTCTTCTTTGGATGCTCTCATGGTCAAGAATTCTTTGCTCTCTGGGCGACGCTTCTTATATCCTTAGACGTCTATACTTCAGGAAGACCAGATGTTGCTGCTGATGTAACCAAGGGCCGCACATTCCTTTCACTCGCACTTCGCCGGTCTTGTTTTGGAATAGCGGCGATGAATCATCTCAGCTCATACCACAACGGCACTGGCCGATCAGGGGTAATCGATGTTGGCTTGGCGCTAGTGACGGGGAGGAGGCGCTAGTGCGGTTGGATGGGATCTGTGCTGAGTTATGGTCTCTGACCGTTGTGGCAGTGTGCGTTACCACAGCCACAAGAGTCCAACACTTCACATTATGGCTCATCGTACATTTGGACCAGCTTCAGAAAAAAAAAAAAAAAAGAAAAAAAAAATTTACGACTAAAGGAATGGCATGCTTATGAACTCAGTCAATGTGGCATCTTAAGGACTGCAATGTCGAGGTACATAAGCCTGATTTCCCGCACAATATGGACGGACAGAAGAGACGGACAGAACAGCATCTCACCAGAACGCAACAAGTTCAATTTAGTTGGCCGTCAAAGTCTCATCTTATAAAAATACACCATGATTTACACGAAACCCAAGTCAGATTACGTCGATCTCGACACAAACTTTCAACCGCTTCCCAAGTACGGCCGCCTCTCTCAGAAGCATCCTGCCTACGAGTCCGCCGAAGAAGCCATCGCCGCCGGATTCTCACAACTCTACTCCCTGCCAGATTTTGTGAGTTTTCGAGGAGCTGCCGGCGACGCCGATGCAACCATCCCTCCTGGTGGGCCCGACCGGTATCGAGACGTCACCACCCAGCTCATGTACTTCACAACTCGGGACGGCCACAAGGCGGAGCTCAAAATTTACAAGTCGCCCAATGTTGAGCCAAATGCGGTCCTGATGTATCGTATGCATGGAGGTGGTGAGTAAACTGCAACATTTTGACTATATTGCTTGAAACAGGGAGACCAGGTTCACTGACCCTCCTTTCCCCAGCCTGGTGTGTGGGACGCCATGAGGTTGATGGTGCCGAGAATGTTTACGCTGCCACGAATAAGAATATCGTCGTTGTCAGCGTCGACTATCGATTGTAAGTATAGGTCGATGCGTTTGCGGCCTTGGGAATTGACTATTCCTGCTAACCCATGAGTAGGGCACCAGAGCACCCGTTCCCTTGTCCGCTTAATGACAGCTACGATGGCCTTTTGTGGGTGAGTTGTACAAATGAACACATTTAAGTAAACCATATTGCGATCTAACAATTTTCTTCTTCTTCCTTAGTGTAAAGAAAACGCAACTTTGCTAGGAGTAGACCCGGAAAGAATTATCCTTAGCGGTTCCAGCGCGGGAGCCAACCTTGTGAGACATGATTACACTAAGTCGTCCCTTGTGGACCCAACCGCTAATTTTCTTCAGGCCACTGCCTTGGCTATCGAGTGCAGAGACAACGGTGTCACCGGCGTGATTGCTCAGGTCCTCCATTTCCCGGCGACCTGCCACCCCAAATTCTTTCCCAAGGATACATACGAGTTCGGGAGCTACATTCAGAACTGCGAAAATCCAGTCCTCAGCACGCTGAGGTATGAGGCGTGTCTCGACATATACATCCCAGACGCCGTTCCCGACCATCGTCATTCGCCACTTGTTGCAAAGTCACTGAAAGGCTTGCCACCAACATGTGCGTACCCACCAAACCCTTTCCAGACGGATCAATGACCTGACTCATCGATAACATAGTGATACAATGCGCAGGGTTTGATATTTTGCGGGACGATGCCTTTGCCTATGCAGAAGCTCTGCAGGCTGCGGGTGTGAATGTCGAAGTTTTCGGTTATCAAGGGTTGCCACACTGCTTTCCAGTTATTCTGGAAACAATATCTGAGACTTCTAACTTCTACGAAAGGTATCAAAGGTTTCTGAAGGAGCATTCGACGACTCGAATAAAGACACATAACTAGTAGCATCATATTCTAGGAATTGAGTCGTTTTACCAGACGAGAAAAAATCATCGTCTTCAGATCAGATAAAGCGGAGTTGGCTATGTATGCAAAGCTAATTGGATATATAATTGACTGGAATACGTGTTGCTAGCACAGCGCATTTTTCACGGTTAGCCCAAGAGTAGCATTCCTACTTATTTCAGTTCATTTTAAAGAGGTTGGTGGTAAGCTTGATTAATAGGGGAGGGGATTGGCTGTTAAATTCGATTCTCTTTTCTTGCGCAAGTGCGAGCTCAGTTCGTGCCCACCTGCGACATTCCAGGCACGCTGTCGTGAGACAGCGCTGAGCAAGACACCTCCAACAGTTTCAACCCCCTTAGAATCCTGTTTGAGCCCAGCAAAGCAATTTTGCGAGGGTCAGAGCCTCAAAGGTAGTACGGCAGGATGCCCATATTGGTACCAAATTCCGCAGGAGGGAGGGCATCCGTCTCGGGGTTACACAGCATACAGCCTGCTGTTGCTTATCAACGAGTCCTGACGAATGGAGCCACACACATATTGTGGGGTGCCATTTTTCTCGGCTGGCTGTACGACATGTGTAAGCAGACTGCCCTTCTGTCTAACACATGTATGCGTCCTTTTGGATCTCTCTGACCACCGAACCAATCTAAACCAACGAAGGCGCGGTAACACAGGAAAGTTGACATGGTCATGAAGAGATCTGACCTCCCCAATGGGGGCTCGCCGCCCCCACCACCACCTACTCCTTCCCGAGGAATTTGCCACATTGATGTTTCCTCTGCGGCCGATGCCGAACCACTCATAGAGTCGTGTACTGGACAAGCAAATGCCGTACTTCCAGACGTGGAGGTTTTAGGAGGCTTCCCCGCCCGCGGGCATCCCATCTACGCTGGTTTACATCTGTGCCTCGTGGTGAGCGCACTGACATTTGATGGCCGGGGACTGGAGACTTTGAAGATCTCAAATTGTTTCTGACCTCCCGTCAATTGGGCCAACGGTGCTTTAGTTACAGTTGCACAACCGCGTCTAGGTTCCCTGGCCTGGGGTTTGTGCCATCCGTGGGGCCGTTTCGTCGAGCACAAGGGAACCGCCTATTGAGCAAGACTAAGCAGGCATAGACGGGGCCCCAGATACCCCTTTGCCATTATTACTTGTGCTCTGCGCGACCTTGAAGGTTAGAAACTAGTTTCCTCTGTTGTTTCTGCTGCTCGATATGACCCTGCACTCTGATACGAAATAACTAATTTGTGCGCTTCAGCCTTCTAATGACCACTAGCAGTTCTCCCTCGACGATATCAACTCTGCGGACTGACTCTCAGCCACCAGGGTCGGCACTGACCACAAGATGTCGTCCGGCCCACGCGTAAGAGGGGACCCGTGGCTGATCCAGGTACTCACACCTGTCGCCATACTAGTCACTGCCGTCGTCGCCGTCCGCTTTTCTCTGCGGTTTTCGAGGCGGGCAGGCTTCTGGCTCGACGACTGGTTCATCCTCGCCTCGTTGGTTCTTGCGTGAGGCATGTATACCATATCCGTCCTAAGCGAGGAATTAGCAGGCATTGGGACGCCCTTCAGCGTCAATATGACTACTGATCCAACCATGACTTGGTTGGGACACCTTCTCAAGGTAAATAAGGGGCCTAAAGAATATCCTAGGCAGATATTGAGACCAGTGGAGAATGAAGAAAAGGAACTAAAACGACTAGCTAACCAGCGCCTACGCACACAGCTCCTCTACGCCGCCCAGATCATCTACGCCGGCGCCATCATGACAGCCAAACTCAGCATCCTCGCGCTGTACTGGCGTCTATTCCCGACCCCCTTCATGAAGTGCAGCTGCGTCGTCCTCGCCGTGCTGACGGCCATGTGGTGCGTCGCGGGCGTGCTGGTCGACATCTTCCAGTGCACGCCGGTCGGCAAGGCCTTTGCGACGTCACTCACGAGCGACGGCGGCCGCTGCATCTCCCAGACGGGATACTGCCTCGGCATGATCATCCCCAACATCCTGATCGACGTCATGATCCTCTGCCTGCCGACCTTCGAGGTCTCGAAGCTGCACCTGCCGCGCGGCCAGAGGTGCGCCCTGGCTAGCGTGTTCCTCCTCGGAGCGGGTGTCACCTCGGCCGGCGGCGTGAGGATGTACTACCACCTCGAGCTGGTGGAATCGGGGACGGGCGGGGACTTTGACTTTACCAGTGAGTTTTCAGGCTCTTGAGGCTTTTCCCCGCCCCAACGGAAGGACATGGTACTACTACACGGGGAAGTCGGCTGCTAATGATACCCGGATGGGGACCTAGTGGCCCTGTTTAACCCGCAGCTGTGGATGACTCTCGAGCCCGACATGGCCATCATCTGCGCCTGCCTGCCCGTCATGCGGCCACTGGTGACGATGCTCCTGGCCTCGCCGCTCTACCTTTCCATCACCTCGTACCTCACTGCCGGCTCGAGCACAGGCAGTAGCGCCAACAATGGCAAGCTCGCCGCCTCGAACACGATCGGCGGGTCGTCGGCGGCCCCGAGCAGTGCGGCGCGGGGCGGCGCCGGGGACAACAACACCGATTACCGGGCGAGCAACCACCACGAGCACCCTTCCGAGTACGCGCTGTCGTTGTTCGACTCGTTGGAGTATCTGAGAGACGAGGACGTGGAGGCCGGGCGGCTCGTGCGACGGGACGCCGGAGTCTGGCCCTCGCAACGGGACAGTAGCATCGGGTGCCAGACCCAGGTCAGCAGAAGCGAGAGTATAGGACCCGATGACATCCCCCTGGGCGCGATCTCGGTCAAGACTGTTGTGGATTGTCGTGAGACGACAAGTAGTCCTCCCATGAGGGGCTAACTGAGCCAGCCGCGGATACAAAATCATTATTAATACCATTTTACGTACCATGGATACAATTTCCATTGCCTTCGCATTAGCATGCTACTGAGATTAAAGGTTATCAGCACGCCTTCGGGACTCCGAACTGGGGACGGATCAAGAGAAACCTAATGCAGAACGTCCATTGACTCATTAATTGCATCACTACTGCCCCTTATCAAGATTGTTCATCCAGCGGGGTCTGGGCACAATTACATATCGGCCGCTGGAACATGCGACTGTTCCGATTAATGTCTTCTACAATCTAAGAATCAATCATCGGTAGTTTACTACTGTTATTCATCACAAAAAAAAAAAAAAAAAAAAAAAAAAAAAAAAGAAAACCCTACTACTGCCTACTCTATGTCGGTAGAAGAAGCTCCAGCTTTTCCTCAAGCATAGCTCGCTCCGTCCAAGGGAAGGCCATTGTTATGGACTGATAAAAGGGGGGCGAATGCAGCTGAGTGCGTTAAGTGAACAGTGGAATTACACACGTGCCAGAATTAAAGTTCATCCTTGAACAGTCTAAATGGTTCGAGAGATAAAGCTCATGTGGGGCATTATCTGGATCAAAGCAGGAAGTGCTGCCGGACACCTAGTGGCTCTCAAACCTTCCCCGCCTTCCCAGGCATAATAGCTTTAACTCTTATCTCCTCCACCCGTCCCTCTCGGCTACACATGCCAATCATGGCAATGAAGCTATCTCAGGGCTATGACGCAGGTGGGTTTTTGGGGTTCGTCCAAGCTGGATGCTGCGGGGAAACCCTCGAAGTTGGTTGGAGATGGTGGTCCCCTCCGACCGAAGTCTCGGGACCCGCATCAGGAACCATATATCGTACGTAGGGTGGTGTCGTGTGCCGGTGGAAGACTAATCTTGTTCATGAATTTCCAACCTTGGCCGTCTTGCTGGCTGCATGCTGGAGCTTGTCTGCCGCCTGTAAAACACCTACAACCAGATAGTTTGCGAGAATGGAACAACTCAACACACTCCTGATAGCCAACCGAGGGGAGATAGCAGTCCGTATCATCAAGACAGCCAGGCAAGTTCACACATGAGTGGCACTTTAAACCATGTATTCATTGTTCCTCTCCCTCGGACTAGCTAACGCTCCCTTCTCAGACGCCTTCGCATCAAGACCGTAGCCATCTACACCGAGCCAGATTCTGCATCGCAACACGTCGCCGAAGCAGATATTTCCTATCTCCTCGACGGGGACGCCACGAGGGCCTACCTAGACGGTGACCAGATCGTGCAGAAAGCCAGAACTGCCGGCGCACAGGCTATCATCCCGGGATATGGGTTCCTGTCCGAGGATGCCGGCTTCGCCCGCTCCGTCGCGGCGGCGGGGCTGCACTTCGGGGGCCCCAGCCCAGAGAGCATCGAGCAGTTCGGGCTGAAACACACGGCGCGCGAGCTGGCCCTGGCCGCTGGCGTGCCTGTCGTCCCGGGCACGCAGGGGCTGCTGGACGACGCCGACGACGCCGCGCGGGCAGCGGACGGGCTTGGCTATCCCGTGATGCTCAAGTCGACGGCCGGAGGGGGCGGGATGGGACTGCAGACATGTGGGGATGAGAGCGGGCTGAGGAAGGCGTTCCAGACGGTGCAATCCCGTGGCGCGGCCCTTTTCAAGAACTCAGGTGTGTTCCTGGAGAAGTACTACCCTGCTGCTCATCATATCGAGGTACAAGTCTTTGGCAACGGCCAGGGAAAGGTCGCGGCGCTCGGCGAGAGGGAATGTAGTATCCAGCGCAGGCATCAGAAGGTGATAGAGGAATGTCCCAGCCCGTTTGTCGCGCAGAAGCGGCCAGATCTGCGGAAGCAACTCTGTGCTGCTGCGGTGTCGTTGGCAGAGTCTGTCAAGTATGCAAGTGCAGGGACTCTTGAGTTTTTAGTGGACGACGAGAGCGGTGCCTTCTTCTTTCTGGAGATGAACACCAGATTGCAAGTGGAGCATGGTGTAACGGAGATGGTGTATGGAGTCGACCTAGTGGAGTTGATGCTTCGCCAGGTTGACACACAAATGGCAGGCAAGGGAGGGCTAGAGGAAGTCGAGTTGGATCACATCTCAAGATCATGTCAAGAGCCGAAGGGACATGCGATCGAAGTGCGAGTCTATGCCGAAAATCCTGCTAGAGACTACGCCCCCTCTCCGGGACTCTTGCAGGAGGTCATCTTCCATGAGCTTCCAGGAACACGTATTGATGGCTGTGTTCGAGCTGGAATTACGATCAGTCCACATTATGGTGAGTTGGAGCAAGCCTTTCCACGTACCGAGTTGCTGACGATTTGCCCCAGACCCATTGTTGGCGAAAGTGCTCCAGCATGCCGAAAGCAGATCGCAGGCTGTCGAGGAGCTTCAGACGGTGCTCTCAAAGTCATCCATATGCGGCCCCCCTACGAATCTCGACTTCCTCCTTGCAATTCTCAAGTCTCCAGAATTCGATGCTGGAAACACGATCACGCAGTTCCTTTCCACCTTTGTGTTTCGCCCTCCGGCGATAGACGTGCTGGTTGGAGGCTCCTATACCCTCGTCGAAGACTTTCCAGGTCGCCCAACCATAGGGAGAGGCTTCGGGCACGGGGGTCCGATGGATCCAATATCTTTTCAAATCGCCAACGCTCTTGTTGCTAACCCTCTTGGAAAAGAGGGCCTGGAAATCACCCTCACCGGCCCAGACCTCAGGTTCCTGGCGGATGCTGTCGTATCTCTTACAGGTGCAGCCATCTCCGCCACACTCGATGGCAAGGAATTTCCCATGTGGCGGAGGGTGAGAATATCTGCAGGGCAGCGCCTGACTATCGGGAAGACCTTGTCCAACGCCGGATGCAGGTCTTACCTTGCGGTCTATGGTGGCTTCCTGAATGTTGCAGAGTGGTTTGGATCCAAGGCAACCGTACCACTGACACTGGTCGGTGGGTATCAAGGTCGTCCGATAGCCACGGTCAGTTATCTACTCCACTAACTTCAAACTCAAAGCCTCGAATAATTAGTGAGGACTGACACACAGGGCTTGACAGGGAGACATTCTTCGCATCGTGGATACACTTCCCCCAGAACCAGAGACAAGTTTACCCAGGGAAATACCCGACAGCATTTTGCCCAAACACCAGGAGCACTGGGTTGTGCATGTCATGCACGGGCCATACTGCGAGGGATTCCTATCCCCTGAGGATATCGAAATGTTCTACAACACAAATTGGGAGGTCTCACACAATGCGGCTCGAGGTGGCATCAGACTCATTGGGCCACGTCCGAGATGGGCGAGGACGTCGGGCGGAGAAGGCGGCTCGCACCCAAGCAATGTCATCGAGTACGGCTACCCCATCGGAGGCGTCAACTTTACTGGAGACGAACCAGTCATCTTCCCAAACGACTGCCCTGATTTCGGAGGCTTTGTCTGTCCGTTCACTGTCGTGAAGGCGGACTACTGGAAGGTCGGTCAGCTTCGCGCCGGCAACACGGTCAAGTTCGTCGCCGTGTCCCTGGAGGATGCTCTCTGGTCGCGGAAAGCAAACGAGGCCTTTGTCGACAGCATTGCCAAGTGGCTGGCTTCCGGTTCATACGAGGCAGTGCAAAGGCTCGACGCCACGCCGATCCTAGAGGCACCTTCGTCGGTCCAGCCGGCAGTCATCAGGCTCACCGAGGCAACACCCAGCAGGCCACGCATCGCCTACCGCCAGGGGGGTGATGACTACTTGATGCTGGATTACGGTGAGTTGATGGCACTTAGACATCCGGAAGAGACACACACTGTAGTCTCTGACCCCTTGTTCTGCAGGAAATGGTTCTTTTGACATCAACCACAAATGTCGCATCACAGCACTCAAGCGCAAACTCGAAGCCGGCACCGGTCCCATCCGCTTTTCCCCTACTGGTGAGGGCATCTACAACACGGTCTGCGTCGGCAACTCCATGATGATCTACTACAACGGGCTGGCCATCCCCCAGTCCCAGCTCCTAGACTACCTCGCCGCCCTGGAGGACGAGCTCGGCGACCTGGGCTCCATCACGATGCCCAACCGCACGTTCAGGCTGCCGCTGACCTTCGCGCACCCCCGGCTGAAGGAGTCCATCGAGCGGTACATGGCGAACCAGAGGCCGTACGCGAGCTACCTGCCCGACAACTTCAACTTCGTCGCCGAGAACAACGGCATCACGCCGGAGGAGTTCCGCAGGCTCTGGCTGACGGCCGAGTTTGTGTGCATCGGCGTGGGCTTCTTCATGGCCCTCCCCTTGGGCCTGCCGGCTGACCCGCGTCATCGCCTCAACAGCCCCAAGATGAACCCATCCAGGACATTCACCCCAGAAGGGACGGTGTCCTGGGGTGGATCGTGTCTTGCTATTTATCCGGTTGACAGCCCCGGCGGGTACATGCTGAATGGTTTGACTCTTCCTTCTTGTGACAAGCTAGGGTACAAGAAGGGTTTCTCGCGGCAACGGCCCTGGCTGTACGAGGACATGGACGTCATTACCTTTTACGAGGTGAGCGAGGAGGAGTATGACCGTGAGATGGCATTATTTAGGAGCGGACGATACGAGTTCGAGGTCGAGTCCACGACCTTTGACATGAAACGACATAATGAGCTGCTGGACAGCGTCAAGGACGAGGTTGACGCTATCAAGAAGACGCAGGAGGAGGCCCAAGAGAAGATGGTGAAGCTTGAGAAAGAGCTCCTGGCTAAGTGGGACGAGGAGAAGAAGGCCAGCGGTGTGTCCATGGAAAGCATACAAGACTTGCTGGATGGTGAGTACAACCCTGTGGCGTCATTCCCGATTGGCCGAGTGCTAATATCAAGCGAAGATCCAAATATCGAGGCCATTGAAGCACCTGTCAACGCAAATGTGTGGAAGGTGCTCGTAGAGGAGGGGCAGGTGCTTGAAAAGGGCCAAGTTGTCACAATCCTGGAGGCGATGAAAATGGAGATCAATGTCGCTGTTGATGATCGCTTCGTGGGCTCAAAGATTGAGAAGGTGCTGATCCAGCCGAATGATATAGTCCAAAGTGGAAAACCCCTTGTCTTGGTCAGAACTTCTTGGTCAGAACTGGACGCTGAATAATCGAAGTCTTGCACAATGATTTGCGAATATTTGAAGAAAGTTAAACGTGGAATTACAACACAGTATCTTAGTTCAGAGTCAAATCTCCAATCACGGGCCTGTGATCGCTAATCTTGACCCCGCTCACAAGGTTACCCAGGGTCTTGTACCCGTTCACCGAGAACCGGTTCTTGCCCTGGGGGCCGATCCAGATGTAGTCGATGCGCGAGTTGTACTCGTCGTTGAACCCGGTGTAGGTCCCCGCCTCCCCGGTGCGCTGGCCGCTCGACGCGAGCTTGTACAGGTCCTCGACGTACCTCTCGCCCACGAGGGTCGTGTACGCGCCGTCCGCCTCCCCGGCGTTGAAGTCGCCGGTGAGCGCCACCGGCAGGTCCGGGCCGAACCGCGCGTCGACGGCCTTGATCCTGTCCACCGCCACGCCGATCTGGTTGGTCCGCGCCTCGCCGCTCGCGTTGTCCAGGTGCGTGTTGGCGTGGATGAACCGCCTGCCCGTCGCCGTGTGCTTGAACACGGCGATGGTGACGATGCGGTTGCTGCCCGAGCCCCAGTCCTTGGAGGGCGTGTCCGGCGTGTTGGAGAGCCACTTCGTCTCCGAGTGCTCGACCTGGAAAACGTCCTTCCTGTAGATGATGGGGTTGAACTCCCCGCCCTTGTCTCCGTCGTCGCGACCCACGCCGATGCTTGCCCAGTCGGAGCCGAACGAGGTCATGATGTCGTTTAGTTGTTTCTCGAGCACCTCCTGCAGGCCGATGACAGCAACGTTAGAGACCTCATTAGCCTGGTCAACTATAGACTCGATGGTTAGCCTCAAGGTTGGCAAGCAAGTGACGGTACAAGTGCCTACCCAGAGTGGTAATGACACCTGGTGCGCGGCATTGTGTCGCATCGCTGGCGCATGACAGTCCAAGCCAGTACCGTTCAACATCACCAATGCTGATATCGTCGTTGGCATAGCGAATGTTGAACTGGATGACCCGGAGCGGCTGCTGGGCGCGTACGTGAGCCGCCCCGAGCAGCAGAGCAGTAAAAGTCTTTGAAAGCATCTTGGTTCCGGTGAAGGATAAAAGAGTGAATGTGGTGAGAAAGAACGAGTGAGTGTTACATCTGAAAAGAGAGGCTGAGGTCAAGAGAGAGAATTGAATTGTAGATGCACCTTCCTCTCTTATTATAATTAATCACATCTGACCTACAAGAGAGTCGGTCGTACCGCTCATGCTATCCCTCCTTGAAAGCCAATCATTGCCGTCCTGTGTTTACAGGGCTTAGCGCCTTGGCGTTGAGTCTTGGCCATGCGCACGGCTTGTAAGGCTGATGGCTTAGAGACTGCCCCAGAGCCCACATGCTGGCCCTTTCAATTACGATAAACAAGAAACACCCTAACCAGCGATCACTGAGTCAGGCACTCAGGTGGCTCACGGTTGATCCTCACCCCTATTACGGCTCATTTAACCAGCATGATGAATTCCACCCTCCTTGGTAAAGAAAATCTGCTAGCGTTTCTAAAGGCAGTTAGCGGACCTAGTTTTATCTCTTGGCTCTCCTTAGCATCCAAAGTTACTTTTAAAAAGGCATCTTACTTATTTTGAGGAATATAAAAAGTATTAGGTTGGGCCTTAAGTAGTGCTTAGGCAAGGCATATTAACCATTTGCCATGCTTAACCTTTCGCCTTAACCAGCCCTTTCTTAATTTAATTATCAGCCTAAGAAAGTAATTTTAATTGAAAGGGCGTAATATAGGTGCTTAAAGATATTAAAAATTAAAGTAGGTCTGCTAGTTACTTTTGGAAACGCTAACAGATTTTCTTTACCGAGGAGGGTGGAATTCATCATCCCGTCATTTAACGCCGTAAAAACAACCACCGCTGCCAATGCTAGTCAACATCTGACTCGCACATGCCAAAAAATCTTCAGGATAACTGGTTCCTTGTTCAAGTGACCTCAAAGCCAAGCACTGCCAACTCCATGCTCGGTGCACTAGATAATCCTCAATGCTTCCCTGTCCCACGACATCATGCCTTCGTTGATGAGGTTGATCAGCTTGAAAGATATGAAGCTGCTTCCGAAAACAAACAGGCTAGCTCTCTCGAAGGAATCCAGGTTTTGTCTAAGAAGAAGCATTCTTGCCGAAACGTACGGTTGATTGTGTGTCCTGCTGTTGCTAAGAACAACAGGGACAATGACGTACGTTCACGCAGACCGTGGAGAATAAATTCATATCGAATGTCTTCATCCAAATCGAACCTGCCATGAGAGCCCAGTCCGGATGCGTCCAATTGGCTGTTCTCTGTTATTGAAAGTGCATCCTGTGGCAGGACGTTACCTTCGAGTACAAGGACCTCAGAGTCTCGACATGCGATGTCATACCACGGTTTCCGGATACGTGGCCCATCGTTATCGACCGCCTCGAAGGATATGTCCCATAGCAGAGACTCGAGCCGCTCGTCGCTGCCGCCACGGGCTTGGCCCAGCCATCCCGCCCAAGACCACGACGGGAACGACGGTCTTCTGCGGCTCATGCTTCCATGCACATGGCTCCAGCAGAGGCCCAGTGACAACTCCTGAGATACTGCCGTTCTTGAAGTTGGCGGCGGGGTCGGGAAAGGTATCCCGCACACGCTGGAGAGGGGCATTCTCCCGTGATGTGTCAGGTCATGGCGTACGTAAAATTGCAGGACACCGCGAAAGGCGGCGGCCGAGTCGTCTGGGAATGTCATCTGACGACTGGTATATTCTTCCACTCTGCGCCAGAAGTCGTGGAGCTTGCCCCCACCTTTGATTGTGTCATCTCCATCCGTTGTCAGCCAATTCTGCAGTGATCGCGTCAACGGCCCATAGTTGTACCTTGGAAATAAACGGCCAGCATTAGCTCTGTTGTCGATCACGGAGTCTGCGAAGTACCCTTCCCGCATAGAGATGTCCAGACGTTGAATTAGTCCATCGTTCTCGTAGGTTTTCTGACATTCGAAGTACAGGCCTGTCGCAGTGAATATGACGATGCGCCTGGAAAAGAATGCTTCCTGATATGTCCAGGCCCGAGTAGCCCACTTCGACTCGTTCAATATCTGTGCCGAGTGGGATGGCCAGTGAAATACTTCGACTCCGTGTTTCGTACGAACTGGGCCCAGATCTTCTGAGCGGGGACGACTGATTCCGACGAGACCATAGTTGGCATCTCCACCGGCGCCGTCGACAATTGTCCAAGCTGCGGTGCTGTAAATCTGATCCATTATCTTGATCTGTTGGGCTTTATGCACGGTGTCATCTTGATCGATGCAATATTGGTCAACCCAAAGATAGCGATACCCAGTGGCCAGGGTAACTCTAATCGCGTCCTCGATAGCTTGTGGCAGACCAGCGGGGAGACGTGCGTCCGATTGCATTGGGGGATGGAATGCGCTTCCCCAGACTTAGCTCAACGCTACGTACAATGGTAGATCGGCCTGGTCAATGTTCTTGGCGTCTATGACTATCCTGCTCTGGCAGTCAATGAGCCTCATGTCGGGGGGGCATTCATCCAACTCGAGCTCGCCCGGGCACCAGCCATGGGATGTCTGGCAACCCTCCAACCACTGCTTCACGATGGACACGTCGACTTTCGCAGAGATGGCTCTTGGCCGAAGATCAGAGGAAATGGATAGCCCTGATGGTTTCTGGTTGCTAAGTCTTGTAACGTCCGGGTGCAACTTGTGGTTTATTCCATGTATCTGTCGACCATTGATGATGACAGGATCCATGCCGTAGGCCTCATCGCCGTCTATATCCGGACCGACAAGAAGAAAATTGCGATCTAAGCCCATGCCCGTCTCCTGAAAACAGTACTGCGCCGAAAAGGCATAAAAAATTGATTATGCTACTCCTGAACGGGCTCGAGAGAATATGGAGGTCTCCATATTTCCTGTGTCGGTCGATCAGGTTGCACAACAGACAATCTGTAGCCCCGACAACACGAGACAGGCTTGCCAAGCGAGCTACACGCACACCGACGTCAGTCATCGGCGTGTATCGTCCCAATGATCCGGCTCGTTGGGCTAGCGCGTTCCGCTCAAATGAAAGATTCCTGCCAGCCATGGAGAGATCCAATTGCCGAAATTGTGCGCATAAGCGCGTGCCGGCAGATGTCGACTTTCGGTTCGTGACCTCCGCCATACTGCAGGGCACACGCGCCTGTGGCATGCAGCTTCAATGTTGGGCGGGAGATGAGTCCAGTGGTGACTGGCTAATGCCCCTGCATGCATGGCTTGATTCGAGGCTGATTCGTTGAGCATGACATTGTTTGCGTTATTTTGTGAGATGGACCTCGGGAGCTCTTTCTCTTTGGGTGATGTTTTATACAATCTGCATCTGCGTGCATACGCGAAAGATCAGATCTTCATGAGATGAGGGGCAGTACATATCCATGATCAATGCTTAGGTAAGCAAGCAGAGTTGCGTCCTCACACTTCGGACAACGCTGGGAACCAAAGATGGATTATCCTTAGACGCGATGAACTAATCTTTATGATTGACAGGTTGAAAGTATACCATTCAACTGGGGTCCTTTTGATTGGTCAAGGGGATCTAGACGTATACAAGTTGCCATTTGTCGAAGGTCATGTGTTCACTTCTCGCCATATAGATCGCATTCTTGGGGGCAGGAATCACCTACGCGGGAGTAATACCTAGAGGGTACCCATGAGTGGGTAAATCCTTCCCCTACGCATTCTGTATCAAGGCCAGGGACGCTGTTAGGTAGTGGACAGCTGCCAGAAGCACTTGAGTATATAATCCGGTCTTGTTATGATCTGGACTGTCTAGCCAACTATGATTTCAATATTATCCTCCTGTTATACGTATCTGGCCAGGGGCAAAGCCACGCCCATCATTCCTTTCCACGGGTCTTCTGGGCTAACATCTATGGCATGGCCACCGCACCCCACAAGCAGACTGTACTGGGACCGACGCTTCGCTCGTATCCATTCCCATGCAGGCGCGCTTCCAGTAATCGCAAGAGATTCCGTTGAGACCGGGAAATGTGGCGTGTTCAATGCCGAAGCCATGGAAAATGCATGCACGGGTTCACAAAGTGTAGCTCGACTTGTTATCCGCGTGGATCAATCGGATAATCAAGCGAGTAGGTGTTGCAGCCCAGGAACGTCGTTGCCTTGCGACGGGAGATCAACAAGTTGGACCACAGCAGAGTCAAACTCACAAGTGCCGGAATTCCTATGATTACCGCATAGATCCGGCAGAGGGCATGGGGAAGGCGAGAAGTCTCCGAACTGGTGTCAGAGACCCGGCAGCTCCTGTCGATCTGGGGGCTGGGCGCAGGGTCGGTATCTTCAGAAAGTGCAGGGCCGAAGCCGTCCTACTTTACCGAGGGATCCGATCTCAGAGTCTGATCTCCGATCCGTACGCTTTTGTGAGATATGACCAGATCGAGTGGAGATTCACAGGTTTCGTTTTCGGAGGCGATAACCGGAAGAGTCACCTTATATGACAAGATGTGACCGCGTGAAGCATGCACGAGGTAGCATCTGAGTTTGTGGGTAGCATGATACCTTGCCTGCTGCACAGCACTGCAGAGCCCGAACTTCCCTGCACACCTTCGGTGAGCCGAAGGCTAGGCCATGCATGGCCTAGTGTCGGGTGACAGTCACGTTAGGCGCGCGCCGATGGCTGGCCACGGTGCATCCAGTAGGTTTGTTCCTGGCCTGGCGGATGGCCTGGCGGACTGTTGGCTCTTCTCTCGATGTTTCATGGGCCCCAGCTAATCAGGGGCCACGCGTCAGGCACGCCATCCTGGAGGACATCTAACGCCAGCCTCCCGGAACTTGGAGCGACGAAGTATGGAATACGGGTAGCGAGCTAATCCACGCGCTCCCCGACCCGAATGCAACCTTACCTTAACCTCAGCTCTGCCCCACCAACCTGGTTAGACTTTCGCGCAGAAACAGACCAAGACGACGGTTCATTGCTTTTGCTCGACTCCCCACTCCTGACTCTCTCTCGCCCTTCTCGCTGTGAGGTCGGTTAGTGGGCCACTGCTATCGTAGTAGCGTCGAGCTTCTCGCTCATGTCAAAATTTCCCGCTCATGGTCTAGCTCAGCTCGCGTCTATTGCAACCCAACTCCTCAACCTCAAACATTAAAACGTTTGTAATAAGGGTGCGGCAGTTAATGCCGAAGTTTGCACGATGAGCTTTGACCTAGTTCACGACATACACGCGGTATATAGTCGTTCACGTATAGCCAGCTCCAATCATAATTCTGGCTAGAGTTGAGTTTGCTGGATCAATTGACCGACGTGATATTCCTCGTCATCGTTACGACGGCCAGTGTAGCTTGTCAGCAACAGCGGACAACACCGGCCTGGAATCGTCATTGGACCGTCGCCCGTCATGAAAGGAAGTCCATTCAGGGACGTCGTCAGCAAAACATTACCTCCGCCACATCCCGTCACGACTAAATCTTCATCTGAGCTGTATCCTGAATGGCTGGGCCAGCGTTACTAAACCATATTGCGTGACAGCTAGTGCAGCGAGGCAATTTGGCATTAGACTCGGAAACAAACATGTCATTCTCGGCACGTCAGCGGACCGCTCCTCGGTTGACAGCGCGAGGTTGCGGCAAAGTTTGGCTCTTTGGGATGCGTGGGGCCGGTTCCTGCAAGGTCTCGCAACGGCAAGGGGTTAGAAATGCAACTGCTATAGCTGCACATGAATATAGGAGTAATATTGTCTGTATCCTACAAGGTCACGCAAGGGCAAGGAGCTAGACGTGCAACGGCTATAGCTACATGTGAATATAGGAGTCGTATCGCCCTGAATTTCCACCTTGATTAATTTACAGTGTCTCTTCACGTCAAGGTAGATACGATGAGTCTGCAACGTTGAGAAGAACCCCGTCAGAATATATATCCACTATTAGCCATTCGTAATGCTCAGTAGCTCAGCTTCTTCCTCCTCCTTGCGTACCTACTCCCTTGATGCAGACGCTGGAGAAGCCGACGATCAAGACATACCTCGTGTAAGATCACCTGGGGGAATGTCGCTGCTGAACAAAATCTTGGCCGGGAAGTACGACTTTATGGCTCATCACCGGAAGACATCGGACCACGAGCAGCTCGGTGGCAATGCCTTCAGGCCAGAGACGAAGAGGTTGGTTGCTTGAGTTCCTGTCATCCCTTCCTCGGCTGCCAGCGCACTGTCATTTTGGACATTTGGAACACCTTGGCGGCCTCGCCACTGAATATCCCGACGGAACCTTTGGGCTGACCCACGCCTCTCTGTTTGTCTCTGTGCAGTCTTCCTGACGTACCAGAGAGCATTGAGTCTCCCGTCCCAACGAGACCCGATCGCTCCACATCGAGAGGAACTCGCTCTTTCTCTCCACACATGCGTAGCAAACGTTCAGGACTTTCGCTCCGCTCTACCGAATCGTCATATCAGACTCAGGTCACCACCCCCAGCCCCCCACCAACGGAGCTCGCGCTGCCTGCGCTGCAGGCCGCAATTGCTGAACATCCAGACGGTCTCGAGCCTCTTTGCGAGGAGGAAATCGAACCTGGCAGCTTTGACCTCGTCTTACCGGAGAACGGCGAAGACACCGGCCTGTACTCGCTCGAGGAGCGATCCGAGTTCCTATTCTCCTCGGAACACCTGAGGATATTATTTGGAGACTTCACGCTCTACCAGCGATTTGCCACTTTCATGAGCACCCATCGACCAAAATCCGTGCCCCTTCTGGTCTATTACCTGGACACCGTCAAGGCATTGGCGGCTTTCAAGTACGCCAATGCCATCAGTGAGGCGCTGGAGCCCCTGGACGCGTACGATTTCACGCGAGACAACGCCGCCGCACCAAAAACGGTGAACGAATGCCTGGAGAGGAAAGCCAATGCCGCATTCGATGTGCTGGCCCAGGAGGACCTGCCCGCTTTCATCACAAATGTGTGGATGCAGTTCGTCGAGGTTTCCATACGGAGGCGTATTGTGGGTTCCATGCCTGCTCACTTGAAGGAGTAAGTTCCTTTTACTGCCGCTTCTGGCCGTCTCTATAATTGAACGAGAAATTGCGCTGTAAACCCGGCGTTTCTGCTTCGAGAATGAGATAGATGCTAAATATGTGGGCTTGCCCAAATCTAGTATGTCGGAAGGTCTGGCCGAAACTTTCTGCCTCACCGACCCCTCCCGCCGCGACAACCCCATAATCTTCGCTTCTGAGGGTACGTATCGCGTTTCTTACAGTCTTACCAATGGATAACATGTTTTCGTGGCCAAAATAATGGCGGAATGACTTACTCTTCGTCAATAAACAGAATTCCACAGGACCACACAGTATGGCACCAAATACGTGATCGGCCGGAACTGCCGCTTCCTTCAGGGGCCCAAGACGAGTCCCTTCAGCGTCAGGCGCATAAGGGAAAAACTCGATGCTGGGAAGGAGCACTACGAAACATTCGTCAATTACAGAAGGGATGGGTCCCCGTTCATGAACCTGCTTATGTGCACCCCTTTGATGGACTCAAAGGGCAATGTACGATATTTCCTGGGTGCACAGGTGGATGTATCAGGGCTAGCCAAGGAGTGTGCTGGGCTGGATTATCTGAAGCCTTACTTCGAGACTCACTACGAAGCCGACGACGACGAACAAATTGAGGAGAGAACACCGGGGTCACAAGAAGAGGGGGAAGTCGAGCAAGAGGCCAAGGACGAGTTTCAGGAGCTGAGCGAAATGTTCAATCTGCGGGAACTGAACACTGTGCGCAAGCACGGGGGAGCGATGTACAGGGCCCTGCAGGGCCAGGAGCAGACAAACCTGTCGAGCTGGCCCAAGGAACGCGTCGTGATCGTCTCCGACTCGGACGGCGGCGGCAGCGGCGACAATGACGGCGGCGACAATGACGGCGGCGACAAGAGCAGCCCGGACGCCATCACAAGCCCCCTCGCGCCGCACAAGGCCCCCTGGGCAGCACAGGACGAGGCAAGCCTGCCGCTGCGCTCCAGGCCGTCGACCCCGGCGGACCGCAGCGCGCTCAACCGGGGCGGCAACATGCCAGGCGCGTACAGGAACTACCTACTTGTGCGGCCGTACCCGAGCCTCCGGATCCTGTTCGCCTCGCCGTCCCTGCGCATCCCGGGCATACTGCAGTCCAGCCTCATGGAGCGGATTGGAGGCTCGGGACGCGTCCGGGACCAGGTCCAACAAGCATTCGCCGAGGGGCGACGGGTCACCGCCAAGATACGCTGGATCTCCAGCCCTCGTCGGAATGTTGAGTATAGCCGTCCGAGATGGATTCACGCTACGCCTTTGCTCGGTAGCAACGGCGGGGTGGGCGTGTGGATGGTGATCATAGTCGACGAGGAGGAAGACGAGGTGGCGAGCAAGTCGATCAAACAGCAGAGGAAGCAGAGGCGGTTTGGGCTCTCAGCACCGCCGCTGGAGATTGACACATCAAGGGGAGCAACATGAGCAGAGACTAGTGGAATCATGTGGATGAAAGAAACGAAATACTAAGGAACTGGGAAGCAGCGAGAATAATCGCCGGATCTCGTTGTATTCTTTGGAAACATGGGCCCTGCGCGTATCAGCCGCCAAGGGCAAAGTCACGCGTGCTTGTGTGCGATTCGCAGTCGCGATGTAAAGTAGTACTGGTATTCCGATAACAGATCAACTCGTATTGAGGCACTTATGTCTGACCGAATATACAACCAGGGACAAGACATCCAGATGCAATGGCTTCCTCAGACTCTCGTAACCCATGCAATCCCGACCCGCACTGTATCCATTATTCGATCCAAAATTCCTACTCGACCCATGAAGTAGCGATCAGCTATTAGCTGTCGAAGAGTGGCCCATTGATATCGCGACTATATTTCTTTATCCTCGCTCAACATGAAATATGCATCCATTGTGGACATTGTGTTTCCTTTAGTTTCGACTGCAACGCCATCAACGCGTGACGGATCTTCTAAAGTCGAGCCGAGAGTAATTCTCGGTGGTCTTTGGCGCATCCTTATCAACAGACTTGAAAGCACAAGATCTGGAAAGCTCATTGGCCGGGCCGTGACGCTCATCTTCCCGAAGAGGCAAGGTAGTAGCTCCGGCCTATCTACCCATATTGTCCTGTGGATGTTCAGTTCTGTATTTATCCCATCCAGGATATTGCAATAGTGAACGAAGCGAGAGTAGAATGCTGGTGTCAGAACCCTTAGCTCTAATATGTCGTCGTTTTCTGAATCGTCGCCGTTCTCTGAACTCTCGCCATTGGAGGAGGTGAAGACTTTTTCTCTGGCCGAGTCACACGGAGAGAGTGAGACCGGGACTTGGTACAATCGGTAGGTGGTATATCACTTAGCCGGCTCTGAGTTCTTCGCGACAGGAGAAGGGGAGGTTACAGGCGTCTCGCACTATCTATTCAAAAAGCCCGACAAACCTGCATTACCCTAAGCAGCCTATCTTCATATTTTTAATACAAACGGAGATTTACGCAGGAAAAGAATAGAGAATTATAAAGGTATATAGTGCCCTTACTATACAATTAATATGCACCACCTGAATTAAGCTTCTTTGAAACCCTTTTGGACTTTTCTCCGCGAGCATGCGCATCACCAACAGTGCCCGAGCCCGGCCCCACCTTGCCCGCATTCGCCTTAACATCCCTTCTAGTCAGTAGCCTCGTCGTATTCTCTTTGCCGCTCGGACTTTGTTATTCCCCTAACATAATTGTAAATGGCAGTCACGTTACTCAGATGACTGTTCGCCGAAGTGTTGGCTTTGGGCTACTCGTGTTGACGGTTCTAATCTCCGTGCCGCTGGAAGCTAGTCTCGACTAGCCTCGTCACGAGGCTGTCTCTATTCTCTCAGCTATTATCGTATTTTGAACCTACAGCTATCTGCATTGTGTGTATTATCTAACGCTGGGTCTTTGAGCGTTTACGACTATATGAAGGGACCACCTGCAGCTCATTTCTTTTTTAAAGAGTATTGTAATCGGGTTAAGAATGAGACCAGCTGTGCCGACAAACTGTTTATTAAGGCTACGACAGCAAGAATAAGACCAAGACATAGTCGTCCGGTGTCCTAAGTTGACTGAGTATTTCGGTGCTCACATGGAACAGATCGCCGCCTGAGATTAGGCAGGGGGTAACCTACTTTCACCGTCAGTCAGTCGTCTGTACGAAATCCCTTCATGTCCTTGGCGTCTTTCGGGCTGCCAAAGTGGACGGTTGCCCTTCAAAATGGTTGGTGATGGATTTTGGAGTGCTCTACAAAATTCCATTACCCTCATCCAGACCGGAGCAACAAGCCTGTCCGCCGAATCAACAGCTCTACGCTGTAAGTGCGATGGTACCATTTATCAGTCCGAGAAGGGGCTCCAGGCAAACCAGGAGGATATTGAGGTTTGTGGGTCGAAAGATTGGACATCTGGACCTCAGGCTGACTGGAAGGGATAACGCGCCGACAAAAATTCGAATTAGTTCATGAATTTTCAAGTTGATCATGCTTGTGAAAAATGCTTGCTAGCGAGTGCCGACAACCCATCCTCTCTCGCTATAGTTTCAGTCATTTCTATACAGCGCAGAGAACTGCCTGGCGGCATGTTAGCAGCAAAGGCTAGCCTATATACCGGCTGAAAATGGTACAGCACTAAGGGGTGGGCACTAAATAAACAAAAACTTATCCACCATAGCCCTTCGTGCGCTGGATGCAAGTGCTGGAAGAACGATACATGAATGTACAAAGAGCCAGGGGTTTCCCGCCCATCTCACTCTTCGTGTTTACAGATTTCTCAATGTAGTCACCAGGGCACGGGCGATTGCTTTGAGAGATAACTAGGGAAGTAGCGCGATTTTTTGAATTCTATTCAGGTAGTACTGCAACCAGCCTATCCAGATACCTATATCACCACTGTATGAGTGGTAATCAACATTGAATCCGCCAGAAATGCACTTTGGGGCAAATCTTTCGTCTGCTGTTGCCCATTTTCTAGCTAGGACAGCAAGAACCGGTGCCGTGTGTGGCAAAAGGCGGGCAAGGAGTGCGGGCTTCGACCTTCCGAGCCATTACCCGCTTGACGATGTCGGGTTCGATGACCAGAGTATCCTTGGCGATGCCCAACTGGTCACGCTTCTGAATAGCGTCCACAGATCTGAGGTCGTCGACGAGTTCCTCGGCAATTTCGTCGCTGCTCATACCCCCTTCAGAAGTCATGAACTGCGGGAGGTCATTTGTTAGTATAGCTGGCAAAACGTTGCCTATAATGGACAGGGTTTCAAAGGAAATTGATTTCAGTTCAGAATGGACGCTCGCTGCTGCTTGCTTACCTTAATCTCCTCGTTGAGGTCGGAGATGGTCTCATCGCTCAGGAAGCCACCATCCTTGTGGTGTGCCTCGGTCTTGTCGACGACGACGTCGCTGTCAGAAACGTTCTGAGCGTTCAGCTGGGCTTTGATGGCGTCGATGATTGGTTGCACACCATGGGGCTGTGCAGCGCTTAGAGGTGCAGCAGAAGCAGAGTAAGCCAGCAGAATGGCCACAAGAAAGGTCCCGCTCTTGGAAAACATCTTGTGGGAGGCTTTGGTAGTATTGAGCTGTGTGGACGTTATATTTGGGGACGATGCGGAAAGACACTCCAAGTCCAATTGTGGAAGTGAAAGGAGAAGTGGGAGAAACCGAGTCTGCTGCAAAGAGGAATCAAATTTGTATTTGAAATATGCACAGCACATTCGACCGTGTCATCGTTTATCAGTTTCTAATAAAGTCCCAGCTGAATCTGTCCTCAGCCAATTTGAGCTAAACTTGGACTGGGCAGCTCTGCGTCTTGTGACTGGTAAGTTACCTTACCTAGTATTTGCAGTCCGGCACCAAATTCGCCCTTTAGCTTTATCGGTTTTTGTCACTATGATGCACCGTCTAGGAATTATCAAACGTGACTCTTTTCGGTAGCCAAGATACTTCAAAATTCATAAGCCGTACAAAATTTAAGGCCGCGCTTTCTAAACTCGGCTTTCGAATTCATAGGGCTAGTCACAGCCTCACAGCCACTGCCTTTTAGGGGCCAATGTTTCAACAGGGTTTTCATTAGAGTGGATGCGGTCTGATGAACAGAACACGTTTTCAAAACTTAAAGTAACTTTCGATGAGGCTTTACAGTGGTATCCCTTCCACGAGCTCTAAGGCTCCAGCTCGACCGACCGTGATGATGACATCGCCCAAGGTCTTGGTCCAGAAGCCGGCCTCGCAGTAAGCAAAGTAGTACTTGTGTTACGTGGTGTCAGCAGAGGTTTCGCTCTGAGGACGGGGGACGGGTTTCATCATACGCACCTCCCATTTCTTGTGGAACACTTCGGTAGCCTCTTTTGACATCTCAGGATAGCTATCCAACAAAGCGGGTCTGATTTTATCATCGAAATTGAGCAGAAAAGCTGCTCTCCACAGCTGTAGGGCTCTTGTGTAATGGCCCCCGATATTTTCAACCCGTTCCAGGGTCAGACTGCCCTTAGATTGCGTGCTGATACGGTTGATCAGCTGCATTGTTGATGGTAAGTAGCCTCCTGGAAAGATATATCGATCGATGAACCTATATTGAGAAGTGATCAACATCAGACGAGAATTTAACCATGGAAGTAATATGTTCCACTTACCCCATCTTCTCCTTATCGGCCTGGTGTAATGCTTCCGGTATAGTGATGCGCTGAAACATTGCAATGCCCCCTTCCTGTTTCAGCAACCTATGGATGCCCGCGAAGTACTCCTCAAGATGGGCCTCCCCGACTGCCTCTATCATTTCTATCGAGACATCTTGTCGAATGTTTCTGCAGAAACAAATAGTTCTCGATAGTCCATGAACCTGACCTCGATGCGATGACCAAGGCCAGTAAGCTTGATCCCGTGCTGGGCTAGTTCTAGTTGCTTTCGAGACAAGGTGATGGTCGTGACACGGCAGCCTGTTCGCTTCACAGCCTCGATTGCGAAAGAACCCCATCCTGTGCCGATCTCGAGAAAATGGTCCGATGCCTTCAATTTTGCTCCCTCGATAGATCGAAGCAGCTTTGTCTGCTGAGCATCCTCCAGAGTTTCCACGCCATTTGTAATCCCATCCAAACCTGCAGACCGCCATATAGGACAAGAGTACGTCATGTCTTTGGACAGAAAGGCGGCAAACATGTCGTTGCTAACATCATAGTGGGCAGCTGCGTTAAGCAGTGAGTTGGTAGGTGTGTTTTTGGATCGTCCCAGTCTCAGCTTGGAAGCATAGGCCTTGCCAGCTTCTATGCCCATTTTGTATTCCCCCGGACCTGGAATTTCGAGCCCCAGCGAAGAATTGGAAAGGCGGGTGGCTCGATGTGGTTGGCTCGTATGGAAGCTAGGTTAAAAGAGCGGGCTGAACGCTGGGTTATGGGTGACAGGTACGATACGCTTCATGTAGATAAGGAGGAACCGCTAGAGAGCCTATGGAAGGTTTCGTTCAACAGGGATTGCCAGGCTTGACTGTTTGCGGACTGTAAAGTATTGCAGCAAAAAGTGCATCTGACACAAAGTCGCAACGAGTGGAGCAACCTAGAATCGAACTGGCATATGTCAGATATTACACATCTAAGGTGCCCAGTCTATGCCTACCGAGATGCTTCCTCCAATTATTGTTGACATCCCCTTGAGTCACTGCACACATTGGGTTACTGTAGCAGACCCAGGGGTCTAGGGGCATAGCTTCTGCTATGCTGCCTAGACCCCTAATCGATGGCATTTCGAGACGCTACGCTGACCTTGGGTTACCGCCGACCAGTCGTTTGGCTTTTTCGAGCTCGGCACTCTCAATACCCCGCCGCAGTCTTCAAACTGCGATTCTTTTTGAAAGTCTTGAGCAGTATTTACACTTAGACTAACCAAATTTCATATCTAACACTGATTGATCGGGCATCTCATGAATATCCTTTCTGTCTCACCATGTCCTCCAGTTGGCATTGCAAGCCAGATGAACGTCAGCAATGTATGATGTTCAGCCGCTCAGGGAGAACAGCATACGCCTCTTCCAAATTCAGCCAGCGCTCAGAAACGGCCGCATTGCTTGCATACTGGATCAATACAATGACCGTGTTCCACCGTATGGTGCTCTATCTTACTGTTGGGGCGACCCGAACCCCACGAGGAAAATGTATGTGAACAACTCCCTCTTTGATATTCACGAGGCGCTGTGGGCATTCATGGACCAGATGCAGCGATCTGAAGAGACCGAGAACTGGATTTGGACCGACTTTCTATGCCTCAATCAGAGGGACAACACAGAAATGGGCCAGCAAATACCTCGCATGGGTTATATTTACTCGAACGCAGTGCGGACTATCTCCTGGCTTGGTTACAACAATTCCGCTTGGGTTTCCGGTCTTGATAAAATGTCGACTCCCTCATACGACTTGGAAGAAGATATGAGAGTCATTGCCGAAAGGGTGGCAGCCAAACGCGCGGCCGTCAAACGTTTCTTTGCACAACCAAAGTTGGTCTGTTGGACAGAAGTCATGAAAATAATGCATGGAAAATATCATGGGCTCCCTTCCTTAGTATCGAATTCATCACCAGGGAGCCGGACTCTTACCTCCAACGATCTCCCTTTAGCTATTAGCAAAGTCAGGCAGTTCAGCTTTGGAGCGACTCAACGAACTGCCAACATTCTTTCCTTGCCTTACTGGACACGGGCCTGGATTGCTCAGGAGGTCGCGCTGTCAGAGGAAGCCATGCTGATATTTGGGACGGCCAGCCCAGACTTTGACGACTTCCTTCTCACTTATAAGTCTCATTGCTACTGTACGTGGCAGGCATTTGGCTCGATCGATGACAAAATACGAGTCCCCATGGAAGCACGAGAAGTCGTACGTGGGAATATGAACATCACCTTTCAGCCAATTCTGCAATGGGGACAGAATTGCAAAACTTCGAAGACTGTGGACCGTATCTATGGCTTGCTGGGTCTGCTGGAGCGTTGTGGTGACGCTACCGATACACTGCCCCCCCATTCTGGCTCAGCCTATCGACTACTCCAGAGACAAGAGAGAGATATACTGGGAGATTGCTTTTACGTACCATCAACCAACCAACCCGTCCAGCATTTCCGGCTATTGGTACAGGAAAGTCTTCACAAAATGGTTAGATTACCTGCCTGGCTTGGGAGAGTCCTTGCCCTGCCCCTTCACCAGAGAAAGTCTGCAGTGCGCTGAAAACGACCGCGCAACGCTTTTGTGCAGAAATAAGGCTCATGTTGCGCTTTGTGTTGTTGATAAATGCAGTCGCTGACCAGCACCAACACCCTGGCCTCGCTGCGGAATCCGATCAAACTGGGCGTTTGGATCCCCCCCCCCCCCCCCCCCCGATCTGCCATGCGCCGCGAAAGCTCTTGGCCGACCAAGCTCTGCGCGCGCCAGTTTTGGTCTGGCCCTTTTGATGAGCATTCATTCTACCAGATCAATGACATCCAGCAACTCCTGAGTACCCTATTGATGGAGACGGATGAAACCCAAGGCATGGATGAAGATGAAAAATGTCAGGCTGCAGTAATTGGCTTACGAATTGCCAGAAGAGAAAAATTTGAACCGGAAGGAAAGTGGAATTGTGTCCCTCATCAGAGCATGGAGGGACCGCGGGGGCACAGCATCGAGGTCCGATTTGAGTGTACAATCTGGATGGCTTCGTCGCAGGTCCCATGCTCTTCTCTTTCGACCACGCCCAGCGCTTCGTCTTTTCAAACATCTCATCAACGCCAAAGCTCAGACCGATACCTTATAATTGAGAGGACAGGGTGGAGGCTAAGCTTGAAAGATCTCCACTACGTGAGAGAAGAGGCGAAATGGAGTGGGAGTCTCAACGTTGAGTACTGAATTACATCAAATAGTTTTATTTGCGTATAAATAATAGGGAATATAAATGGGAAGATCACTTCGAATTTATACCGTACACCATTTCTGAGCTTATAAGTTGGCGCTGATGACAATAGAATCCCTAGGGCTCTGGGATTCGGGCCCGCCCGTGGTACATATTTAACGCCATTACCTGCCATGAGTGGCTAAGTTCTCACATACGTATGAAGCGCATTACATGCAGATGTTGATAAATATCTCCATGCGGCCGAAACAAGTTCTGGTGCTGCAAGAGGTAGAACTGGTGTCACCAGAAAGGGCACAGGAAAAGGTACCGCGACAACGGACAACTCTGCAGAGAAGGACGGTCGCACGGCGATTACCAGTTCCTCCTATTTTAAGATATGAAACGGGCCTGGTGATACCATATGTGACGCTCAATGTCAAATTTCCCCAGCACGTATCCTCAGGGAAAAGAGAGAGGCACTTGTCAAACTCCTCCGCATTATCCGCATGTCGTTGCTAAAACTGGGGCTGATTATGTAATTTCTGCCGACTCGGCCACACAGCGCAAGGCGCACGGGCCCTGCCTCGGCAATTCCGGGCTCTCTGACTCGGCGCCCCACCAGCACCGTCAAGTCTCCATATCTCGACGAATATCTGGCCCACTGGCGAGAAATTTTTGTTGTCCCAATGACGAGTAGCCTCATTTTCTCGAGCTCTCGACACTCAGCGGTCCCGTAGCTCAGCTGGTTAGAGCGTGGTACTAATAATTCCTCAGCCAGGAATCATCGGTGATGCCAAGGTCGCGAGTTCGATCCTCTCCGGGACCAGCTACTATTTTTGGCATGATTTGCAGAGATTTCCTTTTGCTCTTGATTGATACTCCGTCGGACTAGTCCCATAGGGCGCCTGGGGTGCTTATGCCAGTGTGATTTGTCATCTTGTTGGCTGAGTCCAATATTGGAACACTTTGTTCAAAGTGCCTCGACGTTTATAATGTGCCCAGATGTGGATGGGCATATTGGGTCAGCAGCTACCTCGTTTTCCAAAGGGCCATATGTGCTTGCGAGGAGTACCCGTGGGTATGAGTAAAAAAAAAACAATCATGAAAAGCAATGGCAGAGTAACATATTAGCAGCAACTTCACGGGAATTGACGAGGTTCCCGTCGTTTTAAGTAAGTATACAGCAATGTCCCAGTTGTGCCAGATTGCAAGGTCTTCCGGTTCTCTTTGATGAGCATCCATCTCAAGAGCCATGCTAAGGCAGCTGCAGCCGCAGAGACGGCAGCGCTTGAAAGCATAGCCGTGGTGTATCGAGGCTCATCCGCCGATGGCCCAAGATACTTGGCCACAATTAGCCTGGGCTTTTATACTCTGGAGGAATTTCATAGACGCATAATCGATAGCTTACCGGAGTATATATCGAGGAGATGGTGGCAATAGTGTTGACCATAGCGAGCGAAACAGCCTTCTTCTCCCTCGTCTGGTCGCATGTGGTTGATACCCACCCAAGGATTACACTGTTGCAAGTATAGACACCAGTCGCAAAAGCGCACATGGCGAAATACCGACCGCCAACGTTGAGTGTGCTGCAAGCTAATACGAAACCACAAACGGCAACGCATTTCGCCGCTGTGATATGCCAAACCCTTTCGTTGAAACGGCCTAGTATATCTTCCGTCAGCGAGAGCCAAACTGCATTGGAAAAGGAGAGCAGGGGTAGAATAAACGAGATGATACGGGGAATAGAGGAGGAAAGAACAAACCAGAGCTTGCAGCCCACCCTGCGGAGATAATGCCGGAGATGAGATATGGACCACAACTGAGCGCAAGTGTGACATTGCGGCTAAAGCCCAAAGTTTCGACGATAGTTGGAAAGAAGTTCTTATACTTACTTGCAGCCATGTGTAAATGGTGCATAAAGATAAGAACCCAGAGGCGCGGATCACGGCTTGCTTCAAGAATTTCTGTCCAAGTACTCGTGTTTGCTCGGAGATGAAAGGTGTCGTTGGCGATTCGAGAATGCGACAATCTCTGCTCATCCTCTGACAGCGAGTGGGTTTGGAAGGGCTCATTAGGCAAGATGAAAGCCGAAGCAACTGAGATGACGAAAGTGATGACGTCTTGGATGATAAAGAGCCAGCGCCACCCTGTGATGCCGGCTACATTATCCATTCGAAACACGCCGATAGCAATCAACCCGGCGAAGGCGGTGCCGCAGATATTGGCCGTGAAGAGGATGGAAATCCTCTTCGCAATTTCCTGTCTAGTGTAAAAGGTCGCAAGCATATACAGAGCACCTGGGTAGAATGGAGCTTCGGCGATTCCAAGAAAGAAACGGGTAACCAGCAGGCCTTTAAAGTCCCTAGCCACCGCAGTCAGAGTGCTGACGATGGCCCAAAGCGCCATTGATGCAGCCATAAACCGGGAGGGCCGTACTCGCGTGACCAGCATGTCTGCCAAGAGTCAACCATGGCCCACGACGTGGGTTTGAAGCAGGTCCAGGTGGACTTACTGCTTGGTGCCTGGCCCAGAATATACCCCACGAAGAGGATCGAGACGCACGTTTGGTACTCGGTCGAAGTCATGTTCAGTTCGTCTTCCATTACGTCTAGGCGAGCCACGGTGATAGCGTTGCGGTCAGGATAGCTGTTTAGTCCTGAGTAGCTGGCCCGTCGGTACTAAACCTGGCTTACTTACTTGAACCAGTACATAATCCACAAGACGGGAAGTATCACCCAATCTAGCTTTCGTACTGGCTTTTTCTCTAGCTGATCGAAAGTTTCTGGGAGCAACTTCTGGATCCTCATTGGAAGTCACACCCATTTCGTCATGGCGTTGCTCGACGTGAGTGCACTCCGGAAGATCATCTTGCTTGTGTGGTACTTCGATCTCCTCGCGGGTCTTGGTCTGGGATCCGACAGCCATATCTGCATCCAGCGATTGGGAGCAAACACAGATGAATAAAATTACATGTAGTCGACGTGGTTTGAGACACGAGACCTGAAGAAGCGAGCCGCCGACACGAATCCAATGGACACAGTCCATTTTTATATTTATGAATACATTACCCCAAGGGCAACTTCATTCCACCTGCATAGGATCCCTGCTCATCATCTACCCCAGATTACGCTCGAGCACCTACAACCCAAGCACTCTTGGCCGTTGATCCCCGGCGAGGAACTACTATAGCCGAGGGAGGCTTGCGGCAGGGCATACTGGAGGGCCGGAGCGGGATAAGTCTCGCGGGGAAACCGGTCACGAGGCCACAGTTTATCCACGGACCAACACGCACCGTTACGGGATGTTCAGAACACCGTGACCACATGATCGCTATACGTGTCAGAGGTCAGAAAAGAGATTCGACCAAGAATTAAATTTATTCGTTTTTAATTTCTCTGCCCTCGATTTTCGAACAAACTCAACGAATGGGTAAAGATGTGCACTCATTCAACACATTCGTGAGGCGGCCTCAAGAGCATTATGGCTTCAAGTTTTGAATCTGCCGTAGATATGAGAACGCCAGAGCATTTCAGCCGTTTCGAATTGCATTGCACCTGAGATGACTGTCATAGACTCACTTCTGGAAGGTTCCAAAGAAAGTCAAGCGAATTGATCTCGAAGCCCCGAGACAACTGGTCAGTACTGTCACCAAATGGCGCCATGCTCATGTCGAAAGGCAAGAGATTACAAGTCCCATTGAAATCAAGTCCAATGTCATGGTCGCCTGCGCTCTCATTCGGCAGGGCCGAAAGGCTGGCTGCAAGATCAGACCAGTAGCTCGAGCTATTCTGATCCTGTCCAAGTCCGCCTGCCCCAGGGCACGTCGACGCAGGCGCGAGGCTTCCCCGCAGACACGACGTATGCTTTTCGACGAGCTGGGCGTATGGAAGCGCAAAGTCCATGTCATCCGGGGGAAATCTCTTGAAAGTTGCGGTGCATCGGTCCAAGGTTTGTCGAGCAGCAGGCACCTCGGTCGACGGTGCGCCGATAGTTATGGCTCTGAGTAAGAAGACCGAGGAAGAGATGAGACTGATTCTTATGCGCGCGGGCGCATATGCAAGGCGTGTCCTCAAACTGGGTGACGTCGCGATGTGAATGACCCGGCTTCTGTCAGACACAACGTGTTGAAGAAGTCGAGCGTCTTGACCAGTCAGGTAGGAAGCAAGACCATCCCTGGGAGTATGTCTAGTGGAGGATACAGTTGCCTTTTGAACCACCGCTTGCATTGAGATAGCACTGATGCAGGCTCTTAGGTTGTATAATTCGATGAACAATGAGTCTTGAAGAGGCTCTGCGATGCCTGTGTATCAAAATCAGTCCGTAGACACAGGACGAGGATGGATTAACTTGAGTGGTAGAAAACGGGTTGAGACTGTATTCCTTACCGTCGCGAACTGCGTCAAGGTCTATCTTGCACTTTGACAGCAACGATAAGAAATGGTCTATCACGTCGGGGTAATTATCATTCTCTAGCAAGCCTTGCAGGTGTGCCGTAGAATGGGAAAACATGGCCGAGGCCAGTTTGGAAAGACGGGTGAACTCCAGGTAGGCATCCATATAAGAATTCCAGGCATTTTGCGACTCGTTGCCCAAGTCCCTGGGGGAGGGCCGGGAGCAGGCCACCGAGACACACCCGGGGAATACGGAGTTGTATCCCAGTCTGATGGCCGTGTGTGTCTCATGTAGCTGTAAAGAAGCCTTTGCGCGCGAAACCTGCGTCGCCCTTCAGTGTCAGTTGCCGACGGACCTGGGTGCTGGCCGTTGGACAATATTCCCAGCTCGTGCGCCAGATTCGTGGCAAGACCGAGGAGCATCCACAACATTCTGCTTGCCCTTTTCGCCGGTTCGAAGACATCATTGCGCCAGCGCACGAGGGGCTCTTGGTTGTTAGTTCGTTTACGGTTTTCCCGCTCGTAGACGGTGTCAATAAGCAATGCGTCCCAGCCCTCTGTGTCTGGCGGGAAGTGGATGGTGCGAGGGTGCCAGTCAGAGATGAGCATCAGACCCTCGATGGTGCCGATAATTCTCATCTTGGCGGAAGACAACTTCTCTTGTCCGAGCATGACGCGTTCCACCATGAGCTCGCGTGCCTGCCAGAGCCGATTATGGATGAGATGGCTTCTAGATTCACCCCCTGCCCCAGGGGGTAGGAAGAAGCGGGAAGACATCATCAGGATTGCACAGCACAACATGGCTTCCTCGTATATTAGGCGGGCGTGGGCTTCGTGGTCGCGAAACTGATCGACGGCGACTGCGGATAAGGGAGAAAGATACTTGAAAAATCTATGTGGCTAATCAGTCGGGCAAGACAAGCAATTTCTGGAAGATTTGCAGCTGAAGTTTCCAAGATCAACGTAAGTGACTGCCTCCTGAGAAGTGAACCAGCCTTGCCGGACAAATCGGCACTTGTCCCACATGTCCAAGATCGCATCGGTCGGTTCAGATAGGGCGAGGATATGAAACCCTACTCCGCTGTGGCAGTCTGGTCGTTCATCTGCGGGAACGGCAACAGGGACATGTTCCGGTGAGTGAGATGACTGGTTCGGGAGAGATTCCAAAGGGGGAGATGTTGCGGGATTGTGCAGTGTCAGAATATATAAACTCTCTAAGCTGCACACTGGCAGCGCTTTTTATTTCTTACAGGTTATGAGGCCCGGAGCTTACCCAAAACGGCAACGCTAACCCGATACAGAAAACGGCTAACCCGATATGGAAAACGCACATCACATAACACCCTTAATTACCACCACTTCTCAAACCTTTTAAATAAAATAAGCTTTATACTTAAAAATATACCTTTTAATTAATTACTTAATTAAGCTAATTAATAAGCTTTTAATTAATTAAATTGCTATATTTAATATTATAAATTAACCTTATCTCTTAACTTAAAGCTTATATATAAAAACCATACCTTATTTACTTAAATATTTAATCATTTCTTTATTAATACTTAACTTATTTATATAATTTATATATTATTTAAAAGCCCTTATTAAAAATAATAAAAGCATTTTTTTAAATTTTAAAAACTATATTAAATTAATACTAAAAATGCAAATTTTAATAAAATTATAATAATTTTTAAACTCCCTTAAAAATACTTAATTATATCTTAACTATCTTTAATTTATAATACCTTAAAAATATATTATTTAAAAATCCTTCTTTCTTTCTTTATAATTATATTATTTTAATACTTATATCTTTATTTCTTAACTTATTAAATTTATTTAAAATTTATTATATTTTTCTCTTTAATATTTTAATTATTTTAATAAATACTTTACTTATTTACCTTAAAATAATATTTCTTAATAAGTATAATATTTTACTCCTTAATAAAATAAAAAATTATATATATTAAAGCATTAAAATTTAAGCTTAGCTTAAAAAAAACGTTATTAAAAATAATCTTAAAAGTTTTTTTTAAGGCTTATTTTTAGCTTAAAATAAAAAAGCCTTTATTAATATTAAACTTATATATAAATAAGGGCTTATTATATTTATAAAAAATATAAATAATACTTAAAAAGCATAAAATATACTTAAATCTTATTATAAACTCTTTAAATTTATAAATTAATATTTACTTTATAAAGAATTTTTTAATATTAATCTTAATAATTTTAAAATTATAAAAAAACATATTAATAAGCTAAAGCTTTTTTTAAAGGATTTAAAAGCTAATAATATAATTCTTTTTAAATAAGTTATAATTAATTAAATTCTTTATAGCTTAAATAATAAATATATTAACTTTATTTAAAATATAACTTAAAGTTTTAAAAAAGATTTAAATGCTTATATAATTAAATCTCTCTTTTTTAACTTATTAAATAAAAATAAAGAGAAATCCTTTAAATTATTTAAAAAAGCTTTATATATAAAGAGCAAGAAAAATAAGAAAAAAATTATTATATAGCCTAATTATAAAATAAAAGGGTATATTTAAGAACATTATTATTTCCTTTATTTAAATAAGGTACTTATTAGCTGAAAAATAAATAAATAAAAGAAGGAAAAACTAAGTTTTTTAAGAAAGAATATAAGCTAAGAGAAATAAAAGAAAATGCAAAAGCAACTCCTAGCTTTATTAGCTAGCATAAAGTTTCCTATAGCTTTAAAAGGTGCTTAGGAAGAACCTATAGCCTATATAGTGTTATGGGCTAGCCTTGGGTTGTCTACCGTAAGGTGTTTAAATAGGGTTTATATTTAAAGTACAAAGGAAAAGGTTTACTCCCTGTTTATATCCACGTTAAAGCCTATTCTTATAAAGCTAAAGCCTATTAATTAATTATAATAAGCAAAGCCTAAATTATAATATATCCTCCTTCTTTAAGTCCTTATAACAAGCCTTAAAAAATAGCTATATAATAAAAAATAAAGGATATTATAATTTAATTATAAATTAAATATTGCTTTTTATTTAGCTATTTAATTATACCTTAGCACTTTTTAATTATATTAAAGGCTTAACTTATTATTTATAATTAGCATATCTTAGCCTTTATAATTTAATATATTAATTAAAGTAAGTTAATAAAAAATAATTATTTAAGTATAAATTAATAACTAAATTAATAATATTTTTATAATCCTTTAATATAAGTCTTTTATATAAACTTCTTTACTTAAAATCTTAAAATTATAAATTTATTATATAATTTATAATTAATTAGCGCTTAATTATAAGTAATTTGCTTTATTAATGGGAATTTTTTAAATTTTAAACGTTTTTATAAAGCTAAATTAATTAACATATAATTAATTTACTTTAAGTTTAAGTTAGCATTAAGTTAATATTATTTTTAAGCTTTATCCTATAAAAAAAATTTTATGCCCCTTTAAATAAACTCCTTTTCTTTATTAATCTTAATTAATAAAAGCTATACCCTTATTTTTTTACAATAATTAAAGTAATTGCACTTATAATAGCTAAGTTAGCTATATATAAAATACTTAACTTTACTTATTAAGATTGCTATAATATTAATATTTATTGCTTTATTATTTTAAAGTTAAGTATTATCCTTTTTTATTATAATACTAAAAATGCCTTTATATTACTATAAGGTAAAGTAAAAGGCTTTAAATATATTTAGCTACTTTTTATAATTAAGCTAAACTTTTATTATAAAGATTAAGTTATTAATTATTAATAATATTTTATATTTATTTAGCTAATTTTAAGTCTTTATTATATAAATTAATTTATTAAATTAAGTAAGAAATTTTATTATTCCTTTTTTATAATGCTATTATAATGTAATTAAGCTAAACCTAATATATTTTTACTTAAAAGGATTTCTAAGCATAAAGTAAACTTTCTTTAAAAAGCTTTTTAATTACTTCTTAAATATTTTTATAAAATTAATATAAGATAAAAAGTAATTATAAAAAGTTCTTAGTTAATTAAATATATAAAAGAATTAAGCCCTTTTAATGCTAATTACTTCCTTATTTATTATAAATTTAGCCCTTATCTTTATTAGCTAAGTTATTAAGTATTTTTAAGATAAAAGTTTCTTTAAATAAAAAAGGGCTTAATAAGCTGTTATTATTCTTTTTAAGTCTTGCTATATTAAGTTTTATATAATTATATTATAAGTTTATAATGCAAAAGGATTTTAAATATATATTATAAGCTAGCCTTAAATTATTTACCATAAAGTATTTAAATAAGGTTTATATTTAAAGTGCAAAGGAGAAGGTTTACTCTTTATTTGCATCCACGTTAAAGCTTATTCTTATAGGGCTAAAGCCCATTAATTAATTATAATGGGTAAAGCCCAAACCGTAACATATAGCTATAAATAATTTAATAGAAAATATTAAATATAATAAGAATTTATTAAATCTTTTATAACTTTCTTTTAATAACTTAATGGAAATTAAAGTAAATAACTTTATATATACCCTATATATATATATAATAATAATAGTAATTAATAATAATAAATTTATAAAAGATTAATAATATATAAATTTTATAAAAATAATTATAAATACTATTATAAATATAATAAGTTTTAAAAATATATACCTTTTTAATATTATATATATAATTAATAAAACCGTGAAATAAGGTAATATGAATATTATATTTATAAATAAAATAAGGAATTTAATAATTAAGTTTTTAGAAATAAATATTATAAAGAAATTCTTTAATATATATTATATACCTTTTTTAAGTTTAAATATACTTAAGTATAAATATATAAATAATAAAATTAAATTAAAATTAAAAGGAAATATTATTAAATTATATTCTTAAGAAATAAATAAGCTAATTATTTAAAAATATTAAAAAAATAGCTTATACTTTATAAAAATTAATATAATAAATTAAATAAATAAGCTTAAATACACCTTTTAAAAAATATATATAACTTAATAAAATTTAAATATAAATAATAAAAATAAAGAAAAAATATATAAATAGCATTATAAACTAAGTTATATAAATATTTAAGCTTTAAAAGTATTTCTTTAAAAATATAAAATAAATATATTAATAAATAAACCTATTTAAGAATATATAAATAATTATAAAGTATGCTTAAAAGCTAAGTATATAATTAAAATAAATAAAATTAGCTTAAATAACTAAGTATATAATATATTTAAAAGAATATATAATAATATAAGCAATTTCTTAAAACTTATATATAATAAATATAAATATTATATATTATTCCTTAATATAAAAACTTAATATTTAAAAGTTCCTTTGCTTAAAAATAAAAATAAAGCATTAAAAGCTTTTAATAATTATAAAAATAAGAAAAAAAATAAATATAATAAAAGAATAAAAGAATTCTTTATTAATAATAAAGGTAAATATATAAATAAAAGATTTAAAATCTTATTAAATAAATACTTTATAAATTACTATATAACGCCCTTATATATAAAAGAATTAAATAGCTTAATAAAAAGACTAAATTTAATTATTATAAATAAAGTAAGAAGCCTTTTATATATAGTAAATTTACCTATATATTGTTGGCAGGTGCAGGGAATT